TATGTAGTGAGGTCACCGAACGGTTCTAACCAGGGAGTTTTTTTGACAGCCAGACAGCAAAACGGCCGTCAGTTTTCAAGCGGGCGGAAGCGTTTTTTGACAAAAAAGATTCTCAATTATCAAGCGGGCAGAGCGTTGCTGGCAAACAAGCCCGGTCGAAAACTATCGACTCGCACTTGATAAAACGACGCAGGGGAGCCGGCAAAAGGGGCGCCCTTCTGAGGCGCCCACCGCCTTGGTTTCTGCCGATTTGGGGAGCCCAAAAAGGGGCGCGCAAAAAACGCGCCCAAAATCAGAACAGCGAAACAGCATGGCACGGCCGCGATTTCCGAGCATTTTGGGCGGCCGCGAAAGCGGCCGCCTTTTCGCCGGTTTTAGAGCCGGGGAAGCTTTGCAAAAAGCGCCGGCGGGAAAAATAAAAACGCGAAAAATAAAAAGCGCCCCAGACGCGCAAAGCCAATCCGCATGCTATGGGCCCGGTTTTTCTTCGCTTTTTGGGCGCCCCCCTTGGCACCCGGATCGGCCCCATAGCATCGGGGCTGGCTTTCGGAAAGGAATTTTGGAAATGTTCCAAAATTTGTGACGTTTCCCAAGTGGCCGCAATACCGTGCGGCATAACGTTACTCACGGCGGTATGGCGAGCCCAGAAATAGCAAAGCCGCGGCCAAGGCGGCGGTCGGCAAAAAAACGCCCACGACCTCACTACCCCCGCCCCGGCGGCTATATTTCGTAGAAAATGAAGCTCCGTCTGACGAGGGCCAGCGCGGCGGCGCTGGCCCGAAATCCGAAAATGAAGTGTGAGAATCCGAAAAAAGTGAAATCTCACTGAGATTTCACTTTCTGCACTGGAGCCCAGTGCGCCATGGAAAGTGAAATTTTTCAAAAAGTGAAATTCCACTGGAATTTCACTTTTGGAAAATGAAATTTTGGAAAAAGTGAAATTTCACTGGAAAATGAAATTTTTCAAAAATTGAACTTTCACTTTTTGAAGGTCTCATGTTTTAGCCTCCCAAAAGTGAAACTCCACTGGAAAATGGCATGACAAGATTTCACTTTCAGAAAGTGAAACTTCATCGGGATTTCGCTTTTTTTCAGTGCCGCACCGAAAGAGGAGTGAAATCTCACTGAGATTTCGCTGCGTTTTGAATTTCCAGTCGGGCTCCATCCTTCCCTCCCTTTTCTGAAGCAAATGGCGTGAGGGCATTTTTAAGAGTGTGCATGTAGTGCACAGGCACAGGAATTGCCCGCTTTGTATTATTCTTATTGTATATGAGTCGTTGTCGTGCTGGTATTGGTAGGAGATCATGGCCCGCGCAGCATTTCATTTGTATGGGGGCATTTATGAAGCAGGGAGCGCCGCGTTGTGTAGGTGCCCGTGTGAAGTATTGCCGTTCTCGCCTCCCAGTGTTTTGCAGAAAAATTTTCCGGTGAAGAGGGGGGGGCTTTTCCGATCCATGAGTGTAAGTGTTTTTTACTACGTATAAAGATAAACCTCTTTAACTGCAGTTCATGTGGATGTTGTAGTTCCCAGGGGTCACCAGTGACTTTTTCACGTTCTCCAATTCGTCGTCCTGCCACCAGCACGTCTACTCAACATCTGACGTAGTCGCTGCAAGACCTCCTCCGGACCGGACCTCCAGTCTTATTTATCAGCTCTACTAGGACCACCGGGGCGGGTCGACTTGACCTTGAGTTGAGGTTGTCGAGGTAGTAGTTGTTCTTTCCATCTGAGAAATTTTCGCCTCGAGGCTAGTACAGTCTTTTTCATCTTGTCAGCGACCACCTGGAGTAAGTAGTAGAGAATGAAGCTCCGTCTGACGAGGGCCAGCGCGGCGGCGCTGGCTTCTGAGACTTTCAGTAAGCCAAAGAAGCGCCTTTTTTACCACGAGCTGAATCTTCTTTCTACCAACCTCCTGCAAGACCTGCAGACGTGGCTGGTAGAAAGAAGAATCAGGTGCTGAAAACAAAAAACGGCGTTTCTGAGGCGTTCAGCAAGCCAAAGAAACGCTTTTTTTACCAGGAGCTGAATCTTCTTTCTACCACCTCCTGCAAGACCTGCAGACGTGGCTGGTAGAAAGAAGAATCAGGCGCGGAAAGCAAAAAGCTGTGCTTTTTGAGGCTTTCAGTAAGCCAGAGCAACACTTTCTTTACCACGGGCTGAATCTTCTGTCTACCACCTCCTGCAAGACCTGCGGGTGTGGCTGGTAGAAAGCAGAATCAGGTGCGGAAAGCAAAAAGCGTAGTTTTTGAGGCTTTCAGATTCGGCCAGCTGGTCAGGATCCTGGTTCCGTCCCACTAGTCACCCACCCGGCCGGGCGGGTGAGAAGTGGGACGGCCACAACTCGCCAGAATTTGTTACCCCGCTCTTAGAGTTTGTGCTTGCTAGCATAGATAGTGAATCCCCGCTTCACCTCGTGGTCCTCGTGTTTCATCTCCGTGTTGGAAGCAATACCTCAGTCACTATCGCAAGTGCCACTTCTTTTATTTTCTTCCCCCGACCACGAGAAGATGAAGATGGAGAACGCGGCTCACGCTCCTGTGGTCTCTTGCTCCTCCTGAGGGTGATGTTGAGAGCAGCATAGAGATGCAACACAACTATGGCCTTGCATGCTTTCGAGCAGTGTAGTTTGAGTGTGCTCCTGTTGCGCGCCAGGACGAGTGTAGCTTTTTACTTATTTTGTGCCCAAGAGGAGCGCGCCCGGACGAGTGTAGCTGGTGCATATAGCCTTTTTATGATCTACTTGGTTCCCCCGCCGTAGTTCTCGTTAATGCCATCTCGACCAGTCAACAGTGTTGACTTTTTTACGTTCATCATCAGCTCCAACTCGTCGTGCTTCCACCAGCAAATGTCTTATCATTTGCAAATAGGTCTGGGTCTGGAAGATTGCAACTTGTAATGCTGTCTTTGGACGATTCCAAAAAATCTGTATTGCATGAGCAGCAAGTTAGAGGAGTAGCCCTAGACTTTGTGCTCCGCGGAGATGGCATTATTTCTCGTGCGGAATAGGGATGAGGAAGCGCTCTAAAAATCTGTAATGCTAGGCCATGCATTACAGGCGAGGCATTATGGATCATGCAAAATATGCATGACAAACGTCTGCACTTCTCATCCAGACCCAGACTGCATAAATATTTGCATGTTATCTGCTTCTGCCTACTCAACTTGCTTCTTCATCTGATGTAGTCGCTGCAAGACCTCCTCCGAACCGGACTGACTGATTTCATTTAGTAGAAGTAGTTGTCAGCTCTAGTAGTAGGACCACCGAGGCGGGTCGACGCTTGATGGATTTGACTTGAGGTTGTCGAGGTAGTTGTACTTCTCTCCTTATCCACGACCTGAGAAATTATTTTCGCCTCGCGGCTAGTAGTCAGTACAGTCAGTCTGTTTCTTGTCAGCGCCCTGGAGTAAGTAGTAGAGAATGAAGCTCCGTCTGACGAGGGCCAGCGCGGCGGCGCTGCCAAAAATCATGAAAATGAAGCAGAGATGTGACATACTTAAAAGCACTCAACAAACACGAAACGTACTGACTTATCTTGAGCTGACATCTGAAAGCGCGGGAGGAGCGGGAGGAGCGTAGGGTGTTAGCGCGGGAGGAGCGGAACTGCGTATTCCCAATCAACTGGTGACGCACGGCATCCGGGATGGCCGCAGCAGGAGTACACACACACGACACTAGAAATATCTGCCCGAGTTGTAACCACGCCGAAAACACGAAGAAGCAAAACGAACCATGCAAGACAGGAAAAGTACAGCTGGTGCCCAATAAAAATTTCTAAGTCCCGTCGCGTAACATAAGGCGCGAAGCAAGCACGTTTTTAAAAAGTACGAAAGGAACGCGCAACACACAAAACACACCGCAGGTGCAGGCAGGCGCAAGCCGCGTAAGACTTCTACTAGAGGAGCGGCGCCTGCGCCAGCCTGTCGGGGAAAGCTCTGCTGTTCTCTCGTTGTTTCGTCCCAAGTGCTTCGTGTCCTGAGTGGATATCAGAATTCGCATCAAAACTCTTGCTGGTTGCAAAACCAAGTGCAACCTACACGGACGGGTACGGGGCGCAGGTAGAACGTCTTGCACTTGTTCCCCACAACAGCGGGGGGATCGACGAACCCTCGCTGCGGGCTACAGCCTACAGGTAACTCTGTTGCGGTTGCCCCTCATTACTACGTCTTCGCGCAGTGGCTCACTTCTTCTCGTCGAACAGGCGTGGCGTCTGGGCACTCTGGTTACGGGCTTCGGTCTCGACCCTGTTGTCGCTCCAGCGCCACAAACCCAAACAACTCCAGTCCCCGAGCCCAGTCCCTTAACAGGTCCAGAGAGCCACTGAGCACGCAGCAGCTGGGTGGAGTGGGGTGATCGCAGTACAGACTCGGTGTCGGGCCTTGAGCGGTACTAGAAGGAAGACAACGAGTGGCACTGAAGTCCTAGGTTATGCACACCCGGAAGGGCTATTTGTCCACTTTTACTGGTGGAGGGTTAACTGCTCTGCGGTGCCCGAGTCTGTCGAACACAAGTAGTCGTACTTGGCGCAAGTTTTAGGCGCTACGCTACTCGCCACACCGCACCCGTACCCGTACCCCGTACAGATCTACTATCCGCTCGGCTTGTCGGCACCAAAAATATGTCCTATAGTTAAGCTTAAGAAAGAAATAGCTTAGTAGATAGAAGCTTACTATAGAGGTTTCCTCCTCCTCCTCCTAGTAGAAAATGAAGCTCCGTCTGACGAGGGCCAGCGCGGCGGCGCTGCTTGTGTCGGAGCACAGGCCTGAGAACGGGCGTGCGCTCCGCGCCCGCCGGCCCGGCGACGAGGGGTTGCAAGGGGGGGCGAGGGGAAAAGAGCGTGGCCGCGGTCAGTGACCATCCCTAGATGCTGAAAGTTTGTTGGCGCGAGAAGCGAAAAAGAGAAACGGCAGCTCTCCCGCCCCTCCTCCCTTGGTGGGAGCGAAAGAAGCGTAGGCAGAGTCAAGGCCGCTAGGCGCGAGGGGCTGGCAATAGGGGGCACAGAGCACAACCGCTTTCCAAGCCTCCACAAACAGGCGCGGCGGAGAGCGTGCGCAGACCCTTTTCGAAGGCGCGGGAGGCTAGCCACAGGAAGCAGACCGAAAAGAGCGCGCCGACGGCCGGAAGACTGGAAACCCGGCCGGCACCAACCAAAGGCAGCTCGAAAAAAAAGTAAGGAGGCCAAAGTAAGCCCGCGCCCGGGGGAGAGGCAAAAAGCCCCGGAAACGGAAGGGGGAGCGCCCGAACAGACTGAAGGGGCGAGCCATAATGTAAAGAAACTAGCCGGAAACACGCCCGGCGGCCCAAAGAACACGGGGCAAAATCAGGCAGCCCCGCCCGGCGAGGCCGAAGAGTCCGCGGCCGGCAGTGGGCACGCGACGGAGCCCTGCCTGCAGAGCCACAGGCGGCAGGGAAAGGCGCAAACTGCCGCCAAACCCCTCGCAACAAGGGGCCAATGGCAAGGGGCGCCAGAATGCAGCAGCACTTCGGCTTGGGGCAGCCAATCGGCAGCCGCCACCCAGACAGACATCTAAGAGTGTTCGGCAAGGGGAGACCGCAGCCCCAGGCCCCTGCCCGAGGTTCCGTGACAGGCGGCCGGGGCGAGCTTTTGCTGGTCTCTTGTGTATCTGTCGGGGTTTCTCGCTCCGGCTGCGTTGGCGCGTTTTCTCACTAGTCAGTGTTTTCGCTTTCCCCAAAATCGGGTTTTTTGTTACTAGTGGCTCCACTAGTGAGCGCCTTCACTAGTGGTGCCTGTCACTACTACGTCTCGCGCTTTTTTGTTACGCTAAAATCACTAGCAGGATTTCTACTAGTAGCCGTTTTTCTGCTAGCACGATTCTACTAGCAACATTTCTACTAGCACCTTGCACCTCCCCGTCCGCCAGAATTTTTCCAATAGTATTGTAGATAATTGTAGAAAATGAAGCTCCGTCTGACGAGGGCCAGCGCGGCGGCGCTGCTTGTGTCGAAGCAACGGCCTACGGTTGTCCATGCCGTTTCGACGCACAAGGTCGCTAGTTCAGGTACAGGCCTGGTATATTTTTCACTGCGATTTTTTGCACGCATGACGGGCTACATCGACATGATCATGCACATGCCAGGGTGCTGGTGGTGCTATTCGCTCTAATTATAGCGAATGAGATTGAGAAATTGCAAGAAATAGAAACTTTGATGAAGTTCATCATGCAGGTCGACCAGGAAGCACGCGGGTGAAAAACCTGGACCAGGAAGCGCTCGGGGATTCCGATGAGGATCCGGCATACCGAGAAGAAAATTCCGGCGAGAGCGATGAGGGTAAAGAAAGCGACCCGGGGGTCGACTTTGTGCGCCACGACGGAACGATGTGCAGCGGGGTGGCGGCCAAAATCGGGAAGCACGGCTACGGTTACGACGACGACCAGTCCATTCGGGATTGCGAAGCCCGGTGTCTGGCGAACTCGGGTTCCTGTGCCTCTATCAACTGTAAAAATGTCTGGGTCTGGAAGAATTCATGTTTGTCATGCTTGTCTGGCATGACTCTTAAATCTGTCATGCACGTTACCCAAGAGCTGCGTTTTTCTGTGATGCAGAAGCGCAGTTTGTCATGCAGAATAGGCAACACCCTAGGAGCTCGGAAACTTGTCATGCTGAGCCAGCATTTGTAGCCTCATCATGAGACGCTACGCAGCATCACAAGTTCCCAGACCCAGGCATTTTTACATTTGATAGCCTCCTTCGATTACGTATTCGCGGAACAGTATGGATGTGTCAGAGTTGAAATCGACAAAGTTGAAATAATTTGTCATGCATAAAATGGATGCCAGTTGGAACCCAGTTTCCAAGTGGCGCATGACAAAAAAATGTCGGTGGTCCCTAAATCCAGTTTGTCATGCTGTTTAGGCAAAGAGGAGTGATTTTCTCATGCTACTTTAGCAGCTCGAGCTGTAACCCCAAACAGGCTTACAATCGGCCTCACTTGCCTGCTCTGCAACACACGTATTTCGCGTCATGCATTTTCTGCATCACAAGTTTTTCGATTTTGTCAATTTCGATCCTGACGCTTCCATAAACAGGAATTCGACCTGTCGCAGGGCGAGTTGGTGCACGCGAACGTGAAAATCCCCAAGCGTCGGTGCTACTACCGCGCCGCCGTGGGCTTGGTGTCGCAGACGAACGCGCGGAACTGCTTTTATGGCGTTCTCAAATGTTACATTCTCAACTGTTACGTGCTTCGTCATGATGCAAAATTGTCATCAGTATCTACGCGATCAAGCTGCTTTGCATATACAAATTCTGGAAGGGGTAAGTAGCATGGAAATCCGGTCCAAATTTATAATGCAAAACGCGCGCTCATCTTCCCGCTTTCATTTTTGCTGTTCTTGCATCACAAATCTGTGTAAATGTTGAGAATAGAACAGTTGAGAAGGCCATAGCTTCACGTTGAAGGGCGCAGTCACGGACAAAGTGCTCGGGTTGCTGCAGAAGACGGACTATCAAATGCAAATATGTCTGGGTCTGGACGATTGCGAGATTTGTCATGCTTGTCTGGCATGACTCTGCGCTCTGTGTTGCGTGCCCACAAAGATGTCCTCCTGCCTGTCATGCAAAAGCGCAGTTTCTCATGCGAAATACGCAGCACAGAAGCACGAAAAAACTTGTCATGCTTAGCGGCGCATTACAGAGAACCGATTGTTCACGGACTTGCATCACAAGTTTCCAGACCCAGACATATTTGCAATGGATACGGACTCTGCGACTGATCATCTGCTGCACCACCAGCAGGAGCTGCAGGGCGGGGAGGTGGAGTATGGCATTCTCAACTGTTACATTCTCAACTGTTACACGGATTTGTCATGCAAAGTTGCCATCAGCCTCCACTTGACCAAGGTGCTTAGCATGACAAGTTTTCGAATGGCTAAACAGCATGATAATCTGTGGCATATCTGTGATGCGAAACCTGCAATATTGCCACTTTTACTATTGCTGTTCTTGCATTACAAATCCATGTAACACTTGAGAATATAACGTTTGAGAACGCCATATGGAGTCTGTTTTCGCGAGAGAGAACGTGGAAAGGAAGAAAAAAGAGGAACAGAAGCTGCGACAAGAAAAAGAAAAGGCAGCTGCACGGAAGTTTTCTGCAAAAGAAGTTCGGTCCAGGCAGTGGCACGAGGAGGACGAAAGTGCGGGAGAGGAAGACGAGAGTGGGGACCACGAAGATATGCAGTGCAAATACTTATGTCTGGATGTCAATGTCTGGAAACTTGCGATGCTGGGTGGCGTATCATGAGGAGGCAACAAGTGCTGGCTCAGCATGACAAGTTTCTGAGCTTCGTTCTAGGTGTTGCCTATTCTGCATGACAAACTGCAAAAATTCTGCATGGCAGAAAAATGGGGCTCTTGGGTGAAGACGTGCATGACAGATTTAAGAGTCAACATGCCAGACAAGCATGACAAACCTGCACTCTTCCAGACCCAGACATTTTTGCAGTTGATAGAAGATCACGACAGTGCGGAAGATTTGAAAAGAGTCCGGCACATGGTGGACGAGGACAGTGAGAATGATATCGCAAGAAAAAAGTGTTACAGTTACACATTGTGTTGCAGGCCAAGCAAGACAGACAAGCTCGGTCATGCCTGATATGCATAGGAGCCTCGTTTCATAGGTGTTTTCCCGTAGGATTTCTGCATTACAAGTTTCCTCTCTCATGCAGAGAAATTTGTGTTGCTGAATTCACTACAAATGTGTAACAGTAACACTTTTCTCGTGGGATAAATGACAAGGACCACTTATTGTGCGGAAAAATCCCCCCTCCCCATTACTTAAGTATATCGAATAAAACGCACCAAACGCAAAATTTGTATTGCTGATTTATGTTTATTATCGCAAACACCTACTCTGCAAGCAGGAGCGACTGGAAGCTTTGGGCAGACAGTCTGTCATGCCGCGTTTTATTCAGCTGCTACAGTAGAAACATTTATCATGCTGAAAGTAAAAGGCTAGACTTCTAGAAGTAGAAACCGAAACAGGAGGGCTAGAATACGCCTCCAGTCCCTTTCTGCAAGACAAAGCCGATTTTTGAGCACAAATCTGCATCACAAATTTTCATTTTGACCATGACGAGGGGGGATTTTTCCTTGCAATGCCAAGACCACGAAGAGCACGACAGTGCGGAAGATACGAAAAGGGTCCGGCATATCAAATGTAAAAATGTCTGGGTCTGGAAGAATCCGAGTTTGTGATGCGAATTCCACAACACGCGCAAATCTCTCATGCATAGGCAGCAAAAGGCTCCCACTTTCTGTCACCAAACAGGGGGATTTCTCATGCGGATTAAGCATTGCGGAACGTTCTCGAAATCTGTGATGCTAGGGCTTCCATGACAGACCTTCTGCGTCATGCAAAAACACCATGACAAAAATCTGCACTCTTCCAGACCCAGACATTTTTGCATTTGATACGGCACATGGTGGACGAGGACAGTGTATGAACTGCAAAAGTATCGCACTCGTATAGATGCAATACAAATTTCCTCAGCATCAGAAATAAAATTTGTAATGCGGATCTACCTAAAGAACAAGATTTGTAATGCATGAGCGCAATTATTACTACGAGTACGATACTTTTGCACAGGATACAGTGAGAATGACAAGGACCACTCCTCGAGCGACGAGGCTGCGCACGAGTTCGTGGCTACGAAGGAGGCAAATAAAGGAGCAAAAACTGCCAAAACCTCCTCGGCCAACAAGAAGGAGGACCAAAGCGAGGAAGAGGAGTCCAGCAGTGACGATGGAGAACAAAAACTGAAACAAGCGCATGCTGAACAACTAGAGGTGAAAAAAAGTTCCGTCGCGCTCCTGCAAGATCAAGACGAAGAAGAAAATATTAAACCAAGTCATGATCAGCACGTCGACCAGAAAGCAAGCAAAGTAGCAGCCAAGAAGAAGACAACAACTTCTTCTGCTCACACGACCAAAACTGTGGCAGCACACGTTGAGAAAAAGGTTTTACCTTCGGAAGCTAAAACCAAAGTGAAGAAAACAGCCGCGGCTACGGCGACGACGCAAAAGACGAAAACCCCTGCCGCGGCGGGGTCTCATCATGACGTTGAAACAGCAGCAGGAACGAAAAAAAGCGACGAGAGTCGGAGTGCTAATAAAAAGCTTTCCACGCCGGTCGCAGCTACACACAAGCACACGACATCAACATCCACCGCACAGCATGCTGTGGCGGATGGTGCGGAAGTCAAAACCGGTGCCGCAGCGACGTCTTCGAAGAAGAAAACAAGTGTGAAGACCATGGAGGCCAGCGAGCACGACACAAAGAAGACTACTACTGCAGCAGCGGCCAAGGAGGTCAAACTCCCCGGCAGCGGCGCGACGGAGGCTTCCTCGAACAAAAAAGCAAAGGGCACAGCAGCGCCATCTAGTACAACAACTTCCAAAGCTGGCGCTGGAGCGAAGAGGACAGTGGTCTCTGCAGCAACTACGTCATCATCCGTCACAGCAAGTAGTAAAAAGAGCAAGGCCACCTCTGCAGCACGACCGAGTACTACAAAAAAAGCCCCAGCAACAGCAGCCGCCAGTAAACCCCCGCCGACCGGTATCCAACGAAAAAACTGTATTCACTGTGATGATTTTGCAAGAACCGCATCACAAGTTTGTTACACATGACACAGAAAATTTGCCATGCGCGTTTCCCAAGGGAAAACACGCTTGAAAATTCAATGTCTTGCAGGTGTAGCAAGAGAGACACTTTGGTGCTTCATTTTCTGCATCACAAATTCACAGTGAAACAGTTTTTTCTTGCGATAACCGGCGCGAAAATGAAGGGTATGAAGAAAAAGGACATTGCCCTGATGCAAATGTTATGAACTGCAAAAGTATCGTACGCGTATTGCAATCATGCATTACAAATCTTTCTCTCAAGGTTAATCCGCATTACAAATTTTATTTTTCATGCTGAGGAGATTTGTAATGCACTGACTTATAGATACGAGTGCGATACTTTTGCACAGGATAAATGTCCGAGGCCGAACGGTTGCGGAACACAGCGCTAGAGAACATGTCGGTTGAGGAACGCCGGGAGGTGGCCGAGGAGGCGTATCGCAACGAAGGCCGGGAGGAAATGGGCGACATGCTGACGGAGGCGGAGATGGAGCTGCGCGAGTTCAACCTGAGGGACCACAGCGCCGGCACTTCTTCTAACCCGCAGACAGACCAGGACGAAGGGAACGAAGGTGGCGTCCCGGAAACAGCGGCGGAAAGAGAGGAGGAGAAAATGCAAGCTGCGGAGGAAAAGGAGGCAGCGAAGGTCCAAAAAGCGAAGGAATTGCAGGAGGAGAAGCGGCGGCGGTACATTCGGGAGTCCGGGTATGGAAGTGTCAGAATCGAAATTGACAAAATGAAAATCGAGAAACTTGCGACGCATAAAATAGATACCAGTTGGAGCCTCAGTTTGCAAGCGGCGCATGACAAATTTCGGGAGCTGCACGACCCAAATCCAGTCTGTCAGCATGCTGTTTGGGCAAAGAAGACCGCTCCTGTCGTGCTACTCTGACAGCGCATTGCGTGCCCCTAGTATGAGAGAGGCTTGCAACCGGTCTCATTTGCCTGCTCCCCAATATTACAGGCCTCCAGTGCCCTACATTTTACGCATCACAAATTTTTCGATTTTGTCGATTTCGATCCTGCCACATCCATACTGGGCTGGAAATCGAGATTGCGAAGTCCACCAGCAGTGGGAGCAAAGCGAAAGCTATCGCAAAAAAAAAGTGTTACAGTTACACATTGTCATGCAAGACTGGCAACAGAGACAACCTTTCTCATGCAGGAAATGCTTCGGAGCTTCGTTTCCCTCCTGCTTTATTCCCTTATGATCTTCGCATTACAACAAGTTTTCTCTGCCACACAGAGAAAATTTGTGATGCAGAAACTCCAACAAGTGTGTAACTGTAACAGTTTTTGCTCGTGATAAAAGCCGGCGGCGGTGCGGGGCACAAGACCATGGAAGTAGATGAGGAGGCGGAGGACGGTATCCTGAGTAAAAACGTCCCCACCCCATAGTCAAGATGGGCATCTCGCAACACAAATCGAGAAGTTTTGGGAGTCAAGCATGACAAGTTCCTCTCTGTAGTGTAGTGCAGTTTAGCAAGTACAGCCGCAACACAAATCCATCTAGTCATCCTGTTTACAGCATTTGCATATACAAAGTCCAAAACGCGATGGGAAATACCTCTCATGGGGAAGATGCGCATTACAAATCTTGCTGTAACTGCAAATCTGCATGACAACTCTGGGGCGTTTTTACTCAGTATAAACGGTAAGCTTTGTCCCATGATCTTTGCTTCTTCTACGTCGGATTCGGAACTACTTCCAGATGAAACACAATAAACGAAGATGCTGCAGCAGCTCCATAGAAGTACAACGCAATTGCGAGTTGCAGTTCCTCGACGTCGTGTCCACCTTGTCCTGCTTCTTGTAACAGCATCGATCTTCAGAAGTTCTTGCACTTAAACTCAATCGTTTGTACCGAGATAATCTCTGCTTACAACAAAAACCGCTCCACGAAATTGAAATAAAGTAAGTATGCCACGCACGTGTTTACAAACATTTCTCGAACAACATCAACAGGCGAGGCGCCTACCCTGCTGCTGGAGAGCACCCGGAAACAAGAGGAGGGACAGACAGGTGAGCAAGAGGAAGCTACCGAATTTGGGGAGAGTGGTCTCGCGAAAACGGTCATGACCGTCGAACAGCTCGACAAGCTGATCGCGGAAAAGGAAAAGCGAGAAAAGGAAGAGGCCGACAGGGACGAAGGTATTGTGAGGAGAAACGTCCCCACCCCGTAGTAATCAAGTTTTGGGAGCTATGCATGACAAGTTCCGCCCATATGTAGAAGTGTAGTGCTGTTTGGGAAGGAGAAGGACAGCAGCATCGCAAAGACGCCTCCTTATCCTGTTTACAGCATTACAAATTTCCGATTCAGAGCACGATTTGTCTTACAAACTCCTTTCTTGCGGATGTGCATTTACAGATTTTTCTGAAGATGCAAATCTGCATGACAACTGTGGGCTAGTATCGCTATGGGGACGTTTTTCAATGGGATAGAAGGCGAGCGGCATCATGGGGGAGTGGATGCAGCCCTAGCGGTGGAAAATGCGGAGGACGATGAGGATATCCTGTGGAGGAAAAGTAGCGCACTCGTATTGCAATCATGCACTACAATTTTTTTTTTTTAAGGTAAAAAATCCGCATTACAAATTTTACTTCTCATACTGAGGAAATTTGTAATGCATTTTATAGGATACAAGTATAGCGATACTTTTGCAGTTCATACAGGAAGAATCTTCCGAGGACGAGGGAAAAAATGAGGAGGCGGAAGACATGGCAAGAGAGGCCCGGAAACAAGAAAAACCGAAACGCGCCAAAACGAAGGCAGCTGCTTCTGAGGAGGATGTGGATACAGGAGATGACAAACTGTCGCTGGCGCAGCTGTCGAAGAGGGCGACGGAGAGCGCTAGTACGGCAGACAAGCAGCTCGCGCTGGCGCAGACCGAGAGGACCGCGCGCACATCGTATCAAATGCAAAAATGTCTGGGTCTCGAAGAATCCGAACTTGTGATGCGTGTTGCGGATCATACAAAAATCTGTGTTGCATGACTTGCAAAAGGTCCCCAATTCTGGCCATGCTGAGGGGGCATTTCTCATGCAGAATAGGCATCACCAAGGGACTGCAGAACGTGTGATGCTACTCCCTGCATTCCAGACTTGGCGGAGCTTGGAAAAACTGCATGACAAGTCTCGGAATCTTCCAGACCTAGACACTTTTGCACTTGATACATCGCTGCCATCCGCAACGTGCGCGCCGGAGCTGGACATGGTGCAGGAGGGGCTCTTACCAAGTGCAAAAATGTCTGGGTCTGGAAGAATGCAACTTGTCATGCTAAATCTGAATCATACAAAAATCTGTGTTGCATGATAACCAATAAACCTGTTCACTTTTGAGAAGGCCGAGAGGCAGTTTCTCACGCAAAAAAGTCATGGTAAAGATCTCGCAGAATCTGTGATGCAAGGGCATGCATCACAGACCTCACACGTCATGCAAAACCTGCATGACAAGTCTGGCATTCTTCCAGACCCAGACATTTTTGCATTTGATAATTTTCTGCCGGCATGCAGTACATGTTCGACGATAGCTATCCCACGAAAAAACTGTTTCACTGTGATGATCTTGCAAGATCCGCATCACAAGTTTGTTACACATGACACAGAAGTAAATTTGCCATGCGCGGCGCTTCCAAAGCGAAAACACCGTTAAAGAGGCGAGGTCTTGCAGGTGTGGCAAGACAAATAGATCTGTGTTTCATTCTATGCATCTTCACAAGTTCACCATGAAGCAGTTTTTTTCTTGCGATAATAGCGCGGGCACCGAGGCGATGTTGGGCGCCATTAGGCAGGCGCTTTGGAAGCCCGACTATCCTTAGGAAAAACGTCCCGACCCCAGAATCAAGATGGGGATTTTGCAACACAAACCTTGAAGTTTTGGGAGCCCGGAATGAAAAATTCCAGGCTGTAGCGTGGTGCAGTTTGGCAAGGGAAGTTGCATTACAAATCCATCTGCTAATCCTGTTTACAGCATTACAAGTTCCAAAACACGATCGGAAATGCCTACGATAGGGATCATGCGCATTACAAATGCTCTTGTGCTTGCAGATCTGCATGACAATTCTGGGGTGGTGAGGTTTTTACACAGGATACCGACGGAGCCATCATCACAGCAGCTGGAGGACCGACGCAAACCGCGTTTCAGATGTGTGAGTTATCCTGTGCAGAAGTATCGTACTCGTACTTCTAATTGCATTCATGCATTACAAATCTCATTCTCAGTGTTTAAATCCGCATTACAAATTTTATTTCTCATGCGGAGGAAATTTGTCATGCGATTTATACTAGTACGATACTTTTGCAATGCATATGAGTGCGCGAACGCGGATACAGTGAGTATATACGTTTTTCATCTACTTCTTTTTCATGTTCTTCACAACAGGATCTACTTCCTAAGCCTAAGACCACAAGCCAAGGATTCATTGTGCTGTGTTGAGTACTGCCTTTTATTTTGCCATAAAACGAAAACGAAAACAAAAACAGCGAACTCAACCTTCAAGATCGGCACCACAGACAATTGGCTTGATGCGAGCGTGTGATGATGAAAAATGAAAATCCCCTGATTTGCTCCTCTGCCTTGGCTTAGGAAATTCAAATGGTTTGTTGAATGTTGCCTGATCGTATTATATACTCCGTATCGTGCACGACCGTATAGTGGATTATACGCACATCATTTGTGAAAATGAAAATAAAAGCTCTTGAACCTCTTGAAGCCACCACGACGGACGGGTATCGATCCGATCCGATAGAACATTTAACCTATCAATCCATGATATAATAGTTAGAGGCGCACGTGCAGCCAGGGGCTTTCGTTCTTTCCCCGTTCATATCAGAACTCAGACACCAAGTACGCTACAGACAACAGCATTGCGAACTACGGCGAGTTATCCAATGTAAATAAATCTGGGTCTGGAACTTCTACAGTGGAACTTGCGTTGCATGTCTACTATGTCTAGCATTCCTGAAAAACGAAAATCTGTGTTGCACATCCAGCAAATAAGGCGTTGCTTTTTTGTCATGGTGCACAGAAGACGCAGTTTGTCATGCGTGCTGGTACAACGCTTTAGATGGCGTCAAAGGTGGAACTCGTCATGCTTGGCTGCACTTGAGAGCGCCAGACTTATCCCTGCTTTAGCATCACAAGTTTCCAGACCCAGACATATTTGCACTGGATACGAGTATTGCAAGGCGTGGGAAGACCAGCGGAATGTAAACAAGGCAGACTTTATCCTGGAAAAAACACCCATCCCCATCCATTTTTTGCATGACAAACACTGCAAATTATGCATGTTTTGCATGACAAATTGGATGGGGATGGGTGTTTTTTCCTGGATAGACTTCGGCACCGGAACTGCGGGGACCAACACGCGCTGCAACGGCTACTTATGCAAGAAAAAAAAAACCGTGTATAGTGTGGGTCTGTGATGCAGATGAAAATGCAAAACAGTTTAGTTTACACTTGTCATGCCAGGCACCCAAGATGAAGTCCTCTTTTCATTTCATGTTTGTAACGAAGAACTTTCTCACAGCTTTTTGGCTCACGCTTTTACCCTAAGCTTGTCAGAGAAGCTGTTTTTCCCCTTTTTCTTTTTTGAGGCGTTAGTGCAAAGTCACTAAACTACCGCAAGTGCTGTTTTGATTCAGTAGCGCTAGAGCGTGCGCAGAAGGCAAATCCTTCACCCAGAACTCCGCCCATTGTTCCATTCCTACAAACAGACAAACTTAATAAACTTTCTCTTTCATGCGGATCAGATTTGTGATTGTTAAAAATACTTGAAGACGCCTACACCAACACAATTTTTTTTTCTTGGATACCACTACGGCTTGGACCACTGGTGTGCTGAGTCGTGGTGCTACATGAAATATGAAAGCCTCGGGTTGGAAATCCTCAAAGCGAAAATAATTTGTCATGCAAAAAAACGACTCCAGTTGGAGCTCCGTTTCTAGTCGGCGCATGACAAATTTCCCGGGCACTCAAAACGTGTCTGTCATGCTAGTGAGGCAAAGGGGTGCCGTTTGCCGTTCTCTCATCTTAATCAGCAGCCCAATTCTGAAGCCGTAGAAGCACAATGAATTTAATAGTCGGCCTCCACCATTGCGTTCTCAGCAAAAACACCGTCTGTTTGGTGTCGCATTTCATGCATCACAAATTATTTCCACGTTGCGGATTTCCATTCTGAGGGTGTCATATGAAGAAAGCCGGGGAAACCGGGGACGGCGCCGGGAATTTCCAGGGCAAGGGGGAGTATCAAATGTAAAAATGTCTGGGTCTGGAAGATTCTGAGACTTGTCATGCATATTTTCCATGACCCGTGATGTCTGTGATGCATGCCCTAGCATCACAGATTGTTTAAGGGCTTCGCGATGCCTATTTCGCATGACAAATGCCCTCTCCGCGTAGCAACAATTGCACTCCCTTTGCTGCTCATGCAATACAGATTTTTTTGGAATCCAAACTCAGCATCACAAGTTACATTCTTCCAGACCCAGACATTTTTACATTTGATAGGGAGATATGGATTGCAAATATCTTGTCTGCATCTGGGCCGCTTGGGATTTTTGTGATGCGAGGATGTTGTAAGTACCTTCACTACAAAATATAAGATTTTTCATTTGTAAGCGACGAGAACTTCTGAACCAAAGTCCCGGCTAACGCGTTGATGATGATGATGATGATGATGATGGTGATTTCATTTGTAAGCAACAAGTGCTACATCAAGAGCAGCATGATCAGCGAGGGTTTTTGTCATGCTGAAGAAGGGCAGCTTGTCATGCGATCGACGAATAGAAGTGGATGTGGATCTGCACTAAGCACCGAGAAGCCCCTTCAGCTTGTGCTTGTCAACAAACCCCCGCTGTCGTCCCACGTGCAAGCAAATCCAAATCGGACTTCTCAGCATCGCAAATCCAAATCAACTGGATGCCTCCTAGCCCAGATCGACATTTGCAATCGGCATACGATTTGAAATGTGACAACGTGCGCAATCTGTACAAAAGTGGCTACGGCATATCGTACGAAAAAGCTGTTTCCCTGTGATGCTGCTATTGCAAGTCGATCTGTATCACAAGTCTGCGACACGATACGACACAGAAAATGATATATCTAAATCTTCTGCCATGCGCGCTTCCCAAGGGAAAACACGCTGACAACAGAAAATTTGCCATGCGCCTTTCCCAACGGAAAATACGCTTAAAAGTCCAACGTTTGCAGGTGTAGCAAGACAAATAGTTCTCTGTTGCATTTTCTGCATCACAAGTTCACAGTGAAACAGTTTTTTCATACGATACGGCAACTTCGAGATTTACTACTCCTACGATTTCTGCTCGCCGTAGCCGAAATCGGTTTTGGATGCAGGAGCCTATGAACTGCAAAAGTATAATCGTGGTACTCGTTGTAGTAACTGCAGTCATGATGCATAACAAATCTTTTCCAGAAGGTAAATCCGCATTACAAAAAATTTTATTTCTCACGCGACGCTGTGGAAATTTCAATTTGTAATGCATTCATACGAGTGCGATACTTTAACTTTTGCAAGTTATACAGCCAGGTGATGTTTCGCATGCTTGTGCCTCGAAAATCAGCATCGGAAAATGAGGAGTTTGAAGACGAGACAACCACAAAGGGAAAGCAAGGAGGTTTAGAATCTGAGATATTTAATTAAAGAATGCGTTTCTGCTTCTGCTTTGACAATTTTATTTGCACTCTGTTTATTTTTATATTCAGGCAACGGTTACGGGTTTTACTTTTAAGGAGACATCATGCTAGGCTACTAGGACGAAATGAGAAAAAGGAGCGGGAGATGAATAAACGGCCGTGTCGATCATACAGAAGCATCCGTTTCGCTATTTTGTTTTGAATTTAAAAGTGTTAGAAACCTAGACGCACGATCAACAAAGTATACGAACTACGATGGGAACAAGTACTAGCAGTACTACGTGACTACGTGTCACGATGTAGTTCGACACTAATGATAGACGTACTAGTAGGGATACTAGTCGCAACCTGTCAGGGGTGATTTGGGATTACTATATTTATATATGGAAGAAAACGGCGCTAGAGAGGGTACAGAAGAGGTCTGTTAGAGGTTCGGGAGAGGTAGAATAGAGGGTCGGAGAGGTAAAATAGAGGGTCGGACAAAATGAGAGGGTCGGGGAGAGGTAAAACGAGAGGTAAGGGAGAGGGTCGGGAGAGGGTGAGCCGTATATACGCCCCTAAAGCGGGGCTATACGCGCGCAGAGGTAGGGCAGAGGTTGAGGAGAGGTCAAGTAGAGGGTAGGGGGAGAGGGTGTAGAGGGTCGGAGAGGGTGCGTAGTATAGGGCGACCCTCTACGCGACCCTCTACCGCGATCCTCTCCGGAAACCTCTACTTTACCTCTCGGCGGACCCTCTCGGGACCTCTCCGACCCTCTCCCGGATCCTCTCGGGGACCCTCTCCGAACCTCTCCCGGACCCTCTCCGAACCTCTCCGGGACCCTCTCCCGGACCCTCTCCGTGACCCTCTCCCGGACCCTCTCGCGGACCCCCTCGCGGACCACCTCCAGGAGCACAGCCTGCCCACCTGTCTGCGCGTGGCGCCTCCTCAAGAAGCTCGCTAGGGCGCAGCGACCGGCTGGCATTGCTTTTGCTTTCAGATCAGAGCGGCCGTTCAAAGTGCGTGCGCCGCTCTGCGTCCCCCAGAGGGGGCGCGGCGCCCCGCCTTAACCTGGTCGGCCACCTAGGGTGGCCGCAACTTCTTTCCCACAGCGCCCGCGCGCGCTGGCAGCAGGTGCGTCGCCCTTGTTGCGTCTCGCACGATGGCGCCCGGAAATAGTTTCCTGCACGCATTTTCCTACGGCGCGCAGGCAGCGAGCTACTAAGGCCGGGCATGCGGCAGCAGGTGGAAGTGTAGGACGCGCCCCCGCGCCGTCTATTAGTAATACAGCGCGCCGCCCAGATGAATAAACGGCCGTGTCGATCATACAGAAGCATCCGTTTCGCTATTTTGTTTTGAATTGAAAAGACAACTACAACAACTAGTAGACCAAGTCTCGAAATTGTAAGGATGATATCGAAGCTCCTGCAAGAAAAAAAACTACATTATTTGAGCTGCGCTTTTTTTTTCAAAATCGATGGCCATTTTTGGGACAGGCCGACGACCAAGTAGAGTTAGTTTAATACGTTCGTCGATATGTACCGAAGATAAAGATTGCAAAGCAACACTACTCAAAAAGTATACCCATGATGTCAGCTAAGGGCCGCCAGCGGATGATGGAAGAATACGTATGATGACGAATTATAATGTGGTAGAAAATAGCGGGTTTCTTTCTTAAATTTGATGAAAACATAGACATGAATGCACACTTGTATAAGAGGAAATGACGTGGTACAAGAACACGTAGGCTTGGATTACATCTAGTGACAAGATTAAGATTTCTGTATTGAACAAATAGCCAGTGCCAGCCACGCTAAATAATAATAACGTTCCAATCTTCAGCAATCGCTACCAGTGACTCAACGTCAGATTGACATTGAAATTGATGTGTTCCTCGTCGTTGTAAAAACTAGCTGGTGAACTATAATAAAACGCATTCTGATATCAAATGTAAAAATGTCTGGGTCTGGAAGAGTGCGCGACTTGTCATGCTGCTTTTCCATGACCCATGAGGTCTGGAATGCAGGACCTAGCATGACAGATTCTGCGAGACCTTTCTAATGCCTATCCTGCACGAGAAACTACCTCCCGACTTGGTCAAAACTGGACGACTTTTGGTAATCATGCAACACAGATTTTTGCATGCTGCAGATTTAGCATGACAAGTTGCAATCTTCCAGACCCAGACACTTTTAATTACAGTTGATATCTGATTCTGGCTCTGCAGCTCTGTAGTTTTTCGAAGCCATGTCATCTGGCAACCAAAGCGTGCGCAAGCGCAAGAGCGCTTTTCGGAGGCGATCTGGATCTTGATCTGCATACTGTATTTTGCTCAAGTTGTACAGATCTAACTTTGACAAGTAGCAGCTCGGTCCTCGCGAACTACTTTCCCAGTCGAGGATATCGGTATACTTTTGTGTTTTAAGTACTCCTTTTTTAATCTCGAGCCTCGAACAGCAAACCCATGTCGTCATCGCCGGCACTTGTGGCAGAGTTGATGTCACATTTTTTGCCACGACCACATCATTGCTTGAAGTGGCCGCGGCTGCGCTCCCTGCCCGCACATCTCATGGTCTGGACAATGGGAACGACGCTTGCGGCGTTACTCTTCGTTTGCGGGGGCGAAATAGTGCAGGAAGTGAAGGCCAACGAGAAGCATGCGCTCGCGTTCCACCAAGGTAGTACGTCGAGAGGGCATACGGTGGCAGATGAAGATCACAGCCCAGTTGTAACGGCGTTGCAACGGCCCGGAGGCGAACAGTCCTCGCAGCTGCTTTCCGACCGCGTTCCTGCGCCCTCCCGCAAAGGGAGTAGCGAGGAGCAGAACGAGGCGCGGACGCCGGAAGATGATGTCGTGGCGCCAGCATATTTCGAGCACCAAACACTGCGACCACCGCTGGTCGAGCGAGCGCAGTTTGATACAACAGCGGAAGAGTTTCTGCAGAGCAATGCAGAAGTTGTACAGTATGCGTTTGAAGGGTTGTCGGCTACGCGGGTTGGAAACGAGGAGCAACAGGAACGCCGACAGACGAGAACTCCATCTACCTCCCCCACCATCGAAAACGACATCAAGGATCTGGGCAGAGACTTTGTGGACCACAAGCAGCAGGAGTGGCTTCAGATTGGAGCATACGCCACAGAAAAAGCGAGAAGCAGGGCCGCGGATGCCACTGCCATGGGAGAGCAGAAGGAGGACCTACGACTTCCGATGGAGCAGCAAGTTTTCCAGATGCAGCAGGAGATGGCAGTGCTCCGGGCGGAGATGCAGCAGAAGATTGCAATGCTCGAGACGGAGGTGCAGCAGAAGACTTCAACGCTTGAGGCGAACGCTACTGCCTGCGCCAACAACGTGACCGACCTTGTGAGCGCGACCACAGATATTCGCGCCGCCGGGGTGGTCGTGGAGGAGGCTAGTAATCTGCTTTTGGCGCAAATGTTTGCTGTGTGGCGGATGGATTACATTCGCGCTGTGGTGTACCTCCTTTCCGGGTTCGTGGCTTCGCTCATTGTCGTCGCGCTGCCGGTTCGCTTGGTCTTTTTTCCCAGGGAATACAGCCAAGCGGAAGTAGAGTCGGAGGGCGGCGGGGATGTCACTCCGGAACCACAGCAGGGGGCAACCGCCGTGGCCGCAGGTGGTGACCAAGAAGACCTGCTTTCGGCCGACCGCCCGAATCCACCGCCGGCGAAGCCGGAAAAGTACTGGCTGCTTCCCTGGGATTTCGCCAGGAAAGGAACTTTGTCAAGTGTATGTCAGCGAGGGGACAGCACGGAGGGCAAGATTTTCACCACCGGTCTGGTGATAGCCGAAATTTGTGCACTGCTCTCGCACTACACACTGATCGTGTACGATCGCAATTGTGCGGGCTTTTTCACCATTTTGGATGAAGAACTGGACAGCATAGTCACCGAGCGATCTATCGATCTGGCACTTCGTGTGGTTTGGCTGATCGTTCCGCCTGTCCTCATGATCATCACAGCTGCGGTGCCGAGCAACAGTTTCAAGGTTCATATTCCGAACGCAGCGCCGACGGCGACGGCAGGAAATGCAGCAGGTCCGGGAACAAGTAGCGCCACCCGAAATCGTGTGACGGCGATCCACGAGGACGATACTCGGGTATGGTCGCAGGCGCTGCATCGAACTGTTTTGGCCGCAATGGGGCTGCGGTTAATTTTTGAAACGCGGCAATTGTTCCACGAGCCTTGCGACATCTCCGGCGCACTGTTTGGGGTGTCGGATCCGTTGGACGAGCAAGACCTACGTTTTTTTGTGAATTTTGCTGATCAGCGAGTCGCATCAAATGCAAAAGTGTCTGCTTCTGGAAGAATGCAAGATTTGTCATGCATATTTTTCATGACCCATGATGCCTGTAATGCTTGACCTTGCATCGCAGACCTTTAGAGGGTTTCCTGATGCAACTTCCGCATGAGAAATCGAAATGCCGTGTCCGTGTCGCAAAAGCTGTGCCCCTCTTGCAGCTGGTCATGCAATACAAAACTTTTTAGAGTCCAAAAACAGCATGACAATTCCAGACCCAGACATTTTTGCAGTTGATAAGTCGCGGCCCGATGCAAAAACGAGTATATTCGGAGTGCCTGGACGCAGGCCTATCGTGGCTATTACCTGGGCCGAGTGGCGTGGCTCTTTCTCGGGTGGGCCTTTTCACTGCTATTCCTTGCCCTAAGCCTCGCATGCGAATTGCAAGATCGACACGCCGCGGACCGTTCAGCCGAGGACCGCCGGCACGCTGCGGCCTATCTCGAAGACGTTCGCTTGGTTCCGCAATCGGCGAGCCTGATTCTTCCGCGGCTCTCGTTCGTGGCCGAAATTCTTGCCATGCTCACTGTGCAAGCGCTACCCTTCTGGCCCGTTCTTCTGAAGGTAGTGCGGCATGGGCAAGGTGCGGTTTGGAACCCGCCACTGACACCCCTCGACGTTTTGCTTAGAGTGTATGGGGCTCTCAAACGTTGCACTGTCAACTGTTACATGATTTGTCATGCAAATTGACCAGCATGAGCCGCCAGACCATCAAGCTGCTTCGCATGACTACAAATTCTCGAAGGGCTAAACAGCATTCGAATCTGTGTCGAATTCGTGATGCGAGAATTGCAAGCCTGCCCCTTTCCCTATTGCTGTTTTTGCATGACAAATCATGTAACAGTTGAGAATGTAACGTTTGAGAATCCCATAGAATGTCGCTCGACCACTGGAGAGAGGACGCATCACAATGCGGGCATTACTTTAATACGGACAAGGAGAAATATATGGAACTGTCAGGATCGAAATCGTCAAAGTTGAAAAGATTTGTCATGCATAAAATGGATGCCAGTTGTAACCCAGTTTCCAAGTGGCGCATGACAAATTTGGGTAGAGCCGAAATCCAGTTTGTCGCGCTGTTTGGGTAAGGACGACGCCGTTTGTCATGCTGCTCTAGCAGCTCTATTTCTACCCCCGACAGGCTTACAATCTGCCTTCCTTGCCCACTCTGCAAGACAGGCATTCTGTGGGTTGCAATTTATGCAGTTGGCGTAGTTGGCGAGTTGGTTTAGGGGGCGGGAGATGATGGCGATGGCATTTCGGTGTCCGCCTGACCCACCTTCCCTGCGTGACAGCCATCTGCGGCCGTTTGCACAGGGGGAGGCAAAGTGTGCCGCACTTCTGTTTAGCATGACAAATTCTTTCAACTTTGTCGATTTCAGTCCTGACACTCCCATAAAGGATTGCACAATCGTACACCCTGACAGGGAGGCTGACCACGCGTGGTTCTCACAACCTGCGGTCAATTATCCTGTGCAAAAGTATCGTACTCGTAGTAATTGCGTTTATGCATTACAAATCTATCTCTTTGTCAAGGTAAATCAGAATTACAAATTTAATTTGTAATGCTGGGCTAATTTGTAACGCAATTCATAACTAGTGCGATGCTTTTGCAATGCACATCAATTTGTAACTTCTGTGCAGGCCATATGATTATGAAATTGCAGCAAGAACAGTTGCGCAGGAGAAACTGAGGAAGCATTCGACTTATTGTAAAACTCACCTGAGATGAAGATGATCTTCATGTTATCCTCAGTAAAAACGTACCCACACCAGAGTTGTAATGCAGATTTGCAAAGACTGGAAGACTTGTAATGCGCATCCCCATGAGAGCCATTTCCAATCGTGTTTTGGAATTTGTAATGCTGTAAACAGGACGAGCAGATGGATTTCTGATGCAGCTGGCCTTGCGAACCTGCACTACGCTACGGACTGCAGCTTGTGATGCGTGACTCACAAAACTCCTAGGCTTGTGCTGCAAAATCCCCATCGTGACTCTGGTGTGGGTACGTTTTTACTCAGGATACATGTTGTAGCACTGCGCAGAGTTGTCACTTAACTTGAGGCGTGGAAAGAGGTGCGACAAAGTACACAAAGCTACCAGCTTTTGCGAGGACGCCGTATTCAACATGTGCTTTATCGTCCAAGCAGGAGAAGTACCGCGGTCCACAGTCGATCACGATCAGTGCCGCGGCCTTGCAAGAGCCAGCGAAGACGAAGACGAAGATCATTTTTGGCAAACCATTCAAATTTCCACCTCTTCGGAAAATAGGTCGCTAAAGATCGTCTTTTTATCCGCTCCTCGGAGCATAGCGTCCCTATAATCTGCACTCGACATCAAAAAAGGATCTCACTCGCCCCTCGGAGCGTACTTATCCCGCCCCTATGCTTCCTCGGAAGCTATTGGCTAGCTTTCGCACATTACATAGATGCAGAAGTCTTCGGACTCTGGAAAGTAGTGCGCCTTCAGGCATGATCAATCGGTCGGCTCTTAATACCGAGCGATGCTCTACTTTGACAAACTGTGCGACCACGACGCGACACCTACTCCTACCGCCTCCAGTTCCACTATGTTGATCCTAGTTGTAGATCTTCCACTATGATCCTCCTGTTGACCACAAGATCTTCCCCCGCAGATAAGAGCGCGATCTTACAACTTTATTTGAGGACCCTCGTCGATATAAATAATTGTAGCGGCCCTTATTTCATCCGATGAAATTCATCGCCGTGACAGATTTTTGGACGAGAAAAGACTACACTCAAAGTTTGGAATTGCACCCACACTTTTGTAAAGTTGTCCGCTTTTCATAAAGATCCAAGAACAGTTCTTGTCAATCCAAGAAGCAGTGGCCGCCCTAAAACAGTTGTACCTCAGAAGTAGTGTCACATAATTTATCTACGTACTAGTTTTAGTTTTCACTAATCAGTACTAGCGACACTTCATCATCAATCTATCATGAGCGACACTGAGGAGGCGATCACCGAGACAGTGGCCGGCGAGCAGCCGGCCACTGCGGCCAAAAAGAAGCGAAATAAGAAAAAGAAAACCGGCGCAAACGCGGGCGGGGAGGGTGCGGGAGAGGGAGCGACAGCCTCAAATGTTACTGCGACGGAAAATAATAGTACTAACGGGGCATCAACAAGTCAGCAAAACGGAGCGGGAGCATCTGCATCATCTACTGCACCAGGAGCAGCATCACAAAATACTGCAACGACAACTACATCAACTACTGCGGCAAAAAAGAAAAAGAAGAAGAAGAAAGGCCCGGTTTCGGGACTCCCAGCCCAGTATGAACTGCAACTATGTCTGGGTCCTCTGGGAGATCGCGAGATTTGTCATGCTAGTCTGGCATGACTCTAAGTCTAATCTCTGTATTGCGTGCCCGCGAAGTAGAGGTCCTATTGTCTGTCATGCAAAAACGCAGTTTCTCATGCGGAGGACGCAACAAGTCTGAACCACGGAAAAACTTGCCATGCTGGAAAGCGCATTACAGTGTGCTCAATATAATTCCATTCCTTGCATCACAAGTTTCCAGACGTCGACCTGGGCGCTTTTGCATTTGATACGCAGTCCAACGCAGCGCTGCGGTGCTTGGGTAGCTGGAAAGCGAACCCCTCTCCGGCCCAGACGTGGCCGCCGACAAAAAAAGTGCTGGAAAAGCCGGAAGGGCAACTGATGCCGTACGAGAAGCACGAGCAGGGGTACAGAACCACCAGCGCGGAAATAAAAGAAAGAGATAAACTGATGGCGGAGGATTATGACAACTTCAGGTATAGAATATAGAAGAAGGAACGTCGTGAAGTTCTTGTGGGCGATGAACTTTTAGAAACAATCTCTGGAAGATCAACCAGTACCATCTCCTTGTTCACGCAGGTTCAGTTCTTCGCAGCAAGCAAGGCTCTTTGCCATTATTTCTCCGCTTCCAGCACTGATAGATTGTTCTGCAGGTGCAAGCAAGAAAGCACGTTAAGGATTAAACATCATTCAATATCACATCAGGCGGGCCGCCGAGGTGCACCGGCAAGTGCGGCGGTACGTGCAGAGCATTGCGCGGCCGGGGATCAAAATGACGGAGTTGTGCCAGCGGTTGGAGCAGAAGTCCTTAGAATTAGTCGGCAAAGACGGCTTAAACGCGGGCTGGGGCTTCCCAACAGGCTGCTCGCTCAACCACGTGGCTGCTCATTACACACCGAACTACGGTAAGTTGAGATTTTTTGCTGGAATCCATGTTTGATAATTCATATTCCCCTTGGTGGAGGTGGAACTAGTATAGAAATTAAAGGTCGTCGTGTAGCGGGTGGAGACTCACTCCGAGTGCTTGTGATATTGATGAATGATGTTGATTGAGCTTGAGCTTCTTCTTATGACGATGGATTTCGTCAGTTCTCCGCGAATCGAATAAATAATTTGACACGATAATATGCTGACAACAGAAAAAATATCACCTCAAATTCTTCCCCCACGACAAAAAAATGCAGGCGACAAAACCGTGTTGTGCTACAACGATGTGTGCAAGCTGGATTTTGGGATCCAAGTCAACGGCCGCATCGTAGATTCCGCCTTTACGATCGCTTTCAACCCCAAGTATGACCAGGCCATCAAGTCAACGCAGGACGGGACAAACACCGGACTGAAAGAGGCCGGCATTGACGCCCGCTTCAGCGAAATTGGCGAGGCGATCGAGGAAGTCATCAGCAGTTACGAGGTATAGCTGCAGCATGGATTCATGGATGGCAAATACTATGATTTTGTTTTTGAATGTCTGGAGGGCCTGGAAGGGTGTATTAAACTTGTGATGCTCACCCTCAGTCACACACAGGACACAAATCTGTGGTCATGCATGAGCAGCAATAAAAGGAAAAGAATATAGAAATAGAAATGGAAATAACCTCCCTGCATACAAAAATTAGGTCGAGCTGGATGGTAAGAAGTTCGAGATGAAGCCAGTGCGCAACCTGAACGGGCACAGCATAGCTCCGTACCAGATCCACGGCGGCAAGTCCGTGCCGATCGTGAAGACGAACGACGATACGAAGATGGAAGAGAACGAGTTTTACGCCATCGAGACTTTTGCGTCGACGGGCAGGGGTTACGTGATCGAGGATCTGGACTGCTCGCACTACATGAAGATCTTCGACGCCCAGAAGGTCCCGCTCCGGGTCAAAACCTCCAAGACGCTGCTGCATGGTATTACTCGTATAAGTGCAAGTCTTGCACATGCATTACAAATATTTTTCTTGAGGTAAATCAGCATGACAAATTTCATTTCTCATGCTGAGAAAATTTGTAATGCAATTCATACTAGTACGCTCGCACGACCCGTACTACCTTCTCAGGTATCTTGGAGAACTTCGGCACCCTGGCGTTCTGTCGGCGGTGGTTGGACGACGTGGGCCATCCGTATCCACAGTAAATTTCCCGTACACGTACACATGCGGTCTCTGCATGACAAAGCTGCGCATCGATCCTAGATTAGCATGACAAGTGCTAGTACGCCGTAAATTGGTGAAGTTTATTGTGATGCATTTTGTACGATGTACAGCAAATTTGTATTGCATAATCCGCGCCACCTGCTGGCCCTGCGAAACCTGTGCGACAACGACCTGGTGCAACCGTACCCGCCGCTCTGCGATGTGAAGGGGTCAGTCGTCACGCAAATGGAGCATACAATTCTGCTGAAACCCAGTGGCAAGGAAATCGTCAGTCGCGGGGAGGACTACTAGAAGAGGACGGCTTGAGCAGACAACAGCATGCGAAGAGCGTTGTAGTGGTAGTGGTTCAAGAACATCTTTGCGAGATCGAGATGAACGAGAAGTATCACCTTTGACCAGATCATTCTTCACCATCAATCCAACATACGAAGAAGGAGCACCAGCGGCGTCTCATCGACCCAATGTCGCGTTGCGGCGATTCAAAATCGACCTGCGATGAACAAGCCACGACAGGATCCGATCACGACTGTAATCCGAGAAGCTATGGCGACAACAAATTTCAAATTTTGAAATTTACGAAGTAGAAATTTGAAGAATGGAACGAATCTATTTGACAAGGAGTTTCCATTCGCAGATGATGACCAAGTGTACACAGCAGCGAAATATTGCTCCTGCTCACAGATAAAGGAGAAGTATCCCGGTATGAGTGAGTGGTCCTTTTCATAGTGGCACCAGATGCCTTGGTTTTATTAGTTACAACACACATGACGATACCGATAGCGATATGGGCGATACTCAAACTATGTTGACGCGCAGGTGAAACGATCTGAGTATTTTTATTTCCGGGGCTTCTGCAACTGCAGTGGAAGATCTCAATTTTTTTTTGCGGAAAAAGTAAAAGTGTTCATGATGTTGATGATATCACGTCGGCGTGAGAAAACATCACAGCAAATAGTAGAAAGAACAGTTCAATGTTGCTGAACAAGAAGGATCAACTCGCAAGGTCGACGCGGCGGGCTTCTTGTCCAGATCGAGAAAGATGATCTCCAAAAAGTAGCAATCACGCTTGCGATCTAGTTTGCGTCTCAATTCGTTGTAGCAATGGATTCTCAGCTGAAAAAGAAGCGGAAGTAGGCAACGTCTCTCGTTCCCGTGGATCCACGTATTATATTTGAGTTTTCCTCTCTGCGGCGACGTGGTTTCACACAGAAGACTCATTCCATTATGAAACTCTGTCTGATGTTGTGCTACTGGTTCAGTATCAGTTCATCTTCGTCTTGTGGTTCGATTGGCATTCTTCTCTTTGCAAGTATACGAAGTTTGAACATCTTGCTTTAGAAAAGGATCGAGACCAAGCTCTGTGCAGCGTATGAGCTTCCTTTTTTAAAAGTTAAAGTTATTTTTCTTTGTGGTTGTACATTGGTATCGAAAAACGGTGGAAGTGGCGGAAATTCACCGGGTTATTTTTTAACGCTCTGGCGGACTCAGGAATTTTGCAACGGAAGTTGAGGTGGCCGTCGTCCAACGTGAAAAGCAAAAAGGTTTTAATGCGCGGGAATTTATTATTTTTCCGCGCCGTGGTACGACGTTATTCTCATTTACTCGCAGGAAACCCGATGCGGGTTTTGTAGACAGGAAGCAGGGCAAAGAACAGGAGGTCTAGTTGTCCCTTTAGAAGAGCAGAACAAGTAGTACTAAGAAGTAGAAGAGCATCAAGAGCATTTACTTCTTGAAACAGAGCGGCCAGAAACAACAGGTACCACGACCAGCACTACAGTTGAAGAAGTATAAAACTCTATTCAGATCATGTCTCGCTCTCGCAGCCGAAGTCCTCCGGCCGCCCGGCGCTCTCGGTCCCGGAGCGGCGGTGCGGGTGCAGCCGCACCAGCCGCACGCAGCGGTAGCGAAGAAAAAGAACCCCGCAGCCACAACAGCAAGGAGCGTTCTGAGCCCGCCCCCGCGCGCGGCCGGAGCCGTTCCGCGGCGCGCCGAAACGGACCTCCCAGTAGTTCCCCCAGAGGAGGAGCGCGTGAGGACGACGAGAAGGAACAAGCGACCAAGAAAAACATCAAATCTTCTCCGGGGAAAGTTATTTACAACAAGTCGTCGCGGTATCATGAAAGCGAGGACCGGCGGCACTTGGGCACCACCTTGTGGATCGGGAATTTACCGAACACGGTGACGGAAACGCAGGCCCGTGAGGTGCTGGAAAAGTACGGAAAATTGGTCGACGTCCGCCTGAAAAACTCTGACACCAGCAAGGGCCCGCCCTTCGGGTTCGTGGAATTCCACGAGAAGCGAGACGCCGAGGACGCGCTGGCCGCATTGGACGGGAGCACGAAGATCTGGCCCGACCACGACGAGAAGATCAGTTGTCAGGTTTCCAAGCCGAAGGGCAAGGGCAAGGGGAAGGACGACTATGACCGGTACGGAGGAAAGTCTGCCTACGACCGCGACCCCCGCGACTACTACCGTCCTCGCGACGACCACTACCGCCGGGACCGGGACGAGGGGCCTTACTCCCTATCCAGCATCAAAAAAGTTCGTGTAAGTGTAAGTCTGTGAAGATGCAGAAAATGCAAAAGTGTATAATCTTGTCATGCTGGATCTGCGTCAAATACATAGGCTACTTTCATACCTGTTTCGACGAAGTAGCTGCGCATGACAGGTTCTTTTCCCTTTTAAAAATATATGCAAAACAAATTTGTGATGCCGCTCGTCCTACAACAAAGTTACACTCACACACTTTTTTTCTTGCATACGCCCGTCGGGACGACTGCTCCCGCCGCGAGCGCGAGGACAGGTACAAGGGTGGATCTTCATACGGTAAGGACCGGTGGAGGGAGGATCGCAGCCCGTACGGGAAGGGCAAGGGTCGCCGTGACTCCCGCGACCGACGTGGTCGTCGTGACAGCTACGGTGGCGGCAAGGGCCCCAGTCGACGCGAGGCCAGCCGCGTATGCATCGCATATGTGTCTGGGTCTGGAGCAAGATTGCTACATTTGTCAACATGTCACGCATGTCCGACATCATCTGTGACTGTGACGCATGGGCACGATGAAAAGGTCTTCTCTTCTTGCCTGTCATGCGAAATACACAACACATAGGATCTCACAACTTTGCCATCCGTGGCGCCGTATTGATGCAGTGCGCCTCGGCCTCCCACTCACAACTTTTAGCATTAGAACTTTCCAGACCAAGACATGTTTGCATTTGATACCCCGGCCGCGGGTACAACTACCCCAGCAAAGGTGGCTCATACCACGACTCCTGGGACCACAAGGGCAAGCGGGGCGATTCCCGCGACCGGAAAGGTGGGTCCTCTTTCGGGAAGGACGGCCCGCCGAGCAAAAGCGGCGGGAAGGGCTTTGGTGGGTACACGGCCCCGTCTTTCTTCCGGGGCAAGGAGAATTACAAGATCTCGCTGACCAACCTTCCGCTCGACATGAGCTGGATCGAGCTGAAAACCCTCGGACAGCGGGACGGGAAGGAGCCCACGTTTGCGCGCACGTTTGTGAATCGGGACGGGATCAACTGCGGGGTGCTGGAATACTATCCAAAAAAAAAGATTGTAGGTGTAAAAACTTTTTTGAAGGACGAACAGCATTACAAATCTGTGTGGCATCTTCAGAGCAAAACCTGTCATGCGCAGATAGTACTGGAAAACGCAGGCGCGGCTGAATGAATCCTGCAACGCATCCACTCCCAGCATGACAGACGCAATCATCTATGCACGTCGCGCATCACAAACTTACACTAACAGTGTTTTTTTCTTGGATAAATACCAGAAGAAGGACGAGGCGGAGGACATTGTCAAGGAGATGGACAACCGAAAAATCATATCCTGTGCAAAATTATCGTACTCGTAGTAATTGCAGTTATGCATTACAAATCTCTTTCTGAAGGCAAATCCGCATTACAAATCTAATTTGTAATGCTGACCCAATTTGTATTGCAATTTATACTACTACGATACAACTTTTGCAATGCATGAATCAAGGGCCACGAGGGACGACTCACCTGCGAAATGGGCGACAAGTGGCGGCGTTAAGGTCTTGTTTATTACAACGATGCAATGAGCCACAGCAAGTGCAAGCGGCTGAAACAATGGACAGCACCAGCGAAAGAGGGCGGAAGTTAGAACCGCAACCTGTTCCTCGCGTGTAGTTGCGTTTCATCAAAATCTGACTTAACCATCACACCAGGACCTTACTTTCACCTACGATTGCGGAGATGAACGAAAGTTGATTTTTTGCCAAAGAACCAGCTGAAGCCGCAAAACACGACCGACGGATTTTTCAGATTCTACTACGCAGCAGTTTCTTCATCTTCGCAGGGGACCGGCAACCGGCTGGAGATGAATGGTACGTATTCACTATTACGGTTCTCGCTTTGTATCAATGACTAAGCCAATGGTAGAGCTTATTAGGTGGACCGTTCTGTCGTCGTTTTTGATTCAAAATCAAAACATAAACAAATTAAGGTGACATATTCAGCTTGAATTTCGAATCGGACCGTGGTGGTGATCAGCTGAGTCGCGGCGATTAAAAAGCTTTCCCTTTGGGACAGCTTCTTGTTTGGATCTTGAGAATACAAATCGATCGAGATGATGACAACGTTGATTTCTCCACGGATAAGAGCATTGTTTTTATTGCCGTCTTGCAATAGTGCTCCCAAGAACCGAACTGATGTGATATCCAAGATGAAGCGACACCAGCATATTTGTCACAAGAAGGCACCGCTTCAACAGCATGGAGGGAGTAATTACCCGCCTGCTCCCTCTCTCACCGATGAAAACAGATACAAAAAGAAAAATGCTGCAGAGAAGTAGCAGCTGTTACTTGATCGTGTTGCGGATCCGACGTGGTTCTACTCTCGGACCAGAAGCTGCCAAAGCCCAAGCCTTGGTTAGAAGTCGTGTGTCACGAGAGCATATTGTACTTATTTATACCACGATGAGTGACCTACAAAGAGTTCTAAGTATTTTTGTAGACGAAGACGTCAAGCGTCGATGAACAAAATGCACGAGAGGATCGCTCTTCTTGTAGTATACAAACTAAATAAGTAGCTCTGTGTTTATTGTTTCGTTTTGTCTTCCTTTCGTCTGTAGTTGTTTGGTGTCATTCCACGTGAACAGACACGTTTTCTTTTAGCACAGAGGCAGTTTCTAGGGAAAAAAAATTGAATTACTTCGCTATTTCGTTCTCGATTTTCAAGATAAAGATTGTCTACTTTTCCGTCAGCGATTTACACCTGCTATTTTCTATCTCCGAAATAATTTTTTCGAAAGCAAATCATCAATATCAATGTATAACTTACTTCCATTTCGAATGATGTCGCTCAACATCTTCGTCTCGTTCTTCCTGCGTACTATACGGTGATTTTTCTTCAAAATTCGCATTCATTTTCCATTCCGGCAAAGACCCGGACAGCGACACCGTGACACTTCCGGCAAAGCTTCGGCGTCACGATCGCTACTTAGTACGACCTGCGACAGCGAGCGGCTGTCTTCTACACGAGCAGATACGAGGAAGAGCGCTATTACGCCCTCATCTCACGACCGTGTTTTTTGAAATCGAAATTGATCGAGAGTCTTCTTGTTCGTGCTCGACATGGTGGATATAGTTCCGGCCGACAGCAACACAGCTTCGATGAAGGCACCTTCAGCTTCACCCTCTCGAAATGAAAACCCGAAACTAGAAGAAGCAAAAGAGGAACAACGAGACCCCGCAGCTACTGCCGACGAGGAGGCACGAGAAGATGTCGCAGCGTCAAAGAACAACAACTCCGAAGACAAGCCGAGTAGTACGACCACCGCTTCATCTGCCTCGATTCCTATGAAGATTGTCAACATGAAGGTTGGAAAATCCAAAGCGTCGTCCTCTTCTAGTAGTACAAGCGCCACGTCGAAGATCACTGCTATGAAACAACAAGCGATGAAAGTTACTGCCGCGTCATCAACTAGTACAAAAAGCAAAAGCGCGAAAGCGGACGCAGATCGCGAAATAAAAAACAAAGACCTATCTCCAACCGCCGAGAACGCCCGAGGTCGCCCAGTAGCCGGCGCTGCCGCCGCAGAAGCAGGTGAAGACGCGGATGTCAACGGAATAAACAAGAAGCCTCCAACATCTATCGCGTGCAAATGTGCCTAGGGGGTAGGGTAGGCCCAAATCTTTTGGGCTGATAAAAATACAGCTTTTTTCGCATTTTTTGCATATTTGGTGCAAAAAAATTGCACAGCTTTGGGCCCCTTTGCGCAGCCCGTATGCATTTATTGCGCCGCGGCTTCTGTGCCCCCTTTCTGTGCGCACGCTATCCGGTTTTTTTTTTTGTGTTGCGCGATGAAGATGCTGCGGCACAGGCCGAAATCCCAATCGCGCCTCGCATTGTGGCCTACGTGCCGGCCTGTTGCTGTTCGTGCGCAGCTTTTCTCCCAGACGAGAAGCCGGGAAAGTTGTGGCGCAGTCTGGGGCCCAAGCACCCCGCTTTGGCCACGGGCTTGGGCAAGGACATGGCCCGATAGATGGCGGCCGCCCAAGATGATTTGTATGGCTAGGTCGGTGTAACAAGAACAACTTGAGCTTGAGGCCCGAACGGGCCACAATTTTGAATCTTTGCAGCCTGCACGCAACAAACTGCTGCGTGCTGCCTGCAAAGATTCGCCACTGCAAACAAACTCGCCATTATACCATGGCCCTTTCTGAGTGCGCAGCAGCGTGCGTATTCGTCACGCCTTGCCAGCTGCTTCGCTCCTCGCCCGTTGCCTCGGGTCGTTTTCATCTCAGCGCGGCGCCAACAAGTACCTTCAACGAAAGAAGGTGTTTGGAAGTCACGAGGGAAAAACAATTTTTATCATGAAAAAACGCGACTTTGCGTGAAGGCTAGACCACAATTTGTGGTCGAGAAGCTGGTGGAGAAGCTGGTGTAGAAGCTGGTAGGGAAGCTTGTGAGAAAGCAACACGCCTACTCGCTTCTTTGCCCGCTCACTCTTCGCGTTGGCGACCGAGAAGGAAACTTGGGCGCGGATCGATCTGCCGTGGGCGAGGAAATGCGAGCCTCTGCAGCCCTCACGCAACAGCCTCCTGCGTGCTGGCTGCATATCTTCCCGCCCGTGGGTATTTGGGCTCCATTTCCCGTCTGTGGATACTTCGCCTCCTCCGGTGTGTTCTCCGCCACCTTGGCCCAACCTTTAGTCGAGCCCCCGGCAGCCCAGCCTCACTCCTTCCTGCGCTATCGCGCAGCCTCTTGCTCCTGCTCCACCTCCGGCGCCGCGCCTGGCGGAACCTCGGGCCCCGCGCCTGGCCCAGCCTCTGGCCGGCCCAGTCTATCTCTGGCCCTGCCCCGCCTGGCGTAGCCGGCTGGGCCTATCGCTATCTCTGCCCCACCCTCGGGCCCAGCCTCTGGCCCAAGAACGATCGAACCGCCGCCCCGGAGGTTCGGGCTTCTGAGCTGCAACACCTTTGGCGCCAGCTTGGGCACCAGCTTCGGCACCAGCTTCGGCACCAACTTCGGCACCAACTTCGCCACCAGCCTTAGCACAAGCTTTTTTGCAGCTTTTTGCTATTTTTCTTTGGTGCTACCCTACCCCCTAGGCACATTTGCATTTGATAACATCAAAGATGAAGCAAAACAAGAAATCTGCTGCTGCAGCGGCAGACGAGGAAGAGCAAGAGGAAAAGCAAACCGAAAATAAACCTGCGGGCGAGGGCCAATGCGACGAGGACGACGAGCTTCCGAATCGGGGGCGGGACAGGATAGAGCGCGCGGCCGCGGCGAAAAACGAGAAGCGGCGAACGCCAACAAAGGAGTGGGAAAAATGTTCGCTGCAAGAAAAGGTCAAGGACTGCCTGCGGCGGGAGAATTTCAAGGATTTGGTGGAGGTTTATCCACAGAAAAAAACCATGATCCCCATCCATTCTTTGCATAACACACACTGGATTTTATTTATGTTTCGCATGACAAATTAGATGGCGATCATGGGTCTTTTTCTTTGGATAAAGTGTTCAAAGAGTCGAATAAGAAGGACAAAGACGACAAGTATCAGGTCATCTATGAACTGCAAAAGTATCGCACTCGTAGTAATTGCATTCATGCATTACAAATCTCTTTCTTAGGGTAAATCAGCATTACAAATTCAATTCAATTTCTTTTTCTAATGCTGGGGAAATTTGTAATGCAATTTATACAGGTGCCTGCGTGTGCGTGTGCGCTACTTTTGCATTGCATATCATCGACAGTTACTTAACGGAATACAAGGATGTGTTTCCGGAAAGCGCAGCGCGAAACGCAGTGTTCAAGGACGCGGAAGGAGAAGTGGATGAGTACGCGGAAAAAAAGGCTTTGAAGCCGGGGGAAGTAGTGAAAACAGAGGGGATGAAGAAGAAAACAAGGACCTACATGAACTTGGGGGTATATGTTTATAGGCTTGTCTTGGTGTTAGTCTTAGAAGTCTGATGATGGCTTGATGGATTCGAGTGGTTTTTCGGCATAAAATTTTGTCGCGTATTTCAATTTGGATAGGAGCCTGGTGATATGCTATACCATTTTCACCATTACCTCCAGAGCTGCACCGTGCAATGGCAGCTTTCATCACAGCTACGACTTGCTTGTCTATACGTCTTTGTCATCTATCAGATCGTCTCCTGGCGGCCGTATGGCAAGCTCTCCCGACAGATGAAAACGGAGCCGGGGAAGAGCCTCGCGATGCTCTTGTGTGCGGCGCTGGAGGTCGACTGCGAGGCTCGGGATGGGAAGAAGAAAGTAGAGGACTTGTTCATTGGGAGTAGTATTACTTTGAATAAGAATGGGACAGTATCCCGTGGAAAGCCGTCCCCAACCCCAATTCCCCAGAGTTGTCATGCAGTTTGCAGCTATAGGAAAGAATGATGCGCGTCCCCATGAGACACAGACAGAGACAAAGGCGTCTCCAATCGTGAGCTTTGGCATTTGTAATGCTGTAGACAGGATGCGCAAGTGTTTTTGTGATGCAGCTGGCCTTGATAAACTGCACTGCAATACACAGAGGAACGCGTGGTCATGTGTGAGGAGTCACGCATTACCACAAGCTCCTCTCTGTATGGATTTGTGTTGCCAAGACGTCCCTATTTTGGCTCTGGCGGGTGGGCACGCTTTTCCTCAGGATACCCTTCACAAATGCATGTCGATGACGGGAATTTAGGACATTCTCGGGTGATCGGGTTTGGGCGGTACGTTGGCGGGGAAACCTGGGTCTACGACAAGAATGGGACGCAATGGCTCAACGTGAAGCCGAACACGTTAGCCGGCAAGTCGGTGGTCAGCACTATTTACAACCGCGGATGGTGGGCGGAGCGGGACAAGAAGGAGCCGCTCACCATCCGGCTGGCAGACAAGCAGACCCCGATCAAGGCCGACAGGAAATTTTTCAACAGCGACGAGGGACGGAGGCTGATGCGTAAGGACTGCAGTATCCAGTTGCCATTTAAGAGGGTGCCGGTTTATCATCAGGTCGCCGATTTTATGGGCCCGCTGCCCCATGTATGCATTGCGAACATGTCTCGGCGCGGAAACTACTTGTGACGCTGCTGAGTGGTCATGATTGAGTGCGCCTGTGCATGCAGTGACGCATGAAGAAATTTGTCAATCTCTTTTGTTGCTTTTGTTGCTTGTGCAGTACAGATTTTGCACGATTGCCAGAGACGCAACACAGGATCTTGAACCTTTCCAGACCCGGACGTATTCGCAGTGGATACCATGCGACAGCCCCCGCCTTCCCCGGATCCTTCGTGGACCCGGCGAAGCGGCCCAAGGAGCTGCAAAAAATCAACATCCTGGGCGACATGAGTCCAGAAGAGGCCGACTTCTTGCTGAAGTGGGCGGCAGACCACCAGACGGGAGAGGATGGGTTCATAAGGTAAGCACGACGTAGAGGGGATGGATTTACTTGCTGTTAGTGCTATGCTTGATCATGGGTGGCCGTGGCGTGGCCTTTTTTGCAGTCAAGTGCCTACTACATTCGCCCCACCAAGTCGCGGGTGGAAATTTGATAAAGAAGAAGATCGCCACTGCCAAGCTTCCGTGCACGGGCCAGCCCCAGCAGTGTGCCTGCTGCGCGCAGAAATTTTTGTCAAGCAATGGTCTGGTGACTGCTCTTTTCTATCGTAATGCATGGTTTCTTTTACGTAGTGTTAGTGAATCAATGCAAGAGAAGGACCACTTACTACTTCTGAAAAACCGAATTTCATCACCCAGATATGTCGCGGTCTTCTATCCGCACGCGTCCAGTGTGAGTGACCGGGTCGGCGATGTCTCCGCGGAACGCGCTGCCTCGTACGGTTTCTGCCGCGTGTTCGAGCCGAAATTTGAAAAGGCCAGGAAGCGGCTCGAGGAAGACTACAGGGCGATGATCACGCAGGACGGCTTCGGCGTCGTATCCTTTGAAGGCGCGGACGGGAAGAAAAAGCAGTTTAAGGGCGCAAAGAACAGTTTGAAGGGCGACCAGGTGGATAGATTGATTTACACAGAGATTTGGATTTTGCTTCAGTAGTTTATTTTGATGTGGGAGCAGGTGCGCGTCGCCTGATTTTCTTTCACTAGAGATCACTAGTACTACATGTCGATGTCGTGCCTGCGCCTGCCAGTCGTGCCACTTGTCGTGTATGCTGCTGTATTAAAAGCAAGAGCGTGGACATGATACAGTGTAACTCTAAACGATGTTCTTGCGACTGGCTAGTTTAGTGAAGCTTCCGAAAAAAATTTTACCCACTCTCGTCTTACTTACAACTACGCACAGGTAACCGTGCAAGAAACAGCTGTGAAGGAGCGCACGATGCAGGTGATCCGGGACAAATACAAGGAGGACGGCGAGAAGGAGATTGCCAAGATCAAATTCGCAAAAGGAAACTACAAGAAGGGGGGCTCTGCCGAGACCCGCGACTGCCCGCTCGTGATTCTCGACGACCTGTGGCGCGACTGGGGCATCCCGGAACTGGTGGAGGCGGAAAGGCAGGCGAAAATATGGATTGTAAAAGTATCGTATTCGTATAAATGCAATTGAAAAGTTGCAATGCTGATTTGCCTTAAGAAACAGATTTGTAATGCATGACTGCAATGCGAGTACGATAATTTTGCACAGGATAGAAAATTGCAAAGGGTAAAACGGTCCCGGGGAAGGAGGCCTACATGGGACAAGAGCAAAAATTGTATATATTAGAAGTGAGCCAGTAGATTTAGTAGATTATGGTCAAAATTTTTGTAGGAGGTGGAGGTCTATTTTTCTGCATGTGCTTCTTCGCGATACCGATTATATGAGTTCTCTAGAAAATTTAGATTTATTCCATTGTATCTACAAATTACATTTACACAAACACTACATCAGCTTGAGGGAGATCCTGCGAACCTACGCGGGCAGGAAGTTGCCCGACTGGGCGGGGGGAAAAGTGCCACTTCCCTACAAGGACTGGCCCCCAGACTGGTTTTTCTTGAAAGGCACGGACTTCAGCGCACTGAAGGACGCCTACTTGAAGCACTACTCCGGCGAGTGCCGCATTACCATCCAGTGGTCGGGGAAGGGCCCCACACCGTCGATCAAGGGAGTCAAGCGAACCCGGGACGCACCGAATGTCACGGACGAGTACTGGACGGGCAACCGTTTGAAAGAAGAGCGCATGATCAACGAAGACTTAACGGACCGGGAGGACAACGAGACCAAGAGGATGAATCAGCTGGCGCGCGACGAGAAGGCGAAGCGGGCCGAGTTGAAGAATAAAGCGACGGAAACGGAAGAATTAAAGGAAGGCGAAGGAAGATCTTCTGGGGTACAACAACCGGACCAAGACGATTTTGGGGACTCGAAAGACGTCGAAAATGAAACCGCAGCTGCTTCTACAGAATCACTGTCCACGAAAATGAAAAAAGCAATGAAGGCTGCTGCTGGTGGTGCTGGTGGTGCTTCTAATCCTGCCGGAGCTTCCACTGCGAGGACAGCGGCTTCGTCGAAGTCTTCAAAGATGAAAGCGGCAGGTAAAAAGAAGGAGACCGGCGCGGCCGCAGCTGCCTCAACATCGACAGCGTCTGCTGGGAACAAGGAAGATAGCAAGGACCGCAAGTCCCTCATAGAAAAGTCGTCCCCGATGAAAGAGAAAGAAGGCGGGTCGTCTCAACCCGGCGCCTCCGGGAAGAAAGATAACAAAGAAAAGGAGAAAAGAAGTCCGAATGCGAACGCGATGTCCACCTCCCCAGAAACCAAGAAACGCAAGACGGATGCGTCATAAATCGGCACTAGGGTCGTCTCCATTCTGCATCTGTTGATCCTTAATCATTAATATCGATCTTGCTTCTCGCTCCCAGTCCCACCTAGTACGACTACAACCTCAAGTAGTGTTCTTGATATAAGCATTGCGCTTATTCGCATCTACCGTAAAAACGGAGCGGAAGGAGACCCGTTGTATTCCTTTGTGGTAGACCATCTATACTTCGAATGTAGTGGATATCTAATTGATGTTGTTTGTGGTGTGTAGGTCGAGACTTTTTTTGAATACGAAACTCAAAAATTCAAACCTCCTCGCGCGAGAATCTGATATTAAAAATATACTGATAGATAGCAACATGATTTTCTGGAATGTTGACGATAGAAATGTGCCTTGTTCTGGTGCACAACCGTGCTCGTGCTTCCCTCCCGGAGAAAGAACTTGCGCTGCATATCAAGTGCAGTATTCCTCACCACCCCGTGGAGAGAGGAACCACTTGCTGGGACAAAATGCGTACTATCTGTCGTTCTAGCCCTTCGCAACGCCGACGCCGAAATGGAAATCTCGGGTGCGGCAGTTCCTGTAGCTTCTTCCAATGCAAGCGTTCTGGTGCATTAATTCGTGTGTGTAGTATCGGTTCCCGGTATGACATTCTTGATCCCATTTCTGCAGATCGAAATTGTTGGAACTTCATCGCTAAAGTAGATCAGTTCACACCTATATACTTATCCATGAATCGTGAAAGAAAAAGAATGAAATTGAATAAAACCAAAAAAAGTTCCTTCTGGACCACACGATCCGAAGGTTCACGTCTCTAGTTCATTTCGGTAAAGTCAAATGATCGGACGCTCAAGCTCCTTGTGCTTTTTCATTTTCGGAATCTAAATGCCTCGTGTTAAAGTCCAAGCCGAAAAAATCGCATTCTGGTCGTGAGTCGATAGTCCAAAGAGATATAACAACAAGATCCAGATCACAAAAATGTCGTGCGGAGTTTCATTCTCAATTGTCGTACTAGTTTTCTACGTAACTTCCATGTTCTTGTTTTCTTTCCGGTGATTCCAGTGATCTTGTACACGTGCTGCTTATTGACTCGTCTGACATTGACACGACTTCTTGAAGTTTAGTATTAGTACCAGTACCCGAATCAAAATATGAACAAATCTACATCCCCTATAGCTATAGCTTCATGATCTCGCGCTAGCCAGTGCTCTATTTCCGGCTCGTCTTCTTTTTAAGCTACAAATGCAAGAAAAATGGTCGGCAAGGTACTGCTGGAACCTGAGGACAGGCGCGAAAATGAGAATGCAATCTATGCTGGCACAAAAGCACCTCCTCCCGCACCACCAGCTTTGCGGCACGCCGAAAAGGAGCGCAAATTTTCCACCTGCAGCTTTGCCGATCGCGTCTGCAACTGTGTCTTGAGCTGCTACCGCACGCAGCGGGAAGACCAGGAGCTGTTTCCAGGCTTGTTGGCACCTGCTGCACCGTGGTCCTCGTCTTCTGAAGCTACTTCGGAGCTGCTCCTGCAATCTTCAAAAGCATTTCTGAAGCAGACCTGCATCGCCGGGTTTGTGCTCTTCGATAGCGAGGCGAATGAGATGCGATGCGTGAGCTTCGGCGTCGGCACGAAATTCAGGAAGTACGATGCTCCCAAGAACCAGTGTGTGGTTCATCTTGAGCAGCGAATGCCTGGTGGTGGTGGAGGTATCGCAGAAGGCGACGCGCAAGAAATACTTTCAAAGCAAAGTTGTAAAAAAACTGCCCTTTACGACCTCCACGCTGAGGTGCTGGCGAAGCGTGCTCTGATGCGGTGGCTAGCGCGCGCGGATGAAGAAGTGGTCAGAGAACTAGCTGGGGTGGGGCAACATCAAGAGCACCTCCAGCACGAGACCGCAGCTACTCATGCTGACCAAGATGCTGAACCAAATAAACCAGCACACGTGATACATCACGGCAAGAACGCCAGTACAGTTACGCCTGAGGGGGGACGTCGAATTCGAAACGAGGACACAACTCAGCAGGATTCCAGAGAAAATCTTCCAAATTATCGTTCGAAACCGCCAAATAAATTTAAATACTCGCTTCACATGTACGTATCTTCCGCTCCCTGCGGAAATGCTTGCATCCGCCGGTGGGGCAAGGGCGGCCTCGGGCCCTCGTTTCCGGACTTGCCGGACTCCGCCTGGCCGCGCCTGGAAGATGTTGATAAAAACGACGAGAAGGTGGACGACGAGCAGAGCAAAAGTCATGCGGCAGGTTTTAATTTTATCACTCGGCCGAAGTTTTCCTTCTTCGCCAAGAAGGAAGGACAGGGCGCCTTCTTGCAGAAAGGACCTAAGGAAATAAACTTTAACTACGGAAACAGCGATGCGAGATACCCCTCCGGGGAAACCGAAACATCAAACATGGCAAACGAAGAACCAACGCTGGACCAGGCTGTGGAGGATCATCACGCGGCAGAGGTACAAAATAAACTACGAGCCGAGCGTGAGAAGCTGTTTTCCGGGCAGCCGGTGCAGTACTGGCGGCCCTCGTGCCAAGCGACGCCCTTGAGCTGCAGCGACAAAATCCTGAAATGGCAGGTGCTGGGCTTCCAGGGCAGAGTGCTGCTGCAAAGGCTGCTGCGACATAGTTCCACCACTGCTGGTGCTGGGGGTGCAGCAGCAGCAGCTTCTTCCAGGCCTTTCTCGTCTGCTCCTGCTCCAGAGGAAGCAGAAGTTATACAGTTCAAAGATTTTTATCCGGCCGTCCGCATTGCGACGCTGGTGTGCGGGCGGAAATTTGTGGACGGGCATTTGAACAGGGCGGTTTGGGAAAGATACAATGTCAACGTTGCCGTTTCGTCACGATTTGGAGGTAGTAGTAGTAGTAGTAGTTCTGGCGAAGGCCGCTCAGTGGTTCCGCCGCTGGCTTCGCGAAAAATCGCTTGTCTGGTCACCATATCCTCTGCAAAAGTATCGTACTCGTAGTAAAAGTAATTGCTATCATGCATGGCAAATATCCCTTTTTAGGTAAATCAGCATTACAAATTTCATTTTTCTTCTTGAAAAAATTTGTGATGCAATTTATACTAGTGCGATACTTTTGCAATGCATACACTAGCGTGAAGTCGGACGAGGGAGTGTATGACTGTGCGAGCGCTGTAACAAACCAGGAGCAGAGTTGTGTAGACGCTGCAGGAGTGCCAACATCAAGTGTCAGGCCGCACATGACGCAACAAGCCGACTTTTCCGACCCGCGGTGTATGTGGTGGGCGGCTCCTGGTACTGGTGATGTGATCGGGGGCAAGGCGAAAGGCGAGGGCGAGGTTCTGGATGGGCGCACCGGCATGGTTTTTCGTGATGCCCGCCTGAACCTCCTGAAAGAGGACGAGGCAGGACGCAGGTTAAGTGCGGAGCGTAGTTGTGGACCCAGAGTAGAATCAGGACAAAAAGAACAGGAGGAAGCACCCGGGACTCCGCATCATCTAGAAAAGCCCAGCCTGCTCCTCTTCTCAAACATGGAGAGGGATAATTTCTACTTGCCCTCAAAAACTACAAACGAAACCGCATCCGCAGCTGCGGCTTTATTGGAGGTTGAAGGGAACAAAAATCTGCATCTTCAGCGACAGCAATCTCGTGCTCGTGTGGAACATGCAGAAGCCCTTTACGACGCACGAAAACGAGAACTGTATCAATTCTTTCAGCGACATACGCCTACTACAGCGTAGAAGCGACTACAGCGACTTTGAGTATGATGAAAAAAGTGCCAAGAATGATTTCTGAAACGAGGGAAATAGAGATTTGCACTACAACTTGGTATAGGGCGGCTACTCCCTCAAAGCCCACTTTTTCCACTGAATTTTTCTGATCGAGGTTCAGCGTGCGCCTGCTTTGCTCGTTTTTCACTATGCACCTACCTCAGGCCACGGCCACCATCTGTACACCTGCTACGCGTACTTCGTCGTCCAACGCTAGAAGAACCACTCCTAGTTCTAGTATGATTTTTCATCGGTAGTTTCATGCAAACGCAATCGAATCACTATCAGAGACTGCACTGCTCGGTCTTCGTCTCACGTCCATGTGCCAAGTTCTGTTTGCGTCGTGATTGTGATTTTTCGGTTTCCGTTTATTCACAGAAATTGTCGCAAGTATCGAGCTGTCGTTCCTCTGTCTCGTTTTTCGTCCACCTGGTCTCGTTCTTCGTCTTTGTCTTCGTCCATTTTTTCAAGAAAGATAAGTATACCATTCCTGGAAATGATGTAGTGAAAAGCATTCGTGCCACCGAGTACAGCAACTACTTTTTACTTGACGTTTTCGTATAGATTTTGATTTCGTGGTTTTCCTAAAACCACGACATTCTCAGGGGTTGTCTCTTCTCTAAACGAGACGATTTTTCGTCTCACTGCTTTTGGTTTTCCGGATAAGTGTAATTTTGAAACCCGTAATACCTGTATGCTGTAACGAAGTCAGCAGGACTCTCACTTGCAAATCTAAATCTACTTCTTCTACAACAATCGCAATATAAATTTCCAGTAAAAATGGGTTGTGGTTCTTCGGGATTGATGGGCGCCAGTGCGCCGTACCTGAAAAAGTATTTTGAGACGCTGGAAAAGGAGGCGGGGGAACTGGGCGCGGACCCCATGGCGCTGATGGTTGAGATGTTGGAAGACCCCGAGGCGTTTCAGGAGAAAATGCTGAAGCGGCAGGAGGAACTGAACAAAAAGTTGGAAGTTTTGATCCACCAGAGCTTCGACAACCACGACAAAGACAAGAGCGGAAAACTTTCCGCCGGCGAGTCGGCCGTGTTCTTTAGCAACTACGCCAAGTGCTTGTCGGCCTCCAACAAGGGGATGATGAATATGCTGATGAAAACCGCCATGGAGGCGATGGGCCAGGCGCTGAAGCAAGCCGGCTTGCCCTCCGAGATGCTGGCCGCCATGCGGAACGAGCAGCAGGCCGAGATGAAGCAAATGATGAAACAGATCAACGACATCATCGACGAGATGCTGAAGGGCTACCAGGAAAACAAGGCGGAAAGGGACGCGAAAGCCTTCGAACTGCTGGACACAAAGAAGGACGGGCAGCTGGTACTCTAATAACTCTATTGAGGTGTAAGTAGAAAGAAGTTCTTTCTTGAAGATCGAGTGATCATTTAGATTTTTTTTTATTGAGGATGAGGAAATGAGGGAAACAAAGAGCAAACCACAAGTATGAAGAGCACACCATTGTAAACAAGAGATGTTGATCGAAAAAGAAAAAAAGACGGTGTTGATGATGAGTGATAAAACGACGTCGAGTGATATGAAGATACTTGAAAATAACACAATGTCTACAGGAAAGAGACGAAGTGGTGGCTGCCCTGATGCCGAATACGGAACAAAACCAGGCCTTTATGTACGCGTTGGGGTTCGATCCCAGGAAAATCGAGCGCATTGCGCAGAAGGTGCAGGGAGGCAGATTTTGATGCACCCCCGCCGGGTTCCTTCGGTTGTTGATGCAGATTCGATCGTGACCCGATACTTATCATTTGATGTGAACAACAGGAATAGTTTCTGTTTGAATAACTTCAACTACATTTGGCTTTTTTGTTTTTCCCTGGCGTTGTGATAGGTCGCAACATGATATGATCACGATAAACATTAACATTGACATTCCTTCTATGCCAAAATGCAACTGCTGCTATTCTGATTGTGTGCTTACATGAACTCAAGACTTGCGGAACATGCCAGTGAAATAGAAAGCAACGCACAGACACGGCAGCATAGTTATAGCACTCGCACACAGTATAATTCCTGCTGACGTTTCGGTTTCCTATGCTGTGATTTTTACACCAGGGCGACGGCGAGCCTTTTTTTTTTGTTGAAAAGCGTTTCGCTTCTGGTTCTGCGGTAGATGTCATCTACTTAAAACCGAGGAATGTTCGACCGCACTGCCGCAAGCTGGCGAGAAGGTGCAGCTCCCAACTACATATCGATTCATCGAGGTGTTGCTGCTCGACTTCTCTGTCGGTCTCTATTTTTTGCATCAGTGAATTTTTTCTAGTACAGAAATTGCATCTCTACTTCCAGAAGTAGTGCAGCCGTCGGTAGAACGATTCGCTGAAGTGATCGGTTTGTCATAAAAGAACGAGAACCAACGTCCAAAGCTTCTACGGTAGAAGTGCAAGTGAAGTATAACTTCTAGATATGCATCGCCCCTGGAGGCAGTAATTATAGTTCGGTTTCTCGTAGTGCATAGTTGTCTGTTTATTCCAACGCTCCTTCTCCTTGATTCGCCAAGATAATCGGTTTTGATGGAGAGCGTATAGCGGTAAGTACTAGAGGTATGTACTGTTTAGTGCTCTTCGTCTTCTACTTGCAGGAGCACTGACTGGTCATACCGCCCAAGTAAGAACAGAACAGAGACCTCTTATGCGACTCGAAGGAAATAACGTCGGCCCGCAGACGCACTACCACTATTAAGACCGTACTCGCAAAGATAGGCTTTCTTTTCGTTATCAAGTAACTTCAACTTGTAAGTTGCAAACGACATCAAAACTAGTAAACCTAAACTAATTATTTTACTTTCTTGTAGTATACCTAGACCTACGCGTGTGATCGTCATCGGTACTAGTTGACGCTTTTTATTTCTCTTCGCAACACAGGCCAATTTGTCTCTCCAACAGCACAACATGTTCATCGGAGGGACGACGTATCAGCTTCCCACGCGTCCCCAGCTTGCGTTCGCGCAGGCCGTGCCCCCGGGCACGCACCGGAAAAAGCGGCAAGCCGAGCTGGCCGCAGAGCGGGAAAAAGCCGCGCTGGCGGCGCTGGCAGAGGAGCGCGAAAGGTTGGCCTTGGAAGCGATTGCATTGCTGAACGCGAAAGTTGCCGACCATGACGCGGAAAAGTTCAGCGTGAATAAACTGGAAAATGAGCTGCGACGAGCTCGTCCTGGCAGTCGTGCAGGGGCTGCTCGCCAAACATCACAACCAGCACGGGGCGGGCGGCGGAGAAGCACAACGTCCACGACACCAGCACGACCTCAACACGATCTTTCGAGGAGTGGTGGTGAAGAAGAAGATGAGTCTGCGGAATTAGAGGAGCGCAAGTTTTCAGTTCTCTACGACGATGGCGATTTTACTGATGGACCCAATAAGACACCCTCGCGAAGGCGCCGCCGCGCATCCACTGTGTCCACTGCTGCAGAAGATGAAGATCTTCCGGATAGAAATGAAGCCAGTCACCGCTCGACGGAGGATTTATTTTCCTCGGAAACAAAACACTGGCATTCCCAAGAGAACGCGTATCTCGCCGAATACCCCCGTTCCACCGGCCGTCTGACCTTCTCCACCCTGGCGGCCGCGAAGCGAAAAGCGGTGCTCGTGAAGGATTGTGGCGGAATTACACAGTGTGCGGCCGGGGGGGAAAATCAAAGTTTGTTCGAGCTTCGCGCGGGGAAGCAATTTAAGGACTCACAGCAAGGAGAGAGGAGTTGGAAGAAACCTGCTCCGACTTCCTCTCTTACTCTTGCTGCGGCAGCAGGAACTACAACTCCAGCGTCTGCGCAAGTAGAGCAGAAAAATAGTACCCCTGCGCCAGAGGATTTCGATTCGTGGATCCCCTGTCCGGGCTGCTCCCTGGCCGGCTACCCCTGCGATCTCGGGCCGAACAGCTTCGACAGCTTGGCCGCCGCCAAGAAGGCGGCGAAAAATAGCATCGACTGTGGCGGCGTCACCGAGGCGAAACCGGGGGTGTTTGAGTGCCGACAGAGCGAGGATCCGGAAATCAGTATGACCGATGAAAATTCGTGGATCGCGCCAGCACCCGGAGCAGAGTTGGATGATGAGTACTATGGAGACGACACTGCAAGCATAATCGGCAGCGAAGACGATAATTGGGACGACATTTGGTCCCTGGCCAGTGAGGACAGTGGTCTATTAAGTGGTGATGACCAAGATGAACACGACGGACTCGGTAGAGGCGAGCATGGTAGTGGCGACGCAACTGACACCACACAGAAGATAATACAGCACGAAGATCAGCAAGTAGGTCACACGGCAACGGACTCGACGACCACAGGCAAAAGCAAAAATGCCTCCGCCAGCATCCAAAAGGCGAAGAAGGAAGCAGCGGAAGCCTTGCTGAAAAAACAGGAAGCACAGAAAAAAGCGGAAGAGAAGAAGAGACAGGAGAAGGAAGAAAGGAAAAGAAACGCGCCGGAAGAGGTCTACTTGAAGATCGACTACAGCAACTTCCGTGGGTACTTCAAAAGACGGCTCGAGGACCATAATGACCGGGCAGTATACGCGAAAATAATAGACCAGGCATCTTCCGGGAGGTCTGATGAAGACCAGGAGCAGTTTATCTGGCACAATGGGCAGTACTGGGTGGTCCATTTTAATGCGCCCGAGGAGGGTATGACAGTGCACAACTCCCCCTCCCCCTGATTTGCATGGCATGAGCAGCAATACAAACACCAGCATACATGGAGCCTATGCATGAAAAATCTATGTGCCTTTTGTAGTGCTGTTTAGGCTACTTCCGGAATTTGTCATGCAAACAGTGCCACAAGGCAGCGACTGGATTTGGGATTTTGCATCACAAATGAGGGGGACGCGGGGGAGTTGTGCACCCTCATAGAGGCGCTGGCGGCGAACCAGGTGGCCCGGACGAAGGACTGCGCGGATAGCCTCACGCCGCTCGATATCCTGAGTAAATAAAACGTCCCCACACCAGGGTCAAGATGGGAAATCTGCTAGACAAATTAGGCAGCTTTGGTTGTTTCGCATGACAAGTCTGTCCTCGTAGTGTGATGCTGTTTAGGTACTCTAGAAGCAACACAGATCTAGCGCATCATGCTGATTATAGCATCACAAATTCCAAAACACGGCTATAAAATCAAAATGCTTCCAATGGGGCTTCGCATGAGAAACTTTTTTGGCATAGAGATTTGCATGACAAATCTGGGGTGGGGACGTTTTTACACAGGATACTCGAATTTGACGCGGCGGACTGGTTGGACGACCTGCACATAAAGATCTACGACAGGGAAAAGTACGACAGCCCAAACGAGCCAGAGGAAGGGAAGTGGACCGACCCAGACTTCGGACCGAATGGGCAGACGATTGGAACTTTATGCGTTGCAAATAGGAACATGTCGGGGTCGAGAAGGTTGTGATGTTAATTTGCAGATGGTGAGCACCGCAGCCTCCTCTTCGGACTCACGCATGACAAATTTTATATATTGATATTCTATATGATGGTCTGCTACGTCTTGGGTCACTGTCACTGAGCATGAGCTGCATGACAAAACACGTTTTCCCGCATGACTGATGTTTTTCTCTCTTGTCATCCAAGCATGACAAGCCTTGCACTCTACCCGATGATCCAGACACGTTATAATTTGCAATGCATACACAAACAGGTTCGACAACGTGGTTGGGTGGTGCCGCGCCTGCAACCTGTTTCGGGGGGAGCAGATGGAACTCTTTTCCACCATTGAGCCCAACGACATCTCGCAGGGGCGGTTGGGCGACTGCTGGTTGCTCGCCGCCTTTTCCGCGGTGGCGGAATTTCCCGGGTTTTTGTCGGACCAGGTTTTCCGGCAACGAGAACTGCCCCCGATATCAATCGCAAAAGTACAACCGTATCAGCAGTCAATTATTTTGCATGGGTGCATAGCATCACTTAGTTGCTGCACAGCATGTTGCCAGCAGATAGGATGTGCTTTCTATAGAAACTCTTTGTCATTCAAGATAAAGATTGCAATTGGAATTGCCTTTGGTATGCTAGTACGGACTATGTAATTTTTGCAATTTGCATACGCAAACTCCAAGTACGAATTTAATTTCTACGACCCGCTCGAGGAGAAGTTTTCCGTGGTCACGATTGACGACTGGCTGCCGATATGTATTGCAAAAGTGTCTGGGTCTGGAAGAATGCAACTTGTGATGCTGTATTTGGATTCCCAAAAAATCTGTATTGCATGAGTAGCAAACAGAATGCAATTTTTGCTACGCGGCTGAGAAGGTATTTGTCATGCGGAATAGGCATCAAGAAGCCCTCAAAAAATCTGCATTGCTAGGGTGTGCATCACAGACATTATGGCTCATGCAAAACGTGCATGACAAGTGTCAGAATCTTCCAGACCCAGACATTTTTACAGTTGATAGCCGATCAATAAGGACACTAAGAAGCCGCTTTTCGCCAAGCCCGTGGGCAACGAGGTCTGGGTGTGCCTGCTCGAGAAGGCCATGGCCAAGGTCTATGGCAGTTACCATGCGCTGCAGGGCGGGTCGGCCGAGTACGCCTGGGCGCGGCTGACGGGGCAGGTCCGGTGCGAAAATTTCAAGTTGAAGGACAAAGCGGACTGCACGAAGGGCTACCGGGGCGTCTACCTGGCTTTCAAGGATAAGGCAAACAAAAGGGGATCCTTCTGGCAAATGGGCGACAACCACGACAAAACGGCGGACCAACTGTTCAAGATGCTGAAAAAGTGCGACCGGGAGAACTTTGTGATGAGCGCGAGCATCTACGCCCGGGCGCAGGTATGAACTGCAAAAGTATCGTACTAGTAGTAACTGCAATACAAATTAGCTCAGCATGACAAATGGAATTTGTCATGCTGTTTTGCCTTGGGATGGAGATTTGTAATGCAAGACTTGCATGTATACGAGTGCGATACTTTTGCACAGGATAGCAGGAGCACCAGCGCGAGGACGGTTTGGTCGAGGGGCACGAGTTATCAAATGCAAATATGTCTGCGGCTGGCAACTTGTGATGCAATAAAGGGAAGAGTGAGCGCGTTGTAATGCGCTTCCCAGCATGACAAGTTTTTCCGCGGTTCAGAGTTGCGTACTCCGCATCGTAAACTGCATTTTTATTTCATGACAGACAGGAATAGCTCTTCGCAGGCACGCAATACAGAGTTCAGAGTCATTCCAGACTAGCATGACAAATCCCGAAATCTCCCAGACCCAGACATTATATTTGCAGTTCATACGAGTACACGGTGATATCGGTGCACGAATTAAAGGATGCGGCAAAGACCAAGCTTGTCAAGCTTCGCAATCCATGGGGCCGGTTCGAGTGGAACGGGCGGTGGAGCGATGGTGATACGGAAACGTGGGAAAATATGGCGTTCTCAAAATGTACATTCTCAACTGTTACATGAAGTTATGAAATGATGCAAATAAAGCGCCAAAAGCCACCACACGATCAAGGTGTTTCGCATGACAATGCTTCGAAGGGCTAAACAGCACCTAAATCTTGTGTTCCAAGTTTGGAATGCAAAGCGCGCAATTGTCTTCCCGCGTTCACATTTGCTGTTCTTGCTCACAAATTCATGTAAACAGTTGAGAGTGTGACACTTGAGAGCGCCATAGAAAAACAGGACGCGGCGGCGCTCGAGGCCGCGGGGGTGGTCAGGGTTGAGAAGGAAGACGGCATATGCAAAGAAGAAAAAAGGGCTACAGTTTTACACGTTTTATTGTTCGGAGAGGACCAAGCAAGGAAAACAAGTTCTGTCATTTCGGATATCATGCTCGGGAGCCTGTGCCTGGCAGTTTGCGTTTCACCCGTTTTTTCCCTTATGCATGTTGATCTGCGCATTCTAAGTTTGCGTCGCTATGATGCAGAGCAAATTTGTGTTGCTGGTAATTGCTCAACGAGATAATATCATGTGTAACTGTACGCACTTTTCATTTCCTTGGATACGGCACCTTCTTTCAACAGTGGGAGGATTTCGTCCGGATTTGGGGCAGTGTGGGGATCTGTCCGAAGAACTTGGGGGTGAAGACTCGGTACTAGGGAAATTAAGTACTATCGAAATGTGTCGTGATCAACTTCTGTCATGCAGGTAGTTTTGAGAATCCGTTTCAGTACAAACCATCGCTCTGTCAAGCAATGATCTAGACCAACCTAGAGATGTTGTTTGCAGCGGATACTGTAGCACTTGGGCGTAGAGGGGGTGTAATTTTTATCAAATATGAAATTTAACATAATTGTGTAGAAATTCAGATATAGTTTTTTAATTACAACTTAATTATAAGCGCTGGGTGGCGCTTTCGCTTAAGTCCGGTGCCCCAAAACTCGGACTCACGGACTAAAAGCTACGCAATACCACGCACGGACTTAAGGACTTAAGTCCGGGTCTTGGGGCACCGGTTTAGGTTTCTTGTGGTCCCACGCTAAAACGCTGAGACAGAATATGAGCTCTTTACTTGTGGCGGAGAACAATCCTCGTTCTTGAGATGGTTTCCACGAACACCGTAGTTTTGATGTGGCTTTGTTCCTGAAGGGATTGTTCTAAAAACGATGCATACCACAGACTAAAATTTAAATTGTACTTTCGGTCCTGATTGATGAAAGTCATCTAGTTTGCCTTTTCCCATTGAAGAAGTGCTAGCTTTGCTCTAAGCTGTACAAACCAAAAAAGGAATCGGTAAAAAAATTCTTCGTGCGACGATCTCATCCTCATGCAAGGATCCTTCGAAGAAATGAATTCGATCTTTTATACCGACAGATCCGTGCGATGCTCAAATTCAAAGGTTCTTTTATCCTCTGAGTCGGTCAAGCAAGTCGGTATAGAAAGAACAAGCAGAATTCGTCTCCAGACATGAGTGCCATTTAGAAACAATGAAATGATTGAGAAATCTCAGTAGTCCTGATAGAGTTAAAAATCGAAATCCCATCGCTGCTGCAGTGCTTTGCTCAAACTTCGTCCCTCTGGGATTATTTTTTCTTTGCAATTATATACAGGGTTTTAGAAGCAAGGAGCCTTCCTACTAGCCTCACACTTGTTTGTCTTTGTAGGTCTCGTGCTTATAATTCGGTGCATTAGAAGCGATTCTGGATCTTATCTAACGCAATTTCATTTATTCTTGCAAATTTTCTCTTTCTGGCCTCGTGCGTTTGAATCGTCAAAAAAACCAAGATTTTGCCCCCTCCAACGGAAATAAAACCTGTTTCGAAGTCAGTGGCAATTTTGATATCTGCGCCTGCAGTGGAAACGCAGTCGAAATGTTGCCGGGCACCACGAAGACTGAGCTGCCACGCGGGGTCATGCTGACAGCCCTGGCCGTCGTGGGGGCCGCGTACTTTACACCCGGCATTTTTGTGGACGGCGTTAGCTTGCGTCCGGCATTTCGGGCGTTTGGTTCTCCAGAAATTCCGCAGGAGCAGATGATCCGCGTACGAGTTGGACTTTCCGGGGACAAGACAGAGACGTTGCCCGGGAACATCAGCGCTGCCGAGGCGACACAAAAGCTGCATGCCATGGCTGCGGGGCTAGTACCAGGACACGACGCAATTGTGTACGGCTCTAGCTCTACACCTACAACGGCGACGGTTGATAGTTTATTGCAGGTTGGTACAACGTTGGGCAGTATCCTCCCACCCGGTACTGAGGAAATTCAATTGGTCGCTGGGAGCCCGCGCTTGTTCGAGGAGATGCCTGCCGATGGTCGCTGGAACCCCGCTGAAGTACAGCTCCTTCAGCAAGAAGACATTAGGGAGGTACGTTTCGAAATCAGGCACCCAGCCCTTGCATTAAAAAACGATATCCGCGAGGTCTTGAGAATCAGCACAGACGACTTGATTGAGGACCGGTACGCCACCGCAGCTAAAAAGAAATACAACTATGCATCGCAAATATGTCTGGGTCTGGGCGATAGATGCGAACTTGTGATGCGCATTTAACGACACACACGACCACACAAATCTCTCATGCATAGCCAGCAAAATGGTACATTTTTCCACTTCCTGTCATCGAAGTGGGGGATTTCTTGTCATGCGGATTGGGCATTGCGGAACCTTCCATAAAAAACCTGTGATGCTAGGGCTTCCATGCCACCAGACTTTCCGTGTCATGCTCAATCTCAACATGCAAACACAGCATGACAAAGATTTGCAATCATCTTCCAGACCCAGACATGTTAGCAATGCATAAGAACCTGTCGAGAACTAAGCTCGAGGAGTATCTGACGCACCTGCGCACACCCCCCCTCCCTCTCATTTGTATAGCAAGAACAGCAATACGAACACCAGCGCACGTGGAGCCACTGCATGACAAATTTTTTGTGTGCCTAGTGTAGTACTGTTTGGGGTTCATCCGGAATTTGTCATGCAAACAGTGCCACAAGGCAGCGACTGGATTTGGGGTTTTGCATGACAAATGAGGGGGCGAAGGGGAGTTGTGCACTGTCATACGGGCGGACCTACAGGTAATCAACGACAAGGAGGTGAAGAAGGCCCGCGAGGCGGAGGACCGCGCGGTATGCATTGCAAAAATGTCTGGGTCTGGAAGGATGCGAACTTGTGATGCTGCATCTGGATTCTACGAAAATCTGTATTGCATGAACAGCAAAAGAGGTCCAGTTTTTGCCATTGCGAGAGGGCATCTCTCATGCGGTATAAGCATCAGAAAGCCCTCATAAAATCTGTGATGCAAGGGCATGCATCACAGGCATGAGGACTCATGCAAAATGTGCCTGACAGACCCTACATCCTTCCAGACCCAGACATATTTGCATTTGATACGCGGAGCGCATGGGCAAGACGGTGGAGCGCATGGAGACGCCGCGCACGCCCGAACCCGTGGAGATCGACGTGCTGAACTTTGATCTGGAGTTCGGCACCGCCAAGCCCGGCACCGAGTTGCGGTTGAAAGTCGCGGAGCGGAAACAGGACCGCCTGGAGCGGAAGACCACGGCAAACATCCGCAAGTCGGTCAGTATGAAGTACGAGAAGGACCGCTACGAGGAGTACAAGCCGGAAGACCCGAGCACGAAAAAATCCGACATGTTTGGCTCCCCCACGGCGGAAATCAAGGGCTGGCTGAAAGTGCAGAAGATGTTCAAGTTCATGTTCAAGTTCACGATTGTTAGCAATGCATAAGAACCTGTCGAGAACTAAGCTCGAGGAGTATCTGACGCACCTGCGCACACAAGCGGAAACCGAGCTTCAAGAAGCTCTGACTGCCGCCAAGACCAAGACGGAGATAGACCGAGAGCGCTTCTTGGACGCCCAACGCAACTTGGTCGAGATGATCTTTGCATGGCGGAATTTGAACGGGTCATCCTGGGAGGCGGGGGCTACTTTAAAGTTCGACAAAAGCACAAATCGACACGATATCCGCGAGGTCTTGAGAATCAGCACAGACGACTTGATTGAGGATCGGTACGCCACCGCAGCTAAAAAGAAATACAACTATGCATCGCAAATATGTCTGGGTCTGGGCGATAGATGCGAACTTGTGATGCGCATTTAACGACACACACGACCACACAAATCTCTCATGCATAGCCAGCAAAATGGTACATTTTTCCACTTCCTGTCATCGAAGTGGGGGATTTCTTGTCATGCGGATTGGGCATTGCGGAACCTTCCATAAAAAACCTGTGATGCTAGGGCTTCCATGCCACCAGACTTTCCGTGTCATGCTCAATCTCAACATGCAAACACAGCATGACAAAGATTTGCAATCATCTTCCAGACCCAGACATGTTAGCAATGCATAAGAACCTGTCGAGAACTAAGCTCGAGGAGTATCTGACGCACCTGCGCACACAAGCGGAAGACCAGCTTGAAGAAGTTGTGACTGCCATCGAGGAGGAGAATGACCCAGAGCGCAATTTGAACCGCCAACGCAAGTTGGTCGAGATGATCTTTTATGGATTGCAAAATGTCTGGGTCTGGAAAGTTGGAACTTGTGATGCTGGTGTTGCATTCCTGTGCAATCTGTATTCCATGACCAAGAACAGTGGTAGCCTGTCTCATGTCATACAAGAACGCAGTTTCTCATGCGGAGTTCGTATGAGAAAGCGTGCTGCAGCCTTGTCATGCTTTCCTGCATAAGGAAGTGACTTCCTCTTGCACATTTTAGCATCACAAATTTCCAGATGACCCAGACATATTTGCATTTGATATCTTTGCATGGCGGAATTTAGACGGGTCATCCTGGGAGGGAGCTACTTTACAGTTCGACAAGAGCACGCTGATTAACATCACCGTTGATGCGATAATGCTGCTCTTCAAAAACGCGCCGCCCTCTGTATATCCATATGAGAAGGTCCGCGCGTTCTGGAGTTTGTGTAGCCACTATGACGGCTTGGTGAGTGGGGAGTTTCGACGCGCACTGATGCGGGCCTGGGGCGGCCTGCAGATTTTTGAGACCAGGCTGACATCCATGCAGATTTTTGAGCGCTTAACGGGTGAGGTGAGCAATTCTCTGGATGCGCTCAGTCAACTCGAGGATCTCAGTCGACATCCTTTGGACTTGGACGACGTGGAGAACATGGGCGATGACCATCTAGAAAAATTGGCGTCGGCAAGCCAGCGATTGAGAACCCTTGCCAAATCCCACCACGCGGCGGCAGCAAGCAAGCTAGAGGATATAAAAGCTTTGGCGTCGGGCCTCGATGTTGCCGGGGGCGGCCCGCCGGTCCGCTTTTTTGAATACGATGTGCTTTCGACGGCTTCCCGCGCAGGTTGGGCGCCAAACGATGTCGACGAGTTCGCGGACCAGTACAAGAACAACCGCAGTGTCCAAAGTAGTACAGGTGTAGTACGCATAAGGGTCGTGCCCCAGCAGCAGAGTCCTGTGGAAGCAGGGAAGTCTAAGCTCGAGCATTTTGTGCTCGAGCCGCTGAGGAGCGATCTGGCTGAGAAGATGGAGAGAATCAACGAGAATGCGCGCCGCGCGATAAGGAGAATCAACATGGCTAAGGCCGCGGGGCAGATGCGGCTGACGCGCCCCGCGGCCACTTCGAGGCGTAAGCCTTGTAAGTTGACATGCGCATGTAGAGTTCTACTCTACTGCGATCGTCTTTCGAAGATTTTATGTAAGACCAGACGAGCAATGCCTGCCCCGAAGCAGAGCTGATGTCTGTCTTATGGTAGCACAACGGATTTTTACACAGTACAACAAGTCGTCGAACGTGATGTATGTTTGCGGCAACAGATGACACCCGAGCACTCTACTGATAAAGTAAGTATAAGCAGTAGTCGAGCTGCACCATGATCATGATGTTTATCAAAATGCGGCAACTACAGAAATCCGAACGCCTTTATACTTTTTCGGAATATGATTCGATAAATTAACAGATATACATGTGTTCTATTCCTCTTCGCCAGCATTTTCAATCGGTGTTAGTATCGTTTTCTTCAGCTAAAGCTAGTCTTACCGTCTTCTGTCTGAGAGAACATATATTTTTATTTTTGCATAAAAAATTCGTCTTCTTCTGTCTTCTGAGAGTCCAGAAACCTTTATTTTTGCATGACAGAATGTTGAGCGATACTTTAATTCTCGAGAGGGTTTCATTCTTTCCTGCCGTTGAACATCTCTCTCTGCTGCTTCATGAAAGATTTTACATTTCTACTTCTATTTCTAATGACAAATTTTGCATGACAAACTCAAAAGCACGGCACTCTCCTGGGGAACAACTTTTAGAAAGCTAAACTTTTTTGAAAAATGCATCTATTCCTCCATCTCATAAATCCACGAATACGTAAATTGTTAGAACAGGCGCCAACTATGCATTATCTGTTCATACCAAGATCTACATGAGAGAAAAAAGTAAGTGAGAGTTGAGAGCAGCGCTGCGCCGTCACTTCGCACTCACCGGCTTCCATCTTGCGGAGTTACAAATGGCTGGAGCCGCGGATCATGATCGGTCTGCTCCCCGTAGGCAAACGGGGGGTAGGTTTAGGCCGGCGCTTAATGCATTGGTGAAGACGTTCATCACCAGCAGACCACCAGAACGCAAAAAATGAAACGCTCTGCTCATCCCTTTCCTCCTCTTCCTTCATTTCTGTCATGCTTATTTTCCTTTCTGCACACAGATGCCCTCTATTGCTTTCGCCCTTGAACAATGTTTCCATTTCCAGATTTGAACCCATGAGTGCAAGTTCCACACTATAATATCTATTTTTCAAAACAGGACAAAGCTTTCTTAGCGTAGTGCTTTTTATTTTTTAGTTTTATGTTGTTTACTTCAAATGCTATTATTGTTGTAACTCTATATTTATACTTTTTCGGAAGTATAACTAGTTTGCGAGCATGATGCTGAAGTAGAACTAAATCAGTTGTTTTTTGAGGGATCTATTACATCACTTTTTTACACTGTTAGTGTTATGGGTTGGCTTTTGAACCAACGATAGCGCGCTGCATTTTTCATTTTCTGGATTCCCTGCGGGCCATCGTCTTCGCCTTTCGTCAATGTTGACTCTGAAGATGCCGCCCTTCATCGCAAAAGAAGTACGCCGAAGAAGGTCTTCTTTGTAAGCTCGGCCACCCGGGGCCGGCGCCCGTCGCAGGATTATAAATTTAGAGCGTAAGTGCGCAGTTGCATCATAATCGTTCTGAAGCAAAAACTACTACAACTAGTCCGAACAGAGCCAGTAAGCTGAGGGTTTTAGCAACAGGCCGAATTATGTAAGCCCTCGTTTTTGTAGTTGGTGTTAGAGAATTATGACTATGTTCCTCATAACTCTTTCCACACTAGCTTTTTTGAAAGAGCTCTCTCTCACACTGAAAGGATTTTGAGAAGTCCCTTGGACTCCAAGAAACATCGGAAATCGGTGCTCGAGCTAGCTCACCAATTTACTGACTAGTACCCATGATGTGCTAGTTCATCAGACAGAAGTAACTTGCTTGGATGGTCAATGTTGACCACAAAAAGATATCACAAGCTGGAACGCGAGCAGGAGGAGCTCGACGCTGTGGAGATATTTTAGAAAGTGTAGGTGAGACCAGAATGTAAGTCTGACCCGTATCGATCCGCAACATGTGTCCAAAGCGATTTGCTCGAGCAAGAGGAGCACGAGGCTGTCTTGCTAGGAAGAACCACGTTAGGGAGGGTTGTGAGGGATCAAAGATTCGTGCGGACATGTTTGCTTCGGAGATGAGATCATGAGGTAACACTGAGAGAGGAAAGAATTGAGCCCAAACGACCCCTACTATAACAAGAAGATATGAAGCGGCAAAGGAAGGCGTCCCTTTGGATTCTGACGATCGACACGGCCCGGCAAAGCGCGCGGCATATCTCCCTGAATATTCGGCGTCTCCCCCTGGATATTCGAGAATATTCTCCCTGAATATTCGAGAATATTCGCCCTGAATATTCGGCATTTCCCCTTGAATATTCGAGAGCATTCTCCCTGAATATTCGAGAACATTCGCCCTGAATATTCGGCATTCCCCCTTGAATACTCGAGAATATTCTCCCTGAATATTCGGCGCCTCCCCTTGAATATTCGCGAATATGCTCCCCGAATATTCGGGAATATTCCCCCTGAATATTCGGCATTTCCCCTTGAATATTCGAGAATATTCTCCCTGAATATTCGAGAATATTCTCCCTGAATATTCGGCCTTTCCCCTTGAATATTCGAGAGCATTCTCCCTGAATGTTCGGCGTTTCCCCTTGAATATTCGAGAATATTCCCCCTGAATATTCGGGAATCTTCTCCCTGAATATTCGGCATTTCCCCTGGAATATTCGCGAATATTCTCCCTGAATATTCGAGAATATTCTCCCTGAATATTCGGCGCTTCCCCTTGAATATTCGAGAATATTCTCCCTGAATATTCGGCGTCTCCCCTTGAATATTCGAGAATATTCCCCCTGAATGTTCGAGAATATTCTCCCTGAATATTCGGCATTTCCCCTTGAATATTCGGCGTTTCAGCCGGCCAGGCGCTGGCAAAATTTTCCCGGGAATCCCCCGGGTTTTTTCCGTAAATTTTTTTTTTGGCCTCTGCATCTCTGCCGCGCTTTTCGGCGCCGCCGGCGGTCTCCTAGCGACCGCGGGGTCCTGCTATTCCGAGAGGGCCAGGCAATGAATCGGTTTGGCGGCCCGCGGTTGTGTTTTGCAGAGTTCTGCGCGCCCGTCAGTCGCGAGGACCTCTGCTCCGGCCGCCAGGTTGGCGCCCGTATTCCCATTCCGTCCATTCCCCGGAAATTCCCCGTATTTGGCCCCGGGAACACCCATTTTGGGACCCCGTAAATCAGCCCGTAAACTCCACGTAAATTCCCCGTAAATTCCACGTAAATCTCTGTCAAATGATTTCAAAGGGAAATCACTGTACAGAAATTTACAGGGAATTTACGGGGTCGATTTACAGGGAATTTACGGAGGGCGATTTGTTGTTTTCGTCGGTGAAAGCCGAGGTTGGTTTGGGGGTTTACGGGGAATTTACGGGGGGGCTTTACGGGGAATTTACATGGAATTTACAGGGAATTTACGGGGAATCCGGGTGGGAAAGCGCGGCGTCTCCGTGGCTCGTTTTCGGGGGAGCCGCGACCGGGCGTTCTGGCCGCGGGGGCAGAGGCGTCGTGGCGCCATTCCTTTGTCGGACTCCGGCCGCCTCTTCCGGCGCCGCAGACCGGCCAATCCAAAAAAAAAATTACGGAAAAAACCCGGCGGGTATACGGAAAAAGTTTGCCAGGCCCCGGCCGGCTGAGGCGTTTCCCGTTGAATGTTCGAGAATATTCTCCCTGAATATTCGAGAACATTCTCCCCGAATGTTCGGCGTTTCCCCTTGAATATTCGAGAATATTCTCCCTGAATATTCGATCGAGAATACTCTCCCTGAATATTCGGCATTTCCCCTTGAATATTCGAGAATGCCCCCCCTGAATATTCGGCGCTCCCCCTTGAATATTCGAGAATATTCTCCCTGAATATTCGAGAATATTCTCCCTGAATATTCGGCGCCTCCCCTTGAATATTCGAGAATATTCTCCCTGAATATTCGGCGCTCCCCCTCCGATGTTCGAGAATGTTCCCCCTAAATATTCGCGAACGTTCTCGATTGTTCGCCTTCCTTTTGCTCTTCGTTTCGCGAATATATAGTAGGGGTCGTTTGGGTTCAAAAAGAAGAAGAACTCTCTCAATATCGCGTCTATGTCTCCAATCTCTGTTACTTCGGTGTGGTCGTCTCGTCGTGAGAAAAACTATAATTTTTCCTTAAACACCGAACACGTTTGATCAATTCGCTCTTGATGTGGTCCCTTAAGATCCACATATTAGGATGTACGCGTATATAACACACCGACAACCAAGAAGAAAGTCAAAAGATAAGATAAGAATACTTACTTTGATAAAGTAGCTGCGCAGATTTCGATTGGTTGAGTTATCCGCACAACCACGAAGCACCGTGCAGAGTGAGTAGTTCTCTTGTGACGTAAAAAAAAGAAAAATATATATACGAGTATGCCACTGCATCTGTGTGGTTCCGGTTATGAGTGCGTTTCGCACGTGAAGGCGTTCGGCCTGGGCCATTCGGCCGACGTGGCTGCGAGCCGCGTCAAGTTCTGGCAGGAGAAGATGGGCTCCTCTATGACCGGAGCCAAGGTCGTCGCGGGTGGATCATCTTCCGGAACGGGGGCAGCTACTAATGGAGCACTGTCAACATCTACATCATCCAGTCCACCATCCATTGCAACAGCGCAGGAATCCGAGTTTCACAGCTACACGAAGCTTGCGAAAGCGCTGCAGAAGCCGGAGTCCGACCTGATTCCGCGCGTGGACGTAAATTCCGCGATATCAACTGTAAAAATGTCTGGGTCTGGAAGGTTTCAACTTGTGATGCTATCTTCGGATCCTGAAAATATTTGTATTGCATGACCAGGAAGAGGAGCTCATTTTGTGCTACGCGGGAAGGGCATTTGTCATGCGGGATAGGCATCAGGATGCCCTCCAAAAGTCTGTGATGCTAGGCAATGCTTTACAAGCATCATGGGTCATCCAAAATATGCATGACAAACCTGGCAACCCCCGGGGGAGAAGCCGGGTAACCAAGGTCCTGATCTCTCTCCCCTTATCGTCGGGGGCTTGCCCGAGAGATTGAAAGAGTGTGCACTATGGTTGGCATCGTGCGTGGTTTGTGCCTCTCTGGAATCTTACCGCCCTAGAGGTTTGGTTCCGACCCTCTCCAAAGGGTCTTTTTGTATAGTTTGCATTGGAAAAAGAATTTTGGGAATTTTGCCATGAAAGGCACTTATAGTGCCCTCCCAATTTTCTCTTTCAAAGACGACTGCATCCGTATCCCGCCCACCCTTGTGTCCCCTCCCCCATGGGGTTGGTTCGTCGTCTTTGTTGTTGCACCCTGCGTGGTCTCTTTGTCGTCGCGTCTTGGTTGGCTGTCTGTGTGCCATGGCGTCCTCCACACCACTATTGGTGTTTTTAGGCCTATGCCTTCTTTGCCCATCGCGGATTGTTTAACCTCTTCCCGACTTCAATGCATTGCCTCCGGCCTATTGCCTCCGGCCTATTGCCTCCGGCCTATTGCCTCCGGCCTATTGCCTCCGGCCTATTGCCTCCGGCCTATTGCCTCCGGCCTATTGCCTCCGGCCTATTGCCTCCGGCCTATTGCCTCCGGCTCTACCCTTCCCCTCTTCCAGAGTTGTGGAAACCCCGGGAGTGTTTTGCCGGTTCCTGTTGGTGTGGTGTGCTTTCTGTTGTTGGCCCAGCGTAGGGGTGGCGCTATCGCTATATCCCCGCCGACGTCTTCTGTATCAGTTGGTGTCAAGTTGTTCGGCGGTGTCGGTCTCGTAAACTTCGAGCAACCCACGGGCGGTTCTTTCGGATCAAGATCAAAACTCGGTTGGTTTCGATCAAAATGCGCTGCCTCGGTCATGGTCAAATCTCAGATCATTGCACGGCGCTCGGGTCAATATTCGGTTGGTATCGGTGGGTTTCGTTTTTTCTTCCAGTTGCTCGACCCCATCGGTTTGCCCTAAGGCAGTTGGGATTAGCCCGGGCCTCCTCCTCTCTGTCGGTCTGCAAAGCTCTACCACCCCCTTGTCGGATGTGTAGGTCACGCACTCCCCGGCAAGGCTTCGGTCCCCGCCCCTATCCGGTAACCTTAAGTGGTCCTCCGGTCCAAAGGGAACATAGCTACCATCCTCCTTGTGATCCTTTTGTTTAGGTATCTTGGCTTTCTCCCTTTAGTGTTGTGCAGGGAGTGTCTTGTTTTGTGCTTCCCTCTCAGTGATCACTCGGGGGCGCTGGTCTCCTCGTGCCTCTGGCCGAAACGCTATACCACCTTGCTTACATCCATGGCCACCCGACTGATGTAACACGTAGGTGAGGTCTTCCCATAAGACTAACACAACAACAACAACAACAACAACAACAACAACAAACCTGGCAACCTTCCAGACCCAGACACTTTTGCATTTGATACGCGACCCCGATCTACGAAGTTGGGTGCCCGTTCCGGGGAAAGTCCCTCGGGTTTGGCAGTATGTCCGGGGGCCCGGCGGCCTGTTACCCTAACGACAGCTCCACGGCGGCGCTGGACGCAAGCAACAAGTGCAGCTGGTGCCACGGCTGGAGTGCGGAGGGCTACGAGGATGCCATCTGCAAGAATGACGAAAACGACGTGAACGGGCTGAAGCCTTGCATGTGTGTGCTCAAAGCCTCGCCCGGGATGGTGAGTTTATCTTTATCAATTTGCTGACAAATAACTTCATTTATTTGTATAAATGTTTCGTGGTCCTTGACCTACTTAGTGCTGGTCTCATCTCTGTTGAAACATTGAAAACTGAAAGAGACTCGTCTAGTTGTACTAGTAAGCGCGCCTGCTATAACGACGTCGACATCGAGTCAACCATTCCTACCTGAGCATGCAGACAAAAGCACATAATTTACGAAGAATTTTCTATATGGTTTTGTTGAAACTACAGGAGCGCCGCACCGTGGATCTTTCCGACATGCAGCTCGCGCAACCCTCGGACGCGTCTGCCTATCTCGCGTACCACAAGCTGAAACCGTTTGAAGGGTCCTCATCTGGGGGAACAACAGCATCGTCCGAGGAAGGAGTGCCGCTCGTGGAGCAGCAGACCGAGGACGACCACGCCGACGACAAGGGCTTGATCGTCATTCCCCACTACTACATGCCGCGGCAGGGCCCCGACATGTTTGCGCAGAACCCCAAGGTGCCCGCGTTTTCCGAAGACCAGAAACACAGCGACTTTCTCTGGGGCAGCCTGTGGTCGGGGAGCGGGGGAAATAACTCGGGCGACAGTTACAAGGAAGACATTGCGCGGGACCTAGGAACCCTAGAGAGCGACCTGAACATGGCAATGACCAAGTACGACAAAATCAAGCACGGCACCGCGGTAAACGGGGACCCCGCGACGGAGAACATCTGTCCGCCCGGCGTGACCACGCAGGAAATGCTGGAAAACGCGCGGATGGTGGGGCAGTACGAGCACTGGAAGGAGCGGTGCGAGAAAATGGAGAAGGCGCACTGGGCGATGCAAAACCCGCACATGACCAAGTCCGAGTGGCAGAGTACTTTCCGCAACGCGCCGAAGTGCGACTTCGAGATGATCTCTTTATCGGACTACACGCGGTTCCGCCACGTGATGCAGCACTGCCTGGTGAACGTGCGGTCCAAGGTGGAAAAGGATCTGGCGCTGATGCAGCCGGTCTTTTCGGTACCGAAAACGGTGGCCAAAGCGGTGCAGAAGGCGGACGGGGGCGCGGTGCACCCGGTCTCGGAGGAGGATGCAGAAAACGCAAAGGAGGCGGAAACGGAACAGGAGGAAAGCACAGAAAAAACTGTATCCTGTGTAAAAACGTCCCCACCCCAGAGTCTGTCATCAAGATGGGAACTCTACAACACAGATCCAGATGTTTTGGGAGTCACGCATGACAAGTTTTTCTCTGTACTCTTACGCGGGTTAGCAAGGACAACCGCATCGCAAAGCCATCCTGGTATCCTGTTTACAGCACCACAAATTGCATAACACGATTGAGAAGGCCTCTGATGGGGACGCGCATTACAAGTTTTCCTGTGATTGTAATTCTGCATGACAACTCCGGGCGGGTGGGGACGTTTTTACACAGGATAAACTGCGGAGGTCTCGTCGAAGGAAGGCGACGCGGAAACAAAGGCGGAGGAGGACAGTGAGAAAGCCACGGCCGACGCAAAGGCAAAAGCGGCTGAGAAAGAGGATTCCACTGGAGCAGCGGCTGGTGCGGCGGGGGAAGAGGAGAGCAAATCTGCTCAAGACAAGGACGACGCCGAAGAGGAACAGGAGGGGAAAGAAGCCTCGGAAAGTGCGAAAAAAGAAGCCGAAGCCGCGAAAGCGGACGACAAAAGCGAGGAAGAAAAAGAAGAAGAAGCAGGAGGTGCAACAGCGGACGACAAGGGCGAGGCCAGTGAAACAACTCCAGATGTTGAGAAACCGAAGGAAGCGTCGGTTCTCGGGAGTGTTACCGGGACCAGCTATGGCCTTGTGGCCGCGCAGATGTTCCTGGCTGCAGTCAGGTCCTCCACCTCGCGGTCTACGTGCACGGAAGACAATTTTGAACAAGCAGAGAATGACCTCCAGAAGTTCTGCGACAGGGTCAGCAAACGCGGCACTTCGCGGCCTCTATCAATTGCGGTTTTTTTGTAAGATCTACTGCAAGTAGGCCGTCTTCCTTTGATGCACGGGCTGCATTTGCTAACAACTAAAGAAAAAGATGAATTGATGAAGCAGAAGCCCTTGTGTACAATGCGAACGTACTTGACAAGTGAACGAACCGAAAAATCGAACCGGCGTTTCGACTGATTTTGGAATGAGTCTCGCTTCACAAACCCAAAATTTTCAAGTTCTTGTTTTTGCAGGGATGCGGGTCTAGTACGCCGTGTCCGCCCGTTTTACGATAGGATTTAGGAAAACAACGACACATAATATGTTGAAATGCCTTCATTCCAATTCCTCTTGGGCTCGACGAGATGATCGTCGAGGAGGTGCCACAGGAAAGATGCGCTCGCACTTGTCCTTTGTGCTTGTTCGCTTCTCTTCTTGAAGGTGAATGTCAAAGTCTTTCTCTTTCGTTTAAGGACCTAATGAGCCCGATCTCGTGAAATTGTTTCAAAGAATCTTGATGCAGTTCAAGTTCATGAGGAATCCACTTCGTGCAAGCAGCTGGTGATGCCAATGAATCGTGAAGTTCGTTCCGTATTCGTATTCGTTCCTGTTTTCGTCCATTTCATTTTCTTTCACTTCTCTCGTGCATTGATGTGATCCTCGTGCGATTGTTTGATTGTGTGCATCTACACGACGCGTTGAACATGATAGAACTTCACTTTTTTATATCCCAAGCATACTTTATCCACAAATACATCGTTACCAGAGGTTTTCATAGTCCCGTTCTTTCAAACCTAGTTCTGGAGACCGCTTCTTGCTTTTCGTAGCCCGAGTTGATATTTTCCAGCTCTGCAAGAAAGTAAGAAGCAAGTAATCTCTAATTATCGCTCGAATTGATGACAACTGTGGAGCGAGGAGTTGGCGGGAATACCCTTCTGCGCGCAACTCGTTTCCGATAGGTTTGTCCACATTTACTTTCATCCTTTTTGTCTTACACGAAAAACATTATTCCATGACTTGGAACCTCTACCACAAAATGACATCGGAAACTCCCCTCGTTCGGGAACGAGGCGCGCAATACCCGGATTTTTTCAAAAAGTGAGAACGCAGCGAGTTTTCGTGTGGGCTCTCGTTCCGGAACGAGAAACGAAGTGAGAACTCACTGAATTGCCACTCCAGGACTTTTTAAAAAGTGAGAACGCAGTGAATTCTTGCGCGGCTTCTCGTTCCGGAGCGAGAAATGGAGTGAGAATTTACTGAATTCTCACTCCAGGACTTTTCAAAAAGTGAGAACTCAATGAGTTCTCACTTGGTTTTCGTTTCGGAACGAGAAATGGAGTCAGTAGAATTTAGTGAATTCTCAATCCCGGTAAATTCGGGATCCCAAAGTGGGACTTTTCAAAAAGTGAATATTCACTGAATTTTCACTCGATTTCTCGTTCCGGAACGAGAAGCCGAGTGAAAATTCAGTGAGTATTCACTTTTTGAAAAAAATAACTTTTGGAGCATGCATGTTTCTGGAGAGAGGCTTCGGCTCCCGGGCGGAGTTAAAATTTTCCGAAAGTGAATACTCACTGAATTTTCACTCGATTTCTCGTTCCGGAACGAGAAGCCGAGTGAAAATTCAGTGAATTTTCACTTTTTCTTTTTGAAAAAAATCACTTTTGGATCACGAATTTTCCGGGAGAGAGACTTGAGCTCCCAGAGTGAAAATTTTCAAAAAGTGAAAATTCAGTGAATTTTCACTCGATTCCTCGTTCCAGAACGAGGCCTCGTTCCGGAACGAGGCCTCGTTCCGGAACGAGAAATCGAGTGAAAATTCAGTGAATTTTCACTTTTTGAAAATTTTCACTCCGGAGGCGAAGTTTTCCCGGAGCGCGAATTCGGGAAGCAGGATTTTTCCAAAAGTGAAAATTCACTGAATTTTCACTCGATTTCTCGTTCCGGAACGAGAAACCGAGTGAAAATTCAGTGAATATTCACTCCTGGAACAATCTCACTCCGCTATTTCGAAAAGTGAATTACTAGGCTTCTGGTTCTTCCGGAGCAAGGGCTCGCTGAATTACCACCCCAGAGAAAAGCTATCTCATCCCGGAATCATTCTAGAAGTGGGATTTTCGTAGAGTGGCAATTCAGTGAGTTATGACTACATGAACAAAAAAAAACCGCAAGCGCTGACCTTTTACAGCACACATGGCAGAAATAGGGCGAGGGCTACCGATTCAAATTGCAGGACGTTCCGTAAGCGTGTTGCTCTGTCGCTAGTAGCGTTTGCTGCATGGCGCGAAAAATTTTTTGCGAGCCTTCTAATTGCAGCGCGCTATTGCCCGCGCCACATCGCCGATAGGAACGCCCTGCCACACTGCCTGCAAGGTGCCTGTGATGTCGTTCGTAAGCCACGCCCGATTTTTGTGGTTCGCAACGTCGCCCGATGTTTTGGCTTCAGTATGTTTAAAACGCTCAAAGTTGTAGCATTTGGGCTCTCGTTCCCCAACGAGGGGAGTTTCCGACGCAAAGGGGGGGGATTTTCCAAGTCATGCATTATTCATATTCTTCAAAACCAAAAGCAAATTCATCTGTGTTGTGTTATTGAAAAGTCAACTACATCATTCTGATTTTTGTTCTTCAATTTTGCCTTTTCTAACTCTCTTCGAAGTGGTTACAGCTACTATCGAAGGGGCTACCACTACAAGCGCCTATTTGCGAAACCGTCACGCCTCGTCGACGCAACCAACCCGTCCGCCCCTCGCAGAAGTTCAAGTTGTAGATCATGGGTCGGCGTAAGAAAACCAAGGCCGAGGAGGAGGCGGAGGCCAAGGCGAAAGCGGAAAACGAGAATGCGAGTCAGCTGGAGAAGCTGAAGCAGTTCCTGGTATGCGTTGCAAAAGCTGCCTCGTTGTACCTACGGAGTAATTCTTGCATCACAAATCTCTTTTGATGTGTCAAAAAAGAAGTTTGTCAGGCACATGCTGGAACAAAAGCAAAACGTATGAGAAATTGAGAATGCATGATTGCAAGTACTACGACTACGAGTACTACAGCACAACTTTTGCAAAGGATACCTCGCCGACATCAACAAAACGCCGGAGGAATTGGAGCGGCGCAAGCGCGACGAGGAAGACCCGCTGATTTCTGATGCGAGCGACGAGCCGACCGACTACGAGTCCCCGGGCACGCCCCCGAAGGTGCCCACCCCCGAGGGGCTCAGCGAAGATGAGTACTACAAGATCTACCGGCAGCGCCGGATCGACGCGGCGCAGCGGCTGCAGCGGCGCGCCCGCCGGGCGGCGAAAAAGAAGATCCGGAAGACCACGATCGAGTGCCTGGAATGGCAGCTTGGCTTCAGCGACAACTTTTGCGAGCTCGCGGCTTCGCGGCTGAATAGCCCCATTTTGCGACACTACAAGAAGTCGAAGATCCGGAAGTGCGAGGCCTTTCTGATCCAGGACGTGGAACTGCTGCGAAAACCGAGGTTGGAAGTGAAAAACGCGTTTCCGAAAACCTTCAACATGGAAATGACGTGGAACGACCTGCACGAGATTGTGTTGGAGTTGACGAAGCCGAAAGAGACCGAGGAGCAGAAGAAGAAGCGGCAGGGCGTGATGGGCCCCAAGGGGCTGACCACCATGGACGACTTTCTCGACGGCGCCGTCGCCGAGGAACCCACGACAGACGAGGAGGAGCTGGCCAAGCGCAAGCAGGCACTGAAGGAAAAAGCGGAGCGGCAGGCCGAGCTGGCGAAGAAGCGGTTAGATTTAGAAAAGGAGCGGCAGTCCACGACCAGTGCTCCCGCCGGAGGCGGTCAACATGGGGGGCTGCAGCAAGGGAGTGCGAGTGGTTCTACTTCTCGCGCTGGCACAGGAAGTAGAGGAGCTGCGAATAAACTCCGCCAAGCGGTCGGACAAAAGTTGTTCACAATTCGAAAATTCTCCGCCGGCGGCCGGGTGGCGACCCCCTTACCGGGACTCGGACCACAGGCTGCCAGTGGTCCTCTTGGAGCAGATATGAACACCATCAGGTCTCCTGTTGAACATCAAGATTCCACTGCTGGCATCGACGACAAGCAGGCCAAGGAAGAGCGCGAACACCTAAAAACTGCGGTTTTCGGGGCGAGCGCGGTAAAGAAAAAGAAAACGTACAAGGCCCTCGCCAGTGCTATGACAATGCACACGAACTCCCCCTCCCCCTCATTTGTATAGCATGAACGGCAATACAAACATCAGCAAGAATGCCGGTTTTGCATGACAAATCTGCACTGGATTGTAGTGCTCCTCGGGCTCCTTCTAGGATTTGTCATGCAAACATTGCTACAAGGCAGCAGCTGGATTTGGGATTTTGCATTACAAATGAGGGTGAGGGGGAGTTGTGCACTTTCATAAGTGCGAAGCGGAGAGTAGCGAAGATAACGAAAACCAAAAATGGCGAGGAACAAACGCCGTCGGTCGTGACCGGCGCGTCGGAGGTAGAGGGTGATATGCTCTCGGTTCGGGACGTGGACGCTTTGGTGGGCGGAACAGAATCTTCTTCGCACCCACACCAGCAGAGCCGCGCCTTGATTGACGAAGGGGCGGAGGCGGGCGACGAGTCAGACGATAGTAGAGACGAGGAGGAAGACGAATCTGATTATGAGGGCAGCTTGGAACAAGACGGTGGCCAGGGGATGTTGACTGCAGATCATCCCCCGCGTCCGGCCAGCAAAAAGATGGGCCGTCGGCATCGGCAAATCGAGCACGACCTGGCCGAAGCGGTGCATCTCGGGGGCGAGATCGCGCGGAAGCTCGAGGGTGAAGACCAGAGGGACGACGAGGCCTTGCTAGCATCAGGTACTACAACTGCCAAGGTAGTAGTTCCGTCTCTCGACCTGGGGAAAGTTGCAGCTGCAACTACCGTTGGAGCTACCGACGCAGTCGTCCCAAGAGCAGTAGATGAAGCGGAGCAAGAAGGGGGCCCAGCAGCACAAAAAGAGCTCAGTCCGGCCGAGAAGAAGAAGGCCAGGAAGGAGGAGAAGGCTGCGAAAGCGAAGGCGCAGCGGGAACTGCGCGCTGCCGAAAGAGAAAGTACTAGAGCGGCAGTAGTAGACGCAGGTGAGGACAACTACACGAAAGCGAAGGTAGAGCCGACGCTAACATCAATTGGTGAACAGCCAGAGCATCAAGAGGAGATGAAGAGTGGATCATATCAACCACAAGGCGATGAACAGGACGACTCTGGTACTTCTTCACCCTCCGCAAAAATAAACCCAACGCTTTCTTTCTACGAGCAGATGAAGTTGGAGCGCGAACAGGCCGACCGACAAGCGGCCGAGGACGAGGCGCGGGCCCGGGCCGCCGCCGCCGCGGCGCACAGCAGGAAAAAGAAGGATTTTAGTTCCGGTGCGGCCGCCGCCGCCGAGCAGATGGAGCAGGAGCGGTTAGTCAACGCGAAAATCGCCGAGGAGCAGCGCGTGGAGAACGATATCCACAGGAAATTTCCCGTACACGTACAAATGCAGTCTCCGCATGACAAAACTAGGGTCTGATCCTAGTTTAGCATGGCAAATCTTTACACTTCAAATTGGTGAAATTTGTAATGCATTTTCTACATATGCGGGAAATTTGTGTTGCATAAACGACAAGAAAAAGCGCCAGGCGGAGGTGGAGGCCGCGCAACAGCGGATCTTCGAGGTGGAAGAGCGGCACCGCATCGCGGTGGAACGCGAGACCAAGCGGAAGGAATTGATACGGTTGGAGGAGGAGAAAATCCTTGCTGAGGAGCGGCGACTGGCCGCGGAAATCCGGTTCGAACAAGAGGAACTGGCCAAAGAGGAGGCGCGGCGGAAGAAATACGAGGAAGAGATGAACTACGAATGGTCGCGGATGCTTTTGAATGACTTTGACTTCGACCGGGCGTGTCTCGCGGCGGAGAAGCGCGCCGCATTCGAGGCGCAGATGCGCGCCGAGGCAGAGAATCAGCGCCGGATCGCCGAGGAGCGGGCGCGGATCGAGGAGGAGACAAAGAAGGAAAAAGCCCGGCTGGAAAAAATGCGCGAGGAGGCCAAGAAGGCCGAGGTCGAGCGCCAGCAGGCCGCGCGGTGGGAAAAACGGGAGGCGGTGGAGCGCGAGATGGCGCGGCAGAGCCAGCTGCTGTTGGAATCGGTCCGGGGGAAGCCCGAACCGGAGGAGGAACGGACGCCCCGGGAGCTGCAAGACATTCTGGAGGGGAAAGAGGTTAGTATTACTCCGCGAGACGTGTATGGGGAAGTGAAAATCGAGGTGGACCACGTAGAGGGTACTAAAGATAAATCTGTAGTCGCAGAAGATGGAGAGCTGGTGCCACAGGACGGGTCTGGGTCGCGCCCGGCATCGTCCTCGCAAGGGTCCGACAAGAAGCGGCCGCGGTCGCGGCAGAGTAGCTCGCGCCCGTCAACCCGGTCGTCAAACAAAACAACCTCCTCGCGCCGGTCCGCGGCGGGGTTGGGCGCCGAAGGAGTGGGAGGACTACTAGGAACCGGGGGGGAAGAAGTAGGGGTCCCTGCGTCCGCAACAGGAGGCACATTTGTTCCACAGGAGCAGCCAGGAGGTACCGAGCAAGAGGTTGTGCCTTCCGAACAAACCCGAGCTAGCACTTCTGCTTCGGCACCTCCAAGAGACGGCCTACTTGCAGGTACAACTAGTGGTGACCCTATTTCCGCATCCGCTTTTGCCCAAGACCAGCACATCAGAGTCGAAAGTAGAACTACCGAGGATCAACATTCCATGCCCGGGTTGCTCCCATCCGCATCCACACAAGAACAGCAAGTTCTACACGAAGAGCAGCTTCAAGCGGACGACACGCGGACCGTGACGGACAGCGTGCTTTCCGCGCGCGGGCTGGACACCGCGACGATCACGAGCACGCCGCGGATGCCCAGCGCCCGTGACGGCCGCCACGTAATGGAGAAAGACAGTAGTGTCCCGGGGTCCAGCGCCGTCTCCATGTCGGAATCGGAGACGGTGCTCCGCGGCAAGGCGGCGGGGACGCCGAGGGAACCAACGGCGTTCGCGGGAGCTATGGAGTTCTCAAGCGCTACATTGTCAGTTGTCACATGATTTGTCAGTAACTACGTGATCAATCTGCTTCGCATGAAGATGTGGACCTATGTATCGGTCAAACCACAACCACGACCACACTAATCGGTGAGAAGTTCTTAGCAACTCAGCATGACCATGAACATGATGAGATTTTTGAGAGCGCAGCAACGCTTTCAAGGCAGCGAAGACATTCTTCACGGAATGACTAGCACACCAAAACACGAACATCAGCAGGCCCCTGATTATCCTAGTCATGCGCCTCACATCAATAATCTAGTCTTGAACTACTGCCAAGAAACCAATCACGATCTCACCTTTACAGCGCCGGCGTTCAGAGTTCGGGACTACACATAAACAAATTCGCGAATGGCATCAAAACAGCCTGGCAAGAACCTGCGTCTGATTTGTAATGCGAGAGGTGCAAGTAGAACCTCACCCCTTTTCTTTTTGGTACCCTTGCGTCACAAATTCGTGTACCATTTGAGAATGTAACGCTTGAGAATTCCATAGGCCCGGGCACGAGCTCCGCCGACTCGGACAGTGTGGCGCATCAATCCGCCACGGAATCCGAGGGGGGCGCGGGGAAAACGAAGAAAGCGAAGAGAACACCCCGGCTGAGTGCGAAGCACGCGCCAATCCCGGAGGAAATGACCGCGCAGCTCGACCAGGATGCCGAGGAAGCCGCGACAAAGGCGCGGCTGATGAAGGAGCAGCTGATGGAGAAGCGGCGGCGCGAGGCGGAGGAAAACGGGCTGCCGCCGCCGCGGGAAGAGGACCTGGATTTTGACGCCTTGGACGAGGAGGAGGAAGACGAGGAGGGGCTGGATACGGACATTGAGGACCGAGAGTTTGTATTGCAAGGAAAAATCCCCCCTCCCCATATTGAAAACGAGCCCTCCTGAAAATTTGTGATGCACATTTGTGACCACAAATGCAAATCCGCTCTGTCTTGCAAGAAGGCAGATCTAGGCTGTCCGCCGCGTTATGTAGGCGATTTGTAATGCCATAAGGCCTACAGGGCAGACGTCTGCCATGCTAGGCGCCTACAGCAGGAGGCCCCTGCCTTGGCTTGCGATCTGCGTGCAGTGCTCTACTGCAAGACAAATTTGATTTATGTACAGAAATCCCGCATCACAGATTTCCGTTTTGGTATGGGGAGGGGGGATTTTTCGTTTTGATAGTTCGTCGACTTTCACGACTGGACGCCGAAATCTTCCATGTTTGACACGGAATCCGAGGAAGACTTCCAGCAGGACCGGGCTATGAGAGTGCACAACCCCCCCTCCCTCTCATTTGTATAGCAAGAACAGCAATACGAACACCAGCGCACGTGGAGCCACTGCATGACAAATTTTTTGTGTGCCTAGTGTAGTACTGTTTGGGGTTCATCCGGAATTTGTCATGCAAACAGTGCCACAAGGCAGCGACTGGATTTGGGGTTTTGCATGACAAATGAGGGGGCGAAGGGGAGTTGTGCACTGTCATACGGGCGGACCTACAGGTAATCAACGACAAGGAGGTGAAGAAGGCCCGCGAGGCGGAGGACCGCGCGGAGCGCATGGGCAAGACAGTGGAGCGCATGGAGACGCCGCGCACGCCCGAACCCGTGGAGATCGACGTGCTGAACTTTGATCTGGAGTTTGGCACCGCCAAGCCCGGCACCGAGTTACGGTTGAAAGTCGCGGAGCGGAAACAGGACCGCCTGGAGCGGAAAACCACGGCAAACATCCGCAAGTCGGTGAGTATGAAGTACGAAAAGGACCGCTACGAAGAGTACAAGCCGGAAGACCCGAGCACGAAAAAATCCGACATGTTTGGCTCCCCCACGGCGGAAATCAAGGGCTGGCTGAAAGTGCAGAAGATGTTTAAGTTCATGGTGGAACTGAAGCACAAAGTAGAAGAACTCCGGTTGGAACGCATGACCCCGGACCAGGTGCACGCTTCTGACGAAAAGGGGAAGTACTTTAACTTCTTCCAGCCGGTCCCCTTCCAACTGCCGGAAGATATTCAGTACCGAATCACGAGTACGGGGGAAAAGCGCCGCGTCAAGCTGCCGGAGGAGAAAATCCGGCTCCGGCAAATCAGCGCGTGCAATGCGGACGAGCGGCTGCGGTACGTGATGAAGAAGCCGGACGCGATCAGTTGGATCTCCATGGTGTACGAGTGCACGTTTGCGTTTTCGTTCGAAAAAACGATGATGCAGGAAGTGGACCGTGCGATGCAGCGCATGAACCTGGAGCGCGAGCGGCTCGAGGAACTGCACATGAAGTGGCTGACTTTGTTGATCAAGTCGAAATTTGAAAACGGCGAAAAGTCGCCGATGACGAAGGAACTGCAAAAGATGGTGGACCACCTGCGCGAGAAGCACGAGAGTTGGCGGCCGGAGGAGTCGCTGGAGCGGAACTTCCGGGATGGGGTGAGGTTTATCCAGGGCGTACGGGATGACCCGGAGTTGTGGCGGATTTTGATCTATGGATTGCAAATGTGTCTGGGTCTGGGAGGATGCAGCTTGTCATGCCAAATCTGAACGATGCAAAAAATCTGTGTTGCATAATAAATTACCAACAGCCGACGCTTTTTTCAACAAGTTGAGAGGCAGTTTCTCATGCATGATAGGCATGATAGGGATCCCACAGAATCTGTCATGCTAGTGACTGCATTTCAGACCTCATGGGTCATGGAAACTGGCATGACAAATCTTGTATCCTTCCAGACCCAGACATATTTGCATTTGATATGATCAAACACCGATCCTTCACCGACGAGGAGCTGGAAGTGGATTATCTATTTCCCGACCGGCTCGTCGTGGAGATTCTCGACCCCTTGCGGGTCACACCGGCGAAGTACCAAATGCTGATCAGCACGAGCATGTACAACGGAAAATTCTTCATGAAGGAGGAGGAGGCGAAGCAGCAAATCGTGTACCAACTGCGCCCAGAGCCGCTGTCCACGGTGTTGGCCGGCTACGCGGTGAGGAAGTACAAGTCGGAGGACGACCTGCGAAGGGAACGCATGGTCAAGCAGCGCCGGCGAAACCAGCGGAAGGTCGACCACGATTTCCAGAACCAGCTGCGGCTGCAGGAGGGCCTCGACATGCTGCCCACGCCGCTCAACACGCCGAGTGAGCCCGACGTGCAGCCGGAGGAGGGTCCACAGATGATCAGCATGCAGTTGCCCGGGGTGCAAAAGGAGGTCATGATAGAAGTCGAGGACGAAAACAAAATAGTAGAACCAGGCGGAGGGGGGGAAGCAGCGACGTGAACGGGAGGACAAGTATAGTTCCAGTTCGGCGAACATATGATAGTCATTTTTCGATCATCCTCAACATCCATATCTGGTTGTACGACTTCAATTGGTTAAATTTCGGGTTTTGTATCTACATAAAAGTAGAAGTACAGTATCTCTGTCTAAGTATAAGTAAAATACTAGAAATCCTTTTGCTTTTACCTATTTCATGCCTTGTTCTGTACAGACAAAATGTACCCCATTCCATGTCGAGCAAACGTGAAATTGGTTTCTTTATTCCAAAGTAACAAGTTAGTAGTGTCCGGCGTGGTGGTCTCCTGCCGTTTGCGTCACAAAAAAATAAATTGGATGCAATACTACCATTCCATGGTAGGGTGTTCGAATTGAAATTTTTCCACCATGCAGAAGATCCAGCGTGTGGACTACAGTGATCCTTCACTTATTATCAATTTGAAGTTGATAGAAAATCGTCATATATGAATGTTACGAACTTCATCTTCTTCGCCAACCACGTACAACTACGGCAGAGTGATTCTAGGTCGACAACTCTGGTCCTTTGCATGAAGATCCATCGATCCGCATAGTACCTCCGTGTCCGTGTACGCTCTTATAGAAGTATGTAGGCATCTTCTGTCCACCTTGTTGTCTGCGCGATGTAGTCTCTGTCAACCGGCGACCGCTCCTCTTTCAGTTTCAGGAAAAGCAGCTCGAGTTGAAATATGGAGGGACCATCGAATGATCATTTCACCACTACTGGCGGAAAAAATAGCACGTAGCCTCATCTCTTGGCTCTCGAAAACTTCTTCACTCAGCAACAAGTGAAATTGAACCGCTTTCCCTCTTGTCTTCCGTGGTCTTCAAGTGTGAAAAAGGAAAAACCAGAAAGATGTTTATCGCCAAGGAGCGTCGTTTCTGCAAGCCCCTGCTGGAACAGCTTGGGAGGCAAAGATCAGCATGCGGAGCGCCGGCAGTTCCAGGACTGCAGGCAGAGCAAATGTGGATGCGTTTACCAAGCGCGCCGCGACCACGTGGCAGTAGTCTACGAACAGCACGGGGGATGAATCAACATCAAAGCTATGGGACCACGAGAAGTAGTACCTGCAGCAGACGAGTAGTAGATCATGCGTCTTTACTGACGAGCTCCGCAAGAACATACTCCACGTTCCTTGCAGCTACGCGCCGATCTTCCAGTTTTCCCAGTCTTGATGTTTCCTCGACCACGAGTAATAGATTGGGATTGGCAATTACAGGTATAATTGCAGCAACTCCAACTACCACGCTACCGCTAGTACCAGAAAACGAACCACATCAACAGCCACAAAAACGTCGTAGCTTTGCCTCCGCTTCTCGCAAGGACGTGGGGGACGGCGAGGGGGAGAGCAAGCGGATGTCGGAGACGGAATTTCATTCCCTGGCGGACGACGCGTTGAATGCGTGTTTGGATTTAATCGAGGACCGGAACATCGACGAACAGATCGAGGTATCCTGTGCAAAAGTATCGTACTCGTAGTAATTGCTTTCATGCATGACAAATATCCCTTTTTGGCTGAATCAGCATGACAAATTCCATTTTCCCTTATGCAAAAACTTGTGATGCGATTTATACTAGTACGATACTTTTGCAATGCATACGAGGACTACGACTTGGCGGACGGGGTGCTCAAGATCGTGGTCACCGCGAAGGACCAAATTGTGGTGAACAAGCACAACGCCACGCAGCAGATCTGGTATTCCAGTCCTTGCGGCGCGCAGTACTTCGACGCGCCGTATGGGGAGCTGGTCGGGGCGCTGGAAAAGGACTTGGGGGAACTGCTGCCTTGACAAGTAGGGCGAGCGTTTTGAACAAAAAATGACTTCTATATTGTTGACTCAGAAGAAGAAGATTACTCTAAGCGACTGCGTATCTCTTTGCGTTCTTTCATATTCGTATGAAAAGGCGACGATGTCGCGCAACGCGAAAATTGATGAAGCTGCGACCTACAACGGACGTGCGTAGTAGTCGCGCTTTTGGTGTCAGTGTCTTCCACTCGACGCTGTTTCCTTCGATGTGGTCTGGGAATTGTTGTTCAGCCACTGTGGTCAATACCGAGCCAAATTTCTCCAGTCAATCGGCAAGCGAAGGGCCGAGCTATCTCACAAGCGGGACAAAGTGCCGCGCATTCGCGGCGCCATGGCCATTGGTAGCCTCGTGGGCGTTCGCTTGGGCGGTAGTCCCAAGGGGGAGGGGCGCGAGGCGGGCAACGGGACCCCGAAGCCGCCGCAGTCGCGTGCGAAAGCACAGGCCCGCCTGCTCTGTGTTGCTTGGCGCCCCGGCGCTCGGGCGACGGGTCTCCTGCGTGAGGGCGGCCTCGAGCTCCGCCGCAAACAATTACACGCAGCCGCCCCCGGACCCCGGGCGGGCCGGCACTCGGTGCCTTGGGCGCTACCCACCGCCCGCCCCTAGAAAGTAAGGCCGGCATCTCCCTCCCAGGATGGATGGAGCGAGGTCGGTGTCCTCGCCCCTCGGCGAGCGTGCGTCATGCGTTCGCTCGGCGGCGTCTTTGTCCGCACCTTGTTCGCCACCGGAGCGAGGCGATGCTATCGAACCGGACGCGGTCAGTTCCGACAGATCTGCAGGACCGGCACAAAGTCCAAGAGCGAGGAAGCAGCTAGTGGCAGACGCGCTTGCGCCAGGGCGAAAAGGAAACCACAGCGAAAGATGGAGCGCGCAGCAGTAGCGCGTGTTGCCGTCCTGGAAAGCCAGGAGAAAACGGCGGGCAAAATCCTCCGAAGAGTCTGCACGTTGTGCCGCGTTTGTAGCGCTGCCCGCAGTGCTCTGCGTGCTGTGTGAGCAACCGAGCGCATAGATATGAATGTCAGGCGCGGGGTGGTCTGCGCGCTCCCCGAAGGACAGTTTGGCGCCGCGTTTGTAGTGTTGTTAGTGGTGCTCTGCTCTGTGGGCCGTTGTGGCGCATAGAAATAAGCGCCACAACGCGCGAAGGCTCGCGCTGTTGGCCGATGGTGGCGCGCGGCCGGCGCACTTGCGCGTCTTTGCCTCCCTTGGTGGGCGCATGTCAGTGCGCACGAAGGCGACCCCGCCCCGCGCATTGGGCAGGCCGAAGAGGTTTGGGGCCCGCCCCGGCCTAATGCGCAGCGCGCCCCTCGGGAACTTGTTCCGCAGTCCCCCTATGGCTTTTGTTCTGCGAACGCCCGCAGACGCTTCGGCGCCTGCCGACGAAGGGCGGCCCGGCGCGCGGAGTTCGCCTCTTGGCCTTGCCGATCCCTTCCCCTTTCTGTGCCAGCGCTGCCGCAGGTCGTTGCCAGTGTTTGGCACCCTGCGCCGGCGGCCGAGTGCGCGGGGCCACTCCACTGGGACCAGGCAGCGCGGCACCCAGACGGCGCGGGCAATGATCTGCGCGCCCTACCGCGGAGAGACTGACGTCGCCCGCTTGCTTCCATAGGAGGCCAGGCGCCCGCACCCTCCGGCAGCGCGCCCAGAGTGAAGAGGTGGAGGCGCCGCCTCCTTTGCCCCTGCCCCCACTTTCTGCACGGCGGTGACTGGTGTCGCAGCGCCCAAAAGGGGCGCCCGCGTGGCCCGCCCGTGCCCGCCTGGCCAGGCAGAAGGCTGGCGCGCGCGCGGCTTGTTTTTGTTTTCCGACCGCGCGCCCGCTGCCCCCGCCTAGCGCACACAGCGCGCGGGCGCGCCCACAGCGGGAATTGGGGTCGACGCATGCGACCGGGGGCCGGCGGAGGGGGGGCGCAAAGAAAGCCTTCGCGAAAAGGACGGCCGAGCGGGCGATGGGACCGGACGGAGCGAGGGTGGGAGCAAGGGAGGCAGCGGGCCCGCATTCCTCTTCTATTGGCACCCATGGCGCGGCCGAGGTTCCCGGATATTGGGACGCGACTAGCGCTGCCACCGGGCCGCCCGGCCGTCTGTCAAAGACCGCGTCGCCCCAACTAAGCCTGCAGGGCGATGCGACTGGGCCGGCCCAGGTGGCTCGTCCACGCACGGTTCTCGCAGTATAGCGTCCGACGTTGTAGCAGGAACGCCAGCCCACTAGCACTAGTCAGGGTAGTCTGAGATGGAGCTGGGTAGTTTGTGTCGACGCAATGGAGCTAGCGTCCGCCGACGTCTTTTGTCCATGATCTTCATCTTCTTCTTCTTCTGTGTTTTCGGCCTTTTTCTGGTCTGTTGCCACTGTGTTTGCGCGATGACGCTCGAGCTTGTCCCCGGTTGAAATAAACCTCGCTTTCGGTGGAACATATCACCTATTTAACCTCTTAGAAGAACATCAAACAAAGTCTCTTATAGTACTGATTTTGGTCTGCGAAACGTAAATCCCCTCAGCACTACCGACGTAAAATTCTGTTGTCTGCGAAACGTAAAAACTTCTCGTTTATTTCAAATCATTATTTTCTCATTTCGTGGTCGTGGTCGCCTATTTTTCTGCATATTCTTATCGACCGTGGTGTTGATTGTTGTTCGTTACCGTCGCGTCCTGCTAAAGTTTTGCCTCTCTTCATTGTTGCCGATTGTTTCCCACAGCAGAAGCCCAGTGCTCGAACACGATCGGAGTGCACCAGCGAGGCATTGCTGGGTGAAGCCAGAAAAAGAAGCTGCATCATCAACACCTCCAAATCCAGTAACACTCACACAACGACCACAAGAACGACGCACAGTTTGAAACTGTACTGAGGCAGCCGACATCGTCGCTCTCTAGGCCTGGCGTGAAAAAGAGAAAGGCAGAAGTACATCAGGCCCTGGTGGTAGGCTCTGAAGACTGCGAAGCCTTTCAGGAACAACAAGCGCGAAAAAGCTCTTCACCTTGGACACCAGCAGCGCAGTTCTGCAATTATGACGACGCTCGGTGGTGGTCCCTCACTCGGCCGGGGGCCGTCGGGCGCGACAAAATTTCTGCTCAAATTTGACTCCTTCCGGGAAATACCCTCGGACCTGACCGAGCCCACGTTACTCGGCAGCGTGTTCACCCTCTTCGCATACTTTCTTTGCGGTACAAAAATTGAACTTGAACTGAAAGCTGGATCTTCATCACCATCATTTTCATTTTCGCAGTGCTAGAACGATGAATGTAAACGTACACAAGAACCTGCTGATGTTTTCCAGGACAACACACATAAAAATCCACCACACAACAGGTACACTTTTCATGTGCGAGCTGTGGGGCTTTTTGATGGCGGAACACTCTACCCGCATTGTCATGGACGGCAACCAGGACAAGCAGCTCCGCATCAACTTCGACATTTTGATGCACGATCTGGCGTGCAAGCACCTCACCATAGGAATTTGGGATTCCTTCGGCAGCGAGCGCCTGAACATCACCAGCAATATTGTGAAGTCCAGGAAAATGCACGACGGTATAGTATTGACATTGACCACCTACATTTGAACATGCGCTACATATTTTTACCCTCTAAGTCATGTGTTACAGCTACGCGTTCGCTTCATGAAGGGGTAGTACTACGGCCGCACAGAGCTGCAACTGCAAGATCTTTCTCCTATCGCTCTCCACCAAGACTACATCTACAGGTACGTTCCATCCCTACACGGATTCGGAGCTCCTAGCGTTGGACAAGCACAATTTCACCGCCGAAGAAATGGAGGAGTACAACAAGGACTGGGGCAGCAGCGCCGAGAAGCACATATGCACTGCAAAAGTATCGTACTCGTACTAATTGCGTTTATGCATTACAAATTTTTTTGTGAACGCAAATCCGCATTACAAAATCAATTTGTAATGCTAAGTCAAGTTGTAATGCAATTTATACTCGTGCGATGCAATGCTTTTGCAGTTCATAGCACACCAGCTTCGATAACGTGATCGAGAGCCACGACTTCACCTTTATAAATTTTTACGCGGGTTGGTGCCACCACTGCCGCATGTTCGCGCCGGAATGGGACAAGTTCGAGAAGGAGGCCAACTCCAAGCCCGGCGAGCTGGTGGACAGCAACGGTTCTCCGGTTTCTGTGCGCGTGATCAAGATCAACTGCGTGGACTTCGAGGAGACCTGCAGCCAGGAGCAGATCATGGGGTTTCCCACCGTGCGGCTCTACCGACGGACGGTCACGAAGCGGCGGTCCTTCTCCGAGTTTCCGCAGGCCCGAAACGCGGCCGCCCTCTCCGAGTGGATCAAAAAGGAGCTGAAAAAGCAGGAAGTAAGCAACCCCAACCTGCAGTTCCACAACTTTTTTTCCGAGGGCTGCCGCGCGGAGGGCTTCGTGGAGGTCGCGCGCGTCCCCGGAACGCTGCACCTAGAGGCGTCGCACTCGGACGACACGAGTTTGAATTTCGCCTTCACCAACGTGAGCCACACCGTGAACCACCTCAGTTTCACTACCGCGGGCGAGTTGTCCAAGTACCCCACCCGGGTGCCGCGCAGCTTCGAGGAGCACGTGAATGTGTTGGACGGAAGAAATTTTTTCACCTCCGGCTTCCACCAGGCCCCCCACCACTACATACAAGTGGTCTCCACCTTTTTCGAGACGCAGAAGGCCCGGAGCTACCAACTCACGCACCAGCAGCGCCTGGCCGCAGTGTCGAAGCACAGCACGCCACAGGCGAAGTTCTCCTACTCCCTCTCCCCAGTCGAGGTGCGGGTCACGCAGAGCGGCTTACGGAAGTGGGAAAGCATCGTAATTTCGTCATAGATAAAGATCTGATGCACTCTCTCTCGTCTCTCGGTCTCGCAGCATCAGCATTGCATCTTCATATAAGTAACTTTGTTGGCATAACGGTGACAATCAAAATAGAAATGCGAGGAGGCTGCTGGAGAAATTTCTATGACCGGACAAAAGTCCTTAATTCCGGATTTTGCTAGCGGTCTTTATAGAAATCCTAGCGGTCCCAGCTTGCTAGCTGACTAACGACAGCGACGCCGTCCGCCCTGGGAATGCACCCACACGCCAACGATTTCAAAGCAGTACACTGCAGCGGTGTGGCTCTTTGCATTCAATGCATTGAGCCAACAACCTTGTTGAGAAAATAGCAAAGGCGTCTGTGCGTGATGGCTATAAAAGCTGCGCAGTCATAAATATCACGCTTTGACACGAGTATGATCGTCATTTTTCTAGCGAACTGGGATCGCTAGAAAATCTATAAAGGCCGGTAGAAAATCCGGAATTAAGCAAGTTTTGTCCGTTCATAGAAATTTCTATTGTGGATGGAATGACAATGAGCGGTTGCTGCGGTGCCTGTCGTGAAAAAAAAACCTGTCGTGAAGATCATGCTTTTCCTTTTTGTAAGTACGTGCATTTTACGATGGACTTTTGCCCGCAATACACCAAAAGATGGTACGAATTCATCACGTCCCTGTTGGCCATTGTGGGCGGGGCCTTCACCGTCACCGGCATGCTCCAGGCTTCCACGGCAGCCGCAAAAAGGGCCCTGAAGATAAATCTGAACAAAGTGGTGTAGTGAACAGGCTACTTCCACGAAGTTGTACAACTCGACCAAGTATGACGAACAACATCCCGCCACGACGCGCCGTCCGAAAATATAAATAAAACACCCGTAAGCATGAATGTCAATGTAGGATCAACATATTGGTTGCAAAGGTGCCGTTGCTGACTTGTATTTCTGAGTCAGTTTCGGCACCGGTGCCAGCCAAGCTGCCCAAGATGAATCATGACATTTTATACACCTTCATCCCACACTCCTGTTGATTGTCGCCTCGCCTCCGCACTCCGGAGGACGAGAAGATGGGAAAGAAAAACACATGCACATCAAAATAACTGCCATTGCCACCACCTCCAGGAGCACCACCACAACAGGCACAGACTTCGTCATCTTCGCTGGTGCTGCCAAAGCAGGTTGTGTTGTGTCCAAAACACAAGCACAACAGACACTGAAGATCCGCAGTGGCCTGCAGTTCTTTTTGGTGGATTTCTATGCGAACGCCGATCCTGATACACATACATTCTACTCGAACGATGAGAGATTTGGATTTCCATTTGCCACAGCTTTGACTAGTGTCATTCCCGCCTTTTTTGCAACATAGACGAGAATGCCGTACTTCGTGAGCGAAATCTGCTTGGCGGTGTAATTTTATTTTTAGACTGAAGGTCGTTTGTGCAGTAAAGACGACGCGCCGACCAGCACGAAGAACCCTCGACACCCGTCAACATCTGCAGCGCCACGGCCATGTTTTCGTCCGCGGCGTCCGCGCCTTTTGTTTCCACCTCCCGCACAGGAGGTGGTGCTTATCCTTATCCACAATACGACGGCCCAACAACACCGCCGGTTCCCTACCTCGTGTGCTCCTTCGCGGTGACAGAGTTTGCACAGGCGGACATCACGCGGGAAAGTTTTGTTTCCTTGCTGCACTCCGAGCTGCGGAAAGTGAACAACTTTGCGTTGATGAAATACGACGGAGTCAACACCGCGTTGCGCCAGGCGTGGAAGGAGCTGGACGAGATGGCAAAGGAGGAAGCCCGGGCGGGTGACGTGACCACGAAACACACCCGCGTGTCCAAAGAGCGACTCAGGGGCAAGATCCGCGCGCAGGGCGAGGAACTCTGCTGGCTCGACTGGTTCCTGCGTGAGAACAAGGACACTTTGCAGCAAATTTTGGTGGAAGCGCAGGAGCGGAGGCGGGAGGATGAAGAGGATCGTAGACGTCGTGCGGCGGACAGGAGCAGGAGCAGCAGAAGACATCATGAAGACGCGACTATGCATTCAAGACGGAGCAGGGAGACGACGGAAAGAAACACGACCCCTTCGCGCGAAGTAGTGGAAGATGACGAAAATAACGATGATGATCCACTACCCAGAGGAGCAGGAGGTGGTAGTTCAAGTAGCTCTTCTTCGACGAGTAGCTACACCTTTGAGCCAGAAACCACGACGACCCGTCGAACTACGACGAATAAGCGCGACAAAGATTTTTCCAATCGGAGAAACAAAAGGTCCTCGTCTTCAGGTAGAAGTAGTTCTGAGGAAGTAGACCCCGCTGACACGAGAACTGGGGACGGAGCGAGAATAAATGCTACTGGGCATCAAGGAACAAACCGGCAAGATCCTCGTCCTCGCAAGGATAAGCATAAGGAAACAACACGCAGACGTAACAAGACAACGGCGCAGGTGGATGTGCATGAGCTACTCGAACAGTACCTTGCGGCTGAAGGGGCGACTTCTACGCCCGACGTGGATGATGTTCCGGAACAGGAAGATGCCGTTGGTCCGGCTGGTGCCGCATCAACAAATGACGTTCATGTTGATGAAAGACGACATGATATTGGTCAACAACACCACCTCCACCCGCAAGAACCTCCCGCAGCCGCCAGCAGTTCTACCTCTCGCGTGTACGCGAACCGGGTGTCCTTTGTGGCTTCGTCTCTCGGCGCGGACTCGACCACCTTCCTTTCGCTGCAGCTCGACGAGCTGCTGATCCTGCTCTCGTTGACCTGGCAGTCACTCCGCGGCGGCGGCAGCAAGGCCGAGAAGTGGCGGCCCGGGGTGAAATTTGTCCGGAAAACGCAGAAGTACTGGGTCCCCAAATCCGAGGTGGTGCGGCTGAAGACGGGGATTTTGGAACACTTGCCCTACTTGATCTTCGGCAAAAGCGTCCAGGAACTGGGGAAAATCTTGCTGCAGCCGTTCCGCGGCTACCAACTACAGGTGTTGAACAAGCGTGCTACGAACAAAGTCGTGGACCGGGAATCTGGTAGAAATGCAAGGTCAAACACAAACTCTTCAGGTGGTCGTGGTCAAGAACATAATCTCTCAAAAGGCAGCCAGAATGAGAATCAGGACGATGTTGAGGTGGAGGGCGACAGAATGAATGACGATGATACAACGAAGAGCACACCGGCACCGCAATCTGGTCGTCAGGGCGGGACCACTACCTTTACCGCGGCGCGCAAGAGCAACAGCAATAGCAGAGGAACTACTGCAACTGCAAGTAGTAGACCTTCGAAAACAAGCAAAAGAACAGACTCAAGCCAAAGCAAGAACAAAAAGTCAGACGAAATTGCTGTCGCTCGGCAGGAAGTAGACGAGGTAAATGACGACCCTCTGGAGGACACGGACCAGCAGCCGGACGACGAGGAGCCGCGGGTGTGTGAGACGCAGCAGATTACGTCCGTGTATTTGGACTCGCCGGACGCCACGTGCTACCACCGCCGTATCTTGCGGGAGGAGGGCGCGCGGCTCGTGAGGTACCGCTGGTACGGCGAGTCGGACGAACAAGACCCAAACGAGGAGATTTTCATGGAGCGCAAAATCCACCACGAGTGCTGGGTGGGCGATTCCAGCACTAAGGAGCGATTTACGATTCCCAGGCTGCTGTTACCCCAATTTCTGCAGTTGACGAGGCCAAGGAATGGGTTCTTGCTTGGGCCAGATGAGGATCTAAAAGATGATGAATTGCCGATTTATTCCACCAGTGACGGCGAACGCGAAGGAACTACGACCACCACGAGCATAGGGGAAGACGAGGACCAAACCGAGCGGAGGCGCCGCGAGCGAAAGAATGATAGAGGTGTTCAACATCATGATGGAACTGTAGTTCCTGCCGCGTCTACGAGTAGCACTTCTTCTTCATCCGAGGTGGAGGTCGAGGGTGAACATCAAGGACGTGGTCCTGCTCGTGGGCGACGGGCAGGGCCGGGGGGTGATCGTGAACTTCACGGTGCGGATGTTGAGCATCGTAGATTGAAGATCACGGGCCCACCGGTGGAACAAGCTACGGCGCAGAAGTACTTTTATCCAGGAGCAGCTGCTCTATTCGCAAAAGGTCTTCTCCAGCCTTTACTTCATCGGGGCAACAAGGAGAACGCAGTGCAAGAACATTATCAACGCCAGGACGAAATGAAAATTGTGCAACAGAAGCTGCGTAGCTCGTCGTCGTTACCACCGTGGTATCTCCTGTGGTGGCAGAGATACATCGAGAGTCAGCAGGAGCAGCTTTTACGACGCACGACAGATGAAACTACTATCGGGGAGGAAGAGTTGGACCCCACCGTCAGAGATGAGCGGGCTGAAGCGGAACTCCGCAACGCATTGCAGCTCGGACGCGAAATCCTCACGCTGCTGCACACCGACTATCAAATGTAAAAATGTCTGGGTCTGGAACAATGCAACTTGTCATGCTAAATTTGAAGTATGCAAAAATATGCGTTGCATGATTACCAAAAGCCGTCCAGTTTTGACCAAGTCGGGAGGGAGTTTCTCATGCAGGATAGGCATGAGAGAGATCGCACAGAATCTGTCATGCTAGGTCCTGCATTGCAGACCTTATGGGTCATGGAAAAGCTCCATGACAAATCGCGCATTCTTCCAGACCCAGACATTTTTGCATTTGATACCGACCAACTCCGCCCGATGATCCGCACTGCCTACAAGCGATGCGCCTTCCAGAGCGCCAGCAGCAACGAGCTGCGTATCTCACTGGACGTCGACATGCGCCTTCGCAAAGAGCATGGCGTAGTGAAAATGCCCGATGCTGATATGGATGCAGCTGTTGTTAGTACTCGAAATCCAACCAGACAGGAGAAAGCGAGGCTAAGCAGAAACCCAGCAACCGCAAATAAAGACGACGATTACCTCTTCCCCTACGCCATTTTGGAAGTGAAACTCGCTGGTCTGGCGGAGAATCCTCCGTGGGTGCAGGACCTGCTCTACCGCTGCCGAGCGATATGCATTGCAAAAGCATCGTACTAGTACAAAACGCATGACAAATTTTTCGTAAAGGAAAAATGAAATTTGTCATGTTGCAGAAAGCAGATCTGTCATGCAAGACCTGCATTTAGACTTATACGAGTACGATACTTTTCCACAGGATAGGCGACGCAAGTGTACAAATTCTCCAAATTTCAGCACGCCATGACGTTGCTGCACTATCAAAAAGTACCCTACAAACCGCACTGGTACGCGGATTTTGAACGGGGCGGTGGGCTGGCAGCTGTGCCTGTGAGTAATAGCCGCGAAGACATGCTGGGGGATGAACTAGGTGGTGGCTATAGTATCACAGGCGAAAGGAACTACAGGGATGAAAACGCCGGCACGCTCGTTACGGCCGTGGACGTGGACGGCGGGGGTCGTCGAGAGTTTGACGAAAACGAGGGAACTACAAACACGATCAGCACCGCACTAATATCGACGTTAGCAAACCAATCGCACAAAATCCGGAACATGCGCGTTTTGGAGGCCAAAGCGTTTTTCGCCAACGAGCGGACCTTCGTGCACTACGCGAAGCACGTATGAGAGTGCACAACTCCCCCTCCCCCTCATTTGTAATGCAAAGTACCAAGTTTGCACCTTGCTCGCAAGCACTGTTAGCATGACAAATTTTGGAACCTAAGATAGTATTACAATCCGCATCCAGATTTGTCATGCGAAAGCCCCTTTTCTGTATCTGTTGTTACTTGTGTTCGTTGCTGTTCATGCCATACAAAAGAGGGGGAGGGGGAGTTGTGCACTCTCATAGCGCGGGCTGGTCTTTCTCCTGTTTCTCCGCTACATTGCGCACAGCCAGAACGAGACGTGGCGGGGCTTGAGCTTCGTCCTCGCCCCCTTTCTGGGGACTTACTTTGTCTGGTGCCTCCTGATGTACCAGGATCGCACGCAAATCTTGGTGAAGCAGGAAGCGGTCTGCCGCAGCAAAAACTACCGCATGGACAGCGCCGAGGGACCGCTGCTGAGCTTCTTCCTCGCGGTTACGCTGTTGTTTGCGGTGCTGGTGTTGTTTTTCTTCGTGGATGAGGACGAGGGGGTGTGATGATGCGTTGGTGCAGCTCACTCATTTTTTTTGCGTACTTCTACGATATTTTTCATGCTGCATTTGCATTTTGATGACATTCATTGTCTCATCTGTCATTTTTTCAGCACAAGAAAGATTTCTTCATGGACAAAAATGCATCTTCGATCCATGCTGTGCTTGGTCGACGCTTCTACGATCATACAAAAGCCTCCTGGCGCCACTTCGAAGAAGGAGACAAAAGAATGGAAGTTCTTTTGGGACGACCACGAGAGAGCGTCGTCGTGAGCGCAAGCACGACAAAAGAACGATGATCATTCTGTTCCACCTGTTTCAGTTTCTCAAGAAGTTCTTCGCTCGCCTGAGCACCATCACTACCACTGCAAGTAATGAGAGTCGGGGCGCTATCGTGGCAGTCCATCGCGTCTAGAGTTGGTTTGCCGCAGTAGTTTTCGTTTTCCTTTCATCTGTTTCTGCGTGCGCGACAAAAATAGAGATAGACATTAAAGAGATGCGCAAGAGTTGTAAGTACAGAGCTACGAACTAGGACGAGTTGACGATTGTACTCGTGATTGCACTTTGTTCGACATTTTGGGTACTACTAGTATTCTACTTCCACCATCGCCCCCGCGCAGAGCCACGACGACGCGAAGCGGTGTGTGAGCGATACACGTGCAACTCAGTGTTTGGCTTTGAAGATAAAAAAGACACACAAAGGAAGTAGTGAAGGAACGTTCATCGAGAATAATACCATGGAGTATCAATCAAAACAAAGGTAAAAAAAAAACGCTGTTCTAAAAATACGCTATGCCTTCCAAGTCCACGCCCTCGGTGAGCCCGGAGCTGGAGCGGCTCCTGTTTCAGCAGAACAACAGTTGCACCTGTGGCGCAGGAACCGTGCTCCGCGAGGAGAAAAGGATCCTGCACGAGCGCGTGGCGCAGCTGGAGGAGCGGAAAGCCGGGTTTCTGCATGCGGAGGAGGAGGTGGAGGCGGAAATCTTGCGGCTAAAGTCAGAAACGGCCAAGCGGGCTCGGGAACACCGCGACCGGGTTGCAGACGCTACAACGTTGCACAAAGACCGGGAGAAGCTTTTGCTGAGAATTTCGGCGTTCCAGGCTATTATAGACGACGCGCGGAGGACGACGACCCGGCACCTCCAGGGACGAAGCGTTAGTAGTGGTGGGGCAGGTGATGAAGAAGATGTTGGACAAGATGGTACTTCTAGAAAGGTAGATAACATCAACATCCACACCGCCCAGCAGGAACAGGCGATCCGTGACTTGGAGTATCAGCTGGAGGAAAAAAAGGCCTTGATTTTCGAGCGAAAACGCGAGATTCGCGAAGAGGAAAGTCGCTGGAAAGAGGAACTAGAGACGCGTCGTGCAGCTGTCGCGACTTTGGAGGAGAAGTACGGGGCGAAGAAGGCGCTGTTGGAGCGGAGAAAAGTGGCGGAAAGAGAACTGCAGAAACTGCGGGAGGAGGAGGAGGAGTTGGAAGGCTGGGAGCAGGAGATCGCGGGAAAAGATGAAGGAGAAACGACCAGCGAGGGAAGCAAGGGTGAAACCGCACGACGCACAACGGTGAGTCCTCGGGCTCCTGGAAATGAGAATGACGCCGGTCGTGCAGCTGCTTGTACTACTACACAAAATGTAGTGGGGGAACAAGATCAGGATACCGGCGGGGAGCTGCAAACCCAAACTGTGCAAGAGCAGTCCTCGACGTCCTCTACCGTTGCAGCCACCGAAGCGGCACGTGCTGCGACCAGCACACATCAACATGATCAACTGGAGACCACCTTGCGGCAGGAATTGGCCCAGATTCGCGCCATCGAAGACCAAGCGAGCAGCTTGGAAGCGGAAAGACTCAGACTCGAAAAGGAGATCCAAGCCGCACAGCGCGCGCGGCGAGAGAAGGAACGCGAGCTGCAGCTCCTCGCGGATGCCGAGCGAGTACAGGGCGGGAAAAAACGGTTTCTGGAATTTTGGAAGCGGTTGTTACAGGACGTGGAGGGACTTCATCAGCGAACAGACGAGGGTGCATCGGGCGGGGACGCAATCCAGAGTCGGATAGACGCGTACAACGATACTGACTATGATTTCCCGCCAACAACTTCTAGCTCCTCTAACGGAGAGGATGCGACCAAGATGTCGTTTGTCTTCACGAGAAAGCAAGGTGTGGCCGCAACACGACGAGGACATTTTGGAGCTGATACATCAAGCACAGAGGCGCACAATAACATAATGGAGGATGTTGACCACGACGAGATCAATGACGCATCAGCGCTACAAGAGCCTGAGGTAGAGGACTTTCTCACGCTTGAAGACTACGTTGAACGGACGAGAAGCTGTCAGGATCATGATCTTCGTTTTCCATGGTTGGAGCATGCTGGTTCACTGGGGACTTCGGCTCCAGGCGATCGTCATTGGCATCGCGCTTCAGAAACTCTGGATGATGCGACTACTGAAGGCTCACACGACCACCGAGTGCCAAGGACTCCACGAAACGACGATGAGGCCTTTACAACTGCCCCCGCGGCGCAAATGAATCGAACGTCTACCACCCTGTGGCAAGTTCGTTTGGTGCCTCGCGAAAAGGAACAGGAAGATTTGGATTTGCTAGCACTGAAAGCAGCAGAGAGAGAGTGGCAGGAAAAATGCCGAGTTTTGCAGCTCGAACTGGACGAATTGCAGAGACGGTTTTGATCGATTTGCACTTGAGCGTACAGGTGCAGAACTAGAAAATACTCTAAGCAATTGCACCACTATGCTACTCAATATCAATTTGATTTTGATTTGAGTATGTATCTGAACTTGAAAACGAAAGGCGGAAGAAGCCACACAGTATGTCCAAGAGTAAGTTGAGTGTTGTTGTTCAACGGCACTATTTCCATCGTCGTGTATCGCAAGGGGGAAGTCGAAGTGTCGGTGTTTGGCTTTTCGTGGATGGGGAGGAGCTACGTGGTTAACTGAGTGAGTTATTGAATTCGTTGCGAAACCATGGTTCATCATGCAGTCGTGGTTTAGCCACGAATTAAAATCAAAAAGAAAAAATCCATTCCTAAATTAAAAATTCATTTCATTTGCTGCACCGGCGAAAAAAAGCGAATCCAAACTCAAACTAAATAGATTTAGATACGAATTATAAATATGTCGTGTTGAAGCATCGATTAAGTTTTCTCGATACCACCTGAATCACATACAAGAAATACCTTCGTTCCTCCAGAATGCCGTAGTTTCTCCTAAACTTGCCGGCTTTCTTACTGCTGGTGGCGGACAAGAATGTTGCGGACCAAGTCGGTGTCGCCAGCAACGGGCGAACATCTCACCTGACGGCGACGGGCGGGGTCGACAGCAGGCAACAAGACGAACAGTCCGCATCCCCCCCGTCGGTCTCGGAAATCGAAGACGAAGGCCGCGGAGAAGAGGAAAATCATGCCCCGAACCCCCGAGAAGCTTCCTCCACTTCTTTTTCCCAAACGGACAGCGTTCCGAACTCGACGCCAGCGGATTCTTCCCACACGAGTTCGATTTGGAATGACGAGGTGCAATCTGCGCGGTTCGAGGGGCAGTTCATGATGTATTTGCACACCACAACTTCGATGGAGCAACAGCTATTGCACACTGTTACTCCTGATGAGATGCGGAAACTGCAGGTATTCGTATTGATGGCCATCGCCATCATCATGCTTTAAGTAAAAAAAGAAGAACTTTGCAACAAAAATAATCATCAACATCAGAAGACAATAGAATAGTTTATTGCACATAAGATGAGTTTTGACTTTGATGACGAAAGGGAAACCAAAGCAATAGTTGTCCTTGTTGTCGTCTACTGTGACATCCTGCTTCATGTTGACCGATCAAGCGAAAAAGAAAAATAATATATCACGCTAAGGTACTGAAACAAGGGTTCCAGCTATACTCTCCCTGCTTGCTGCTGAGGTTCCCGGCGTACCGATATGGTTTGAAAGTTTTGAACTTATGCAATGCACAACAAGAAGTATCTGTAATATCGTACTAGCAATGTATTAAAAAATTGCTTGACAAATAAATCTGCGTCTGGCAGCATGCTGAAGATCATCAAAAATCGAATTTGTAATGCTTATAATTCGGCATCGGCTCCTTGATCATGATCTCGAGAACCAGACCATCTATCATGCACGATGGGAATGAATTAGTACGAAAACGATACTTGTTCTTTTGCACAGCATAGAGCTTCGACGCCGACAACAATTACATGCTGAACCAAACCGAGTTCACGATATGCAACCAAAAAGTGATGTTACGGCTTTGCTTTCTACACGTTGTATTGCGGGACAAGCACGACGGACAATCGATCCCTGTCATGCCGTACATTCCTGCGAGCGTCTTTTCATGCGTGTTGTTCCTCTTCCTTACGATGACGAACAATCGCAGCAGTAGTAGCGGTACCTTTTGCTTTTTCATAATGCCTGGAACAACGCTAAAAAATTTAGAGAATTTTATGTGTCGCTGAGTGAAGTTCTAAGAACAAAAACAAAGGTTTAATAGACTGTCTCAAGCACTTTTTTCCTTGGATACGCGAACTTTTTTGACCGGTACGGCGGGACGAAGCCATCGACTTCGAACGACACCACACTGCTGGTGGACGTCGGGCCGGCGAACACCACCAATCAGAGCAACAGTTTGATGAGCGCGGGCGCGGCTTGTTTTTCGCAGTTCGGGGCCGACCAAATCCCAGCGGTGGACATCATCGCGGCCGGTTGTTCGCATCAGTGCCGGGCCGGCGATGAAGAACAGAAGGTCCGCCACAACTCGGCTGGCCGAGCAGAGGGACGACCCTCGTCGACGATGCAGACCAGCATGACTCATCAGTCGTGGTCGTGGTCGAACCCGTTTTCGTCTTGCATGCGAACGACCGCGTGTACGGCACAGGAGCAGGAGGTGATGGACATCGAAATGGTCGGCGACCCACCGGAGAACTACCCCACACCAGCGGAGGCGGCAAAGGCGGCAGCGGCTCGCCAAAGACAGCTGGCAGAAGAATTAGAAGAAGAAGAGTTTCAACAACGACAGGTCAATAGATACCATCAGCTCATGGGCCCAAAGAATCTGGCGGCCGCAGGGTCCCTAAAAGACTCCAACCTAGCGCAAGTGCAGAAAATCATGCATGACCGAAACACGCTGCAGGACCGAAACCCCGGATTGTAGACGATATTTGCAAGAACTACAAAGAACAAGACTATGTATGAATGAGTATGCCGTCTTTTACCAGCAGACAACCAACAAACATCAGGACCCCTCCTTTCACCGAACACTGACGACCACACCAAACTACAAAAGCAAGCCAGCCGCCCCCGGCCGCAAGCTTTGCGTGCATGTTCATGTCGGCATCAACGAAAGGCGAAACTGTGGTGACAGTGTAAGACCCTGATGTTCCTTCACAATGACAACGACAAAGAGGAAGATCTTCTTTTCTTTTGCTGTTTAACGACGAATATATGAGTTTACTTGAGCTTGTGTTTGTCATTGTCTGTCAGTTTCTGTTTCACTTTCATCTGTTGAGTTCGATGAGAGACAGAGATTGGAGTTTGGTGCAACAAGCTGTGAGTATACGTTCTCGTTGAAACCTAAACTGACCCTGAGGTTGAGGTTGAGAGCAGGTGGATGAAAGAATTGATATTCACTGCAACGCTAGTAAAGATACGTACCCCTTTCAAGACGAGGAAGAAATCAAAATGGCTATGACATTGCCTGTCACGTCGCCTTCACCCTCTTCCATGGCAATTCCGGCTATCCACGCCCGGACCGGGGCCCAGGGGTCTGTTGTCACCCCGCGGGACGACGCGCGGATGTGGCGGGATGTGAAGCTGAATGCCAGCCGCAATGGTGTCCACACGCACAGTCAGCAGCACGTGGACTGCACGTGCGTGGTGGAGCTCTACGAGCTGCTTTGGCGGTGGGGGAACCTCCTGAAGCACAACCAGCAGCAGTCCGTGTCCTTCTTCGCGCGGTTCGGGTTCCGTTTGCCATATCCTGAGTAAAACTGTCCCCACCCCATAGACATAGTCAAGATGGGAAATCTGCTAGACAAATCAGCCAGCTTAGGTTGTTGCGCATGACAAACTTGGCCGCGTAGTGTATTCGTGTTCAGCTCGTTCCGCAGCATCACAGACCTAGCTCATTATGCTGATTGGCGCGTTACAAATTCCAAAGCACGACTAGCGAATGCTTGTCATGGGGCTCCGCATGAGAAACATTTGAGCATGCAGAATTGCATGACATCAACTATGGAGGGGAACGCTTTTACACAGGATATGCCAGAGTCCGTCGTCTTCGTGAACGGCAAGCCCTACGCCTGGTACTTCATCAGCCGAAAGGACGGGGCGCTGCTCCGAAAGAAGCCGGAAAGCCTCACCCACGCTGCGGTGGAAAAGCGTATACATTACTTTTCATGTAGTTATGCATGACAGGTGCTGTGCTTTGTTAATACTTTGTTCCAGCACGACGGACAAAAAATTCATCCCTGCTCACATTGATGTCTAGGTTTCTGCGGCAAGCGCAAGCTGGAGAAACAGGGCGAGATTTGCGCGACCTGGATTCCCATGCGTTCGGCGTTTGAGCTACACGGAGCAACAGCTTCCTCGGCAAATAAATTCGGAACCACGACTAGCTCTTCGCATTTTCACCAGAGAACAAGTAGAGGCGCCAACGAGGCCATTTTTTTCACGCCGGAACTGTGCAAGCGGTTTCTGAAGCACCTGGAGCGGCCGGATCTCGCCGTTCCCGCGGATTTTGGCCCGTACTTCAACCCCGGTCAGGCGTCCGGCGTGCTGCAGGAATTTTGCGTGCCCCACGGAGTCAGCAACTTTTTGCTGCGCGCGGTGGAGTACCAAAACAAGATCTCGATTAGCGTACGCACAAACAGACACCGGTTCTTCGGAGGCGGTGGGAGTGAAATAAACCACGATGCAGATGTTGACCACGCGGGTGGTCAGGTATCGAAGAACCGGTCAAAAAATACGAATGCCATTGGTGGTCAGCAGCAGGGCAATGGCAATTTCACAACCTCCACCCCCGAGCACGCTCCCGAAGACCAGACGACCGTGCTGACGCGGGAGCTGTGTCTCCGCGCAGGGATCTACGTGCCGCCACTTCCGAAATTGGACCTGTTGCGGAAAGGAATTTTGTCAAACGGCGATAGTGCAAAGGTGTTGACAACAAGTGGGACGACGGGCAAGAACGTAGAACATCAACATCAAAACGCGATGAATACCGGTAACCGTACCGTGCGCGAGTTGTTCACCAAAGCAGCGACGTTCGAGGGGTGGGCGGGACTTTCGGGTTGCAGCTACGCCTACGAGCAGCACTCGCAGTTGGACCCCGCGGAACTGTTGCTGTCGCAGTACGAGTACAGCGATGAGGAGTACGAGCAGAGCCCCATGCGGCCTCTGTCCCCCGCCGCGCACTCACCGGCGCATCTCCGCCGGTCTCGGAGTGCCACGCCGTTGGTCGGAGCAGGAGGAGCAAACGGCTTTGGTGGCTTCAATTCAGCATTCAGTCGAAGGTCCCCATCACAGTCGGCGCGCAGCAGCACGGGCACAGGAGGTATCATGCGTGGAGGTGGAACAACAGGTGCTGCAGCCGGTTATTCTTCTTTCCATGATGCACCAGCCGGGCCAACGTGGTCTCTGCCTGCCCACGCAGCCTCGTCGCCCGCGATTTTGGTCCACAACGAGTTGCAGCACGGCAGAGTATCATCTTCAACTAGTACTACCGGAGGCCAAAATCACAATACTGCGTCTGAAAATCATCATCCACAGCTTCCCGCCACACCCCGTGCTTTTCCGGTGGTTCGTGACGCTGTGTCTGCGCAGGAGAAGACATTCTTCGCGAAAAGAACCCGGAGCAGTCTGGAGCGAGCGGAGTTTCTGGCGCGGGAGGGTGCGAACCGAAAAAAGGAAGCTGCCGGCGACGAGCAGGGTAGTAGGTTTCCTTCGCCATTTCACTTCTCTGCGGACGACGGCGATGAAGAAGTACCAGATCAGCATCAGGACTATCGCTTTGATAGCGAAAATAAGGACCCCTCGCAGGAGCCTCCATCCTGTTCCCTCCTACAGATGAAGCCGAAGTGCACACTTTTCGCAAACCAGCGCTTCATCCACCCAGCGAAGGCGAGGACCAAGAAGCGGCAGGCAAAGACCACCCGCTGCATTGACGACGTGTTGCCGGTGGCGAAAGCCCTGTTCGAACGCATCCGGGCGGAGCGGGTTATGTATTGCAAATATGTCTGGGTCTGGAAGGATGCGAACTTGTGATGCGCATTTCACAACACAGACAAATCTCTCATGCCTAGGCAGCAAAAGGCGCCCACTTCTTGTCACCAAAATGGGGGATTTGTCATTCGGATTAGGCATTGCGAAACCTTCTCGAAACCTGTGATGCTAGGGCTTCCGTGCCAGACCTTCTGTGTCATGCAAAAACAGCATGACATCTTCCAGACCCAGACATTTTTGCATTTGATACGGGTGCGGCAGATGCATTTTTTGCGGAAAGACCAGTACATTGTGCTCCACTTCAAAATCGACCGGGAGACCAGGTCCCCCTTCTTCATCTTTGCTTCCGTATTGCCCGAGTCCGAAGTGATCGCGCACAGCTGTCCTTTGCCCACGCTGCTGGAGAATCCGGTTGTGTACCACCAGAGCGTCACCGGAAGGAAAGATGGAGGTGGTCGTGGGGACGATGGTGGTAGTGCGATTGGAGGGAGCACGGGTACTAGTTATTTCGAAGATGATTGCGGCACAGGAACAAAGAAAACGCGGCTGATAAACAAAGCAGGAGGTGTTTCGAGCCCCCCTGACACTGACAGGATGATTGGCGGCCAAAAAAAAGCAGGACTGAACAGTGCCAACAGCAAACGAAACAAAGAGCCGGAACAACCAGGAAAGAACAAGCCAAAGTCGGGGCTGCACGTGGCTGACCAAGCGCAAACCGCCGGCGGTGCACGGAGCTCTGGGCCTGTAGTTTCGGGTTCCACATCAACCCCCCGAGGAGCTGCAGATGAAACAACAGAATGTAGTAGTTCAGCAGCGCGCAGCCGAATGATAAGCGCAGACAGCATCTCGCTCGCCGCCCAGATTGAGCAGCTTAAGCAAAGGAAACAGGAGTTTATGACCAATCCGGTCGACGCATTTCTCCAAAACAACAATCCTGAGCTCGCTCTTAATGCCGATAGAAGCGGTAATTCAGCAGGCCGCGCAGGTTTGTGTTCGGCAAAGTTTCCGTCTTCGTCTTCTAGCAGCGCACAACGACCTCGACCCGCGTCGTCGGGTAATAGACAAAAAGGAACGAAGACAACTACAGCAACAGTTGCAGGTGAAAACCAGCATAACCCACACGTGAAGACCGAAGCCGCTGGCAGTACTGTTGATCAAGGTGCTATTAACGGAGGTGGTCACCACAACTATCACCACCCCGAGCCGAGGGAGAACAAAATGGCGAATTTTCTACTTGGCGGCGTGGTCCATTTGTCTTCCGGACGGCGGCTGCACCTCCGTCGCGAGGACCCAATCGGCGCGAGCGCGGACGCGAAAGTGCGAAAACACGAGAAGCGGCACTACATGACCCCGAAGAACAAAAAAGGCGGTCAAAGTGAAAATGATGTGTTGTCCACAACTACTGGCGTGACTACTACAAAAGGAGACGGGATGAATCCCCGACTACCACCTAGTATCGGTGGGTTCGGGAAGATCATCGTGCACACGGCATCGGGGAGAGACTCCGAGCTGTTTTCGTCCGACGAGAGAACCAGTACCAGAATCAGTAGTGGTGGAGGTGGAGGTGGTGGTAATCAGAAAGGCATCAAGAAAAATCCTCCTTCCTCCGCATCCGGAGCTGTAACTACAGCATCTGCCACTTCGCAGTACAAAGTCAACTCGGCCAGCGCCCGGGGTCCTCGGGCAACTAGTACATTGCAACTGACGACCTCTGTCGTTCCACCAGGTCGTGGAGCAGCTCCTGCAGTAGCTGCGAGCACGCGGCCGTCAGCGAAAAAGCCGCCAAGGATTCCGTCGCCCGTGTTTCAGTCGCTATCCCGGAAAAAACACCCATCCACATCCAATTTGTCATGCAAAACATACATAAGATCCTGTGTTTGTCATGCAAAAAATGGATGTGGATGGGTTTTTTTCTGTGGATAGTCGCAGACCGTACCGCATTCCTCCGCGGAGGCGGGGCGATTCGAGTATCCGCCGCCCTACTTGCTCGGCATGGAGACTATCAAGCATCCGCTGGTACACTTCAAATGAGCGTGAGGATATACGATAATAAATAGTAATACTGACAACAGCACCAGAAAACGAAACTAGTAGGAGGTACGAGCTGTGCTAAGTCGTCGCTCGTCTACGTCGATCAGGAAACAACTCATCCCAATAGTCAGTAACGAGTCATAGTTTGAAAGTGAAAGATCGCACCATCTAGTAGGTGCTACATGTACATGCAGTCACTTCTTCGTTTAGATTTGAATTTCGTTTTTACTTTTTTGGCATGGCGATGTCATGTCGATGATTATCTGCTCATGTAATCGGTCTAGAAGTTAAACAAGTAGAGGTCAAGATAACAAATGTAGGATTAATAGAGCGAGCCATCAGCTCTAACTTTGCGACAAGAGTGACAGAAATGTACCACTTGGACTTCCATCATGCGAGGACTGGTGTCGTAGTGAAACCGTGAGCTGAAGAAAATGAAAAATCAGAGAGGAGTAAATGCGTTTCTGTACACAGTAAAAAAAAGGAACTAAACATCAAGATCAACACCAAGACATCGACTTATTGTCATCTGCCCGTGAAGAAGAAATTCCACGCCAGCCCAGTATCCGAGTTCCGCCATTGCCCTGCTGCTGTAGAGGTAACAACTCGTCCGGAGAAGTTGTCCGATAAATCGGTCCTGTGTCCTGCAGCTCAGAACAATCGGTAGAAAAACCTGCTATAAACAACAACTGTTTAGTACACGGCAACCTCCAGCCACCTCTTCGTTCATGGCCGCTCCGGCTTTTAGTACCAAACGAAAATGGATCTTGATCTTTTTGTTGATGTTGGCGAGATAGCGGTGGCGCCCTACTCCCTGGGTGAAAATCAATGTGCAGATCTGTGGCCGCCTTCGCCTCTACGGATAAAGAAACACAAACATTTTTGCGCAAAGTACAAGGAGATCAAAGGACCGCTCGACCGCTTTCGCTTTCATTCTGCCCCGGCGCGGATTGAAAAACAAAAAAGACAAAGAACACAAACACGAACTACAGAACTTCCTACGGAAAAATTCTTTGCGTACTACTTCTCTTTTCATCGACCGCCGCGGCGGTTTTATTTTACAAGCGCGGCAGCTGATGTGCTACGAGCTATTTCCAGTCGTCATCTCCTCTGGCTACTTACTCGTCCGAGGAGAGCTAGAGCAACTTCATCAACAACGATCATATTCTTGCGCATTGCTTCTTCACGAAAGTCAAACATCCACCAGTATTTGTCCTTTTTAGAGCTGCTCAACTTTTTCATCACGAGGAGCAAAGATGCCGGCCGTCCTGCCCTCTTCGGACGCCTCTACGAAAAATGTGGCAGGCGATCCAGGGTCAACCTCCTTGCCCCCGAACGGTGCACCATCAATAAAGCCACCCCTCCCCAATGCGAATCTGTCCCTGGTCGATTTCCGTTCCGACACGGTGACCCAGCCGACGCGGGAAATGCGCGAGGCGATGGCCTTCGCGGGGACCGGGGACGATGTGTACGGCGAGGACCCGACGGCGAACAACTTCGAGGCCTTGATTGCGTCCGCTTGCCACATGGAATCCGGATTGTTTGTCACCACCGGGACGCAGTCCAACTTGTGCGCGTTGCTGTCGCACTGCGAACGGGGCGACGAAATCATCACCGGGGACCACGGCCACTCCTTTTACTACGAAAACGCCGGCGCCGCGTGCTTCGCGGGGTGTCAGATGTACCCTTTGAAAATGGACAAGGGAAGGTACGAATTTTCCGATATCGAGCACGCCATCCGGCCGGACAACGTGCACTTTCCGCGGACCAGGCTGGTTCTGGTGGAGAACACGCATTTAGGGCACGCGGTGCCGGTGGAGTATTACAAAAAGCTGCGGGCCTTTGTGGACAAGCTGAACGAGGGGAGGAAGTATTTTTGAGATCATACTTTTGATATTTGAGCTCTGCGATTCCGATTCACATTCATTGTTTCGTTTTTCGTATGTTCTTTTAGATGATTCCGTATATTCGAGAGTTCCATTCACGGTTGTCGTTGTTAATGAAAAAATATGCATTGAATCTTGAACTACAAAAATCAGACACAAGATCCTGATCCACTGTGACGGTGCCCGGATTGTGAACGCGTGTACGTATTTCAACGTCGAGCTGCATGAGTTTACACAGTATTTCGACAGCATTTCCATCTGCTTTTCGAAAGGCATGGGCGCTGCGATGGGCAGTATGCTGATCGGCAAGACGGACTTCATCAACACCGCGCGACGGTGGCGCAAGGCCGTTGGCGGGGGTATGCGGCAGGTGGGAGTTTTGGCCGCGGGGTGCGAGTTCGCTTTTCTCAACCACAGAAAGCGACTACAAGACGACCATGACAACGCGGCGCTGCTGGCGAGTTTGATAGCCAAAAACTGCGCGTCGTCTTTGAAGCTCGAAAACGAAGAGAACCGCACGAACATGATCTTTTTCTCCTTTGTTTTGACGGCGGAGCAGAAAAAACGGGACGCGGAAATTTTTGACAACTTCGCGGTATTTACGAGGGAGAACGGCTTTATCATGGGCAATCCGAAATACACGCAGGGCATGGTTCGGATCGTGACGCACCTGGACGTGGGGACAGAGGATGTGGAACGACTAGCGCTGGCATTGAAAGAATTTTGTGAGACGCATCTGGCTTCATGATAGGGACGATGAATCCGAAAAAACGACAGCGGAGTAGTACTCCAATTGAAAGACGCAGCTTATTGCTTCAGGTTAAACTCAAATTGAAACTTCCCCGCCAAAGTAATAAATTATGCGTAGTATTTGCGTTTGTGCGGCGACCCCGGGAACAGGATTCTCCTGTGCGCTGCATTCAGCATTCCGAGGCACCAGCATGCCTCCTAGCCTGTTGCAAGTTGTCATCCCTGATGTTCCAGAAACCTCGTTGAGAATATGAATATGTGTTAGTTTTTTTGCGCATGAAGCTATATAAACCAGTGCGAGGACGATCTTGAATGATGGGCAGGATGTGCATCATGACCAAAAAAAAATATCTAAGTAGGTCGGTGGAAATGTTTAGTAGAGGTGGACGAGACGAAAATTTCACTCCACCTTCATCTAAAGTTGCAAGCTACAAATCAACAACATGGCCGCAGCTTCCTCCTCCTCGTCCCGACTTCTCGTTTCCCAGTTGTCTTCCGACGACAAAAAGAAGCTGGAGACCCTTTCCACCGCGGACTTGTGTGACGCGTACGGTGATAGGATTCAATACCTCCCACAGACGTTTTTGCACTTTGGGACGAAGAAACACTTCTGCGGATATGTGGAAACGGTGGACTGCCGGGTAGGAAGCGAAAGTGCTTCAGAAGCCCCCGGCGCACCATCTACATCTACGACACCAAGACCCCCCCAGCAACTGGAGCTGGACAACAGCTTTGTAAAGAAGGCCGTGGCGGTGCAGCGCACCCGTCCCACTGTGCTCGTTGTGGAGGGGAACGGCGCTACCGCCACGAACGCGGTTGTGGGCGATTTGATCGCGAAAGAAGCCGTGAAAAACGGCGTGGTTGGTTTTGTGGTGAACGGGAGAATACGGGACTCCGCGGAGATGGAAAAGCTGGACATCGGGGTGAAGTGTTTGGGCACGCACCCACGGAAAACCAAAAAAGCGGACAAGGGGCGGTTAGGAGGAAAGCTATGTTCTTTCGGAGAAGTAGGCGGGTGCTGTGTAGTGAACTCCGGAGATTTCCTCGTTGCGGACATGGACGGCGTGGTTGTGGTTACGTCTTCGGAAGGCGGTAGTATTTGTTCTAGCGGGGGTTCATCTTCGAAGCTGTGAGCAGCAGCTCGAAGTGGTCATAGTGTCAAAAGCAGAAGAACGTGTGCCGTCGCCCGACGTTGAACTTACTACCAGCTGCGGCGAAACCTGGATCGTGAAGCTTGAGCTGCAAAAGAAAGAATGTATAGGCAGTCCTCATGTCTTCATCTGAGCCCGCGTTGGCGCTGGTACGCCTCAAAAAGGTACTAACGGTAAGTACTGGCAGCACTGAGGTTCCGTGGTGTTGTTCCTCCTCCTCTTCCGTGTTTTGATCTCGTTTTTTTTTTCTCCTGGTCCAGCGAGTGGCTGTCTGTAACAGGGAAAGTAAAAACACTGTTGTGGTTGCAAAGCAGATGAAGGAACTAACTCGAAGCCAGAACTTTCAAAACGAATCAGATCCAGTGCAACTGGAGTGCCCCCCGCCTTTGTAAAGATTCAGGAATCGGTCAGTCTCAACAACAAGTCCGCACGGTGGGGCATGATTAAATCATATTTAAAGCCAATAGTAATGCCGATTCACCGAAAACTGTGTCCTCATTTGAAGTTGGATCATGACTTCAACAAAGAGCTGAACGAACGGTATCATTGTGCCGGTAAGATGAGCATACTAATACCAGGATAGAAAAAACAAAAAGAACAGACTTTCTGTACTTTGATCTGGCTGCATCGAGAGGCCCTGCTGGTTCGTGATTCTTTTTTTTCTATTTCGCGGTTGATGTTGAGCTCATTTTTGAATAGAAGAGGACGATATCGATAGAAGGTACGGAAGTGAGCATCTACATTAACATTAAACATGTGAAAAGAGTACTACTCGTTCGCAATTTTTCGACCCGTGCCCGTTTTCCAAATTAAAAATACAGAGAGGCAAAAAGAACCATAGCCCGTCCGGGACTGATAAATCATCAAGATGGCTCCATTCAGTATCAACTCGAGGAAGCTCCTCTGGTGGTGGTTTTCTTTCGGCCCCGCGGTTTTTCTCTACAACTTCGATCCGCAGCTGACCTTTTTCGCCACCGTTTGCGCGGCCAATGTGCAGTGTCACTGCGACCACCACGCTTCTGCCTGCACGTGCGGGTCGGAGGAGCTGCGCAGGACACCCAGTGGGTATTTGGTGCCAGTAGAAATTTTGGTAGGTGGAAAAGCTGCGGGTGTAACAAATGGAAATGCTGTGCAGCTGAACCCGTCAGGGGACCACAGTGCAACTACCGTTCTTGTTCCCGCCCTGGCGACGGCGATTTTTTCATCAAACAACAAGAATGATTACGGCGCGCAGCTGCTAGCGGCACCATCGAGTACAACTTCAAGCTCGCAAACAACCACTTCTGCGACTGTAGCTACAACACCTGTGAAGAAAACAAGTCTACCCTCGTCACCACCGCCACAAGAACCATCTTCACCGCCTGCGCCACCGCCGCCCGCGGCGGCGCCGACGCCAAGCCCACCAAGCTACGGGCCGCCTCCTTTCGTCGCCAATTTTCTAAAAAAATTCGGAATTCCCTTCGGCAAGCCAAGTGGTGGTGGTGGTGATCCCGCTGGTGAGGCGAAAGCTGAAGCTGCCGGAAACGCCAAGAACTCGGAAAAATCTTCCGTATCGTCTGCGAGCAGTGGCTTTGCCGGGATGATTCCGGGCGGGGGCGGCGGACCGCCGGCGTTTATTGCGGACAAACTGAAGGCCTTCGGCATTCCGGTGGGAAAACCGGATGGAAAACAGGCTAGCAGCCCCGGGTCGCCTGCTTCAGGGATACCGTCTTTTGAGTCCAGTTTCGCAGGAGGACCCCCCTCTTCGCCGGGCGGTGGTGCGTCGGGCGGTGGCCCGCCGCCTTTCATCGCGGACAAGCTGAAGCAGTTTGGTATTCCAGTCGGCAAGCCGGACGGCAAACAACTACAACCGGGTGGAATCGAAGATGATAAAAAGACCGCCGGTGCAGCAGCATCTTCGCCCTTTGCCGCCGCTGGCGGCGGAGCAGGAGGTCCCCCACCGTTCGTGGCAGATAAGTTGAAGCAGTTCGGTATTCCGGTGGGAAAGCCTGAAGGGAAACCTGCTGGGGATGAAGCTGCAACTACTCCTTGTCCTGCTGGGGCACCTTCTTCAACATCAGAAGATGCGCATGCAACTCCTTCTAGCACCAGCAGTGGCCCCCCGCCATTCGTCGCAGACAAACTGAAGCAGTTTGGAGTTCCGTTGGGGAAGGATGATAAATCTGAGAACAAGAAACTTGCAACTCCAGCAGGGGCGGGTACGTCAACACTACCGGAACAGCCCAAGGCGAAAGCACAAGCAGCACCACCAGCAGCTTCGCATGAAGGAAATTCTGCTTCACCCGCGGTTGGTGCTCCAGCGCCGAAGGAAAATCCGACGAAGAAAGCAGCTTCCCATTCTGCTGGTGCACCAGGACCACCAGCTACAGCCGCTGCAAGCGCCAGCAGTCCGAAGCCCATCGTGCAGGCCGGCACGGTTGTACCCTTGCAGCGCATCCTTGTTGAGAAAAAAGCACAGCGAAAGAGTGCTACAGATTTGTTGTTCAATCCCGCCACGACTACGGCAACTACGCCACAGTTCCGCCTGCTCAATCTGGCCACGCTGCTCGCCCAAGACTTCCGGCCGATGGAGCTGCTGCAAAATGTCGCGTATCCTGCGCAAAACAAGTATCGTATAGTAGTACTTCAACATCTAGTAGAATAAATCACTATTTCCTCTTCAGCATGAGAAATGCAATTCAGTTGTGTATATGGTATGAGCAGTGCGATACAACTTTTGCGAATGCATATCGCGGACGCGCAGTACATCGGCACGATCGAGGTGGGAACGCCCAGCGAAAAGGTGAATGTCGTATTTGACACGGGGAGCAGCGATTTCTGGCTGCAGCTGGACAAGAAGTCCTCGACGCTGCAGCAAATCGCGACGACGCTATGAACTGTAAAAGTATCGTACTAGTACAACAAATCACATGGCAAATTTCCTGAGCAAGACAAATAAAATTTGTAATGCGGATTTAACTTGTAGTGCATGAATGCGATTAGTACGAGTACGATACTTTTGCACAGGATAGACGCCGACCGTGATCAACTACGGCAAGGGGAGCGTGATGGGTTACGAGTCCAAGGATCGCATTCGCATCGCGGGCGTGGTAATCCCGGACCAGGAATTTGTAGTGGTCGACCAAACGCAAGATTTGAACAACGCCCTCTTTCATGGCGTGATCGGCCTGGCGTTCGAGGGCTTGTCGGTCAACAAACAGCCGGAGCAGACATTCCTGGCACACATGCTTCGCGGTGGGGTGGACGGGTATGTAGTAGGGACGGGTTGTTGATGCTTTTCTGTACATGATTTTTACGATATTTGTACTGCAAGAGCAAAAGGAGGGAAAGTCCACGACTCTACGCTGAATTTGCAATATGACCCGCCAGTTTAGCTACTTTAAGAGCGTCAGACCGTTGCTCGTCACGTTTTGCGACGAATGCGGCGAAAAAGCTAGCGGTAAGAAATAACCCGACCAATGAAGAAGATTTTTACATCGATTAAACAGTTTCTGTGTGTACCTGACGGGGGAATACAGCGGTGAGGATTCCAAGGTCGCCTTTGGTACGACGATCCCCGACTCGTGGCCTTACGACCGGAGCAGCCTGGCCTTCGTATGGCGTTCTCAACTGTTACATTCCCAACTGTTGCATGAATCTGTGATGCAAGAAGGGCAAAACTGAAAGCAAAGGGGGAAGATTGCGCCTTTTGCATGACAGATTTGATGGCACAGATTCAGAGCCTGTTTGGGCCTTGCAGAATTTGTCATGCGCAGCGGCTTGAAGATCGCGTCGAATCTGATTGGAGTTTTGCATGACAAATCATGTAGTAACAGCTGAGGATGTAACGTTTGAGAGCGCCATACTTCGCCCCCGTAGCCTACGACGCGAAGCTGTGGTGGGCGTTTCCCGGCAGCCTGGCCGTCGGCGGGGCGACCTTTGAATCCAACTTTGTGCTGGACACGGGCACCAGCTTTATCGCCATGCCGCGGTCGCTATCAATTGCAAATATGTCTGGGTCTGGAGATTTGTGATGCTAAAATAAATGTGCATGATGAAAAAAAATCCTCATGCAGGAAAGCATGACAAGTTGTCTGCACAACGCTTTATCATACGAACTCCGCACGAGAAGCTGCGTTTTTGTATGACGTGACAGGCTGCCGCTTATTTTGTTGGTCATGCAATACAGATTTCACAGGAATGCAAGACCAGCATTACAAGTTCCAACTTTCCAGACCCAGACATATTTGCAATTGATAGTCGCTGTTCGTGGTGTTTCTCATGGGGTTGCTAGGTCCCGCCGCGTTTTCAGATTGCGCCTTGGCGCTGCCGCAGCAGCTCTGGATGTGCCCCTGTCAAACCGCGGCGACAGCGTATTAGCAATAATATCAGTTTGATGTTCGACTTCGATAGAGCTTTTTGCCAACCCGAACGCAGCAGCTTCAGCTTCTACAGCTGCACCTGAAATAGGAGCACCTTATTCCACCTTAACAATTTCTCTTTCGCAGACCACCGTTAGCAGAAGGCAGCGAGTGGAAAGCGGAGACACAACATGATCAAGATGAACTTCAACTCTTCAACAAACCTAAAAAACAAAACAGCAACACCGTGACCGTAGAGATGAACGGGCAATCGTATCCGATCAGTCCGGCGGAGCTCTTCCAGCCGACCGGACTCCCCTCGCCGGAGAGCAGCCGGGCCACGGGGGAAGCCGACACCCTGTGCCTGCTCGAGGTCATATCAAATGTAAAAGTGTCTGGGTCTGGAAGAATGCAACTTGTCATGCTAAATCTAAAGCATGCAAAAATCTGTGCTGCATGATTACCAAAAGTCGTCCAGTTTTGACCAAGTCGGGAGGGAGTTTCTCATGCAGGATAGGCATGAGAGAGATCGCGCAGAATCTGTCATGCTAGGTCCTGCATTCCAGACCTCATGGGTCATGGAAAAGCTGCGTGACAAATCGCGCACTCTTCCAGACCCAGGCACTTTTGCATTTGATAGGTCATGCCGACAAACGAGAACATGCCGTTTCTCTTGGGGGACACCTTCCTCCGTCGCGTCGTCGCGGTGTTTGACGCAAAGAATCAAAGAGTAATTTTTTATGTATGATACTAGAGTTGTACGCCTTACCTTTTTCTCTTTCTGTATGATTAATCTTTGAAGTTGTGGATGTTCTTGTAACAGCAACTCTAGCTCTAGTTTTAGCTGCTGCTGTTCTCTTGGACGATTCTCCTCGACCGAAGATCACATAACGACTATGAAATTTGTCAGGTCGGCCTGGCTCGCCGCGCTTCGAGCAAAAAGGCTCCTGCCGATTCGGCTGCTGTTGAGACGGGAGAAGCTTTCAAAACGACCCGTGAAACTACGACAAGCGAAACAAGAACCAATGAAATCGAAGCGGGTCCTGCGGGCTCGTCAAAAACACAACTTAGGTTGATTCAAGATGACCACGACAGCACTCCATCTGTGGAGGTCGTCGTGACAGGAACGGACAGGAGGCAGATAAAAGCCGCTAGTAGTGGTGCCTCCTCTTCTTCAGATTCAAGAATAGTAACCGCGACACGACAACAACACGGGCAACCCGTGGCACAACAAAGAAGTGCTCAGCACGTTCAACTGTTTTCGTTCACCGTGACAGCGTTTGCCTGTATGGCCATGCTGCTGTCCGTTTTGCTTTTGTTACGGGCTGGCAGACACGAAGACGACGATATCGCGCACAACTACTTCTTCGGGAACAACGCAAGAGGAGATGGCGGCGTGGAGCGACCCTACGTGCAAATGCAAGACTAGGTCGAGAACGTGTTGGAGGATGAGCACCAACCGGATTTCTGCTCCTTTGGACAAAATTTTCGAAGTGATATGCTAAATTTTGCAACAACTTCGCTAAGAATTACGATAGCAAGAATCGCCGCGCAAAAGCAGCGATGAGACATGGGTCAGCTAATGACTAGCATGTACTAGCGTCATCTCGTTCTTCGTCATAAATAAAATATATCAAGCACACACTAATAAATATTGTAAAACGATGCTGAAGCAGCTAACGCCTCCGTCCATATCGGGTTGGCAGTATGCCGGAAAGCCCTCCGGTTTTGCCTGCAGAGTCTGTGTTGTTTTGTTCGTCAAGATTCGTGGTAGTCGTATTTTGTCATACAACGTCGCAGAAAATTTTCCGTCCGGACAATTCTGATTCTAGGATCATCATCATTGATGTTTCGGGTCGTTATAGCCACAAGCTCGTGGTCGTGAACGCTTGTATAAAACTCAAAACAAGTAGACCAAGGACGTGAGTCCGGATTCGCTTCGCTTATTTCGTACAATTCGCGTCATCTCATCCTGTTTCTCGTTTGCAAGTAGGGACAACAAGGATGATTCGACAGATGGCCTATCCCTTTGCTTGAACAAGTAAAGGCAAAGGGCAAGTTCAACGAAATTGTGAATTCAATGCCAACATCATAGCAAAGAAAAGTCCGCTCTTAGATTTTTACAACGTACAACAAACTCTGTGTGTCCTTCTGATTGCACTTTGTTTTTTTCTACAGCATCGATTGTGAAAGAAAAAACGCAAAAATGGTGTTCTGGATGGAACAGTGTTTCACCGACACCCAGGATGACAGCAAGCTGGGGCAGGTTGGCTGTTGCCATTGCGACCGCTCGCGGGAACCAGGGTGCTGCTTGCGGTTTTGGTCCGGTTTCTTCAGCTCTCCTTGCGGAGCGGGAATGTGTCTGACGGGGAACTACGACGGTCCCGGGTCGCGTACGAGAGTGGTGCACAACTCAAACTCTCCCTCCTTGTCGCTTTTCATAGCCTCTATCATGGAATAAACAAAAAGAACAGCAACGCTGCACGTTCCCTGGCATGAGAAATCTTAATCTGATCTACACGTACATGTAGAGTGTCTTTGTGTCTGGTCTCCCGACTAATAGTTTCATGCTCACTGTGCCGAACGAGAACCGCAATGACAAATGAGGGGGACCGACGAGGGGAAGTTGTGCGATCTCATATTGCGGGCCTTCAAGTTGCAATTGTGCCTGTTCTTCTTGGTGCTTCTGCCGGAGCTCCTCTATCGCAGTTTGCACCTCGTTATACTCCTCTGCAACCCGCTCCCGCCCCAAGCGAAGGTATGAGACGAGGACGGGGAGAACTAAGAACTTGAAAATATAATTCTGCTGTAGTTCTGTTGATGCTGCAAAAACTTGGAACTTCAACTTTTGGTATTGTCTACTCACTTAAATAGAATGAAGACACTTCGGTATTTTATTCAGGTCTCCTACATCGCGTTCGATGAGCAGGTCAAGTACGAGTTTTCGCACTCCTACTCCGACGACGTTTTGCCCCTTATCATTGTGCACGTGGTACTAAGTGCAAATATGTGTGGGTCTGGAAGATTGTTAGACTTCTGATGCATAATATCTGACATGTAGATGTACGTGACAGACCGGAGACTCTGCGATGGTGCGTGAGCACGAAAGGGTCCTCTTTTGTGTTATGCAAAAACGCAGCGGCGCGGGCGCGGCCAGCGCGTCATGCTCATGATGCGGAGTACGCAACAAGCCATTCTAGCAGCCCAAAAATTATTTATTATTTGTCATGCTTGGCCTTGGCTGCGTATGCGTAAGCGTATTGCAGTGCGCATATCACTGACATTGTCATTCACTTTTAGCATTACAAGGCCCCAAGTGTAACGTTACAGCGCGAATAGAAAGACAAAGAAGCGAAAAGCGACAAGCTTAACCTTTTACGTGTGGAGCGTGTTCACCTCTTGTATAATTACAACTTTCTAGTCCCAGACACATTTGCGATAGATATGTGGTCGTGGACATTTTGACGTTTGTTGCCTGGATCACCTCTGTGGTCCACCTCCTCATGTGGGTATCCACAAAAAAAGACCCATCCCCATCGAATTTGTGATGCAAAACATGCATCAAGTCCAGTGCTTTTCATGCAGAAAATGGATGGGGATGGGTTTTTTTCTGCGGATATTGGGAACCGAAGACCTACATGAGCAGAAACTCCGCCGTTGTGGGGCCGCCCACGACAGTGTAAGGAGAAGCAGAGGACGGTCGTCGAGGAAGTCGTCGCGTTCAAGTCGCAAAACTAAAACAAGGATTTTAGTATATTGATTTTTTGGCACAGTCAGTCGTGTACACTCTATTGTATGATTTGTTTACGACGAAGATTACGACTAGTGCCAGAATGACACTTCGAAGAACAAAACCCTAGAGAACTACAAACGTACAATGAATTTCAGTTTGGATTTGGTCATATCGACTTTGTGTCGCGATTGAAGTAGAATGATTGGCATTGGCCACAACATGACAACTTTACAAATTACCTCGTCATGTCATTACTCTTGCAGCTGCAGCACGGTAGCGCGCACGATCGCTTGAGTTACACCTTTTGTCGATTACAGTATACAAATACATCATTTTTATTAATAGTTTGCTTTGCACCGCGTTTATTCGTTGTATAGTAAAGATCTCGATCTGTTGGAATTACAAGAAGCACAAAATTAGATATTAGTATCACTAGTAGTTTTGTGGTACTGGCAACAATTTCACGAAAAATTGCAGTATGTCCCATATTAGCAGCTTACCACACGAGATAAAGAAAAAGCACACGACCGCAAAATCTCGCATGGAGGAAACGATCCGCTGAATTGAGTCCATTGCTGTCTCGAGAAATAAGGAAAAACGCAGCTTGATGTTGCTTTGTTGCCTATTTAGTGTGTAGTTCTGGAGCACCATGCGTCGTCTGGTCTAGCGAATCGTTCGGTGTGTTCTGGAGATGTGGAAGATGGCGCTCCTTTTATTTCTGGTGTAGATCAACTATCGTCCGCGAGCTGGTGGAGCGAGCTCGTCGAGTAGAGGGAAATAGAAAGAGAGAAGCTTGCTGTACCGGTTGTAGTGGAAGATTGCTTCGCTTACTTCGCACAACTCTTGTCCTCGTAGATCGAGTTGACAGCTAATATATGGACGGTTCAATACCACAATTTGTGGACTCATCCATCTAAGTATCTTGTTCATCTCTACAACAAGAACCTACCCCTTCGTAATCTGTGTCTAAGTACAGCTTTTGCTTTATAATTTCTAAATTCAACAACGTCAACGACCAGTTACACGACGTGGGGTAAATAGCAATCAAAATTAGCGAAAAAAATATATGGTGTTCTTCCTGGAGAAGTGTTTCAACGACACGCAGGATGACAGCAAATTGGGGCAGGTTGGTTGCTGCAACTGTGACCGGTCGCAGCCGCCGGGCGGGTGTCTGCGGTTCTGGTCCTGTTGCTGCAACGGTTGTTGCGGAACGGGTGCCTGTCTCACCGGGAACTACGATGGTGCCGGATCGCGGGCCTTCAAACTGCAACTGTCCCTGTTCCTCTCGGTTTTCCTTCTGAAAATGCTCTTTTTACCCACGCTGGACGTCATCGTCCTCGCGAAAACGAGCCGCGGAAACGGACCTCCACCTACGTCCACCGCCACCGCCGCGCCAACGGAAGGAGCAACTAGTGGTACAGCCGCGTCAGGTACAGCAACCCAGTCGGCCTCGGCGTCCTCTAGCTCTACTAGTATGGCGGAGCTCCGGCACGGGAAGAGGATTGCGGGGGAACAAGTAGATCTTCTTCACGATTTTCAGACCGCGCAAGAAGATCCTCGCCAGGTCATCGAAATCTCCGCCGTGGGCGACAAAGGCGAAGCGGGACAAGGCTCATCTACCGCCGCTGGTACTAGAAGTAGAACTACTACTAGTACCTCCTCCGCAGCAATGGTGCAGCTCAACCAGCAGGAGAAGTCCTCGGCAAACGTAAACATGAAGATGAAGCAGGGCGTTGAACAAATGGCGGATACACCAACAAAGGCGGCGGGAATGAAAACTGCGAAGAAAGTCGTGCAGGAGGTGGACACGACGGGCCAGGGCCAGGGGAAAATCAAGGACGCCGCGGCCGCCCAGGAGGACGGAGAGAAAGGAGCCGCGCTGCAGGGAGACGAACTAAAAGCCGAGCTGCAGGAAGTCGAAGCGGATGCAGCGGAAGCGTTCGACGAGACGAACTTCACGGGCTTGACCATTCTTGTGGTCGCGCGCACGGTCGTGTATCAAATGCAAATATGTCTGGGTCTGGAAGAAGGTAAATTTGTGACGCGAATAAATGTGATTGTAAATCTGAGTTGCATGACTGCCACGAGTTCTTACCAGTTTTGGGTGCAAGGTGAGCGGGAGTTCTTTCTCGTGCAGAGGAGGCATGATGAAGACGTCATAGAACAATCTGTCATGCTAGGCCCTGCATTCCAGACCTCGTGGGGCTTTGAAAGCCTGCATGACGATCCTTGCACTCATCTCCCACAGGAGGACCCAGACATATTTGCAGTTGATACCGTGGATGGGATCGCGATTCTCGTCGAGATCATGTCGCTGATCCACCTGTTCTATGAACTGCAAAAGTATCGTACTTGTATAAAAAATGCAAGTCTTGCATTACAAAGCTTGTTCCCAAGGCAAATCTGCATATACAAATTTTAATTCTCATGCTGAGGAAATAATTTGTAATGCAGTTATACGAATACGCTTGCTCTTTTGCAGTTCATATGTTCACGTGGGACGCGAAGACCTACCAGAGCAAAAACTCCGCCGTCGTGGGGCCGCCCACTACCGTGTAAGGAGTGGAAGCTCAGTGCTTCTACTCCTTATCACCCTCATCTTTCGGTACTAAGAGCAGCAAGAGCGTGAAAGATCAAGATGCTGTGTCAAGATTTTGAGCAGGTGGAGGACCTCGAACTACAGCAGCAGAATGTTATGATAAAATTAAAAATCAGCCCCTGTTCTTGAATATGTATATGCCTCTTGTACAATTTGAAGAGAATGTATAGCGAATCCCGCCCAGTCAATATGTATTAAGTTGCCGTGTACGTGAACGTGAATGAAAATCAATATTTGTTTGAGTTTCTCTGGAAGTTTGTTTCACTACAGTATGTAACTGGAGTACGAATTTCCTGGTGCAGCTGGTGTTCCTAATACACCGGCTACATATCCTCCTATGTCGAAGCCCTCGGGTTGGGTCTACTTTCAAAGACACTGGTTTGAACAAGAAGATGGCGTCGCCCATCGCTACTTTGGCACATGAGTGCCTGCCAATACCGAAAAAATCACCTTATGTAAAAAATGATCTGACCACAACGAACAAAAAGATGAACAGAAAAAACATAAACAACCTGAGCAATGGGCACGAGCAGGCGTCCTCTGGTGCAGCGAATCGCTCGATCTGTTCTGGAGATGTGGATGCCGCTCCTTTTATTTCTGGTGTAGATCAACTTCAACTAGTACCGTCGTCGTTCGAGAGCTGGGGAGCGAGCAGAGGGAAATAATCTTCAGCATACTTATTCGCTGAACAGAATCTGTACAACATGAGAGCGACGTCGGAGCTCTTTTTTTTTTGTGACTGCGAAAGAACTACATGGGCAACGTAGTTCTACTGCCTAGGTTTTTTGTGAGCGTGAAGACGAAGTCGTGCAACTACAAGTAAGTACACGCGACATATTTTCCCTTTTATGTGATGTAGCAGAAGTTGTGAGAATGTCGTGTAGAAGATATAAGTTTCTGCCTCACCAGTAAATGCAACACTCTACTGCCAGGAAGCCGTGGCCTTCTCCAGTAGTTAACTTCCACTCCAATCTTCAATAAATCAATGTGGTGTTTTATTCTTGTAGGTTGTAGAACTAGAAAAATTAAATTACCTTGAATTGTGACCACGAGGCGAGTCAGAGTCGACTCCAGCTTATGATCGTGGAGTTTCTTGTTTCCGAGAAATCAAGCGTACATAAAGGATTTTTCATCTTTTTGTTTCCGCATAACATCCTGTCCTCGTCTGTTGTAGTACCACAAAGATGCCGGGTCCACGCTTAGGGGAAGCGGGAGAGGAATTCATCCGTCTTCTGAGTGATCTGAACGCTCAGGATAGGTGCGGGAAAAATCTGCACCACAAGGAACATACACCTGGATAATCTCGTTTAGCAGGAAGTTTACAGGAGTGTATTTATATGACGCGAAGAAGTTTATCAAGGAAAAGCTTGTTTTCCTTTTGCTCCATTACGCATTGTGGTGCAGTTTTTTCTTTTTCCCAGCATAACCATCATGGCATTTGATTTCTCGCACCCCGAGACCGAAGCGCCCGAAAAAGAGGCCTGGCTGCCGGTATGCATCTTTTTTTACAGACAGAACTGGAACTCCCCAGCAGGTAAAGAAGTTGAAATCACAAAACTTGAACTTCAATCTTGAAACTCGCCACTATGATTTGACTTTCAGGCTCTTCTAGACAAGTTTATGGAGTGCTGTCACAGCGACATAGACCCTGCGACAGGACGTTTTGCAGAAAAGTACGACGATGCTATTCGAGAAACCTGGCGCAAGTACGTCGACGGAAGTACGAAAGTGAGGAGCGCAGCAGACGTCCCCGCAGCAACATAAACATTGGTGCTACATCTTCAGCATCGGGATTGCATATAAAAACTCGTATTCTGGTGAGTAGAGTGAGGAGTATGTACGTAAGTTTGTTTGCCGTTGTTCGCTTGCTGCAGGAGCCCCAGGCAGTGCCAGCACATGAAAAAGCTGCGCTGTATCCTGTTAGAGGGTCTACCTATTAGGTAGTAGGCAAATTCTTCGTGGAATAAAAGCTAGCTCGCGTTCAGAATTCTGTGTCACTGACAGAAGGGACTCCTATTTTCACCAGAATAGCAATTTCGGGAGACCAGATTGACCTCACGAAAGCGGCCATGGAATACTACAGAGTACTGAGGTTGCTGTATTACTATTGGTTCATTCTTGACGCGTGACTGTGATAGAAGATGTGTTGATCCGTGCATGGAAGTAGATCGTCAAAAGAACAACACCAGAAGAGAGTCACCTCCGCGCTGCAACATCTTCATACATTCATTTACGACCACAACAGGCTATTTGCGAAAACATCAACGACGGGGGCGAGGAGCTTGCCGAGGACGAGGCGGTCAAGAGCGCGGACGGCTGTGTGGACGTCTTAAAAGCGGCTTGTCTCGAGAACAGAGAGGATAGGGACGCCGCGAAGGCTGCACTGAAACCTAAGCTTGAAGCGAGTGGCTTCGTGTTTAAACCAGAAGAGCGGATGTAGTTTAAGTTTTTATTTTTGTACTTGCAGGAGCATAAATGTTGATGTTGGAGTTGGACCCGCGCTATTGCGATTACAACTCCTGTGATTGACTATCATTGCGCTACTTTATCCTGAGGCAAAGTTCCGACGGATCATGACGTCCAAGTGTTGTTTGCGCAAGTAGATTCTGCGATCTTTTTTCTCGGCTCCAACCGCAAAAAAAAAGCATTTTTCGCACCTTGTCACAAGAAATTTAAGACATGCAGGAGAAAGCTTCGATAGATCGGTTCACGTATTAAGCAATCGGTTTGCCCCATAGCTGCAGAAAATACAAATTGCCTCGGTCGATGTCATGATTTTTCGTAACGTGGAGTGCTTATCATTCTTGTCGGTCGCGTCCTCCATTAGCTCCGCCCGTTATTACCGCGGGATTGTACTAGATAGACTCATTTTGCGCTTCTTCGGCATCGAGTAAATTCCAAATCGGTTGAGTAGCCCTGAAGATTTTCTGTGTTGCTGTTGGCGTATGTTTATGTGTGTTGAGTAGAAAAATCAACACATACACAAGTACTTTATTTCTTCGGTGGATGTCTACTTTGCATTGTCGAAAAAGAAAAGCTAACTGCAGGACCACGACGAGAGGTTTTGATAATCCCCAGCAGTGTGGCATATGTTTATATGTGTACTAAGCGGGACGAGGAAGCAGGACCGCGATAGTCGCTTTCTACCTCCTCGGTAAAAACACAGTTTTTTTTTTGGTCCTCGCCCGATCCCACGCTCGTGGAAAGTACAATGAAAGTCCGGCGACGCGGCCGAGGGGCTCCTTCTCCGATGATTCTCCTTGGGGGTACTATGGCTGTTGTGAGTGGCCCGCAGCCGACCGCGGCCCTGGACGTTGCGCACCTTCTCGAGCGCTTGGGCATTCGTGTTTCCAGCACAACCGAAACTTTCGGTCAGACGAACACTTGCGGACAGCTCCTTGACCTGCTCGCGAAAAGGCCTGCGAACACCGGACAGGAAAAGGACGGTCTTTCGTATTGCGTGAAAGAAATGAACGTGGATCAGCCTGCTAGATTGTACGACAAGACCAATGTCCAGTACCTCGGCGATGGGCAATCTGTCGGACTGAGACGGACGGACCTGCTGCCAAAGGAGGACGTAATGACTCACCTCTGGAAGGAGCAGTGCTGCAAGGAAATACCTTTGAATCTTCGATCTCCTGCTGTATGGCCCGCTCAAAATAGCAAAGATGGTCTCAATTGTGACAGTCGTGCAGAAGAGGACAGGTCTGGCGTTTTTTTGCTTTGCAAAGCAAGAACTACGCAAATAAAGGGAGGAGGCCGAGGCAAATGAAAATGATACTAAGCGACTCCTTAAAAATTATATGATCAGCTGTTATTATTCCTTGGTTTCCTGTCTGTCAGAAATGAAGCATATTCTTGCGCATTTGCGCAGATGAAATTCAAATTCGTCTAGGTTATTGTTCTCCTTCAGGATGCCGATGCATGCTGCCATATTGCAGCTTCGCCCAACATTTATTTGAAGCACCTGCCAAGAACGAGAACAACTGTGACTGTCACAGGCCAAGATGAGAGCATCTTTTTGCCTGAGCAGTGCATATTACGGGGGTGCTGGGTCCGGGAAGACTTCGAAGGGATGTTGTTGATTTCGTTGAATGAGCTGCAGCGGACCACAAGGACAAGGAGGGGTGTTAAGAAATCAGATACAGTAGATTCAGAGAAGATTGTTTTTGTTTACCAAATAGAGAAGTTGATGTAGGAGAAGCTTTGCCGATCTAAGTTTTTAATACCAACAACTTGGAAAATTGTAATCGTGGCTCCCGGAAGAAATTGAAATCTACATTTACAATACGAATACGGAGTACCTCTACCTTCTTTCACGCTGCATAAAAATTCTTGGCACGACTTTTCCTCACTATGTCAATCTGTATCAACCTCGTTTTTAAGCCGACGCGAAGAAGAAGATCTCCCACGCGTGTTGCAGTTTCGTTCCCCAGTCCAAAATTGATTGGCGTTTCGTTACCGAAAAGAATTTTTCCAACGTGACGACGTAATAGAACGAGTCTGGCTCCTTTATCTGTTGACTGTACCGGTAACTAGCCAGCGTGATGAAATGACGCCTGTAGCTGCACCGAAAATTTCAATTTGTACGAGGATGGAGGACACGAGACAACACAATTTGTGACTGGAAGCACAGGAATGTAAACTGGAACCTCCAGCAGCAAAAACCACGACGAAATCAGATGCAGGTCAAAGCTTTGACGATGATCCACGACGGGCGCGCAACTGCAATAATTGAAGTTGTTGTGCAGCAACTTGTGCTGCAGGTACTTACCTCCACGCTCTATCTCGAAGCATGATCCGCACGCGGATTGTGTCTCGATCTTCTCGTGAGATTTTGCAGTAACAATTGCGATGATCCCGATCCCCTACAACCAGCTGCGCTGGGACCTAGGAGGACGACTATGATTCACTCTAATGAAAGTGCTCTTTCTCTGGTAGTTCTTTCACTCTAGGGTTGATCTTCCCAGCAGCAATTGGTCGCGATGGATCCTGAAAGATCGATGTAGATGGAGATCAATCCGATCAATTAGAAGTACATCCAGTGTCGTGTAAAAAAGAAAAGATGCCAGCTGATAGATAAAAGGAGATGATTGTGGAAGTGGATCAGATCCAAAACTACCTGTATGAGTATGGGAGGTTCTGCAAAAAGATCACCACCGTAGATCAGGAAGAAGAGGCTCTGCAGGATCGAGAAGGGAATGATGTCGACTAGAAATGTAGTTCATGATGGACATAATTTGTTCTCGCATGGCCACGGCCAGCCAGAAAAAGTTCTTGTTTTAGGGACTGCTTGATGACGAGAAAAGCGATCGCAAGATGAGCAAGCATTCAAATTTGCGCAACGATGGGACCTCCAATCTGCGCTCCTACGAGAATGTAGGCATTGCATTTATGATACGATTTTGATTTTGCTATGCCTATGCTTATTTTCCAACAGGTTCTTTAGTTTCACAGGCATTCGCTAGTAGAAGTGTAGTCAATTTTATCGCGCTTCTAGATTCAAAGTGTAATCTAATCGTGACTTCATTTTCGAAAAGTTTCAACTTTGAGCGATTTTTGCCATTGCATCTTATACTTATTTCATCAGTTCCTATTAATTTCTTTTATTTTTCCTTGTCTTATTTCATTCTTTTCTTCATCTTCGCAGAAGACAAACCCTTTCCGTGCGAAAGAGAAGATCAACAAGAAGACCACGACTCGCAAGAGCAGAAGACCAGGAAAAACACCGGGAGAAGTAGGGACCATAAGAAATACCAACGCCGAGGAGGGTAAAAAAAGCAGCGGGAAATACCAGCAAGAAGAACACAGCATCAAGAGCGAAGATGGCGTCGATGCGGAAGAACAACAAGTTTTTCGGGAGCAGTAGCTCCGACAGCGACAGCAGCAGCGATGACAGCAGCTCCGACTCGGAGCAGGAGCAGCAGCAGCAGAAAATGACGCGCATGGTCGCGAAGCGCCGGGTTAATATCTCTGACTCCGAGGACAGTGACTCGGATTCTGGCGCGAAGCGAGTCGTCAAGTCCGGGGCGGACAAACGGTATTTGAAATGCGACGCTCATGTCAATATTAAACGCTTGCCCTTGCGTTTACGTATATCAACTTTAGTATCGTGTAGCTGCTTTGTCATCTCGTGTCGCAGGCCACCCTTGGTTAATATGTAATGTCGTGTTCTTGCAGTACAAACGTGAAGGATTTCATGTAAAAAAATCCATGCAATCAGAATCACTATCACATCCAAAACAGCGTCGAGAAGATGAAGCAAGTGGCTTCGAAGATGCAGAACGCGAAGAAGGTGCTGGACTTTCAGCTGGTGCTCGAGCAATACGAGGAGCTGTGGAAGCAGGAGGCCGCGTGCCACCGCGCGTCCGCGCCGGTCCCGGACGTGTTCTATAAGACAATCGACACTTTAGAGCAGTGGGTGAGCGAGCAACAGGCGGGCAAAAAGGAGATGAAGAAGGCCAAGGCCATGCAGCTGACCAAACTGACCAGCAAGTGCCGCAAGCAAAACGGAGAAATTAGGGACTTGATCGAGGAAAAGAAGGCTTTGTTTCGCGAGGACCAGAATGGCAGCTCGGCGGAGGACGGAAGTAGTAACAGCGAAAATGAGAACGAGGACGAGTCCGGAAGTGAAAGTGACGACGAGTCCAGCGACTCGGAAGGGGATAGCTCCGGTATAATTGGAAGATAAAGATTCGCTTTTTTAGGAACGGATTTCTTTATGTTTTGGGGTGCTGCTGCTGCATTTTGATTTTTGAAGTGTACTTGCCACTTTCTCTTTCTGTCACAATCATCTGAAATTGGATTGACAGGCCAACAAGGTCGTGTTATTCCAGGACCAGATGAAGAGGGGACCACGTGCACGTCGTGTTTGCTGCGTAAAAAATGAATGTACATACAGTAAGATTAAAAACTAAAACTCCCTCTCTTCATCGAAATTTAAATTTAAATTCCACAGACGACGACACGGGCAAATCCGCGAAGAAGCAGCAGGCTCGCGAAGGCGAGCACACCTCGGACACGGACGCGGGCAGTTCCGATTCGGATTCGGACTCTTCTAGCGATAGTTCGAGCTCCGATAGCGACTCCGACTACGACAGCAGCGACAGCAGTGGGGAGGAGGATGACATGGACATTGGTACAGCAACTCCTGATTTTTATCTTTTGGTCAACTACAGCATGAGAAAGAGCACTTAGCTTTGCCAGTCCTTTGTACTTCTACTAGTAGGTACTTCTGAAGTACTTCTACTAGCCTCTTGACGCGGGCGTCCAGGACGCCCGCTGGGCTAGTAGATTTAAAAATAATTCTAGAGACGGGAATGCGTTTAGAAGGTTTGGCTTGCAGTCGAGTAGAATGCGGCTAGAAGGTTGAAAAGCATAACGCTGCCTGCCCCGAGGAAGATCGTTGCCGCGCCTGCGCTTGCCCTTGCGGCCTCGCCACTTTGACGCCTTTTGCGGTCCGGCGTCCAGGACGCCGGCCCGCCGTCAGCCCTTTAGCCGCGTTGCCGCGCCTCCCTGCGCTTGCCCTAGCGGCATCGACGCTTTAACGCCTTTTGCGGTCCGGCGTCCAGGCCGGAAAATTGATGACCAAAAGTTTCACTGTTGCCCGACCGGAGGTGGTGGCCAAGGAGCCCCTCGCCGTCACTTTTCTTGCCCAGCCCGGCCGGCCGGGCAAGGAGCTCTTGGCCATTACTTTTGCCCGCCCGGAAACTGGTGGCAAAAAGTGATCCCGTCCCGGAGGTGCTCCCGGCCTCCACTTTTGCTCGGCGGGCCCACCGGAAAGTGGTGGCCAAGCTCTTGGCCACCACTTTTGCGCGGCCGGAAAGTGATGACCAAAAGTTTCAACTTTGCACAGCACGGCCGGAGGTGATGGCCAAGGAGCCCTTCGCCGTCACTTTTGCCCCGCCCGGCTGGGCAAGGGGCTTCTGCCCATCACTTTTGCCCGCCCGGAAAGTGGTGGCCAAAGGTGATCGCTGCGAAGTTCTTGGCCACAACTTTTGCTCGGCCTGCAACAGCCAAAGGTGATCGCTGCTGGCCAAAGGTGAACAGTTCATTGGCCAAAGGTGATCGCTGCTGGCCACAACAGCAGTGGGGAGGAGGATGACATGGACATTGGTACAGCAACTTCTGATTTTCCTTTGGTTAACTACAGCAAGCATGACAAAGTAGATTTGCCAGTCCGTTTGTAGTCGTACTACGAGTACGGAATTACTATGTGATTAGGTAATAGAAATAGTCACTTCGTCACTCAATCTCATTCGCGACTTTTGAAACACTGTGCAAACCTTTCCGACACAACAACTACATCTACAGATGCCATCCGTGAGAAGCGGCGCCAGCGTTGGTTAATGACGGACAAGGACTACGCGAAGCTGGAGAAGGAGAAGGAAAAGAAGAAGCGCGACGAAGAGGAGAAGCAGCAGCGCATGGCCAAGAAGCAGGAGAAGCTCGAGAAGTCGAAGACGAAGCACACGAATGACCAGATCGAGGACAACTTGGAATCTTCTCTGGACAGCAAACTGCTAGAGGAGCAGAAATTCAAACTCTTCAAGGAGTCTTTCGACGCGAAGTCGTGCCAGCAGGTCGTCGAAACGACGCTCGAGCATTTGAAGCCCAATAGCAAGTCCCGTCGTATGGACGCGCGGGAGAAGGCGCGGAAGACGGCCTACCTGATCGAGTGCTTACGCATTGCAAAGATGTCTGGGTCTGGAAAGTTGTGATGCTAATGTCCGAATGATACGCAACCTGTATTAGGGGGCCGCGCATGACAAGTTTCATCTGAGCGGCTATGTCTAGCGTGAACCGCATGACAAGTGGGCTTTTGCATGACAGACAAGTGGCACTGTAGCGCACCAAGCATGACAGATTGTTCTGTCTTGTCAGCCAAGCATGACAGACTTGCATTCTTCCAGACCCAGACATTTTTGCAGTTGATAGTGCTGCCAGCAGTTCCATTTGTTTAACTTGTGCTTGCCGCTGCACCTGCAGTCCGGCCGGCAGCTGCTGGAGAAGATGGACAGCAAGGGGGGTTTGATCTGCAACTCCGCGAACTTCAAGTTGTTTCTGCAGCACGCGAGCAAGAATTTGTTCCCTTTGTTGGAAAAGCTGGTCAGCGAAAAAGAGAACATGGACAAGGCCATGCAGGAATTCTCCACCGGAAAGGGCATCGATCGCGAATCGGTATTTTTGTGTGTTTTGTTTTGATGAAAAGCGAGGAATTATAAAGCCCAAATTTGTATAAATTCATCCTTCTTTACCAATAACAGATTGATATAGATGTCGAAATCGAAAATAATCCAAAACTCCAGATCCTGGCGCCATTCACGATGCAGATGCAGTTGCAGAACTTTATGTCCCTCCTGGACCTCGCTGACCAGAAGTGCTACGAGGCCATGCAGCACCCGGACGACAGCGCGGACCGGATCGAGAACATGATCCGCTTGGTGCAGCTCTTCTTCGAGACGCTCAGCTTTCTGGAAACCTTCAACATCAACAAGGTCGAGAAGGCGAGATTTGCGGCGAGAATCCAGTCCAGGCTTTTGTCCAACCTTTACTACAACAAACACGAGGATATGAGAATGGTATAAAAAATCATGCTGGAATCAACATTTTCAACATGAACATTGCTGCTGGCCGAGGCCACGTGGTGCCATGTAGTCACAATGAATTATGGGAGGCGAGAACCTCCCATAGAGATAGAAATTCTTCTCTAGATGAAGAAAAAGATATCCCAACGTCACGCTATAGATTTTCCCCATCCATTTGTTCCGACAAAAAATAAAAAACCAACACCAAGAAGCATTTCTACAATGAAGTACACGAAGTTCGAATTCCTCGATGTAATTAATTGTAATTACCTACCACCACAGGTCCTCTCCACGATGATTCACCTGCATCCGAAGGCCTACCCGGAAGTCGAGGCGGAGACCAAGTACCCGAACTTCGATGAAGCAGATTTCAAGAAGGCCAACCTTCCGTTCACGGATGCGGAAATCAGCGAATTCATTGCGGATTTGGAGGAAAAAATCTCCTCCGTCGAGGACGTGGACGGGACGCGCCGGGATCTCACCGCGACGCTGTGCCGGGTCTACAACTTGTTCGTCAACGACGAGTATGTGAAGGCAAGAAAGATCATGCACTACCAAGACCTGCAGAAGGAGGTATAAGTTTTTGATTGAAGATGAAATCGCATGACAAATTTTCATCTCAGCATGATGAGAAATGGAATTGGTATATGCGGATTCACCTTAAGAGAAAGATTTGCAATGCGTGGCTTTGACTGCATCCAACGCCAACTACACCACCGCACCAGGTGTCCAACCGTGAGGAGCACCAGTTGTCGAGCCGCGAGTACGAACACTCTCTCTACGTGCTCTGGAACCGCTATGGATGTGTCAGGATTGAAATCGACAAAATTGAAATGATTTGTCATGCATAAAATGCAAGGCATGAAGTGCCTTTCTTGCCAGGATGGCAAGGGAGACCGACTGTCAGCCTGTTTAGGGTTTGAAATAGAGCTGCTAAAGTAGCATGACAAAAGCAGGCGTCTGTACCCAAACAGCATGACAAATTGGATTCCGGTGCTCGGAAAATTTGTCATGCACCGCTTGAAAGTTGGGCTTCCAACTGGTATCGATTTTATGCATTGCAAGTTATTTCAACTTTGACGATTTCAATCCTGACGCTTTCATAACCGCGTGAACGCGCAGATGGGGCTCGCTGCCTTCCGCCAGGGCCACTTTTACGAGGCCCACATCGCGTTGCTCGATTTGAACTCGTTTCAGAAGGCCAAGGAACTCCTCTCCCAGGGCGTGACCTTCCAACGCGGCTCGGATCGGGATAAGGAGAAGGAGGAACTTATCCTGATGAAAAACGTCCCCGCCCCACAATTGTCATGCAGAATTGCAAGGACAGGAACATTTGTAATGCGCATCCCCAAGAGAGGCATAATCAATCGTGTTTTGGCATTTGTAATGCTACAAACAGGACAAGGGGACGGCTTTGTAATGCGGCTGTGCTTGCTAACCAGCACTACTGAATACAGCGAGAAGCCTGTCATGCGTGATTCCCAAAACATTTGGATTTGTGTTGCCTTTTCCCTTCTTGACTCTGGTGTGGGGACGTTTTTTCACAGGATAGAACTCCAGGAGAGGTCCATCATCCCCTACCACATGCAAATCCCCTTGGACTTGCTGGAGTGCGTCGCGTTGATCTGCGGACTACTCCTCGAAGTGCCCAACATGGCGTTTTTGGCGTACGACAAAAACGGCAGGAAACGCTACCAGACGATTTACAGCAAGCCGTTGAGAACGGCTTTGGAAAAAGCGGAACGGTCCACGGTTCTCACCCCCGCTGAGTCGATGCGGGAAAGGATTGTCGAGTCCGCTCGTTTATCAAATGCAAAAATGTCTGGGTCTGGAAGAATGCAACATTTGTCATGCATATTTTGCATGCCCCACGAGGTCTGGGACAGGTTCTGCGAAGTATCTATCTTCATGTCTATCCTGCATGACAAACTGCCGCTAAACTTGTTCAAACGTGGACGCCTTTTGGTAATCATGCAACGCAAATTTCTGTACTATCCAGACTTAGCATGACAAGTTGCAACCTTCCAGACCCAGACACTTTTGCAATCCATACCGTTCTCTGCAGCAGGGCAACTGGAAGAAGGCGTTTGAAATCTTGGACAACGATATCCAGGTGTGCAAAACGCACTCGGAACTGATGGCGAAGGAGAAGATTTTCGAGGAAAAACTCCTGCCCGAGGTCAAGCAGCAGGCGGTGCGGATCTACCTGTGGAACTTCGTGAACAGCTACCAGACCATTTCGCTGCAGGCGCTCGCGGACATGTTCGAACTGCCAGTAATTTCCGTGCGGCAACTGCTGCATCGCATGATCATCGACCGCAAGCTGGCCCCGCAGATCGCGCTGGACAGCACAAGCACCTATTTGGTAATTATAGTTTTATTTCACATAATGTCTTAGTAGTACTAGTACAACGACGCAGCTGTCGTCCTCCTGCTTGCTTTTTTTCGAAGCTCGTGGTGTTTTTTTGGCTATTCCTGCTAGTTTTCTGCAGCGAAAAACATTGCAGCATAGAATTGTTGTCGTAACAAGCATAGAAGAACTTCCTCTATGAAACAAAACACGACCTCCACAGGTGAACGAATCGGGTTCCACCGCAACGTCCCTCCACCAGAAGATCACCGGCCTGACCTCCGCCATTGACTTCTCGGTTACGGGCACGGAGATGCGTCTCGCCCGGGGCAACCCGAAATTGATGACGTTGGAAGACCGTCACCAGAACAAGCAGAACAAGATCGGCCTGCAGTTCTCCAAGCAGAACGACGGGTTGCAGAAGGAAGAGCGGCAGTTTGGCAGCAACCGGGGCGACATGACCGGGGAAGTTGGGAACAATTTTGGCCGAGCGAACAACAAGGGGAAGGGCAAGGGAAAAGGTAAGGGCAAGGGCAAGAACAGCGAGAGCCGGTTTTTATCGAACACATCACAATTTAACAAGGGAAAAGGGAAGAAAGGGATGAATGGTGAGCGAGACAACAACCGGGCGGAGCAGAGGGGGTGGAATCTGGGAGTCAGAGCAAATGCGATGTGAAGATAATTTTTATCAAGACGAGATGGAAAACTTTTATTGCCGCGGGATTGATGTGGTCTGCATGTAGTTCTTGTAGTTAGACTTAGTGCGGAAAAGTTCTAGCAAACGTCGCACCACAGCCAAGTTCTTGTCCACCTCCTGAGCCTGGTAATTATACGTACCTTTTGGAAACAAAGATTTTCCTATAACTGCATATACTGTTTTTTAACTTTGAATCATTGAAGACACTTACTCACTCTACTTACTTCACTAAGAACACTCACGAAGAGCCGTCGATTTCTTCGCTTGGAAAGCTCCAGTACTTCTCAAAAAAGGAAATAAGAATCGCAGCAAAACAATTCTAATCTATTACAGCTTGCATGAACAGCATCAACATCTTGATGTTGAATAGAACACGCTCACATTAGAGCGAACAAGAATTCGCGCATTCGCTACCTCGATTTCCTTTCAGGAGGCGCATGTAGATTTCAGATATATAATTCTAACAACTGTCCCACACAGTAGAAGAAAAGAACGATCAAAGCTATCGTTGTATCATCTGAAGATTCTTGACGCGAGAAGAGGACCACAGGAGATGAAGTAAATGCCAAGAATAAGGATAGATGAGTTTTGGACAACTCCAGAGGATTGGCATCAACATGGAATTCAAAATGAGTTCCAGAGGACAGCAGGCTCGGAATCCGAATCAAGACGCGCAAACTTGAGGAAGGACGCCGTCCGTCGTGCCGTTTCCTCGTTCTTCGTCAAATGTGTGACTCGTCCTGGGACATCGTCAACTCCAAATTTGCTCAACCTCTCACGAAGTTTCGACGAAAGTTGCTCGTGGAAATGCAAAACTAAAAACGAAGAGTAGAAGTGCTGCTTCCTGTTTCTGCTGGCACAGCAGCAGCAGCAGCACGCGGTCGGCCGTATGTGTTGACGTGCGCTTGATGCAGTAAGACGATATAACTGTATGCGGTGGATGTGTTCTTATCATAATCATAAAGTAAAAGTCATGTTCATACGAGATATCATCTGCGCTCCTTTATTTCACAAAGAAGTAGCACAACGACAAAAACAGGATCTTCATCTTCTGCAGCTGATCTTCTCATGCAACATTTTACATCCAAATTACTTATTTGAAACTCGTTGTTCCATTTTCAGCTCGTCGTGCAGATGCGAAAAATGAATGCCGCGGCATCCTTTGCTATTCAACAACAGGAACAGATGATGAAATGGAATCACGCTCCGCAACGAACATTCCGCGCTCCTCAGTGGTTTCACCAGATAAACTGCATAAAATGTTTGCGTCACCAGCCTACTCAGTCAACAAGAACGCTTTCTGATCTAAAAACCCGAAATCGCAAGGAAAGGACCCTCGCAACATTTTTATCCACACATCATTCGCCGTCCGACTGGTACTTTTCACACACATCAAACCTCAGGCCCTCTGTAGTAAGTAGGCAGAGCTATTTTCGTCCATTCCATAAATATATTTGTTTCATCTGAAGTCCTCCTCCTGCTATGACTACGACCATATTACTTTATTCGATAGTGCGCAGAAAAAGAATACTACAGACACTACTACTACTAGCTGCCGAGTAGATGATCCGCTGATGATCATTGCCCGTTCATCAACATTGATTTCACCCCAGTTTCAGGTCTCTTCGCGCCGCGTATCACAATTACAGTCCTGCTCCCCGCGCATCACAAGTAGTTGTTGAAACTCGCTGGCTCTGAAGATTCAGTGTCATGCTTCCATTGGTATTGCCTGCTAGTGTCTAATATTCCATTTTAGGGATAAATATTTCATCGTTCTCGTTGAGGGTGACCCGTATAAAATATTAGCGGAACAACAAGTCACTCCATAAGCCTTCCCTCATATTGATTTATTTTCTCTCTGAGGGGCACTGGCACACAAAGTCAAAGGCGGAGGGAGAACGACCTCACCGAAACGGAAACGACAGAACCGAAACTAGGGGTAAAACGTTGTACCCACCTCGCAGCGGCATTTTTCCGGCTTGAAAATAACCCATCTTGTCGTCTCGGATCAACTACAAATTGCGAGACTGACAGCATAATTGATTATTTCGCAACAACGCAGCACGACCACGGGAATCAATTAGGTCGTTTTTATTTCTACGTGCTCACTTCGAGACGAGTGCGGCGCCCATCCTACTCAGGACATCGACCTCTAGCCGCAGCTACAGGAGCGAACCACACAGTTACAGCGAACCGACTTTGTGAAAACATTAACATCTTACGAAGAACAACGAACACGGCGACGTAGGTTTTCAAGAATAAAAAGCCACCAGCACAAGCCCTGTGATAATCATAATCTTCGCACGAGGAGGACCAGCAAATTGGAGTCGACAATATGGCTTCCACGACGAAGAAGTTCAGCAATGTCAACCTGAACGCGCCCAAAACTGCGAAGAAGACAACTATCTTCGAAACCGTCGTCACCTCCGCTAAGCCCGCTCTCACTTCGGCCGCGGCGCCCGCCCGTATTGCTTGTTTATTTTACGGCACGCTTTCTGATTTGCTGGTTTTTTTTTTTCATCTGCAACTGCATGCACATAGTATGATCTTCAAACTGAAAGTCCAAGAGCCGCCGAAACGACCTGTGCGCTGAACAGTGCTGGTAATGTCACACTGGCTGGAGAGATATACACATCACGAGCTCTTTTGTCACAAATTTTCCACGAGATGTTCTTGCATCTTCTAGCGGGGCCGGGGTCAACTGGTGTGCATAAACAAGATGAGCAGTAGTTATCAAAATCAAAATGAACGACTGCATTGTATAATATCCAGGTTCAATCGGGCGTGCCGGACTTGCAGGACTATGTTCTCTCCCCACGGTAAACAAGAAGCCGGCGAAGAAGGCGAATTTGCTGGATGCGCTTGCAGACGAGGCCAAAGGAACCAAGGTCATTGAAGAAGACCTTCCGGTGCCAAAGGTACGATGAAACTTCGTGTACTCTATTTCTGCATGAAGTTGTACAGCCTTCTTTGGCCGCAGGGTTTATCGTAGGTGCATGCGCATAATAGTAATGGAACTGCAAAGGTAATTGAAATAGAAATTTCCAAAATTAAATCAAAAAATGAAAACAGGAATCAGATGAGAATACGTACGAAGAGGAGGCTCTGGGAAAGCCAGTTTCTTGGGCCGACCAGAGCGAAACTGTTGAGGAGGACTCGGTAGGCGCTGCGGGTGCGCAATCTGCGAAAAAGCCACAAGATGGCGGCCCGAAGGTACTTACATACTTACTTCTTCTAAGCTTCTACTTCGCTTGGCTGTTTTATTCAGCATGATTTTTCTACACGTGAAGCTCGGCGGGAAGACTGATTTTTTACAGCCGGATTTTGATGTTTCGCGACGACGCAGGCACCACCTTCGCAAAATGATGTTCTTGAGTCCCATGCTTCAGTAAAAAAAAAAAAAACAGAGCAAGTGGGGCGCGGCTGTGCAAGCCAAGTCGATGCAGGAGATTATGGAAGAGGAAAAACAGAAGGAGGCGGAGAAGAAGGCCTGGCAACTGAAGAAGCAGCAGGAGCAGGCGCACCTGGGAAACACCGCGTGGAATGGGCGCGAGCACTACGGTGCGGGGTTCAACGCAAACACGTACGGGCAGTACGCCGGTTCCCCGGGCAGCTACGATCCCTACGGGAGTCAGCCCAACAGCGGCACCAACTTCAACACCGTCGCCGACCGCGACCTGGACTGGCGGCGGGGCGGGTCGAACAGCGGGCTCGAAGCTGACCCAGCTGTCGCCACCAAGACAGCGTATTTTTTTACAAGGGTGGACTTCTTGTTGTGCTTGTTCTGCTAGTACTACTGGTTGAACAAAAATCAAAATGCCGATTTAATGCATTTTTGCAGTTATAATGTTGTCGTTGATATGTTTGGTAGTTCTACTTCTATCTTGTTGAAGGACAAGAGGAGCTTGTTTTGTAATGCGTTACTCCTTTATTTCTATTTTCACAAAACTACAGCGAGCGGTACTCCAGCAAGCAGTATGAGGAAGAGTTTTCCAAGACGTACTCGCGCGAGCCGAAATTTACCTCCGACCCGGTGGACCGAGCGTCTCTGTTTGGCACCGCGAAGCAGACCGACGGGCCGGCGGATAATTCAGAGGAGCTCCCAAAGTCTTCGAAAGAAAAGAAAAAGGATAAGGAACAACACCAAAACAAGCAGGACAGTACAACGACTGGAGGTAGAGACAACACCCGAGGCGGAGAACGCGAACGGGAACAGCCAGCTTCAGGTACTACTTCTGCTGGTGGTAAGGCGCGAGGAGGAAGGGGCGAATACGCAGCAGGTGATGGCGGAAGAGCTGATACTACTTCTTCTTACTCAGCAGAAAAGCCACTGATTCACCAACACCACCGAGGGGATAGAGCGGGTGGTCCAAGAAGTAGACAAATTGACTTGCAAAACGACAGCTACAGCCATTCCTATGGCGAAGATTTGCAACATTCAAGTGAACAGCACCATCCTGCTGCGGAGAACTGGCGCGGCGGGGGAAGTAGTGCTGGCAACGGTAGAGTCGACCGGGAGCGTGGCGGCGAGGACCGCAGTAGCACAACAATGACCCGCGGCGGGACAGGCGGAAGAGAAAACAACCTGCTAAACCGCAACTTGAGCAGCGGTGGCCAGCAGCACTTGAAGAGCCAGTACAGACGCGACGACGACCACGCGGACAGCTATTACGACAGAGACGAAGACTATTACTTGCGCGACGAAGTTGGAGTTGCACTGTCTCTATGAAATGCAAAAATGTCTGGGTCTGGAAGAGTGTGAACTTGTCATGCAGGTTTTCCATGACCCTTGGTTGAGGCCTGGAATGCGGGACCTAGCATGACAGAGTCTGTGGGGTCTCTTTCATGCCTATCCTGCATGAGAAACTCCCTCCCAACTTGGTCGAAAGTGGACAGCTTTTGGCACTCATGCAACACAGGTTTTTGCATGATTCGGATTTAGCATGACAACTTGCAATCTTCCAGACCCAGACATTTTTCCTTTTGATATTCTCGAGGAGAACGAGAAGTAGAGCCGTCGACCAGCCGAAATAATGCTGCGCAGTACGACAGCTTTAACCCGCGAAGTAGAACTGCGGCCGGGTCAACGAAGGGAGGAGGACAACATCAAGATGTTGGATCATACTCGGGTACTGCTACGACCAGCCGAGGCGAAAGTCATCAAAATCACCCTGGCGGCAGAACCGCCCGGGGTGAACATCAGGCTGCTCAGCAACATCTTGAGCACAATACCAGAACTCCAAAGCAAAGTATTCGTGGGAGTAGAGATGTAGACCAGAGATGGCAACAGCAGCAGCAGCACACTGGGGACGTCGAGCGGTGGAACAAGAGAGACGGTGCTCAAGAGAAGTGGGATCAACATGGGGAGGAACAGTGGAACGAGTATGAGCACGAGGAATGGGGCGAAGAGGAGCAAAAACGGTGGGAACAAAGATGGCGCAAGCCGCACTCACCCGCCGCTATGAGCCAGGGAAACACGACCTACGAAACCACAGGAGAAAGTATTCATTTTGAATAAAGAGGCTATTAAATAAGTCGGGAATTGTTCATTTTACAGATGCATCTGCATGTTGAGCGTAACAACTTGCACAAATTATCGAAAAAATTGTCATGCAATCGTCGTCCATCCCAGACCCAGAGAGATGCTTTTGCAGTGCGTAATATACCACCCAAAAACTACAGGCCACCCGTACACTGCGAATTCCACTGAACAGCATTCACCTGTCGACCTAGGCCGCGAGCGCGACCCCATCACCCTTAACAGCACCGGGTATTTTTTACAGCATCACGTCGAGAGTTTTTTTCTACTGCGCTGCTATAGAAGCAGAGCACCATGTGCCAACGTGCTGAAGATTTGATCAACTTTTATTTGCGTCATTGAAAAATGCAATGCAATGTAGTCCTTTGTGATTGTGTCGCAAGTGAACTGAGTGAAACTATCAAACAAATTCAAATCCAACTTCAAATACAGACCACGCACCCGCGCAGATCCCCCCTTTGGCGCACCCCCGCCACCCCCGTCGGGGCCCCCACCCCGCGCTGCGGAAGCTCTGGTAATGAAGGTGCCCACTGCCGCTTTGGTTACCAACGTGCGCGAAACGCTTCGCTCGATGCAAGGTACACATAGGTTGTTTCTTCTACCTTGTGTCTCGTACATAATTATGAGAAAATTTGACGATCATTTCTTATGAAGACGTTTTTCTTTTTGCATGTTCGATGAAGTGCCTCTCCACAGCAGTTCCCCAGGAGCATGGCTATGGTACTGGTAGTGAAAAGATCTGTAATCGAAAACGAAATCGACAAAGAATCGTCGATGCATCAAACAAATGAAAAATCAGGCAAATGCACCCTGAAGCACTTGGCGACCAAGCAAAAGGATTTTTCCGCGAAATCTGGGAAAAATCTGGATGACTTCCTGATGGAGCATCCGGACGTTTTCAAGATCGACGGCAGCACGGTGACACTCCTGGAAGACACGCGATATTTGACAAAGGACACCTCCAACACTGAAGAGGTAGCTTATGCTTCGTAAATCCATTATTTCATTGACGAACACGGAAGTTTTTTCACGTGCTTTGCTTGTTACACATAGCCAGCATATGGATAATTATGCTCCGCTTGAACCTGATCGATCTCGATGGAGGAAGCAAAGGATAAAAGCAAAAGAAACCGAAAAGCAAAAGATTCCCGTAAAAATAATATCCACCCACTACTACAACCACAGATCTACGGTGCTTTCAGCGCCCCTAAAGAGTCCCCGTCGCACAGCAAGGATTCCTACAGCAAATTCAACGCTTCGCAAACGGCTGCGCGGGAAAATATTAACCTGAACACGACGGAACAAGCGGGTTCTCTTGAGAAGGACCGGTCAGAGAAGAAGAAAAAGAAGAAGGACAAGTACTGGGAGGAGTGGGACGGCGGGCAAGAGCAGGAGTGGACGAAGGAAGAGTGGGAGGCGTGGGAGAACTGGGGCGACGACTATGCGGAGAAGAAAAAGAAAAAGGAGAACAAGCACAGTCGCAAGGACCCGCACGTGGCGAGTCAGCGCCACCCCCTCGGGAAAGAGGAGGATTTAGAGACCTTGCTGCAAAATGAGGTCGACAACGCGTACGGAGACAACCACTTTGATGGGCGCTATAAGGACGATGAAGTAGTAGACTACGATGGTGGGGATAATTACGACGCAGCAGAAGGAACTTCTAAGTCGGCGAACAAGGGTTACAACACTGGTTCCTACAGTAATAGAACAGGAGTAAAGGAACAACACCAGGGTAGTAGTTCTTACGATCACCACAAAGGCAGTTCGTCAGCACAGTACAACAACAAGTCGTCCAACAAGGCCGAGAAACATCAAGACGGCACTTATGCCTCCTCTTCCCGCGACGACAATACTAGCGCTTCTACTTCTAAGCCGGGGTCTTCTTGGTACCATGATAACAGCGCGAAGGAGTCCCGCGAGTCCCGGCGGGGTCGCGGCGGCCGGGATAAAAAGAAGGAGAAGGATAACCAGCACTACGATAGCTATGACAAAGACAACTGGTATCAGGAGGACAAGGAGACGAGCAAAACAAAGAGCAACATGGTCTCTTTGACAGGAACGGCTGCAAAGAGTTCTTCTACCTCTGCGAACGGCACAGGGGACACGACTCTCGTCGGTGGTTTGAAGAAAAAGAAAAAGGCGGGTTTGTCCATGAATCTGAACCAGACGGATGACAAGCCGGTTGCGAAGAAGGAAGAGGAAAAGCCGGAGGCGAAAAAGTGGACCGGGTGGGGCAAGCCGGATCCGGACACACCGGTGAAGCACGACCATGAGTTTAACAGTACCAGTGCGACGTCGCAACAGCCCCCCAAAAGATCCGTCCCGCTCGCCAACGGAGGTGCGGCTGCAGGAACTGCGAATGGGTCAGCTTCTAGCGGCGCTAACGGAATAAATGCGAAGGGGAACGGCAGTGCTGCGCCGGTTTCTGCAACTGCGAATGGCAACGGAACCACTTCTAAATCTTCGTCGAAGAAGGGCAGCGGACGCAAGGGTGGCAAGGACAAGGACGGCAAGGATGGTGGTGGAAAGAAAGGAGCGTCGAACAGTAGTTCTTACGCAGCGGAGCCAAAGTCCAGCAAGGATGACGACGGTGGCTCCAACGACGCCGAATCTGCGAACAGCGGTAAAGGAGCGGGCAAGAAAGGTAGTTCCTCTTCGAAAAATAAGGGCAGCGGCAAGCGACGCGGTGGAAAGAAGGGCGACAAAAGTGCCGACGACGCCGGCAGTGCGAGCGGGGAACGGGAAGCGGGGTCTGGAAAGAACAAAAGCGGGAAGGAGGGGAAAGGTATTATAGCAAAATCAAAGATGAAAATGTTCCTGTTGGCACAGTTTGTTTTGTGTAAGTGAGTACCTGTGCATCTTTGTTTTTTCCAAGAACTCGCTTGATACAAGAGGACCTTTGTTCTCGCTACCCGATCGATCCTCGATCCCTTTCTTCAGTAAAACAAGAACACGCATGATTTGAATTTTGTACTAAATCAGGTCGCGGAAAGAAGGATAAGGACGGCAAACGGCAGGCGAAAGCGGACGCAGAGTAAGGAAGTAGAGGGATGAAAATGACGAGGTGGAAAGCCATCAACATCATTTTTGTGAACGTCTCGTACTGCTCCTGTCTCGACGGAAGCCAAGAAGACCGCGGGATCACAAACAGTTAGAAAAGCTGCAAACGGAGCTCTTCGCCTTGCCAACTTTATCTTGCCCGCGTTAATACTAAAGTCGTGCTCTTCGGCCCTACACTTTTTACACTAGTGTCGAATGAGTGTGATAAATTTTCGGAGAAAAGATACCACAATTAATGTATCACAACTTCTTGCAAGTGCTTCGTAGTTTTTTTACTTCTAGCACTTTCTCCTAAAAGATGACAATGTTTTTAGGCGTGACTGTGAAAAGGTCAAACGAATTTCTCGCTGCCTTTACAGCAGATTGAGATTGTTTCACAGAATCTAAACATTGATACTGCTGGTATAGTGCGTACAGTAAAAACAAAAAGTTTGTTTTCCGGAGCAGCTTCCAGTTTGCTGCAGCTTCATCAGCAGCTGCCGTCCTGTAAAGAAAGGTTTTTGATGATCATGACAAACTATTAATTGCAAGCCAAGCGACATATGAATATAGTACCTATATGCGAATAACTACAGTTTGGCCTGCCGGATATTTTGGCCGGCGGCCGCTTTCGCTTTGAAGGAACATTTTCGTCTTACTTCCTACGATTTGTTTTGCGATGCTGACTTTCGTACCTAATTCCTTGTTTGACTACTTTGAGATATGAATGAAAGCCGCGCTTTCAACAGCATCTTCTTCACCCGCTCAACTACAACTTCGAAGATCAGGCCTATTGGCGTAGAAGTTCGCAACTCTATACGCTACTTCTATTGCGGCCGAAGTTGTACTACTAGATCCCAGCCTCAGATTCAGAATTTCCTTGTGCTTCTGGTTCTAACGTGGTCCACCTCGAAAGAAGATGACTTGTGGACGCCAATGTAGCGGGATGGGTACCATTTTTTTTATGAGAAATTCAAGTTGTTCCAAAAGTTTCTCGTAGGGGTTTGGTTGGAGATTCTCTTCCACGTTTTTTCAAAAAAGCTTAGTACATCGTTGTTGATTAAATGATATAATATTTGAGCTTAAATTTGACACTCGTATGTCTTTGAGATGTCGTGTTTTCGTATTAAGTTCACCATTGAGGCGGCATTTCTGAAGAAATGGGACCGAGATTTTCAACCATGTTGGCGTTCCGTTTATTTGGTTTTTGGTTCATGTAGTGGGTAACGGAAAAAATGTGCTCCTGCTTGATGCCTGCTTGTATGAGTGTTGCAGGTTTTTTTTTGGTGCGTTGTTCTGTCTTCACAATTGTGCAGCTGGTGTTGGTACTTGTTTTGCTGCACTTCTGCGCCGTGTAGGTGGTCTCAGGAGGAAGGTTCACTAGCACTGCCGCGTTTGGTTTCTTCTGTTTCGTTCTGGAAGTGTGGTTTGTGCGCTGGAGAACAAGCGTTGCAAGGAAGGTCAGAGTCAAAAAGTAGAAAGAGACACTTTAGAGCAGGGAGAGGGGGAGGACATGCGTGCAGTGCCACCTGCTGCTAAAGTCGAATTGACAGTGCAGGAGTTTTTATTTTGCTTGTTTCGATTGTGTCGGCCTCGGCACACCGTCGGTGTTGTTGAGTAGTTGATGTCAAAGCCACATGCTAGTATCTTATCAATCTAGAGTCTTCGCACTGATGAACTCGTGGGGGAGTGGTCCAACAAGAGAGATGAATACAGGTAAAATATCAATGAGACGTAGATACAAGAGAGAGAGAGAATGAGAAGAATCGTGCTGGAACGCAGAAGTGCTCGACTTGTGCAAGCAGACAAATCGCATTCGTAATACGAGCGATTTACCCGACACATTGTCAGCAGGACCTCATCCATTCTAGGTAGAAAATACATACGACAAAAAGAAAAATCTGAAGTGATCATGCGCCATGCTCGCATGAGTCTTTGATATTATTTCTACGTACGAAAGTTAGTACGACCATGATGTGAATGATGCACGATTTCCGGATCATGCGGCGATCGTCCTGTACTCGGTAAGTGGACTAAGCAGCAGAGTACGTGATCCTACTCCTCCTGGTGTCCCTCTCTACTTAATTTCGGCGTAGTAGATCTAGATGTCTGCGGCGGGGCAATCTGCGGCCATGGCGTCCGCGGACGCGGCGGCTGTGATGCCCACCGGGCTTTCCCGCGACATCGACGGGAACATTCGGACTCTCTCGTGGGAGAAGCGTCTGGTGCGGGGGTTCGAATCCATGTTCTTGTCCAGCAACAAGGAGGTCGCGCCGGCGTACTTGGCAAAGACGCTGACCCGGCAAGAAGTCATCAAGGGCGGCGGGGAGACGAAACCCATGCCATTGGGACCGGATGGCAAGCCCATTGTCGATCCGGTTTATGAGGAAAAGCTGAAGCGGAAAAAGCGGCGAGTGAGGTATTTGCACCAGGCCTGGTCTTTTGCGTACTTATTTTTCTTCACAACCTTCCATGCAGCACGTCTTGTCGCTGTATAGGACGAGGTGCAAGATCAAAAACAAGTACGCCAAAAGATAGATCATAAAAATGAAAATCTCATGCATGCAAGACCGGTTCGTGGTCAAGTGCTACAATCAAAATCAATATCAAAACAGAAACCTCTATTACGTGGCGATGTTTTGGTTCCTCCTCCTGAACGCCACACTGATCTACACGGGCTGGCAGTACTTTTCCGCGGTTCTCCCCTACACCCGCGATGTGTACATAAAGTCTACCGCCGGGCCGCGGTACGCATTGCAAAAGTACCGTACTTCCAGTACAAATCGAATGACAAATAATCTTGTCAGAGGCAAAACTGAAACTTGTCATGCAGATTGAGGTAGGAAACCCAAACCAGATTTGTGTTTGTTATGCACGGTTTGTTGTAAGTACTTGTACTTCGAGTGCGACTACACTTTTGCAATCCATACACGGGTTGCGCAGAGATTCCGGGACTTTATCGAAACCACAACGTTGGAGCCGATCAAGCGGATCAATAACGTCATGCAGAGGGGGTTTTTCCGGTTTTACCCGTCCATTTACAACCATGTGAGCCCGATTAATTTCCACTATGCATTGCAAAACAAAGTATCGTCGTCGTATGAATGCATTACAAATTTCCTCAGCATGAGAAATAAAATCTGTAATGCGGATTTACCTTTAGAACAAAATTTGTAATGCATGACTGCAATTACTACGAGTACGATACTTCTGCACAGGATATCCACCTCGTGGAGGCCATGTTCGGATCGACCTTGCTCGCCCGGCGGGCCATCCTAAAGCTGGAGATGGGGTTCGAGGGCACGCGGCAGGACAGCGCGTTCGGCGCCATGCGGTTCTTCCGCGTCGGGCCGAAGGAGCAATTGGTGCTGCAGACCGACATCCAGAAATTTTGCACGGAGGGGGTGGGCATCTTTGGCTGCACGCGCAACATGACGCTGACCAACGACAAGTGGTTTCGCGATTTGAAAAACGTCGGTCTCGGGACCATTCTGACGCAAACGCGTTTGCAACCGACGCATTTGGATCCCTTCGTTCCGAGCCCGCTGCTGATTCCCATGCCGAGTTTGTGTTCCTACCCGCACTCCGCCACCGCGCAGAGTATGATGGTCAACGCGATGGCGAATATGGCTTCAACATCAAGTAGTAGTGCTGGCTCTGGCTCAAGCAGTCTCGCGATCATCACCTACGAACAGCTCTTCCAGCAATATTCCAACTTCCCGTACGCCTACCGCGGCCCCGAGTTCCAGCTCGAGCCCGGAGTCTACCACAACCTCGGTGTCGGCTGCTGCCAGCCGGATGCGAACGAAGTGTTGGCCCTGCAGGGACCGGCCGTGAGCAACGCAAACTGCCGGCACCAGTGCGATTTGCGCGGGGTGGATTGTGTGGGATACGACTACGACCTGAGTAAGCAGAGGTGCTGGCTGCAGACGGGAAGTACGGAAGTGCAGTCGGTTATGGGAGTGTCAGGACTGATGAAATCGTCAAAGTTGAAATAGTTTGTCATGCATAAAATGCAACGCAGAAAGTGCCTCTATTGCAGAGAACGCAAGGGAGGCAGATAGTAGTGCTGGTAAGGGTCGAGCATTGGGCTGCTGATTAGCATGACAAAGGGGAGCCCCTTTGCCCTAAACAGCATGACAAACTGGCTTCCGGTACGGACGAAATTTGTCATGCACCGACTAGAAACTTTGAGGCAAATTGGTATCGATTTTATGCATTACAACTTATTTCAACTTTGTCGATTTCATGATTCCTGACACTTCCATATCGGTGTCGCTGAACCCACCGACGGACACCTGTAATGCGTGCTACGCGAAGAACCTGACCCTGACGAACCACTTTGACGCGAATGCCACGGCGGTGAACAGCACGCTGCTAGACCAGGAGCGGCAACTGGTGATCGAACAGAAACTGCTCGAAATGGCGCGACAGGAACCGAAACTGCACGAGCACCTCGGGCCGATCGAGGCGGGGGACCCGCGGAGTTATGCGGATTTGCAGCACGAACTGCAGTACCTACAGCTGTACGGAAATTGCAGTCAACGGACCTCGAGCCCCTTTCTCCAATGGGAACAGGCCCAGAAGACCGCGAGCGCCATTCTGGAGGCGCATAGAACCTTGTTTCAGAAGTACAGCAAGGAAAACTGGTATATTAGCACTGGAACAACATCTTCAGGCAGTAGTGGTAGCGGTGGTACAACAGGAGCATCTACTTCATCTTCTAATAGACGGGTATTGCAGACAGATATAGATGAGCCTCCTCGTCCCCTGGAGGACCAGCAGCTGCCCCATCATCAACCGCGGTGGTCGCAGATAGAAGCAGAAACAGGAACAAGTAGAAATTATCGAGGTGGAATAAAGAAAGCCGATGTGATGTCGTCCGCAAAAAGACGAGTAGCAACTACTTCCAGTAGCAGAAGATCAGGTGGCGCTGGTCGTACAACAACTAAAGTAGAGCAGCTCTTGCAAGAGGGCATCAGAACAAATTCAAATGTAGAGACCACGAACACGAAGCACACGATGCGAGAAAAAAGAAAAATGCAGATGAGACAACACCGAGATACTAGCCACTACCACATTGAGAACAAGTGCGGCGGGCGGCAGAAGACAGTGGAGGAGGAAAAGCGGTGCGAGGTGAGGAAAAAGAGAAGAGCATCTTCTGCTGGGACACGAGATGCAGTTGCAGATAGAATTTTTTGGGAGAATGAAAGGAACGGTATTAACGGAATACAGGCGGAGAAGCACCACACGCTCCATCTTCGAGAGCAGCCTGGCGCTCTTGAGACCGCACGACACCAGCGAGACCGCAAAGGACTCGATCGTGCGGGCGAGGGCGCAGAAGTAGCATCTTCAAGGTTGCACCAGAAGTCCTTCTCAGGACAGACAGCAAAATCGAGGGTAACGGCTGCACGGGACGACGAGCATACGAGTAGAGCTTTAGCCGCGCACGCAGCGACGAACAGTTCAACGAACGGAACTGCAACTTCGAGCTCCGCCGTATGGCCTTCTCAAATGTTACACTCTCAAGCTCAACTGTAACATGATTTGTTTTTGTCATGCGAAATTACAAGTAGAATCTGAATCGACACGATCAAGCTGCTTCGCATGACAAATTCTCGAAACGTCAAACAGGCTGAGAATCTAGTCCAAATTTGTCATGCAAGACGCGCAAGGTTGCCCCCTTCACTTTTGCCATTCTTGCGTCACAAATCACGTAACAGCTGAGAGTGTAACCTTTGAGAACGCCATACGCTGCGTCTTCCACCACGACCACTTTCTCTGCAGACAGTGACGAGAGCGACGAGCCCTCGGACGAGGAACTTTCGATTTTAGAGCAGCTCGGGTTGCTGGATCAAGCAGATCTGGATGAGCAGGACGCGGCAACCCAGTCCACCTGCATCGGCCCGAACTTTGAGTATGCCGGTCCGAGACTGGCGAACGCCGAGGTGTACGAGCGAACCACGGACCGGAAGTACTTCCTGACCAACCAGCGGGTGCAGCACGAGATTCTGGGCTACTGGGAGGGCGGCGGGCCGGCGGTGGTGCAGACGGAGAGCCGGATGCCCACGGAGCGGAAACTGTCCGAAAACATCGGGTATTCCGTCCCGGTTTTGTCTTTGGTGTTCAAGATCCAGGTGCCGCAGAACCGCGACGGGGCGGACGTGGTGCCGCCGGACCCGATGCTGGAAATCATGGGCGACTTGACCCACATCATCGGCAGAATACAAGTAGACGTCACCCAGTTCGCGGACCACCTGCGCGAAAGTCCGGGGGGAGTGTTCGACCCGACGGTACGTCTATTTGATGCGAGTGATTTGTTCATTATTATATTCCGGATGTTTTTACATTTGTTCTTGTCCCGTTGCTAGAACACGAGCAGTGTCGCAACTTCTCAAACGCATCTTACATACGATGTGCATGTAGTTTATGTTAACGAAGTCCCTAATATCCTTTTACCTTTTCAACATTAACGTCACAGACCTTCGAGGCCTACGTCGTGAACCGGCACGGGGACGTGGTCTGCAGCGCCTTCCTGGAGGAGCAGGTCCAGCGTCTTCCCAACACGGTGCCGGACACCGGGCAGCAGGCGGGTAACCCGGGCATGGGGCTGATTCACCAGGGGAATCTTCCGCCCTATCATATGTAAAAACATCCCCACCCCAGGGTTGTCATGCAGATTTGCAAGCACAAGAGCATCTGTAAGGCGCATCCCCATGAGAGACATTGCCCATCGTGTTTTGGAACTTGTAATGCTGTAAACAGGATAAGGACGAGACGGATTCGTTATGCGGCTTCCCTTGCTAAGCTGCACTACACTAGAGTCTGAAACTTGTCATGCGTGACTCCCAAAAGGTCTAGGTTTGTGTTGCAAAATCCCCATCTTGACTATGGTGTGGGGACGTTTTTCCGTAGGATACGCCCGTCCCCTTGGTCATCAAGAAGGTGTTCGAATCCGAGCATTTCAGTTATGGCGTTCTCAACTGTTACATTCTCATCTGTTACATGGATTTGTGACGCAAGAATGGCAAAAGTCAAAGCAGGGAGGTTGCACCTGTTGCATTACAAATTCCGCACAGGTTTAGGTGCTGTTTAGCCTTTCCAAAATTTGTCATGCGAAGTAGCTTCACCTTGTGAGTGTTGATGTTCGTTTTGCATTACAAATCATCTAACAGTTGAGAATGTAGCAGTTCAGAACGCCATATCAGTTCGCTTTCCGCGGCGGATTTGGCCGAGGCGCCGTCGGACGGCCTCGTGAACGCAGACGGAGTCCTGATCATTCCGGTTACCAGTTCAGACACAACCACGTTTCGAGACACGAAGACCACGATATGACGCTGCACAAGAACTACTCCCCCGCCTCGTGGTTCCCCTCATTTGATGTCATGCAGAATACCAACTCCACGTGCTTCGACCTATTCCTTTGGGCACTGTTTGGATGCCAAATTTTGGAACCTCAAACTGTACTACAATCCGTGTGAAGAAGATTTGTCATGCGGAAGCCACATTTCTGCCGTTGCTTGTGTTGCCATTCACGCACTTGGACTTGAAATGAGGGAAAGGCAGAGGGGGAGTTAAGGTTGTGCACTCTGATACAGGGGTCCGGTGGACCTTCTAGCCGAGAACTTTTACGTCGTGGTGTGGGCGGACCAGTGGGCGTTTGTCGACACGTGGACGCTATCATTCGCAAAATAAGAATTATCGTACCAATTCAGATTTTTAAAATTGCGGCAACAGCATCACGAAAATTTGCTTAGCATGACAAGAAATGGACTTTGTGATGCTGATGCAGCTTGGAACGAAAGGAGATGCATCTTGTTGCAGGACTGCAACTGCTACGAGTACGATAGTATAGATTTGCACAGGATACACTTTCGTCAGCTCGTGGGTCAAGATCGTGCTGGGCGGCTACCCGTTTTCGCTCTTTATGATTGTCACGATCCTCTACTCCATCCGAGAATGCGCCGTCAAGAAGAAGGAAAGCATCCGCCAGACCGGGCTTTTCGACTCGAAACTGCGGATTCTCGGGCCGGCGGAGATCGAAAAAGACCGGCAGAAGGAAGCCGCGGCGCAAACAGCTGGCAGGAGCGGGGGCGCGTCGCTGTCGTTGGAGTAGGACGATTATATCGTGGACCACGCGCTGCTACTTCTATATGTAGATGTAGTTCGTCGTCCGTGGTAATAGACCTCGAGCGGTTGGTGATGATTCATTCTACGTGCAGGATACACAGCTTGTGACCTCCTCCGCATCGCCCATGTGTGTTGAGACGCGGGCTATGATCCTGCACGATCATACCAGTCACCGAAGATCACTTCAGCTAGCGAAAAAATATCCTTTCCTCACTCCTTACGTGATTTTTATGAACTAAGAATTCAAGAACATACTATGTTCCTAGAACCCACTCGACGTCGTTCCACTCTCTTCTCAGAACTCTTTCGCAGAACTGTTTTCCACCCCGGAACACCCACTACTACCTTCTACAACCCGAACCCACTTCAACTTCTGCTTCTCATCTTAAAAACCACGAGATGAAGAAGGGACGACAACTGTATCAATTTCCTAGAAAAATGCGGTTTGGCCATATTTGTAGTCTGAGCGACCTTGGTTTGCTGTCGCAAAATGACGTGGTGCCGACAACTTTTACTTCTTTTCGTACAGTATCATTCCTAGAATTTGAATTTTAATCAAAACCCGAACCGCCTGGGCATGAGCACGCCTGACATCAAAGACAGTATGAGGTCGACGAGGACATCTCCGTCCTCGCCAGATGTTCCAGCCAATAAAGATGGCCATCTTGTTCTGCGTAGGTCTTTTGCTTCTCTTTGGGGTAAATGCAAGGCGACTGCTGCGGGCTGCGTGAAACAGCGTCATGGCTACAGCGTCAACATCAACACGTGCGTATAGCATATCTTACTTGAGCGTCGTGGTTTGCTGCAAATTAGCGCTTTTCATCTGAGAGGAATCATTGCAACACGCAACACAAATAAATCATTGCCATTGGAGGACGTTGAGAACTAGCTGTATTTATTCAAAAGCACCGACGAAAGGTGGATAGCCATAGCGTGTGCGCGATGGCCATCTTCTCCATTGATCATGATAAGTATGATCATGATCCCGCTATTTGTGATTCTGATTTCTACTGGTTCTAGCTGTAGAAGCCGTAATACGGGTTATACCGGTTGTTGAATAAGAGGTTGTAGTGTCGCGCTTTTGCTCGGCCTCTTGTTCTCCCCAAACCAAAAGTTTAGGTTGAGGTTTGCCTATGTGGTCCATTCCAAGTAAGTACATTTGACTCTTGACTTTTTGACTTTTGTGAATTTGATTCTTGAACAAAAAATCGTTGAAAAAAACTCCGTATTCCGCCCGGTGAAAATGTTGTCGCGATCCCAGCGCCTCGCGGAGATGGAGCGGGAAAAGTCGCAGATCGCAAAGTTAGAAAGGCACCTGCAGCAGCTGAAAGGCGCCGAGGAGGCCAAAAGCATGTACGACGACGATGAAGCAGAGGACGAAGAGGAAAGCGAAAGCGCCGCCGCCGAAATGGATGAGAGAATACCCATGGCGAAGAAGAATTTAAACGAGGTGAACGCCTCATCGAAAAATTATGGGCCACCACACGCAGGCAACATGGGAGAGTACTTACGATTTCTTGATTTTGAAAGATCATGAAATAAAGGTTGCACAATAGGAATAGAAATGATACGCATGATCTTCCATCAAGAACAACGGGCGCCGGCATTGCGCTACTTATTTTGCTAGAGTGGTTCTGGTCATGAGATGAGAATAAACAATGTATCCAGCCTCACAACGGCTACGGAAGACGAGTCCGCGTGGCCGAACCGTATCCAGGAAAAAACACCCATTCCCAGCCAATTTGTCATGCAAAACATGCATAAAGTCCGCTATTTGTGATTCAGAAAATGGATCATGGGGATGGCTGTTTTTTCCTGGATAAACCGATCCTCCTCCGCACACGACCCCGCGGTGGACCAAACCTACCCAAGCAAAGGAACCAGCAGCAGTGGGCTCGAGGCCTCCGAAACTGCCTCGGTGGCCGAATTGTTGGCGATTCACGAAGAGCTGACGTCGCTAGATCCGCGTTTGACCTCCATGCGCGTAGAAGAACACCCAATGCTCGTCCTCCCGGAAGATGAAGTAGGACGAGGAGCAGCTGCAAATGCTGAAGCAGGAGGTTGCTCTATGTTGGAGCCCGCACCCCAGAGCACGACGAGCGAGCGCCACCGAGGTAGTGGTAGTGCAGCCACAGCAGATGCAGAAGTAGACCCCTCGGACCTCCGTGTGCAGCGAACAGCTGCTGGCAGTAAGAACGCATCCGGCTCGCGCAGTCCGGGGGTCCGGAAGATGCTGAGTAAGCCGCTCTTGTATTACCCGAACAGTGGCTCGAGTCCGAGCACGACGCAGCGACCTGGTGCCACTACTGGTGTTGCGTTGTCTCTGTCGCAGCAGGAACAAGACCAAGAACTACTACACGAGCAGCCACAATACGTTAGCAAGAAACCGCTGCCGACTCTGTCGCCCGCGCCGGAGGCCTTTTCCACGGCCCGGGAGTGCAATATGGCGTTCTCAACTGTTACATTCTCAACTGTTACAGCATGGATTTGTGATGCGAGAATGGCAATAGTCAAAGGGGCAAGCTTGCTGCTTTCGCATCACAGACTTGGCACAGATTTAAATGCTGTCTAGCCTCTCGGAGATTTGTCATGCGAAGCAGCTTGATCATCTGGCGGCTTAAGGTAGTCTTGCATGGCAAGTTCATGTAACAGCTGAAAATGTAACGTTTGAGAATGCAATATGCAACAGCCCGGACCTGCGTTTGCAAACGTTTCGGCCAGCGGATTCGGAGCCGCGATTTCTGGAGTCGCCCCCGACCTCCGAGGTCGGAGCGCGTATCATTCGCGGGCCGACGAGTAAGAACGCACTGCTGCTGCCCTCGGATGACATGGTATTAAGTATCTATGACTATGTCTGACGAGTTGCATGATTACTATTAGCTTTCTTGCCAGGCGGAGGCATGGGCATGAATGCAATAAATTTGAATTAAATGGATAGATGCGATATGCAGACACGGAGGTCGATTTTCGTGTGTTGATTGTTCGCGCTCTGCATGTTGATTGTTCACGATGATGAAAGTGAAACACAGAATTAGAAAAGTCAGATTTATTGGCAGTATAAGGATACGTACAATAACACTAACAATACACGTGCAGGGCCGCCACCGCAGCAGCGTGAGCACAACGAGTTTAATGTTTCGCATCGCCCGGGATTCTTGTGTCGAGGTCGACCCACCCGAAGTGCTGGAAAATTTAGAAAAACCGGTGGCGGAGACCCGGCAAGAAGGAGCGTCGATGACGATACCACAGGAAGAACAAAGCCAGCACTTGTTACACCACCAGCATCAAATGGTCGAAGTGCCCGTGTTGGAGATCAGCTCGTCGAGCTCTGCGTCTCCAGTTTCCGTCGAGGTCGAGGTGGAGGTCGATCATGATAATGATGCTGGACAACTACAGCTACAGGCACAGCCTCCGGATGAAGAAGCGAGTCGTGGTGGAGCAGGAGCAGCTGCTCTATCAACCTCAAAACAAGACCTGCTGTCTATGGCGTTCTCAACTGTTACATTCTCAAGTGTTACATGATTATTTTCTGATGCAAGAATGGGAAAAATGAAAGGGGGAAGGTTGCACCTGTAGGATTACAAATTCCGCACAGAAGATTTCGGTGCGGTTTAGCCCTTCGCAAATTTGTCATGCGGAGCAGCTTGGAGGTTGCGAATATGATGATGGTACTTTTGCATGACAAGACCCTAGATCTCCTGCGTCCGAAGCTGCTTGCGGCGACGGTGCAAAGGTTTTTGATGTGGTGCAGTCGGGTATGCGTGACAAATTTATGTAACAGTTGAGAATGTAACACTTGAGAGCCCCATACTGTCCTCGAGCTCCTCGTCCGTCGAGCTACTACCTATCGGAAGTAGAAGTACAGCATACGATCCTGTTGCCGTGGTCGCACGGCAGCAAGACCTGGTACTGGTCAACGCCGGTAGCGTGATGGTGCAAAATGCAGCTGCGGATAGAGCACAAGCGACCGTCGGAAATCAAGCAGAACAGCAACGTGCAACCGAAAGAACAGCACCAGCTGCGCGAAACTTTTCACCTCCAGCAGGAGGTGGAGCACCAGCTGCGAAAAAGACTCCTGATGAAGCCTCTCCGAAGTGGACCAGCATCGAGGAAGCGCGGAGGAGCTACCAGCGCGAGAAAATCAACCGTAAGAGTCAAGAGGAGCAGCGGAAATCTGTGGAGGGGCTAATGTTGCCGCAAGGAGCAGGAGGAGGTCCTGGGCGGGCCTCTTTCCAGACCGGACGCCAGAGCTTCGGCGAGGGTGGAGATCAAGATGATTACCATGATTCGGGAGTACTAGCAGAGCAAGTCGTGCAAGAAAACCATGATGTGGAAGATGATAGTGCAGATGCGAGAGAGCAGGTGCAACTACTCGGCAAGTCGCAGGAGCAAAGCAGTAGTTCTACTTCACAGCCCCCGGGTATGGTCACGTCTCAGAAGTCCGGGGCGGTAGCGTTCTCGGTGCCGTTCGGATCTACTGCTGCACCACCTGCGGCTGAAACAAATAAAACAGCAGGCGGCACTGGAGCTGCTGGAGCAAACCATCCTCACCCTGTAGGAGCCTCTTCTGCGCCGCCGGTCAAGATTGTTCCCGACCACCTTCCGGTGACAACCCGGGTGGAACCAAATCCAAATTTTTTCGCCACCGCGACTGAGGAACAGAAAGCTAGACGCCGCTCGCTGTCCAGTGACAGCGCGAGACAGCAGCACAAGTCGCCCGTTGGTAATAACAAGCAAGCTGGTAATGTGCCACAGAAGAGTCTCGACGATCAGGCTGCAGACGGAGCCACTAGTACTGCTGGAACAGCAGCTCTGCAAGCAGGTTCATCGACGCGGCGCATGTCCTTCGAAGCTCCCAGCCGCACGACATCATCCATCGACCCGAGAACGGGTGAGAAAGTGGTGATTCGACGGAACCAAGCGCCCTACGCCGTGCGCAGAACCGTGACACGAAGCCGATCACCACAGCTGAAGTCAAGAGACGGAATTGCTACTTCTAGCAATCCTAATATGATAACAAGTTCATCTTCCAGCAGCAGTTATACGAACAACACAACTAGCAGACAGGAGCAGCTAATTGGGCCGCGGGAAGGTCTCGCTATGTCCGCTGGCGGCGGGGTCCTGCTAGTCACGACGGATGGTGATCCGCATGATCGAGGTGGCGAAGACGCCTACATCAAAGACGCCTCGTCGAAGGAGACGATACTCGTTGCGTCAAGGAGGAGCGGAGATCATGTTGATCATGTAGCAGATGAAACCGATAAAAACCACCAGGACGAGGCTCTTGGTTTGATGCAAGATGAACTTCTAGTACACCGGGACAGCCAAGAAGACCTCCATCAAGATGACAATTCGAACCTTTTCGGCAACACCCTGACCTATTCGATGGATTCGGACATGAAGCTTGGCAGCTGCCGTCCGAACCTCGCCGCAGAGATGCGCATAGTACCGAGAGCAGGAGATCATGTTGCTCATGGCGCGGCAGATGAAGAAAGCCGCGAACATGTTGACGATGTCGCAACAGACTTAGAGGTGAACTACGAAACAACCTCTGGCGCAGGACCTGCATCCAGCAGCCGACTAGGTGGGTTTTCCTCCTCTCCGCACGCCGCAGCGCGCAGTGCGTTTACCGGCACGTACCGCAGCCGGGTAAACGACGATAATAACTCTATTTCCGGTGACGATCTGACGACAAACAACATGGCGCAGCCGCAAAAGTCGAGACTCGTAGCGCCGCCATGGCAAGAAGAGGTAGTAGCGTCTTCGTCCGAAGGTGTTGGTGGAGGTTCTGCTGCTGCATCAATCGGAAGTAGAAGTAAAATCTCTTCCTCGTCGGCCGCGTCGACCACCACCAACAGATTGCAACAGGCTCCTTCAGCTGCTCCTCAGCACGACAGTTCCGCTCTTTATTCCGCTCCGGTGTTTCTAGAAGACGATCAAGTGATCAACGAAGCCGATGCCGTGATGGAAGAGACAAAACAGCTACTAAACAAACACAGCCACCGCAAACTACAGATGCTGGACGAAGAGGTCGTCCGCGGGAGAAGCGATGAGACTTCAGCAGGCGAGCGAAATGCAATAGCACAGAGACAGGCAACAGGTCAAGGAACTGAAGACAAACCTCCAGCCGGGCACGGCGAAGTCGAAGAAGATGTCGTCGACCCCTTCGGCTTGGCTGATTCGCCGAAGCCGATGAAGGTGCACATTGGGAAGCGGGAGGTGAAACCCCGGGGCGACACGAGCCAGGGCATCGAAGAGCTGCCGGTGCTTCGCATAGGTAGTCAGCATTTGAACAGCAGTTCCGAAGTCGACAATTACCAGGAGACGGACTACAGCAACCACGACCTGTTCCACCCGCAGCCCTTTTCCCTCGCAAGCTCTGCCGCGAGCTCGCGGCTGCGCAGCTTCCGCGAGGCGGTGATCCAGGAGAAGGGAGGAGCGTCCAACTCCAATTCGGTTTCGGAAACCGAGATCTTGAACAAGGGAGGTGCAGTTGTTGCTGGTGCGTCTTCTTCTAATGTTGCTGGAGGCACGACTCCTTCATCTGCTGAACCGTTCTACGCGAAGTCGATGTCATCTGTGCTCGAAGTTGTTGGGAAGGAGAAGCTAGTCGCCGCAATGGCCGCTTCAACAACGTCTGCTACAGGAGCAAACAAGCCAGAAGGCGATAATTCTAATTCACCCGTCAGATGCCAGTCCCCGCAACTGGCCGCCAGCGCGAGCCGGCTTTTGCTCGGCAAGCCCAAAATGACACGAACTTTGGCTAGTTGTACTGAGATGAACAGTGGTCAGTCTCAGTTCCTACCCGGCACACGGGTGGGTCATCACGTCGGGGGCGGGTCAACATTTACGGAGTTGGAGGTTGCGAACAAGGACAAAGGCCATAATGGTGCAACTGAGCTACAAGCTGGTGCGGCAAGTAATTCTAATTCATCCTCCGCGTCCAGCTCCAGTACAAGCACAACAACCCGTATCCGCGCTAACTCCGACCTGGCGGCGCTTGGCACAACCGGAGGAGCTGCTGCAGCTACACTGAACAATAAGCAGACCGTCGTGAGAATTGGCGGCGCAAGTCGGGGTCACCAGAGTGCAACGACCTCCACCCGGGATCTGCTCCACAACCAGCAGCTCCGGTGGTCGACCGCCTCGACGCCGACGCCCATCAACATTGGACGGAACAACACGCCAAATGGGGTCACAAAAAGCTTCTTTGGAGGCGGGAAAAATAATTGTAACCTTCATTCACACAAACAACTTCAACTCGGTGGTGGAAAGAATCCACCCATTACAACAGCCGCTGGACAACAAGGTGGTGGTCCATCCTCCTCCCAAACGCTGTCGCACAGCTCCTCGGCGAGCAGCTTGCTCCGTGTCTCCGCAACGACCTGGGGCACGCCACTGCTCGCTTCCCGAAGTCTCCAACTCGGTCCTACGCCGTTGCTCGACAGCCGGGGGAGTACTTGTAGTTCTGGGATAAATAAGCACTCGGCTTCTTCTGCGCAGGACCCTCTGGGATCCTTGTTCCGTGACTCGGCGGACCGACTTAAGCAGATTGTCGTAGGAAACAATCCCAGCTCTGCGTCTAGTACGCCCATGCAAGAGGTTGAACAAAATCAGCTACAGCCTGCAAGAACTACTAGTGGCCTCACGCCCAACGCGAGCGACGTTCTTGTTCGGAAGAGCAATTCAGGATTGATTGCTTCTGGTTCCGGCGCAACTGGAACTGATTCATCTGCATTACAACAGGAGGGAATTGTGGATGATCATGCTCAGATTCCCCTTGCCGAAAATGTCGTTGTGGTCTCTCTGCCACCTGAAAACAGCGAGACCGACCAGAATCTGTCTTCTTCGGCTGAAATAAGCTCGTCGTCTGGCGCGGGACCGTCAAAGAACGCGGTTGTGGAGACGAAAAAACAGTTTATGTACTACAACGACCGCTATAATCCGCAATCTTACGCCTCGAATTACCCCAGGAGTGTCAATGGGACGCCTAGCGATGGACTGGTGACGGAGGTATGCTTTGGTAGTTCTAATGGACGATGACTAGTGCAGCAGCTTCCCGTGGACTTCCTATTTTCAGTGGAGAAGATCAAGATTCATTCTGATTGCAGCTAGCCATGATATGATTGATTTGAACAAATATAAAAAATCACGCAAGAATATAAACTTGAACGAAGATGATATTTTTTGAAACTACATCCAACGAACTCTAAGGGCTCGAAGGCTTCTGTGCAGACGCTCCCGAACGCCTCGAAAAACTCTGTTCAAACCATCGACCTGGCAAAGCCCGGCTCAAAGGACCACCAGGACCAGATTCTGATCGGGTCGTCCGGTGGTGTTTTGAAAGGTAGCAATGGCAGCTGCAGCACCACAACTGCGCAGCACCAGAACGCTATCGCCACGACACCTGCAGCTGCACTAGTGGGCGACAGTGCCGGTACAGCGACAGAAGTACCACAACACCCGACTAGCGAAAGTACGACCGCTACGTCGATTTACCGGCGGTTGTTAAACCAGCGAAAGCTTTCCGAGCACAGCGAAGACGGAAGGATTTTGACAACGGCGGGGGCAGGAGGTATAGGTGTTGCAAATGCAGCTCCGCATCCAGTTGTTGCTCAAGGTCAAGGTCTGCAGCAAGCGAGTTATTTCAACGCCAACAACAACGTAGCGGGCGGCAGCAGTTCAAGTTCTTCGTTACTTCTGCCCAGTATTGGCACTCCAGCCGTGAATGCTGTGACCGCTTCGACAATGACAAATTTCGGCTCCGTTTCGGGCGTGATTGCAGCAACGTCCGTACAAGTGAAAAGACACAGCGCGGCGGCCGCAGCGGGTACTAGTGAGGTAGGATTTGTTGATCCGAACTCCATCCCATCGAAGCCAGTGAACAATACGCGAGTGCGAAAGCTGGTCGTGAATCCAACAGCAGAATTTGCAGTGCAGCACGCTCCAAATGGTGGCGGAGGTTCATCGGCTTTCCCGGCCCCAACTATCGGACCCGTCGTTTCAGGAGGGGTAGTTGGTCCCGGTACAACAACTATGGCCGCACCAGCACCGGAAAACGTGGTAGTGTTGGGCTCGTCCGGATCAGCAACGTCATCCGCCTCATCTTCGCCATTCGTTGCCCATCCGGCTGCTCCTGGGGTGGCCGGCGCACCTACCGTTTTTGCCGCGGGAACGGCGCCCACGACCCAACCCGGCACAGCGCTTCTCGAGACCGAGGGCATGGAGTGGGTTGAGAAGAGCGCGACAGAGCCTACAGAAACAGTATAGATACGTCTGTCTTTTTTGCAATAGACGCTCGTCTTTCTTGCCCTGTTACAGTGGCGTAAAGGAATTGCAGTCAGCACTGTGATATTTTTGACATGACAAGAAGAATATAAATGGTGTACACCCGCCACACTTCTACCATCCAATTTGATCAGGAAGAAGAGGTGGAGGAGCGAAAACGCGCCAAGAAGATGGAGAAGATGGCCAAGAAGATGGAGGAGCTCCGCAAGCGCAAAGAACAGGAAGCGTTAGAACGGAAGCAACGCTGGGAACAGGAGCGGCGCGAGCGACAGCAGTCACGGAACATCAAACCGCAACAGCAGCAACCCACTCCCGTGGTCGTCCACGAGGGGTCGTCGAATAAGAGTGGTAGAATCGCGCCTCGCAGCACGGAGCACATGAAGCCGGTACAGCATGGTCGAGGGACAGCGGTCGGAACGGCGAGTGGCACTTCAGGTGCCAATAAACCGTCCAAAGGAGGTAACGCATCGTCGAGTTCCGCCTCCACCACCGCACACCACCGTGGTGGAGTTGATAAAAATCTCTCAACGAAGCGCAACGTGGTATCATCGCCGACCGAAGTTTTGGAGCAGTCCATGGCTTCCTCAACCACGGCGTTGGAGCAAAACAGCGGCACCGCGAGCAGCTCGACAGCTGGCTCGACTAGTGCTACAGCTGTGCACGTCGGTGGGCGAGTGCTCAGTAGCCAGGAAATCAAGGTACTTACAATCGTGTAGTTCTAGTTTTTCTTTTTGTTGCTCATCATCATATGGATATCCATCGATGTGTTTGAAGAGATCACGGAAAATAGTTCTGACTGCATCTGCACCATCTCTATGGACAAAATTTATCACACACCAGCCCTCCAACATTCCTGCGCCCCCGGGTCGAAGCCCCATCATGAATAGCCGCAAGGACCTTCGCGGCAGTACTCAACTAGCTGCACCGTCGGAAAGCAAAACCCAACTCCTGACGAATAAAACCTCCAATCCGCACCAAGCGAGCGCCAGTCGTCTTCACCAGCACCATCCGGTGAGCGACCGGCTTCTCGGCACCCCGACGCCCGTGCAAGTTGATGTATCGCAGAACAGCGGCACCTCCCCCGCTGCGGAAGGACCAACACCTCCCGGGTCCACAACATCTGCACTTGCACAGCCGGACGACATCTCGCTGCGGAACCTGCTCCCCAAGCCCAACACCTACCCGGTGCCGAAGTGCAAGGAGAAGAGCAACCGGAAGCTGACGCGGAATGCCGTGCTGCTGCTGTTGCAGGGCGAGGCGTCGCGGTCGCTGCGCGAAACCGTGCTGGCGCAGATCGACGGGGTGCTGCAGGACGAGCGCTTCGTGATCGTGTTCCGCGGCATGCACAAGGGACGCCGGGACTTCCGCGCGCTGTACGCGCTGCGTGAGGGGCGCTGGGTGCGGGTCGCGCACCTGTTCCAGTGCCCGGCCTGCATCTCCGACGAGATGGTGGAGCGATACTACCGCTTCGACACGGGTGGGCGCACGTTCAAGGAAATCGAGGGCGCGTCGGAAATCTCCGGGGCCGTGGACGCTGTGTTCCTCAAGCCCGAGTTCCTGCCGAAAGCACGGAAAAATGCGTGAGCATGTTGGCCGTCGAGTGGAATGTTGGGAAAACGGGGGCGCTGGAGCGAGTTGGTCCTCGGGCCGGCTCCGGGGGCTGCAAACGAATAGTTCACGAAGCTGTGAAGAGATGATTCCCGACATAGTCCACGCACGAGTTGTACGTGATGTTGGAAAGATGAGGAAGGGGCCTGCGCCTGACACCACCAGAGCGGAATGATAAGGATTTGGCAAAGATACAGAGAAGAAATAATTGAGGATTGAACCAATAAAAACTTGCTTTGCGAGGATAGAACAAGTCAGCGAAAAGATATCCCGCCAACCGCTGCGGTGCAAGCAGGATTCATAAATTCGAACGAATGTCGCCGGATGTTTTCGCCTTCGGTGACTGATACGCGACTTCGCGCACAGCTGTGTTCGAAGTTGAATGCCGGCTGTCTTTTGCAGCGGGACGGCCCCGCACCGTGGTGAAGCATTGAGCACGTCGGCCACGGCAAAACTACAAGACGAGCGCCGTAGCAAGTTGGCGACCCCCTCGCCCATGTTCTCCGGCGCCGCGCCAATGTTTGCCGGGGCGAGCCGGAAGCGCGGCGCTGGCCCGTGGTTCACAGGCCGCCCAAGTCGCCGCCCACCAAGACCGGCCCGGCGCTTCCGCTGCTAGCCCGCTGCGAAATGTATTCGGATGGACCCCGGCGTCGCGGCGAAATTCCCTGCCTGGAGGCAGGAGGGGCGCGCCCCTGTCGGTGCGCAAGACAGCCACCCCCTTCGGGGGCGAGGGGTGGGCCGCCGAATTGCTGCGGCAGCCGGTGGGTGTTGTAGGGCGCTTTCCATTCGGCCGGCCATCCCCCACGATGGGCCGGGAGCGCCTGAAACTGCTGGGGCTGCATCATACGAAAGAAGCCTGCGCGGGCATGACATCGACAGAGGGCCCGCACCTCCCGAACATCGCCGGGCTAGCTTGCTTCCTTGACCCCAGTCCCTGACTGATTAGACGGCCAGGCGGGCCGACGAAGGCTTCGGGAGCTGCGAAACGGAAGCGCGCGAAGAATAGCAGGACCGCGCGCGTGGCTGTTGTCCTGGGCCCGACGGCGGCGGCAGGTAGAAAAGCAGCGCGCCCGGCGGCTCTTTGTGCTGCCCACGGACGGGTGGGGGTTTAAGGGCGGTGGGGCCAGGTGGACGCCGGAAAACGCCCGCCATTCATGATTCAGGCCTGGCCGCCCGAAGTCCCAAGCTAGCACGCAGGGCCGCGCCAAGGGGCAGGCACCGCGGGCAGGCCCTTGGGATTGCGGTCGGAGCCGGATGCGGATCGCGATCCGGAATCGCGCAAGCGGTGGGAGCGGCCCGCGCCGTTCTTCACGGGCCGCCCGCCCGGCCCCCCGACTTCCGGCGGCGTGGTTTGGCAACTGCGACGCCTGGCACGCAAGCCAGCAGCGCCGTCGGGCGCCTGGGGCGCGAGTGGTTTGCCGCCGCCCCGGCGGCCCGGGCGGGCGGCCACCGGGCCCATAGGTGCGGGCAAATATCTGAGGAAGGGGGGGCCGGCGCTTCGCCGGAATTTCTGCAGCCGACGCCTATAAAAAAAGCGGGCGCGCGGGCCTGGATGAGTCGCAGCAAGGCCGCGCCGCGGGCGCCTACCTAGCCCTCGGCCCTTCGTTCCGCGCGCTGGGCGGTTTTCCCCGGTGCCTGTTTTCGCTATTTGCCGGGGCCCCCCCAGTTGGTTCCCTGCCTGTGTTCTTTCCTGAACCAGCGCGCACGGTGCGGCGCGCTTTGGCAGGTGTGTTGTCAGCCTTGCCCGCTTGCCCGCGCGCGCGCCCGGGCAAGCTGCGCCCCCCGGCCGGCGGGCCGGACGGAGTGTAGCTTGCTGGCAGCCCCGAACGAAGCAGCCCCCCGGGGGTGGGTTTTGGCCGGTCCGCCCGGGCTCGGCGGCCGGGGGCGCGGCCCGGTTTCGGTAGGCCCAGTCCCCCGAATGACTCTTCACGGACGCGGCTTTGATTGGTTAAGCGCCCACTCATACGAAGAATATTTCTAAAGCAATAAGTGGGGGAGCTGCGAACGCGACGCCGCTAGTTGCGTCGCTATCTATCCTTCCATCAGGGTCGTGCCCCGCCTCGGCGCGGGCGTTGGCGCTCTCCTTATTTATGAGTTCGGCCGCCGGACCCTCTTGTGTTCCCGTATCTATGTTGTGCTTGTGTTTGTGTTGAAGAGTATTTTGCTAGCGTGGCGCGGCTTGCTCATCCGGGCGACGCAGTTTTCCTACATGAGAGCGCACGTGCGTGTATCGAGTGCCAGTGTGAACAACCCAAAATCAAAACGAAGCGTCAGAGAAAGTAAGGGGCAGGTCTGAGCAGTAAACCATGACGCTCTTATGTCATCCCACGACTCTGGCGCTCGCGTTCCGGGTGTCTACTCAACTACTCATACTCACTGCAATAGGTTCGTCTCTTGTAGTTGCGGCTGCGTCGACAACTACATCACATTCGCAGAGCACAATCGCAGATGCTGACGAGACCCACCCCCGTGGACAATTCGATGAACCGACGGGGAACTACGTCCATGATCACAGACAGCGAGCAAGCTCCACCCCCAATGGTCGTGTAGCACCTTCCCATGGCAGGACTCGCACACTAGGCACAGCTCCCGACGCTACACCAGCTTCCGACACAACACCCTCCTCTGCGCTCCAGCTCCAGTCGGAGGCCGGTGCCAAGACGAAGGAGGAGCTGACCAAGTTGGTGGACAAGCAGGACAAGGAATTTCGCGACGGTTTGAAGAAATCCATTGACCTCGTGAAGGCCAGCGAGGAGGCCCGCGACGGGCTGGGCGCCGAGGTCGGACTGTACGTGCGGCTCGCCGACGTGCTTCGGACAGAGCTGCTGGAATTTGTGTCCGAGGGAAGGCGAGACTTGTTCCGAATGGAAGAATCCTTGACACTGTTCTCCAAGCACATCGAACGGCATATGGACCGGAATTTTTACGAACCGCCAGCAAATTACGGCGAGTTCTTCTTCCCTAGGTTCGGGGGAGACAGCTAGTTTTGATGTGACGCAAGGCTGTAGTGCCTGTGCCTCCTCCTCCTGTCTGTGTTGGGGCAGAATCTTTTCAGTATTTCATTATCTGGAAGAGAACGACCTTGATGCTTTTGCTCATGCAGCTTGGATTATTCCGACTAGGTTTTCGCAACAAATTTATATTTAAGTAACCTGCTCATCGTTCTGTCATCTCGGTGTTCAAAAGCAAAACAGTGATAAGATTCTTGGTCAACCTCCTCAACGTGTAGTTGTGATTTACACATCACAGAGAGACGAAAGAACGGAGGAAAGCGTCCTCGTCGTTGGTGACGACGTCGACCGTGGACGTTTGTACAACTCTTCGCTGTTTAAATAGAGCACTACCTAGCTGGTCTTCATGGCGAAAGCCATTCACACCACGGACAATTTAACTACGAGCACTGAGTTTCCTACTTTGGCTTTCTTCGTCTTGATCACAAGTTGTGCATTTCTCGGTCGTATTTTTAGCTGCAACTAGTTGTACTTGTTTCTGCACCAAGTTTACGATGTTTATTGCGCAATGTCTCCGGTAAGAGCGGCTGCCGCTAGTGCTTACGGGCAGGTGGAGAGTTTGACTTTTGAGTCTGCTGGTGGAACAGGTAGTTTGAGCACGGCTGGTAACTACCCGGCGGTCGCAGAGCACTACATGGTGGACAACTACTATAGCGCAAGCGCTGGATCTCCTCCTGTCGGCGCTGTAGTTGCGACCGGCACGCCAAATGTTCCCGACGCCGACCCGAAATGGATTCAGTACTTGGAGCAGGGGATCCACATTCTGAGCGAAAAATGGAATGAGTATGGGAACGCGGTCGCGGCGCGAATCAACGACGCCGCGGATGTGGTTGGAACTGGTGCTGTGCATAGTCCTGGCAACATCGGACCACCTCCTGCTGGTGATGCACAGCACAAAGACCGGGGTAGTTCAACATCATCCTCAGGTCGCGGCGCTACCAATTCCGCGTCGTCCGAAGAGGCTCTGCCAGGCCATCTCTTGGTATAGAAGAGGACAAAGTTCAAGTTCTTGAATTACTTTGAATTTTTGCAATATGAATATTCTTTGCAACTCGACGACCACGTCCACCACCCTCTAGACATCTTCAAGAATTCAGAGATGATACACCTGACACTCAATCGAGCTGAGGAGGCAAAAATGATATAGCAAGTGGAATGAAAAAAACCATCTCAGCGGTGTCGATCAGTGTCTACCCCACTACTTCATCTCAGGACCCCTGCGTCGCTGCGTATGCCGACCGAGCGAGGCTTCTCGCGGACCGCACCGCCGAATTCTTATGAATTGCAAAAGCATCGTACTAGTATAAATTGCATTACAAATTGGCCCAGCATTAAAAATCGAATTTCTAATGCTGATTTGAATTGAGAAAGAGATTTGTAATGCATAAATGCAATTAGTATGAGTACGATACTTTTGCACAGGATAATTCTGTGCACAGACCAATGGGCAACGGGAGCTGCTCCAGGCGGAAAAGAACCGCGAGCGACAGAGGTACGAAGGGGAACAGGAGAAATATCAGGTAAAGTAGTTCGTTCTTTTTGGTGCATCATGCTTGGCAAATTTTTCCGATGACGGAGCCGAGCCGCAGGAGATCAGCATACCACCACGAAAATCTACCAAGAAAATACGTCTACTAGAAGATGAATGTGAATCACAATTCACGCATGATGCTCAACGTCAACAGGTCGCCATGGCGGATTTGGAGAGCCAAATCAACAAAGAGTGGGCGAGGTACGTGGAACAAATGGAAAAAGGACAGTTGGAACAAGAGCAGCATAAATCTTCCTCCTCCACCTCCAAACCGCCCGGTGCGGGCAAGGAAGACCCTCGGGCTCTTGACCAGGAAACGGAGCTGCCAGATCAGGAAGACGACCAAGACAATTTCGACGATTCCACCTCAAGTGAGGATCACGACCACTTGGATTTTTCCGCAAACAGCTCGTCCGACGGGGGCAGTCCCAGTGAGGAAAATGATAGCGCTGAAACTTCCTCTCCGCTCCCCGTTGCCGAGCTGAAAAAGCGGCAGAACGAGCTGCTGCTCCGGTTGAAATACGAGTACCAGCGGAAACACCGGGATCTGGAAGATTTGAAGGATACCGTGCTGCGTCGGGAGATCTGCATGACGAACATTTTGACAAGGATCAGCGAAAATGACGCGGCGCTGTACCAGAAAGGGTTTCAGGCAAACGAGATGGGGTGCTACGTGTCCATATGCAATACAAATTTCCCGTGCATGTACTACAGGATGCAGCACAATTTCACCAACTTCGAAGAAGCAACCTGTCATGCTGAAGAGCTTTGAAGCAAAAGCTTGTCATGTGGAAGCTACAATCATCGTACGTCTACGTCGTGTGCGGGTTGAAATTTACTGTGGATAGTCCACCCACCCATCCATGACGGCTACGCAGGACCAGGAAATGCGGAAGGGGCACTGTCAACTAGAAGATTTGCTGCTGGAAATCGGACAGAAACGGGAGTCGCTCCGGTTGAAGGAAGAGCACATCGGGTTTCTGCAGGAGGATACGGTTTCTTTATTTTCATATAGATTTCAGCCTCCGTTTTATTTGGTTTTTTCGCTACACTTATGGAAGTTTTTGCTCCATGGTTTGACGGAAAAATCATGTACGAGCAGCAAATTCCATTCATCGCTCTACACAAACTTATCAATATGCAGGCACGGCTGAAGGAGCTTCGTCAATGGGTGGATGCCGAGTGGGAAAGAAGACAAAGGGACACTGGCGTGGAGGCGGGTATGCAGACGGATTGGAGCTGGGAACAAATCAAAAACGATTTTGAGGACCTAGCTGGACCAAATACAGTGCAGAGTGCGACACCCAAGCGCACCGCGCCGAATTTCGCAGGAAGTGTGCACGCAGGTATTTTTACGTTATTGCTACAGCTTCAAAATTAAACTAAAACAAACCATGATTGAAAGGAACTACAGATGACAGCACGGCAAAAGACTGTAATCGTATGTCACGAAGTCGAAGGGCAGGAAGAGGAATAAAAAATGAAAATTCAGCTGGACACACTTCGCCGTCGCCATCAGGAGCTCGTGGTGTGCGCGGAAGGCAATCTAGTTCGGGGGGCGTCCAGCGGTCCTATGACTTCACGCCGACCGATCGTCGCAGCCGCGCGTCAGTGGTACATGCAGATGTTGCTGGTAGGCCGATAAACTTCATGACCCTTTGATGTTGATTCGTTTTGCATGCTCTCAAACAAGAATAGTATATTTTCAGTTTTCAAAGTTCTCTTCACACGGTACATCATACAGAACGGCACTCCGCCCGTCCGCACTTCCAGTGGAGCTGCAACCTCAAGCAACCAGCAACCTCCTCCCCCGGGAACAGCTGGTCCGCCCACGCGAAGTTCCATGCCCGGTAGCGCGCGGGGAACCGCGACGAACCGCGGACAGAGCTTTTCCCGTGCCCCGGTGACCCGCAACCAGCAGGGGATCGCGGCGCCCAAGCGGAAGCGAAACGAGAAAACCCTTTCGAGCCCGGAGAAAAGCAAGATCAGCTCCAAGGTTGCAAGTACCTTGGCCGGCCTGCAGAGCAAAAGCGCGGCAATAGCGAACATTGGGGGAGGCGGTCCTTTGCCCAGTAACACCGGCGCACCAACAGCACCAGTCGGCAAGGCGGCGTCGACATCATCTTCATCGGCGGGGGTGAAGAATTATAATGATCCCCAGCAGCAGCTGTCTGTGACCGAACAGCACGTGGCGTTTGCGACCGCAAGCCTGCGCAAGCGGATCCAAAACCCGGGCAGTGGATCGTTTGACCGGTCAAGTGGTACGACGGGAAATAACCCGAATGCACCAATCCGCGGATCAAGGCAGGTCAAAGTTACTGGTGGCGGCGCAACATCTTCAAATAACCCGTCTCTACTAGGAGCATCATCCACGACCATCGCAGGAGCAGCTCCCAACACGAAGCAAGCTGCGGCCTGGCTGCAGAACAACATGGTGCCCGGACTGGTGTCCACCTCTGGAAACGTGTCTGCGCCTGTACCGGGTGCCGCGGGATCTGCTACCGGCATGGTTCCGCCTGTGTCTTCCTCTAGCTCCTCCTCTTCATCCCGACGAAATAAACCGATCAACACCCGCGGCTCCACCGCGCGTCGCGGTTCGCAGGAGCCGCCGGCTGTCGTGAGAGGTACTAGTAGTGCCGGCGGCCCGAAGAGTTCAATTAGTGGCTCTGGTTCCATTCGCGGCGGGGTGCGCGGAGCGACGACGACAAACGCGCCAAATTTGCATCAAGTAGGGGCCTACCGAGGATCGACAAATACTAGTGACGGCAGCAAACAAACCCATACCCAAGCGGGACGGGGGAATCCTGGCGGGTCGACCAGGAGTACCGCTAGTGCAGCAGCGACGGGAACAGCAGCTGCTACACGGGAAAGACTACAACCGCCTCGTCGTGGCGATCTGTTTGCGACCGCGACGTTTGGGACGGCGCATACAACAGGAACATCAGTAGACGAAATGCTTGATGTAAATAACGAGGAGCTTCTGTCCAACCCGCCGTCGTTCGACGACCAGCCGCTGGAGGGCAACTTTCTCTCGGACGACGATGGCTCAGACGGGGACCCGAGGATTCAGGACATTCCGAAACGGCGCGGCGTGCTGGACGACGAACTCATGTTCGCCGCTGGGGGAGGGGGGACGACGACGACGGCGAACTTCGGGAACAATACCAGCAGCGTCCTCGCGTCCCCGCCTGTTGGAGGAGGTAATGCAACCACGACGACACCTAGTCAGCACCAGCCGCAGATTCTTGTCGGCGGAACTGCAGCGAAGAACAAGATTTCTCTAACCGCCGTGGGTGCGCCGACGATGTTGCACCGGACCAACTCGCATGGCCTAAACGCAGCGGATTGCCGACCGCCGGCGGCGTCGAGTAGCAGTCCTGTTGGAGGTGCAGCTGGAAATAATAGCAGCGGTGCCAGATCCACTTCGCCCGCGTTTGGAGTGCAGGTGGAAGACGGCGATCGCAAGGTGGCTGAGCATCTGGCCAGCGCGGGGCCCGGCGGGGAAAGTGCTGGGGGCGGAAAGGTAGAAATTTGGATTGCGTGCTGTCGTGTTTGACCTTGAATCATGCTCCAAAATCGGACCACTACGTAGGAAAATGAAACTCTGTGTGCTGACTCATGATCTCGAGATACATAGTACTGACCTACTTTGTTTTGCAAAATCAAAAGCAAGCTACCGCGCCATCAGGTCGATCGCAACTCGGGATTCAACGGGCTCGCAGGAGCGGTTAGTCCGAAGCGTCCCGGGGTTCCTCAGAACTCGGAAAATCGCATGCGCGAAAGGACAAATAAGGTTCGAACCTCTCGAGGATGAGGGGAATGTAGGAACGAAGTACAGACGAATTAAGGATGTGGAGACATAAAAAACGTCCGAGTCCGCGGGCTGTGTATTTCGAAGAATAACAAGATCAAGAATACACAATACGATGCAGCATATGTTTTATCATCTAGCACAAGAATCGCGAACTAGCAAGAACTGGTGTGATGGAAGATGTTGTTCTTGTAAATTTCAAGCGAGTCCCACAAGTTCTCGTTGGAAAACTGCAAGGGTCATCATTTCTCTAACGCAGGAACGCGCGCCTCACGGTCACGATTCACAGATCAAGATCAAACGCGAAGAAACTTGTCTAGATCATCCTGCTCCATCCGTACTAGTTGTATAGCACGTCGCAGTCGCTTTCTGATTCTGGCGGTGCGAGTACTGCACATGCACTTCACCTGCGATCCAAGAGGATTTTCCTGCCCAAAAAGCACATATTTATGTTTGTCCATGAACAACCGACGCAAAAAAAACTACAGTCATTTGATTCGCACCATCAAAATCCTCAAAATTTTGTATAATTTTCAAATTGCTTTTGCCGTAATAAAAATCACCTGTTTCGTTTTGTATTTGAGAAGTTTGCAGCTCTCAACACCTCTGGCTAGCAGCAGTTGCTGACCTGCTTTACATTCATCTAGCACCTGCAAAATTCATTAGCACCAACACTGATCGTATCTATACTAAGTCTGACATCGATCTTCACTTCTCTCTGAATAAACAAACAGAAAATAGAACATGAAGATGAAATCCATGACAACAACGGTCCTGGGTGCCTTCACCCTTTTAGCATACGACATTGCTCTCCCCGTGGCTGGTGTGCGTGCATCTTGGGGTCGGGCGAGGACAACTTCTGCCACTGACGGGCAACACCAACCCCGCCAGGGGTCGCAGAACTCAGGCGCTTTGAGTGCGAAGCCAGTTGACGATGAAGAGCCTACCGCTGATGCCCTTATGCGCGGCGCGTCGACCTCGAAGCCAGTTGACGATGATGAAGATGAACCTCAACCTACCGATGGTGTCCTTACGCAGGGTGAAGACTCCAACATGCATTTGCCTCCGCCCGCGGTCCCGTTTCTAAAGACGACGGATCAGCTTCGTCCTCGCGACGGAAACGGCGAGGAGCGCTCGTGTACGGCGCTGTCGTGGTTTGCAGAGCTTCTCGGGTCCTGTGGGGGACGTGGGAAACGTGAGACCTTCGACATGACCGCGGAAGACGAGCGCAAAGAGGAAGAAAACCACAAAACGGAGGCTCTGCGCGAGCTGGCGGAAGAAATTTACGGGCGAAACTACCTGCCCGAAAACGTGGAGGAACTCCGTCAAAGGCTCCGCGCGCTCGCTTCTGCACCGAGTCCATCCTACTTCTATAACTTGGATGAAGAGGAGAAAGAAGACGCGGATCATGCAAATAAAGCGGCCCCCGATGATAGGAAATGCGATGACGAGTTCTTCCCGGCGGAGATGGCAACTCTACCATCACAGGTCGTGCAGGGCCGCACGATATTCAAAACAGATGCATCAGAACAACAAGGGCGGAGGACTGACAACCTCGGCAAGATGATTGATGTCCTGCGCAATGAGCACTCGGTAGAAGACTCCACCCCCGCGACTGGTAGTGGCGCAAGCAGCACTGCCTCCGACGATCCAGTGAGTTCTCGGCCGAACACGCCGGCGAGCTTTCTTCACGCTTTGGATCGCTGAGTGACCCCCGGCGGAACGCGCCCAGCTTTCTGCAGGGTGCGGTGGATCTCGACTCGAGAAGTAGGACGATAGAATTCTACCTTTCTTGCAGTAGAACTAGCTTTGCTGCGCCGGAGTCAGGGAGGTGATGGGTACTTTCTCTATATGAAGAGGGCGAATTTTTATTAACATTCACAAAGATAAACTTAAACATAAAGTCTTTTTGTAGTTATCGAACAGCATCTTATCTGCGACTGATATGTGGATGTCCTAAGTTCAGAGTGGTTTATGCCTTTAGTGACATTTGCATAAACATGATGTGTCGCTTCCGTGCTTTTTCAGTTCCTGTACGATGTTTCTGCACGATCGAATTTTATAGAACTAAAAAATTAAGATTAACATTAAGCGGTCTGGTCGCAAACCGGCACCTTCGATGTTGTGCGTCGCGCTCACGTACGGGCAACGAGGCATATATCGCCTGCCTGAAGCTTTTAAACAAGCGTAACCACAGACATAGTCTTCCTATTGCAGTTTGTAGAATTATGTTGCACCAGTTTTTCTTGACGATGACGTACGTGTAGAATAAATTGTCGCCAGGAGGGTGGTGTCTACAACTTTTTGTTCTAGTTTGTATGTACGATGTTGAAAATTGAAATTTATGACTCGAGGAAGTGCTGCTAATTATCACCATACTTCTGTGCTAGTGCTTGATGTGCGCGGAGTACGCCTGCACACGACGATCATCTGGCAGAAGAACTACGTGCTGCCCGCCACATCTCGTCGCGCCGGCTGTTGCTGTTCGCAAAGTTGTGGTCGTCACCAAGCTGCAGAAGTGAACCTGACAGGCGGTGCATCTCGAAGATCACTTGTAACCCAGATGCGTCTTTGTGGTCATGCACGTAGCATTTGATCATCTAGATGACGCGATCAGCATTATGCTTCTGCAGTAGTTTTCGGGCGTGCTAATGTGTCTACTGCTAGAAGAAGAAGATCCGTTCTTTTGTTATTGTTTCATTTTGATTATATGTCTTTTTCTCGGACAGGACGTCGATGGACGACGACGAGTTTTACTTGGTTAATACATGTTTCTGTTTGGTGTCCATGCAACAGCACCTGATTGAGTTGACGGAGTACATATCTGAAAGCACAAAATAAAGTGATACTGATATCAACCAACAGTAACAAGTGAACAAGCCTGTGCGTGACGGACACAGAAAAAAAAAAATGGCGGAAGCAGGCGGTGATCGCGGAGTACAACAAGGAGATGTCGCAGATCGCGCATCTACTCCCGAAGTACCGAATCGAGGAGGACCCGGAAGTAGCCGCTTCTTCGACGATACTGCTACTACCTCTTCTGCGGCGGCGCAAGGTCAACCCGCGCAACTGGACCGCTCAGTGGCCGCTTCAAAAGACAACTGCAAAATGAAAAACAAAAACGACACGCGACGAGATCAAGATTTCCACGACGAAGGAAAAGAATCGGATTTTCCTTTGCGGAAGAGAATCTGTGCGGGGGAAGGTGGTCGAGGCAGCATTTCTGGTAGCGGCTATAAAAAAAAAAATCAAGATCAACCAAAAAAAATAAAAAAGGAGGCACACGAGGACGACAAGAACAACAGGGAGGGGATTGCTGCAGCTGGCGCTGCTGCTGTAGTCCTAATCGCTGACTCTACTGCTCGTACTCCAGCACCACGGGTTTTCAAAGTTAACTTTGGGCTCGGTGGTGAAACGGTTGTTGAATTCACGGAGTCTGAAATCAACGATATTCTGCAGCTTCCGCCGCCTAAACAACCTGATTCATCTTCATCTGGCGGAGCATCTGACTCGCCCGGCGACACCGGCACCGCTGCGCAACCCGATGGTGATGGAGAGGATGCCCTAGCCCCACTTGTTGGTGAGAATGTTGCGCCTTCATCTGATGCGCCAGAAGATTCTAGGCCTCCATCTGCTGAGGAGATGATTGCGCGGAGATTTTTCTTCGCCTTCTCGAAAAAGATTGAAAACACGCTCGTACCGCTGGCCGTCCGCATGGGCCCGTCTCTGGAAACTGATTGCCTGCCGAGAGAGTGGTTCTTGGTAGTTGACCCTGCGACAGACAGCGAGCTCGCAACCGCCGCAGATTTGGTGCCCGCACTCTGGAACTTCGTCTCGTCGAAGCCGATTAGCAAAGAACGTCCTGACACGAGCACACCAGCGTCAAACGCAGAAGATGACGAGCACGCTCGCGCAGCATCAAATTGTATTGCTTTCCGTACGTATTCCGAGGACAACATCGTGGGAAGAAGTTCGCCGGCGGTTCCAAAACAGCAAAGTCAGAACAGCTGCAGGGAACTAGCAGAGGGCAGCACTTCGGCTGTGCTACAGAGCGGCACCTCCATAAAAAGACAGCAATGTGACGACCAAGACATGGAGGACGAGGGCGACCCTGCTGATTGTGATGCTTGTTCCTGCGGTCCACCTGATGAAGCAGGCCCTCGCCTCGTCATAACCCTACGACACGTCGCCGGCACGGGATACGGTTTCGAACAGATTGTGCTAAGGGCCCGCGCCAGCAAGGAGGTATGGGACGGCATCTTCCAAGCGATTGCGTTAATGATTCTTGCGCCGGAGGTTCTCCTTGTCGAAAGATACTGTCCCTGGCAATTACGCTTAATGGAGGTGTCCCAGATCGAAGAATGGGAGACGGAGAAACTTCGGTACTGGCTGGAAAGAATGTGCAGCGAGGGTGATATCCGGCAGCTGATTCTTTCGAGTCCCAAAGTTCTTGGCGCCTACTTTTACGACAAAGTGAATTTTGGTAGCATCCTCCCCGTAACGCACGCTCTCCGCTTCTCAAGTTTAAATAGGGGAGATGTAGTGGAACGCGGTAAAAATAGTGATTACGAAGGACAGCGGATAGCACTGAAGGCTCGACGGCTGCTAGTCGAGACCCTAACTGTTGATGTCGACATTGCGGAGCAAATTTCCGAAGTAAACGAAGTGTTCGGCGAAGTAATAGTGGAGGATTTCAGTGAGGCGAAAGAAGTATATTGGAGCGACGACGATGGCGAGCTGTCCGACACCAGCGACAGCCGAGGAAGTCGTGTCGATGTCATATATCTGACAGACTACTGCATCAGCGTGCTTGAGTTTCAGCAAGCGCATTGTCGGGTGACGTTTGATCACATCGCGGCCGCGGCTCTTCCTTCAACACCAGCCTCAAGCACCGCCGAAGGACCAGCACCGCCGGAAGACCAGCATCGCCGGCGGAACACGAGCATCTGCCTCAGGGACACTATGCAAGGGTTGACACATCATGCGACTCGGGTGCTGAGACATGTTGACAACAGCACCGGGCTTTCGCCTTTCGCGCGAAGTTTAATCCTCGCCCGGACGAACGGCGCTATTTACATCCACGCCAAGTTCTTTATTTTGGAGTTGCTCAAACTGGAGCTGCAGAGAGGAGCACTAACGGGTGAAGATGCGAAAAGCAAAAGCATGGCTCTTCGAATCTTTCTTCTTCTTCGAATCGGCGCTGGGTGTCTGCGATCGCAGCACAAAAAGGAAGATGACGACCCGTTTACAGCAACTGCGGCAATCTCCACAGTTCAAAAGCTCATCGACGCAGGTGCCGACGTAAACGCGACACTCGGACGAGGCGACGACCCCGGTCGATTGCTCATAGCCACATCAACATATACCCCGCGGCCGTGGGCACCGACACGCTTCGAGTTTGGAGACAGGACAGCTCGGCTTGCTTTGCAACCAGAAGACAGTCCGTTTTGTCTTTCCTACGATAAAGAACTAGCAACAGCGGTTCTGGCGGATGGCTGCCGACCCCTGCCGCTTGCCCTGGTGCTCGGAAGCGAGGAGATTTGCGAGGCTTTGGCGCTTGCCGGAGCGTCCTGCCAAGACGTTTCACCTGACACGAATACGAAGTGAAAAAGGACGGCATCTTCAGCATTCTCATCTGGCTTCACTCCACTATTTCAGTAATTCTGGTGCAACTTCTGGCTGCCAGGATGCATATTTTCCACTCCGTTGTCCAGACGCAGATTAGGCACGCTGCGATGTTGGTGGAACAATTGCATGTTGCTCCAAATCTGGAGAAATCTACTAGCACCCTTGTGCTGACTCAGGCACAGAAAGTGAACTGTAGCGGAAATGATCTGCAGCTAGATCTACTAGTATTAGCGTACAAATAATTGCACTACGTTGTATTTGCAGCTTCTACCTAGTCCCTGAGGTGGAGATCGTCGAAGGGATGTTGGAGCTGAAGATGGACACTTTCATCGCTTCATACGGAAAGATATTCTTCGCCGCAAATGCCCGCCGCAGTTACAAAAGTACATCGGAGAAGAGGGGGACGCAAACCCAAACGCGCCGGCTGGTCCCGCACTCATTACTCGCTCTTGAAAAGGTTGCTGCATCGATTCCGAAGTGATTAAGCTTCTATTCATGTCAATCCTCGCTCACAAATTGACGGCCACGACTTTTGATAAAAATGCTCATTTCCTTTCTTGACATTGATTCCCATTTATATCTCATTTCTGAAAGTCCGTTCAGAACATAATTTTTGCGCAGAAGCGAAACAAATCTCTGTCCGTGGTACTTTATGCTCCCGACGCATGATGTCCGGGCAGCGACTACAGGGTCAGGGAATCGATATTGCATGAGCTGCCCTTTGTTCATCTTCGCAACATTATGGGTGCAAAGTTGCAACGAGTCCGATACAAGCCAAATGGACATTTCTTATCGGTGTAGCTTCTGTCTCGCAGGCATAACTCCTGTCTCTAACATTAACACTCGATCAAGACATGGGAATTTGCTCATGATGCGAACGACATCATGGGTGAGATTTGCTTGTCTCTGAGACTCAAGCGGCGCCAAGTTGAGGATCAGTTCCGATTGCAGCTGCTAGGAAGATGTCGACGCGCAAAAGATATACGAAGAAGAACATCAAGATATTAATTAAGGATCTAAGTAGTAAGGAAGTATGTGGTTGCTGAGGAATTCGATCTCGATCTGTACGTCGAGTTGATGTGTTGTTCCATTAGATTTTCTATTACAGCGATAGCGATACAGCACACGGACCACAAACGTGTCGGTGTCCACTCACATCTCATAATTTTGCTTTAAGTACTTATTTTCATTCACTCTTTTCCTTTTTTCAAATTTTCGACATTTCCTACTCGCTCCTACACTTACTGTTGAAGACACACGATACTAAAAGCGCTCATCGCCAAGGCCAACACGCACTTGTTGTGAAGAACCGGACATCAAGTAGAAGACAAAAAGATGAAGAGCAAGTCTCTGACCACCCGCCGCAAATTCGCCGCCACGGCGGCCACACTTGTGGCTTTACAGCCTACGGTTGGCGTCCACGCCTTTTTTGGTTGGGTGTGGGGAGGAGAGGGCGAAGATGAGCATGTGCATGGGAGCGAAGTAATCCCGGCCTCGTCGATGATCCCTGAAGGTGTTGATGAACATCACAACTCCAATGAACAAGCTGTTCACGCCCAACCGCACGTCGCCTTCGAACAAGCGACGAGCAAAGAACACACGCGCGACTGTACAACCTGCCGTTCCCTAACGATGTCGTGGCTGGCCGAGGTGATGTCCTCCTGCACGAGCCGAGATAAGAGCAGCGACTGTGCAGCTTCCGACGACGGCAGTCTCAGTCCCCATGACAATGATGCTGACAAGTGGTCGGTGGCAAGCTGGGTGCGTGGAGAGCTGGATACCCCTCCGCCGGGAAATTTTGATTCAGGCGAAGATCATACACATGCAGCTCACGCGGACCACGAACATGCCGCTGCAGAATTAGCCGCACCCGGAGATGATCACGATCGCCATGAGGAAGAGAGCAGCCATGGTTGGTTTTCCTTTCCCGGCTTTTCGTTCTTCGGAGGTGGTGAAACTCAAACTCCAACTTCTACTAATGAACACGCAGAACAACAAGACTCCGTTCCCTTCCCCGACCACCACGGTGGGACCATTTTCTCATCCCTCTTCGAAAAGGAGGAAAAACACACTGACACCGTTGACAGCATCTACAACGCGACGGCCAGTTGGGGGGATATTGACAACCTGAAGCATACGGTGCCGGACGCGGATATTGTGCCGGAGGCCGAGCCTTGGTTCCACCTTTCGTCAAACGATACCGATGACGAAGCGGAGGCCGAGGACGGCGCCAGCGCGAAGGAGGTGGTGCAAGAAGAACTACATCCTGCTGTTCAGGAGGAAGAGCAAGAACATGCTGACGTTGCTGGAACTGACCACGACACAGCGTCCTCTACTCCTGACGAGGAGCACCACGAGGACAAGGTGTGGGGTTGGTTCAACAACGTGGATGTTGACGAGAAGGAGCATCAGGATGCCACGTCCTCGGAACATGGTTCATCTGGGTCGTCCACATCCGCCGGCGCCGAGACCGGCAGTGATGTCGACTCGCCAGCGACGACTCCACCGACCTCACCGAGCCTGCAGGCAGCTGGAGTCGGTAACATGATCTGAGAAAGTAAGCGGGGGCAGTTGGATTGTGCTGTAGCTGGTGTAGGACGTCGCAGACCACCTCTCTTAACCAGCAGCGCATACCATACATACGCATAGCATGATAAGCATAAGGCATTTTTTTGATCAACACAAGGTAAGCACCTGGAAAACATGACAACTACGCTTTGCTGTGCTTGTACAATGTTCTTGCAAAGGCTGAAACATATGTTCATTAGAATTATCATAGCATGATCCATCAACACGAAAAGTCTGCTCCCTAAGCTCCATACTGGAATCTACAAAAAAAACGTCTTCAACATGACCGTTCGATTAAAGCATTACGCGCCATCACGACTAAAACTCGATGCCGTCTGTACGTCACCAGCATCACGCTCTTCAGGAGCTTTGATTTACGCACATGTTACTGAATCAGCTGACCACAACCTGGAAACAATAACAAATGGATCGTGCCGCACCAGACATAATCCATTCATAATTTCCATGGTAGTGTAATCCGGTTCCCGTTTGAGCTACAGTACCGCACTTGTTCATACCAGCTCGACCACCTGTTAGCCATGATACGACCACACATAACAAGCTACTTTTGATTTTGCCCTAGAGATAGAAGTACTTCCCCGTGCATATTTTACTGAATCTTGTACGATTGGAGGACATATTTTTGATGTCTTGATAGATAGAATGTCATTACACCTATTTCATCTAGGACAACGGCAACGCTGCAACACAATGTTGCAAGCAAACTTCCTGTCCTTTAGACCTGTTTTTTTACGGACAGAAAATGACTGTAAGATTGATACATACGAAACCGATAGAAGATGTAAAATACAGCCGCGCTGCCGCTACTGCCGGCACCGCTGTGGCATGACGAAATGAGCTCTTCCTTTTTTTTAAGATTTCTGTATGTCGTCGCTCATGCCTTTTCAGCATGATACGATGAAGCCTCAAAAACCGCAGAAGCACTGTGAAGGCTTCAAAAACGCAGATAAGAGGGCGCCACTAGTTGCCCCTTTAATGCACCTCCTATCATGATATGCGCAAACCAAAGCACAGCTTTGAACGAAGTTGGGCAGCATCCAACTCCAACATAAAAGGATGTATACGATGCAGATCGCGATGTTCGTACGTAGAACCTAGGATGAGTGAAAGTGAAACACTGAGCGGCGAGATGAACCCAATCGCAATGACTGTCCTCCTTACGAGTGGAGAAGAAAGTAAAGCAACGAGAAGACTCAGTATCCTTGATGCATCAGATCCTGATGAATTTATTTCGCTGGACGAAATCTTCACTACTAACTCGTTTCTTTATAGTCCATCGTTCACTCGTCCACAATAATGCGTGGCTCATCCGGTCCTCCGCCCGGACGAGGCTCCTCGGATGGGCGCTCGTCCAAACCGCAGCGGCCCTCCGACCAGAGCCGACGCCGTGAACGGCCGGCGATTACACCACAGGACGAGTTCCCGCCACCTGGTGGTCCGTCCTCTCGTAGTATGAAACCTGGAGGATCTTCCTCACGGTCGTCTCCTACGAAATATGACAGCAATAATCGGTCTTCAAGGGCAGGTGGTCGGGATCAACAAGCCGCGCCGCCCGAAGTGGACCACTACGCATTGCAAGCGTCGCCGCAACTCCGCTCCTCGGCTGCGCCGCCAGCCGCGGATGACGACGATCTGGAGGTGGATTATGATGATGATTTCGAGGACGCCAGCGATGACGACGGCCAAACCTACGCACCCACGATCACGCAACCGGAGGTGAAGGCCCGACCGCCCTCCGCCGGCGGCATGATTTCGGCGGTGACAAGGCCTTTAAGCGCGAAAGCGCCGCCGATGATGGCGGGTAGTGGTCACCAGCAGCAACAGAATATGAATAATTACCGGGTACCCGCACCCGCAGCAGGTCCAGTTGTGAACGACATCTCCGCCATCAAACAAGCGATGGAACAGGAACGAGCTACCGCGGCGCCGACCCAACAGGCACTACAGGCCGCGAAACAGCAGCAGATGCTGGAGGAACAGGAGAAGCAAAAGCGGTTTCAGCAGATGCAGCAAGCGCAGCAAGCCGCGGCAATAAATCATGCGAAACAAGCATCGATCGTGAGTGGCTCTAGTTCTACCTCTTACCAGCAGCGAGAAGACAATTATACCAGACAGTCCGTTATTTCGCCGAAATCTAGTCCGCCGGTGCGTCCGGTGGTTTTGACCACCACCAACTACACCGCCGGCGTGCAGGAACTGTCCACCGTGGAGAAGCAGCAGCGGAACAAACGGGCGACGGAGCTGCGGGCTTTGATCGGGTCGAAATTAAACGTGGAAAAGCACGACTTGTTTTCGCAACGGCCGCAGCGGCGCCTGGAAATGTTTCTCCAGTCGCGCGGGCCGTATTCGTTCGCAGTGAGCAAGGGAATTCAAACCGGGGAGGAACTTCTGGAAGAAGGAGCACAGACGGAGCAGGAGATCGGTTTGGATAAGGAAACGCAGTGCCCCATGCTCGGTGGGACAGGATCTTCTTCGTCGGGCGGTGTCGGCGGGGGAGCAAGTAGTACTGGCGCGGGCACCACGAATAGTACCTCTGCCAGTACTGACCCGGGCCAGAACCAGGGTGACGCGGCAGTTTCCACCTCGTCTGGTGCCCTCGAGCAGCCGTTGGAGCAGCAGGCGAGGCTGTTGCCGTTTCTGCGACGCGTGTTCCCGCTGGTGGATGCGTCGTTGAAGAACAAAAACCGGAATAACAAGGGGAAGTCCGGACAGAAACAGGCGGGGTTGAAGGACGGAGTCGATGCGAGCAAGCTGGTATCGACGATTTTATTCTAGTGCTAGCGCAAGTAGATTCAGACGTGAAACACTTAGGTTTTTGCGATTCTAAGTGCGTGAATTTCAATTTTTATGATATTTTTCGACCCGTTCCCGATCCCGTCCTCGCAATTTATCACAACTAAGTAAATCGAACTACCATCAGGTCGCCACTCTCACCCTGGATCTCGGAACACCAGTGGGCGCGAAGGCCATTTCCGGGTATTTGGGTGCTCCGCATTTGCTGGTGCTTTTCGACATGGCCTCCACGGCCTGGTTTCAGTCCGTTGTCGCCGTCTACCCGACCTCCGGCGGGGTTCCGTCAAAAGACGCAAAACCCACCCGCGTGTTCTTCAGTTTCGAACGCATCACCTGTTTCGACTACTGCAGCAGCAGTACGATCGTGGTCGCCGGGACGGCCGCGGGGAGTCTTCTCTTGTTTGACATGAAGACAGTTCCGAAGCGGAATGTTGTGGGGACGAGGATCGCCGCGAATGTCGAACAGCAAGCTGGAGTGCAGCTCGCGACGTCTTCAATGAAGCAACTGACCGTGAATGGTGGGGAGCAAATTTCTGTGGAGCCGGAGAATCCCAGCTTCTCCTCGGACATTTTTGCGCTGCAGCTCTTCGACGACTTGGATATCATGGACACAGAGGACGAAACCGCCCGGCCCTTCCTCGCGGAGATCGCTTCCATTACCGTGACAAACGACTTGGTGTTCTGTCTCGACATTGACGGCGCGGTGACTACTTGGCGGATTCTGAGCATTAAACAGGGGGAAACCAGACTCGTGTACACGGGGCCGCAGAAGTACGGAAAAAGCGGCGCTGGGAGCACGAAAGTAGTGGCGATCCCCCGGGAGATCTCCCCCCACAACGTTGCAGCGTATTTAACGCTCGGCTGTACAAGTGCGGAAATCCGGGTCACGAGCTCGTCCTTCGCAGGATCTGGTACCGGTTCCTCCTTCGCCTCCCAGTTCAACTTGACGGATCTGCTGTCCGCGAACTCTTCAAATTTGATCCCGAATAACTGCTGCTTCCACCCGTTCTTACCGAGCCTGTTTCTCGTTTGCTATTTAAGTGGCGATTTAGCCCTGTTCAACATGACACTGGGTGTTCCAATCATGCATTGGCCGGCGAGTAGTTCATCATCATCTTCCGGAGCTGGTCGGGGACAAGTTGCTGGCGCTTCCCGCCACACGGCAACCTGCTTAGACGTGACGTGGTCCACCGTGCGCCCGACGGTGTTCTTCGTGTTGACGCTGGAAGCCGTGGAAGTGTGGGACTTGGCGCTGAACAGTTCGCAGGCCATGAAAACGATCACGTTTTTACCGATATCAAAATTTACTTCTCCGTTGCAGAACTGGTGTCTGTCCGTGTTGCCGGAATCGGGTCTGCCGGTTGTGTGCTGCAGCTGCACAGGAGGTAAGAACTACAGTAAAGGTACGACAAGACAGAATCTTCAAGACGCTCAACAAGGTTCTTTCGCAGGCCGGGTCTTCGTTCTCCAGCTGGAGGAGCAGTTCGTGAATCCGCTGTCGGCGTACCCGGCGGAAAAACCGCATTTGCAAAACAACAAACTGTTTGACTCCTCCAATAACCTCTTCGACGCTCGAAACAAGGACGCGCTGGCTTACATGCGGAAAGTGCTCGACGGGAAGAACAAAAGCACGAATCTGGAAATCGACATCTTGCACAAGGTGCTACTAACGGCATGATGAAACAGTGGGGCGGTTGCGCATTTTTGTGCACTCCTTGTTGTATGTGGTCCTGAGGCTGATGTCCTTCACGGTAGTGTCTATAAACAGAAAGACATTGACATGCTATACGTTCTTCACGTTCAGCGGCATAAGGTGAAAAATTTCGGCAATTGCTGCGTGCTAGCGTCGATGCATTTTTCACCGCGGCAACGGGATACCTCTGGTGACTATGCGCTTCTTGTGTTTGTGTCTCTTGTCTCGAGATGAGTGAGAGGAAGTGAGTTGAAAGGCGTTCGCTTGAGAAGTTGTTCCTTGATGAACTTCTAGTTCCCTCGCTGTCGTCGACGAGGTAGAGCGGCAGACAGAGCAGAAAAAACAAAGAGACACATTGTCGTTGACGAGCGCCTGTGGATGTTGACTTCTCTGAAGCAAAGATGAAAAAGTTTCACGTCTTGTCGTGTCCGTGAGTAGTTACTGAATCAATGATATTATATAGCAAAAAACGGAACCAAGACCAACTGTGGCTGCCGAAAAACACGGCAAGATGAACAACCCTGAATTGTAAGTATCCGCAACAGCACAGTACGTAGAACTTCTACAACGAAAAAATCAACCAAGAAGAAAATGCAGCAACAGCGCCCCCAGATCGCGGATATCGAGAACAACCGCGGGAATGGCCCAGGCTACAGTGCCATGCCCGGGTCCTCCCAGGGCCTTTTTGCCGACCCGCTTGGGATCCGGAATAGAAGAAGCTCGACAGGAAGTACTTCTAACGCCAACAACGATCCAGGAGCGAACGATTCCTCGAAGACGAAGATGCCCGGTACGCGCAAGTCTTTCAGCGATCACGACCGACAGCGCCAGACCTACAACAGGATCATGGCAAAATCCATGGCTGCTGGGAACAGTAACCAGGGGTCAGTCCCGTCCACAGGGAGCCAACTGAACAACGAAGGTCCAACAAGTGGAGCGCAGCAGGGCGGACTCGATTTGTCCTTCGCTGGATCAAATGCAAATGGCGGAACAGGGGCGAAAAAAGGAGTAGACGTAAGCCGGTACGTCCAGGCGCAAAATCAGCCACAGGGCTATCGCTTCAGCGGGCAAACGACCTCGACTTCTGCCGGTGCTGCCAACATGCGCGGAGGTGCTGGTGCGGGAGGAGCGACATCAACAGCTGCTACACCGCCTAGCGATGCTGTTGCTGGTAATTTGAACAGAGGAATGAATAACCAGCAGCAACTCATCCAGGCCGTCCCTCGGAGCGGTCGCAGCGCCCGATACCGCGAGGCGGAAAAAGAGAGCCTGTTTGACTGGTCGGCGGTCGCCAACTGCTGCGGTTTGCGAGACCGTGACATACCGGCTGAAGTGGTAGCTGCGAACAACAATAACCCAATGTCGCTGCAATCATCCCAACCGAGAATGAACAACCAGGTTACTACAACTACGGGCAGTGAGTTGAACGCGTCAAGGCAAGAGAACTACGGGGACAGCATCTTTCGCAGTGGCAGATTCGCAACCTCTACCGAGGCATCGAAAACCGCAACTGCAAACGACCCGAGCAATTTACTCGGCTATTGGCAGGAGGAGGACGAGAGTGATCTGGAGGCACAGAACAAGGAGCGGCAGAAGTTGGCCGCGAAAATCGACGCGCAGTTTAAGTCGCAGGATAATATGAAGGGAGAAACAAGTGCAGAAAGCAAAGCTGCTGCGGAGGCGAAGGCGAGCGCGGCGAAGAAAGAGGCCGCGGCGGGGAGCAGCAAGTCGCTGAAGCAGGAGCAGGAAGCGAGGAGCAAGCTGTACAACCCGCTATCATCCGGCGGAACTACGCCGTTCAAGTGGCCAGCCTGGGCCCTCAGCAAGCGACCAGGTATGACGTGGTTGAGTTGGGCAATGTTTCAAAACTAACAAGAAGTGCCAGCAGCGTTTACTTGATATTCGCTATTGCGGCGTACTTGAACTTTATATACATCGTGCTGAAATCAACATTTGTGTAATTTGTTCACCGATTCGCATTCGCCTTCGCGCAGCATGCCTGTCCACTTCACATTGACAAACTCAGGTCTTTTGGAAGTGCGTGTCGTGGACGATGAGCATCCGAGTGGGGTGCCGCAAGTGCAGTGGCTGATCGGGATTCCGAAGCAGAGAGTCGTGGACGAGTCGGGGGCGGACGCGTTTCTGCTCTGCGAATACGACTGGCACGGCGAACGCTTCGAGGAAGACTTTCCTCCGAGCAGCGTGCGCCGGGCGGGGCAGAAGGAAACCGTGGCGGACCTTTGGCAGTCGGGGGAAATGTAAAGAAACAATGATATTAATATCAGCAGGTAGAACCTTGCAAATGATCTTCTGGTGCTTAGTTGCACTTATTGTAGGAAGTTTTCAGTAGTTTCGATGAAAATGAAATGTACTAGATGCTCGTCAGAAATACACCTATGTTTCAGTTTGAAGTGAAATTCTTGTACTTCTCAATGTACGAAAGCGAACCTGGTCGTCGTGAATAAACTATCAAAAAGCTGAAGATGAAGTCACGTGGAGTGGCTGCGGCTCCTGTCAACGACACGAGAAAAACCGGCGTTCTTGTACGTATATCGTCAGCATTTAGAAGATCTTCGGCACCTAGAAATACGCTTCGCATTCCAAAAGGTTCTTTCATGGTCCTGGTCGTCTTTTTCCTTTTTGTCCTCGTGAAGATTGAAGGAGTGACAACAAATAGGAGTTGCTTGCAAAAGCTGCGTGAGTGACGGGTCAAATTGGTTGAAGAGCTGCGAATGCACCAAAAAATCGTAGAGAGACTACGAGAAGCGATTGCAAAGCATGATCTGGTAACCAAATGCGTGCGCGCGCGCGCGCAGAGCGCGCGCCGGCCCACGAAGCCGGCGCGCGCGCTCTGCGCGCTTGCGATATTGCTTAGCAAACGCAGCGCGAAGGCAGTTGCCGTTACCATATAGGGCAACCGCCGGGAGGCGTGAAGGTCAGGGAAATGGCCAGAAATGAAGCGGGAGAAGGGAAAAAAAGCGGACCAGATGGGAAAATGGCCAGGAGGTCAAAAATGTCGCAAAAATGGCAGAAACCAAGCGGGAGAAGGTGGAAAAAGAGCATTTTTGCGGTCTGGCCCACTTAGTATCTGAAAAAGAGGCGGACTATTTTTTGCTCCGCCCGCTGGCCAGCTGCGTTGGAGAAGCAGGCCCGCGACCTGTCCGGAAGCCTTGGGCCGCTTCGTAACTGGAAAAAGTTGGAAAAAAATGGCAAAAATTTGCTTCATAACGTGGGTGGAAGCAATCGTCGGATTTTGTCCAGATCACCCGGGCCGCTTGGAAAATGGGAAAAGAAGAAAAATCTTGCAAAAGCGCAATTCCTCCGCAGGCTTCGAAATTGCCAGTCAGCTGCGGTCGGTGAAAATGTGCAGATCGCCCGGGCCACTTGGAAAATGGAAAAAGACAAAAAAATGCGCAAAAGCGCAATTCCTCCGCAGGCTTCGAAATTGCCAGTCAGCTGCGGTCGGTGAAAATGCCCAGATCGCCCGGGCCACTTCAAAAATGGAAAAAGACAAAAAAATGCGCAAAAGCGAAATTCCTCCGCAGGCTTTGAAATTGCCAGTCAGCTGCGGTCGGTGAAAATGTGCAGGTCGCCCGGGCCACTTAGGAACCAAAAAAAAAGCAAAAATTAAAAAAAAACGAGAACCCTCGGCAGGCTTAGAAACTGGCCACCAAGGGTGGTCCGGCGGGCGCGCGCTTGCGCCGTACCATCGCGATTGGGAAAAAAAAACCGCACTAGAAGCGGGCGGGGGTATGTCACAAAATCCCTATTTGCCCTGGGTTGTGGGCAGAAATTCGGCATCTTCCCCGGGTCTGAAATGGCCGATTTTGGTGGCCCAGCCCGGGTTCTTTGGTTTGCGGTTTTCCACATACCTTCCTGGCCAGGTGGCCAGTTTGTCAATCATGCAGGGGGCTAGAAAGGATGCCCCGCTGCGAAGTTGGATCCTGCCCCCCCTCTGGCCACATACCTTCCTGGCCATGTGGCTAGTTTGTCACGCAGGGGGCTAGAAAGGATGCCCTGCTGCGAAATAGCAGACCGGATTTCGCCTTCAATGCTTATCGCAGGAGCCTGCGGGCCGCCGCGGGCGACAGTAGTTGTCCGCGGCCCTTTAGGGCCGCGGGGAAGTGGTGGAGCCCGCGGCGGCCCGCAGGCTCCTGCGATAAGCTTTGAATGCGAATCCGGAAGCCCCCGATGACCCGCGATAGATGGCAAGATTTACTTTAAGCTTAAGGGCCGCGGACAACACAGAAGAAGAAGTGGGATTCTAATTAAAAAGAAATGGTGGCGGCAGCCGCGCGGCGAAAGCGCGGCCCGCAGGGCCGCGCTTGCGCCGCGCGGCTGGTTTGGCTTTCGCGCTGGTTAGATTTTCGCGCACGCATTTGGTTACCAATATCGCCCTCCGGGCGCGATCTTCATATCGTGTGGCGCATGGTGCTATCGAATTCGAAAGCGCATCCGCAACATGTACATGCGAATCAAATATTAAAACAAAATCAAAATTGCTCGTCGTTTTGCTTCTTCGCTTTTCCTTGGTCGTCGTGGTTCTATTCGTGTGCTCATCACGCTTACTCAAAGACCGAAGTGCAATATTCAGACCTCAGCTGGTGCCATCTGAAATTTCTTACGATGTTGAAGCATCATCAGGACGAACGGAACTGGAACCTCCGCCCGGCGACGTACCATAGTTACTTAGTAGAGCTTTTTTTGAAGTGTACCTCTACCTGTACTTTATCAAGTTCTTCGTCTTGTTTCTCTATATAAACTTTTTCGTTTTTGATCCTGGTAAGCGCTGTCCCTTCCTATGTTGAAGATGTTGCCTTCACGCTTTCTAGCGGCCTCCTGATCGCACCACCAACAGAGAAGAATTAGAAGTAGCCTGCCACTAACGCTATGCCGCTGATCGCCTACTCCACGGAGTACACCGTGGACTATGGCCGGGCCCAGCAGGCTGGCGCGGCCGTCCTGGGCAACGCCGCGATTGCGCCGGTTGCCGACAAGTTCCGGGCGGGCTATGACAAGGTAATGAACGCGATCTCCGGGGCCGTCTGCTCCAACCAAGACCAGCTCCTGGCCGACCCGGTGATCCGGAGCACCTGGCTGCAATCCGGGTTGGACCCCAACATGCAAATGACAGATTCCGCTGCCAACGGGATCTGCGGCCCGGCACCCCATATAGACGAGCACATGGCGCGATCTCTGTCAATACCCCGGGAGTGCAAGAACTACGTGGTGCTGCGGGCGCAGGCGGGTGAGTACGCAAAGTCTTCGATGATGGCGGATCCTGTGACTGTCGACGAGGAAAGAGACAGCGCGGAACAGGCAGCAGAGCAGGAACTTGAACAAAAGGAAGGACACGATGCAAAGCACGGTAGCGCAGCTGGAGATGATAGTACCTCGGTGGGTGCTGCTGGTGCAGCAGAAGGTGGAGGGGCTGGAACAGACGGCGTTAAGCAGGACGCACCAGCGACAGGAGCTGGGACAGATGGTGCGGCGCAGACTTCTGAGCTCGAACTTTCGCGGGTTTCTAAAGTGCGCGGAACTGGTGGCGGTAGTACAAGCTTGTTATCTTCCGGGGGTGGTCGAGAACAAGATGGAGATGGTTTTTATGCTGTAAAAACAAGTGGCTCAACAGATGAAGCACGTCGGTCCACTTCGTCCTTCGCAGATGGCGGGGACAGCGGGAAGAACCCAGACGAAATGAAAAACGGGGACACTGGTGGCGGGGACGGCAACGATGAAAATCAAAAACAAACTGCTGAACAAGAGAAACCTCAACAAGAACAACAATTGGACCACGACCACGTCGAGAACCAGCAAAAAAATGAAAAGCAACAGCACGCCGCAGCCGTTCTCGAAGAGGAGGCCAAGGAGCAAGAGATCTCCGTAACGGACGGCCAAGTCGCGGAAGAGGAACGGCAGGCAGAGGAAAGTTTGAAGGCGGAAAATACCCAAGATGAAAAACCCCCGACAATCGAGGAGATGTATGAGCACGACGTGCCGCCAAACGTGAAACAGCAGCTCCTTGACGAACTGGTGAACATGCGCGCTTTCGTCGCCCAGGAGAAGCTCGCGGGCTACGAATACCGAAAGTTGGAGTCTTTGGAAAAGCTGTTCCGTCGGAACGATGAGTTCTCCGTGCTGAGCAAACCGAAGAATTTCGATGCATTTTATCCAGTGCAAATATGTCTGGGTCTGGAAGAATGCAAGGTTTGTCATGCAGGTTTTCCATGACCCAGGAGGCCTGGAATGCAGCACGTAGCATGACAAATTCAGTGAGATCTCTATCTTGCCTATCCTGCATGAGAAATTCCCTCTCAACTGGGTAAAAAAGGACGGCTGTTGGTAATCACGCAGTACAGATTAACTGCATGACTCAGATTTAGTATGACAAGTTCCAACCTTCCAGACATATTTGCAATGCATACATTTTACGAAGATTTGAAATCCAAGTTCGGCGAGGAGAGCACCGAGCCGCAGTTTACGGTGAAAGTTCCCGGCTTGGGGTTTGACCCGGGCTTCAAAATGCCCGAAATCAGCGTGCAGCAGCCCGATTGGCTGCTGCAAATTACCGCACCAGCGCTGGCCGCTCTGAAACTCCAGGTGGATCTGCAGCCGCCGGAATTTTACGACTTCATGCTCGACACGTTTGGCATCGACATGAAGTTGATGAAGCTCAACATCGACGGCCTGCAACTCGCCTTGACCCCGCCTTTGACGTTTGGGAAGCTGCAGGCGTGGGTGGACGGCCTCGAGGCGCCCGGGGTCCCGGGGCTGAAGGCGCCGGGGGTGCACATGCCGACGCTGGAGAACTTTTTGCCCGCGTTGAAGAATTATTTCGGCGGCTTGGAGAAGCTCCTGGACATCAACTTATTGTTTGAAAACCCATTGGAATATCTGAAGGCTTTGTCCCTTCCGGAGGATTTGCTGCCCTCGTTGGAAAAATTCAAGATGAACATGGGCGAGACCACCGACTTGTTGAACCAAGACTTCGCCGGGGGTAGTGGCGCCTTGCAGTCCGCGGCGGGGAGTGCGAGTCAGGGCATCAGTAGCGCCCTCGGGGGGCAGATGGGCGCCATGTTTGTCGAGCTGGCGCGGACACGGAATCTTCCGATGGGAGGGAGCGGTGGAAATACGGTTTTTTTGAAAGAGATGCAGTACCAGGATATTGTGCTTGGCCGGCAACATAAAAATCTGCGTCATGGAAGTCTGGTGGCGGTCCCAGAGGACGAAGTACTACAACAAAGTCCTGGAACTACGACGACTTCGTTTGCAGGCCGTGGCGCAGCAGCGGCTTCTTCGGGCACCAGTACTGTTTCCGTTTCGTCATTGACGCTTCCAAAGAAGACTGGCACGGCCACCAACCAGGACAGGAGCCGAGAGCATCATGATTCTGCTTCTAGTCATAAAGGTGAACCTCTCACAAAGCCAAAGCATTACGACCACCATCACCGTGCCCGCCATCCACCCCCAGGTCTGGTCCATAACCGCGCCAGGTTCATCCGCCCCCACTCGTATTCGATACCGGGAAAGCAGCTCGTCGAGCTGGCTCAGAGACGAAGGACAAAACACGACGACGCGGCTTCGCAAAGCGGAAACAAGATGTCCGCTCCGGGCACGAGTTTTGACGATCAAGGAAGCACTGACAAGCAGAAGGAACAAGCCCCTGCTGCTGCTCGTGTGGACCCGAAAACGCTGACCGATGAGCAGCTTGAAGCGATGTTTGCGAAGACGGAAGCGCAACAGAAACTCGATGAAGAGATCGCCGCGGCTGAAGCCAGCGCGAAACAACACGAGCTCGAGTACGGGGAAGCGAAGCGATATATGCAGTGCCTCGGGGCCATGTTTAAAGAAGAGAAGCCGGACAACGTGACCCCGTTTCTCACCGCGGTGAAAGCGAAACCTTACCTCAACGGAGAAAAGTGCGGACCCATTCACCTCCGCGACCAGAAAGAGCTAGAGCAGTTCGCGCGAAAGCACACGGAACGGCTGATCCGCGCGTACCGCCCGCTGTACGTACGCTGCCGAAAGCACCAGAATGTCGAGGATAAGGTTGGGGAGCGGGAATTCCCGGAGTCGTACAACCGGAACTGGGAAAGATTTACCAGAACTGACGAAGAAAAAGAGGCGTTGAAAAAACAGGCGCAGGACAAGGCGGTCGAATCCCTCGAGCGGACAGAGGAACGAGACCTCCTTTTGGACGGGGAGGAAGATTTTGTGCAGCCGGTGGACGGGGAGCCAGACCGACTGACCGATAACTTCTCTTTGCTCGCGAAGGAAGTGAAAAAGTGCGAAGAAAGCGGGATGCTGGACCCAAGTTCCGCGGTGCAAAAAAAGGCGGTGCAACGACTGGTCACCGGGGCGAACAACATGGTGGGGATCGGGGGGCACAAGAAAGATTGCTTGGAGGTACGAGGAAGTACGTGCTGTTGCATAGGTGTGCACATTCTCATTCAGTGGTTGAGCTCGTTTGTATTGAAAATGCACGGTTCTGGACGTGGAAGTCGTAGAAAAAATGGTCCACAATCATAAAACCCGATGAATTACAACAAACATCAAAAATAAAAAATACGACATCACAGCTCTACGGCAAATTTACGGAGGCAGTCCGGCTGCGCGAAACCATGCCCGGCAACCCGTCGCTGCACGACGCCGACTATGAATTGCAAAAGTATCGTACTCGTATAAATGCATTACAAATTTCCTCAGCATGAGAAATAAAATTTGTAATGCGGATTTGACTTAACAAAAAGATTTGTAATGCATGATTGCAATACGAACGCGATGCTTTTGCACAGGATACCGACAGCTTTTTCTCGGACCAGGAGCGAGAGAACGCCCAAGTGCTCGTGTCCAATGCAAATATGTCTGGGTCTGAAAGAGTACAAACTTGTGATGCGCATTTCAGAACACCGAATAAATCATGCATAGGCAGCAAAACTTGCCGGCCCACTTTCTGTCACCAAAATGGGGGATTTGTCATGCGGACTCGGCATTGCGAGCGCTTCTCCTCGAACCCTGTGATGCTAGAGCTTTCATGCCACACCTTCTGTGTCATGCAACAACAGCATGACTCTTCCAGACCCAGACATTTTTGCATTTGATAGCTTGTGTCTCGCGACAAAGAAGGCCGGTGGGTGAAGGCCCCAGCTGGGGAATTTCCGGAGTTCCAGGACACTGATGACGCCGTCGACCACTTTAGCAGGGTTTCCGGCGACTTCGTCGAGATCCGCAACCCGGACACAGACATTGCCCGGATTCCCGCCGCCTGCGCGTCCGCAGACGAGCCCTACGACTTCGAATTTTGGATCTCGCAGCCGAAGGGACGGAGCATTGACTGGCCGGTGTATGCAGTGCAACAGGATACTTAGTGTATGATCCTACTCGTACGCCTACTGACTGCAGTTCTTATGCAGGACACAATACCTGAAGATCCTGAGTCAGCTTCTGCATTACAGGCCCCGCATCTTAAATGCATTTCGTACTAGAGTAAGGTGAAAAAACTTTACATTTTGTAATGCATACCGTGCACCAGGAGCAGATCCAGGCGGAGCGGGACGAGACCCTGGATTTTGGGATGCAGCAGTTCAAAAAGTTCGAAAAAGCGACGGAACCGATCGAGGACAAAGCGAAGGAAAGTTTGAAATTGTTGGATAAGGAAGCTAAGATGAATATGGGGCAGAAAATCCTCGACAGGTACCAATACGAGTATGAGAAAGAGGTCGGGGAGTTGTCTTCCGGAGCCACTAACTCGTCCACCGGAACTACAAATCAAGGCCCTTTATGCGAGGACGAATTCTTGCCGTACAACGGAGATCGCGACCCTGAGATCGACGACGGCTTCCAGCATTGTCCTAACCCGGACCGCCCCTTTGTCCTGCCGGGAGAACAAGCGCGCTGCGCGGACCCCGCGGAGTGTGGACCGGGAGACCAGAGTGTGTGCTGCGGTCCAAAAAGCGCCTTGGATCTGTTCGCAGAGAAGACGCAGTTTGAAAAATTGATGCAGGACGAAGACGTGCCCACCGAGGAGTTCGCAGAGGAAGTCCGGCGCTTTGCCGGCAGACACCCGATGTGGCTCGCGAAAGTAGAAGAGACAGAGCCACCAGACGTCGCATCGGTTCCTGTTGTAAATGGTAAGCCGGACATCAGCGAGACAGTGCAGAAAATGGACGGAATTTTGCTGAACGTCAAGGAGAAACGTATCGAAGTGGAGGAAATGCGAAAACTATCCTGTGCAAAAGTATCGTACTCGTACTAATTGCAGATATGCATGACAAATCCAACTTTATACCTGAAATAGCATGACAAATTGACAAATTGACTTTTTTTCTTGGGAGAATTTGTAATGCATTTTATACTACTTAGTACGATGCTTTTGCAATGCATAAAAACACGACATCGACAATCTCATCGGGGATCGAGACCGGCCGCCGGACTTGACGACTGCGGACAAACACGCCAAGTACCACAGTTTCCGCCGGAAGTTTGAGCACGCGTTCGCACGAGCGCAATTCACGGCGAAAGATGTGCTATGGAAGCTGGAAGATAACCCGCCACCTCCACCGGAGGTGGACGATGTTGAAAAAGGGGAAGATGTTGACGATGCCCTGATCGGAAACGAAGGCGACAACGATGCAGATGACGATGCTGGTGATGATGCCGATGCGGCAGACGGGGCGGCGGGAGACAGCGTTGAAGGCGGAGATGAAGGGGCGGACGCGGGTGGGGATGAAAATGAGCCCGGTGGTGAACAAGAGCCTGGTGGTGCCGCCACCTCAGCGTTGCAAATTTCAATGTCGAAAGGAAAAGAACAAGCAACGCATGATGGGGCTGCTGATTTCTTCGGCAAAAGGAAAATTACTATTACAGAACGGGGCGGGCCTGTAGCAGGAAATATGCCGGGACTGGACCAAGTTCAGAAAACAACAACAAACTTTGCGGATGACACCACTAGTACGGGAGATGTGAAGGATGATGATGCGGCAGGAGCTGCTGCCGGGGGTGACGACGCAAACAGTACGGGCACAACTGATGATGCGAACGGCACGGCAGACGATGGTGATGCGGATGCTGCAACTACCTCAGCCAATGGACAAGAACAACAAGCTGCTGTCAAAAATGCCGTGGACTATGGAAGTGTCAGGATTGAAATCGTCAAAGTTGAAATAGTTTGCGATGCATAAAATGCAACCCACAAAATGCCTGTCTTGCAGAGTAGGCAAGGGAGGCCGATTGTGAGCCTGTTTAGGGTTTGAAATAGAGCTGCTAAAGTGGCATGACAAAAGCAGTCTCCTGTGCCCAAACAGCATGACAAATTGGATTCCGGTGCTCGGAAAATTTGTCATGCGCCGCTTGATAAGTGGGCTTTCGACTGGTATTGGTTTTATGCATGACAATAACTATTTCAACTTTGACGATTTCAATCCTGACACTCCCATATGGACGATGCGAAGTCTAAGCCTCCGTTTCAGTTTGTGAACCTGCGCAAAATCCACCATCTCGAGATTCAGAACTCGCAGTGCAAGGCCGGGAAATACTTCCTGCACTGCGCGCCGAGGGACATGGAGAAGAATAGGAATGAGTACAAGTGCAAATTTCTGTACCGGAGTCCTTTACCAAGTAACGAAGAAAAGTCCCACCGGACGTACGAATACCCGCCGAAGCCGGGCGTTATCTGCAACGACTTCCACACAGAGAAGGATTGCCCGGGCCTGACGTGCGAGTGGGACGGGAAGAACCAGCGCTGCGGCACGCGGTGCGGGCGGCTGTTCGGGTCGAGGAAACATCTGTGCACGCGCGTCCGCGGCTGCCAGTGGAACGAACGGATGGAGAAATGCCAGAACGTGTGTACCCGCGCCTCCGGGCCGGAAACCTGCTCGGCGGAAGCGTGCACCTTTGACGAGGCACAGAACGTGTGTCGGGACGCGTGCCACACCTTCCCCGACGAGGAGCACTGCGGCAAGCAACTGCAGTCCAGCCACTGCCACTGGGACCCGCAGGTGAACGGCGTGGGAGCCTGCGTCGACAAGGAGGGGTGCCAAAGTCCCCCACAACCAGACTTCTGCCGGGAGAATTGCGGGTGCTGGGCGACCCGGGTGGAAGGGGCGAAGCAGTGGGAGAATACTTGTGGAAATTTGATCACAAAAGAAATCCAGGTGAAAAGATTCATCAATGCCGATCCCGAGTACGTGAAGAAGATGAAAAAAATTCATGGGGAAAATTGGACTGCACCTACCGACTGGGAGCTGCTGCGCGACGTGGCGAAGCAGATAAAACATCAGCACCCGGTCTGCACGTGTCAACATTGCGGGGGGAAATACCACGACGGGTACACTTTTAGCCACAAGGGCCACTTTGAGCACGGGTTCTTGTTCGGGCGCGTGGACAAGGAAGCGGACTGCGCGGGGCATTGTGACGGAGACACCGGGGGCAACTTGCACTGTGTCGGCTTCACGTTTGACCCGAAAAATCACTGGTGCTATCTGTACGCGAACAAGATCGAGGTGCTGGGCCGGAATAAGCCACATGAAATAGCAGCTGATGTTGACGCAGGAGCTGGGGCTCCTGGTGCGGGGGCTGATGATAATGGTGCAGCAGGAGGAGCTGCCCAACAAGAAGGTGAACAAGAGGGGGGAATACACAAAGAGCAAGGAGGAGCCGGAGATGGAACTAATAATACGTCGACAGAACAAGGCGGCGACGGAGGTGGTGCTGCACCACCGGCAGGAGGAGATAACAATGCTGCAGATGAGGGGCAGAACCAGGAGAAGGGAGCTACAGGTGGCAAGAAAAATAACGACGGCGATACCTCGTCCTCTCAGTTGGAGATCGGACGCGCTCGAGAAGTGACTGCGTTCGCTGCAGATGGAGATGGCGGAAGTGAGACGAAAAATGGCGGAGATGATGATAAAAATGCAACTAAAGATGAAATAGATGAGAAGCCCGCTGGTGCAGTTGCAGGTGGTGCGAACGCCGGTGATGATGAAATAGATGAGAAGCCCGCTCCTGCAGTAGTACAACCCCCGTCCGGGAGCAATCTGGAGCACTTCCTGAACGAGTACGAAGATGAGATGGACGATGTAGTAGGCTCGGAGACGAGCGGCCCCCCACGTACCTTTCTCAAATGCGCCCCGCGGTTCTGCGACGTGAAACACCACGACGATCGCTACGGGGTCGCGGGTGGGCTGTGTCGCTGCCCGGGCAGCGGCCAGTACCACTGGGTGGGTGACGCGAAAACCTTTTGCGGCACCCAGCCGCAGAAACAGCCAAAGTGGACGCAGCGGTTTGAAATTGATCACGAACCAGCAGAAGACGGTGAACAAAATAAGGATACCGAGGGAAACGAAGAAAAGCCCCCGAAAGAGCCGAAAGTCGACACGTGCATCGGCGGCCAGACGCTGGGCGACACGTGTCACTTGCTGACGCCGGGGGATAAACCCCGGAAATGGAGCGGGAACGCAGTGACCTGCTCCGCTTCGAAAAAATTCGAATGGGAAAAGGCTTTTGTCGGGGTGGCCGGGCAACCGAACCGCAAGCCGTGGGTGGACCCGGAGGTGGTGGAGACGATTTATGGGAGACAAATTTTGTTCCGTAAACGACGTACTATGACAAATAGATTTCGCCAACTTTTTCGAAAGTGCCTCTTGTCATGCGGAATAGATTAGCAGGAAATAAGCGAAAGTCGTGCAATTTTGCTTAATGTAATGCAGAAACCGCATGGGGATGGGTGCGTCTGCGTCGTCGTATGCGGCAAATTTCTTGTGGAAGCGATTGGGAAGCAGGAGACCAAGCCCGCGATTTTGAAGCGCGTCTGTCCCACCTGCGCGCCGCCTTACCGGGAGATCTTCCTGCGCGTGCACGACCCGACGCTGCGGGGGGACAAATTTGCGCCGCTCTGGCGGGGGATCAGCGGGGACACCACGACGGGGGACGAGAAACGATACCTGAATCACGACAATTGGAACGGAAAGGGCGGAAATTGGAACGTCTCGCTCTTTTCCACCATGAAAGACGCGATGGCCTGCCAAAGGGACGAGAACGTACGGGAGCTGCCGGCGCCGGACGCGGTTTTCGGCGACTGGAAACCCTGTCCGGGGTCGTTATGCATTGCAAAAGTACCGTACTCGTATAAATGCATTACAAATCTTCTCAGCATGAGAAATACAATTTGTAATGCTGATTCAGCTTAAAAACAAGACTTGTATTGCATGACTGCAATACGAGTGCGATACTTCTGCACAGGATAGTCGTGGCAGTTTGGCGACGCGATGGACGGAGAGGAAAAGTTTCCCTGGGGCGTGGCCCCGTCGGAGGGCGAGCAGAAGGTGATGAAAGCCGTCAAGGTGAAAGTCGTCGAAGCCGCGAAAGTGGCGGAAAAGGAAGCGAAGTTAGCTGCGATGACAAATAGCAGTGAGTTGGAACTCGGCCGGGAGAAGGTCGTGGATGTTCACGCCTTCGAGGACAAAACTTCCACCGCCTTCGAAGACAACCTGTTTCAAGACGATGCTGGCCTGTTGCAGGCTTCATCAGCAGAAGGGTCTTCAGGAGGTGCAGCAACAGGAACAGCTGGAGAAGATGAACAAGGGCATCAAGCCGCACCAGCCGAAGAGCCCACCCACGACTCTCCGGAGCCTGCTCCAGCGGAGGTTCCTGGAAATCCGGCAGGCGACGAGAATCCGATATACGCCGATCCGGACAGCGTGACCATCGAAGAACAGGCGGAGCGGCTGGGGCTGACGAAGGATAGTGACTATGCACGGCAAATTTTGATTTCCCGTACACGCAGTACAACAAGCATGACAAGATTATGCCGCGCCATCATGACAAAAGATGTGCCGCCCCTTTATATGGGGCCGCCCTGCCCTTAGCCTTCCAACATGACAAAAGTAGATGTGCCGAGCTTAATAAAGCATGCCACTTCATCCTTGTCAACATGCTGCGTAGGATTGGAGGAAAGCTGTGTCATGCAGAAACAGCATGATCAGGTGCACCACGTGTAGTACGGGAAAAAACTTCCTGTGGATAATCACGTTACCTGGTTTATTTACCGCGGCCCGCCCACAAAAGAGGAGGATTTGGAGCCGGCGGGCAACGACTGCGAGATCTTCTGGAATAGTAATTTAGGCCGGTGGCACATGGCACGAACGTCCGCACTGGACAAGGCCATGTACGTGAGTCCGCCTGCCACCCACGTTGCGCCTGACAAGCGCGCGTTACTTTTTCCGGTAAACGCAAATCTCATCGTGAAACCACCGGGAGGGGAAGACATGGAGGAGCAACGGGAAGCACAAGCGGGGGCAGGAGCTGCGGCAGCAGACGGCGGCGGAGCGAACAATGATCAAGACGGTGTTGATGTTGATAACGATGGAGATAAGGAAAATAACATCCTCGGCGATGACGCTTCTGACGCAACTTCGCAGTTGGAGGTGGGGCGGGAAATTCTTATGAACTACAAGAGCAAATCTTCCCGGCGTGCGGCTGGTGGTCCAGGATCCAGGAGAACGCGACAAGAACAACCTCATCTCTTCAACGAAGATGGTTTCTTGGATGGTGACACAGGAATATTCGCAAACGATGCTCTCTACGACAATCCCGGCTCTTCGATCCTGCAGGCTGCGATTTCTGCTAAAAAAGCGAAGGACAAACAGCGGAAAGGCGATATGTTAGCGGCTGCCCTCGCACCGGAACTTCTACAACCGTGGCGGCGAGCGAAACGAAACACGAAGAAACGTGCCTTTTACGAGCGACTGGGCGAATACTTGTTTCCGCACAGAAATACGGAAGAAGATGAACCGACGTCATTTCAGCAGCAAGAGCCGCCCTCCGCAGGAAGCCAGCACAAGATGATGAAGACCTCCACGTTTTTCGGCGGTAATTTATCCACCTCGTCCACCGATGATCATCATCTGCTCACGCAGCCCCCGCGGAAGCTGAAGATGAAGTTCATGACGAAGAACCAAATCGCGCAAGAGAAGCAGCTCGCGTCCTTCCTCGCTAGTACAACGACTACCAGCTTTGAAGGATCCTTAGGCGGCATGGCACCGGTCGATTTGGTCAAGGGTGACACCGAGAAAGTTCACCTCTCTGATGCCATTCCGGACAAGATTGACTTGGATATGAACGTGGACATTGGTTCGCTCGTCAAGAACCCTCTCAGCGTAGTAAACGACGTTGCAGGTCTCGGAGCAAAATCCGCCTATGCCGCAATGACGTACGGCGGCTTGCATGCGAAAGACGCGTTTGCGTACTTGGCGAACGTCGCCTCGGACAACGTTGCGGCCGGGTACGCGCTGATGGGAAAGCCGGGGTACGGGGTGCGGTCTGGGGAGGAGATGAATTTGTGGAAGAAAACCAGAAGCGACATCCCCAGCATGGTGGAACAGAACAACCCGGTAAGTGTAATTTTGAAGCCAGAGGAGGAGTACATGGCGGACGTCTCCGCCGACGAGGAGACAGACTTACTCGTCGCCGCCCAGCGGCAGATAGAGCAGGACCAGGCAGCGGCGCACGCACAGGAGGTGGAAGACGGCGACTTTGCGGGCGACGGCGATGTGCCGGAGATTTTGCCGAAGGAGCCGGGTGAAACCGACCCGGCGATTGAAGGTGCAACGAACAATCCAGACGACGAAAACCTCCTTGCGGATGGTCCAGAACTCGAAAACCCGTCGCCAGAGTTGCTGGCCGCCCACATCCGCGTGCAAAAAGTGAAGCAACTGACGGAGCAGCAAGCGAAGCAGATCCGCTTATGAACTCCTGCAAAAGTATCGTACTAGTAGTAATTGCAATTATACAAATTGACTCAGCATGACAAATGGAATTTGTCATGCGGGTTTGCCTATAAGAAATGGATTTGTAATGCATGAACGCAATTAGTACGAGTACGATACTTTTGCAATTCATACCGCTCCCGGCGGATCAATTTGACAAAAGACCCGGAGACCGTGCCGACCGAGGAAGCGTACAACGAATGCTCCCTGGACATTGCGAAAGCGCTGAATCTCCAAACCAACGAGCAGCACGCCACGACGCTCCTGGCGATGGGGCAGCCGGAAGCCGCGAAAAAGTGGACGGACCGAGACCCCTCCATGGCGCTTCGGGCGTACAAGAGGCTGCAAGAAACGCTGAATCCGGCCTTTGGCACCGCGTTTGAGGCCGCGTCGACCGCTTCGCAAGCGGGGAAAGCGAAAGCGGGGAGTGCGTATACGAAAGCGCGGGACCTGGCGAAACCGCTGCTAGGCCCGACGCCGGCAGAAAAGGCGGCGATGGAGCAGGAAGCGTTCACGGCGGCAAAAGAACGGTACCTACGTGACGAACTGGAGAAATTGGAAAAACTCGAGGGTGGAGGGGACGGGTCGTCAGGAGGAGCAGGTTCTTCGGCAGACGAGGGGAAGGAGGAGGGGAATGCCAATGCGCCGGGTGAAGTAGATGCGACCGATGAAGGCCAAAAAGGGTACCTAGACAGATTGAAGTCTTATTTCTCTGGTGGAGGAGGCGGAGACGATGTGTCGTCAGCTTCTGCTTCAAGCGAAGATACAGGTTCGTCTAAACCGTCCGCAGGGGACGAGGTCGCGCAAAAGCACGCGTGAGTTGTAATAAACAGAAGCTCTTAATAATAGACTCAAACGACGTAGTAGAGTAGAAATCGTCGAGAACAAGACTGGAGATGCGCACGAAGAGCTCATAAGCGAGCCGGAAATCGGCAGCAACACGGGACAGGAGCGCCAGAACTGCGAAGAAGTCATGTAGGATGTAGATGTGATTCGTGGTCGTTGTGTGGACACGGTGTAGTTTGGTACCGCCGGCCCTTTAGCACGCGGTTACATCGAGGAGCTTTTGTTTCTGGTCATGACCATCTGGATTCTGAAATTGCAATTTACCGCAAAGCACGGCCTGATGAACTTTTTTTGCCTTAAATTCGATAATTTTGTTCGAAGAAAGAGAAACTAAGGTGCGCGGGATGAAAATAACTACACGTAGAAACTGAAACAAGTTCTTCTGCCCTGTCAGTTCTCTCTGAGATTATGTTGTAAGATTCTGCTGCTCAAATCCAAATCATGATAAGTCAGAACAAATAAGTTGTAGGTTGCTGCTCTTCAAAGTGTAAGCAAAAAAGATTTTATTCTGCTGTGTTCTCAGTCTGAACGATGATAGACAGACCACAGAGAAGTGATGAAAGAAGACTGAAAATTTATTTTTAGTAGCGACGTCAGTGGGATTTTAGTTTTACAAATTGCAATTCCAAGTGGTTCTGGTTCCTGTAGATTTACTATTACTTCTTTTTTTCCAACGAGGTTCCTAGATTAATCAAGGAAAAACGCGACGACATCGTCCTTCTTGTGGGAAACAAAGACATTCTTTATTCTTGTGTATTCAGACGAGGATCTCCACCTTCACGACCAGATGACTCGCAGTTTCTAAGTAGATCCTCTTGGCTTTCTGGTTCCTTGAGCTTTAAGTTCCAACCACGACAAAGAAATTTATGAAAATCGCTCATGTAATACATGAACTTGATCTTCCTCGAGCAAAAGAACGCAGTAGCAATACGATCTACCAGCCCGTGAATTAAAATCTACAAACATGTTGAAACACGTCGTGAAAAATCTCAATCACAACAGCGATTCTAGTTGAACCATTGGCGACCGGAGTTAGTTTCAGTTTCACACAAACATCAATAATGGATGAAAATATGCTGAATATGTGCTAGTAATCAGGAACAGCAGTGAAAAATTAAAAATCACTAGCCTTACACTGCCCTTTCGCAGCTGATAAAAATCATGGCTCACATGATTCCGCTCCCGGACCAGGCGGCGCTGAAAGCCAACAGTGCCAGCCGTCACTTCGGTCGTGCGGCCAGGGATATGGAGCTAAATTTCTACCCGACGCTGTGGCAGAAGACGCCGGAAAACCAGGTTGCGAAGTGGTCCCCGGAATTAGTGGACCACGTGTACGCACGACTCCGGCAGCACCACTTCAACCACAGGGATGTGATCGCCCTGGAGTTCTCCGGATTCTTGGAAAAGTACCTGTGGCCGCACATCCTACAAACTCCAACCTTACACACGAGCAGCAAAATCAGCACGTCCACCAGCATCGGCGAGTTTTGCCCGCTCTTCCCCGGGCAGAAGGCCCAGGAGTTGAAGAAGTTATCCTACTGCGAGCTGGACACTTTAACCGAGCCGCGACCGCTGTCCCGGGCGCACGTGTTGCTGATCGCCTTGATGTTCATGGAAAAGGTGCGCGACGGCGTCGACGCCTGGCACACGGTCGATCTGCAGACGAACGACCGCTTCAAAAGATTTTTCGAGGTCTTCTTGGACCAAGTGAACCCCCCAACATCCACAACACAAGCGGTCGACGACAGTATTGAGGATGCAGGAACAGCAAAGGGAAAAGGGAAGACGACTAAAATGAAGAAGAAAGGCAAGGGAAAGAAGGGAAACAAGCAAGGCAAAAAAGGGTCGTCGGGCAAGAACGACAAGAGAGTCGCCCTCGACTCGACAGCGGCGCTGTCGAGAAGAGAAATGACGTTTTTCCTCCAATTCCTCACTCATTGCTTCAACAGTTACGAGCAGCCCTCGATCCGCGAAAGCGTCGTGAACCTGGTCGGGCTTCCGGGCTGGTTACACTTAAGCCCGGATAGGTTGGAGGTGACGCTGTCGGAGTCCAAACAGTACCGAAAGTTCTGGAAATCGGTCAACAGCAAGTACGCTTTTGACGCGCCGCAGGAGCCGACATTGGAGCAGCGAACCCTGATGCTAGCCGGGATAGAAGAGAAAACGGTTGCTGCTGTTGCAGATGAGGTTGATGGTGAGACGAAAAAGGATGGCGAAGCAGAAAATAACTCAGACGACGAGGGAAACAAAATGGTCGAGGAAGAGGGCGGAGGAGAAGATGCTGCTGTAGCGGACGGTGATGCAGCGGGAGATGCAGATGAGGCCGCTGCTGAAGTAGATGCAGAAAACAAAGAAGACAAAGACGACGGCGTGCTGGATATCTCAAATATGGGCCAGGCGGTCGCCAAAGTGGTCTCGGGCTCTGTTGATAAGCAAGCGGTGTTCCAGCCGCTCCCGCGTCTCCCAGCGACAGTTGCGGAGAAGTATGGGAGTGTCAGGATTGAAATCGTCAAAGTTGAAATTATTTGTAATGCATAAAATCGATACCAGCTGGAAGCCCAATTTCCCAGCGGTGCATGACAAATTTCGGCACCGTCTAAAACCAGTTTGTCATGCTGTTTGGGGACAGAAGGCGCCTTTTGTCATGCTACTTTAGCAGCTCTATTCCAAACCCGAAACAGGCTTACAATCGGCCTCATTTGCAATCCCTGCAAGAGAGGCACATCATGCCTTGCAATTTCTGCATGAGAAATTATTTCAACTTTGAGGATTTCAATCCTGAGGGTTCCATAAGAAGCATCTGCAGATCAAGGTTGACTACAGCAAGGAGCCGCTGACTAGAACGCAGGTACACTATCATGAGTAAAAACGTACCCACACCAGAGTCAGGATGGGGAATCTGCTAGACAAATCAGCCAGCTTTGGTTGTTTGGCATGACAAGTTTGTCCGCTTAGTGTAGTGCTGTTTGAGCTAGTTTAGCAGCATTACAGAGCTAGTACCTCGTGCTGATTGGAACATGACAAATTTCAAAACCGCATTAGAAAATGCTTCTCATGGGGCTCCGCATGAGAAACATTTTAAGCATGCAGAGTTGCATGACAACTATGGTGTGGGTACGTTTTTACGCAGGATATACACGCGAGGGATTTCATGGCGAAATTGATGCAGGACTTTTTCGAGAACCTGGAAAAGCAGCGCAACGCCCCGATCTCGCACGCACTACCGGCGTATTTTATCCGGGCGATGGAGCGGTTTTTGGAGCTGTTGATCGACTTGCTCTCCCAGCTCCCGTTCCGGAAATGCTTCCGGCCTTTGTTCGCGGACCGGCATTTTGTAGTAAGGGTGAGGGAGTTTGTGGAAGTCATGCGGGCACGCATGGCGGAGCAGGACAGACTCCTGCAGTTGCACGGGAAAGGAAGAGGGAAAGCCCGATTCTGGATATCAAATGCAAATATGTCTGGGTCTGGAAGAATACAAACCTGTGATGCGCATTTCAGAACACAGAAAAATCTCTCATGCATAGGTGGCAAAAGCTGCTCACTTTCTGTCACCAAAGTGGGGGATCTGTCATGCGGATTCGGCATTGCGGAAGCTCCTCGAAACCTGTGACGCTAGAGCTTCCATGCCAGACCTTCTGTGGCATGCAAAAACAGCACGACTCTTCCAGATCCAAACATATTTGCAGTTCATACTGGAACACGAGAGACGACCGCGCCGGCCGGTTCGCAAGGCAAGCAGTGAAGGGAGGAGGTTCATCTGGTGGAGGTAAACATCAGAACAACTACAAAGGTAACAATGGAAAGATGGGCAAAAATAACTACGAACATCAACAGCAGGATTCAATGGGGTGGTACGGTCCGGGCAGCACGCCCATGCCGGGGAAAGGTGGCAAAGTCGTTCCGGAGTACCACGGCCCGATGGGCAACTACCCGATAGGTGGTGGAGCAGGTGGTAAAACGTCACCCTCAAACGCAGGGAAGGGTGGAAATTATGGTGCGCCAAATTCTTTCGCAGCTCCACCACCCCAACCCGTCCCCGTTGTGCAGATGCAAGACAGCTACGGAAACAATTTCGTCCAAGAAACGGCGGACAACGGTTACGACCCTTTCGGGACGGAGAATTTCGACCAGTGGTTCGAGTCCGCGTTTCAGGACGCTGCCGACCACGACGAACTCTTTACGACAAACGACGCGGCTGTTCCAAATTTGAACGCCGATGGTAAAAATTCGAACGGGCACAGTGCGTTAAACGACATGTCGGGTAAGGATCCGTTTGACGTTCTGGCCGAACAGCAACAAAATAGCAACTCCGGGATGTGGTTCCCGCCCAATTTCGAGGAGCAGGACCCGGCACTGCTCGAGCGCAAGCGGGAAGAGGAGGAGCAGAAGGCCAGGCTGCAGGAAAGGCTCAAGAACGTGACGCAGGGCATGCGCGACCCGAGTGGGGTTGCTGTGTCCACGGAGAACATGGTCTTCGCCGGGGGGATTTATCCGGAGGATGACGTGTGGCGGCTGAGTGAGCAGCTGTTGGGGATTTTAGAATTTTACGACTTGTTTGAGGTGGACGACGTCACCGGGGCGGCGTTGCACCGACAAGACGTTTTACAGCGACACTACGACGATCACAACCGCTTACGAAAAATCTGCTTCGAGATAGGGAACGCGGGGGAAGAAATCGATCCGAACACGGTATAATGCTGAAGAAAATTATGCTCGTTCTTATTTGAATTTTCAACACAGAGACAGACACGATGGTTTTGAATGGAACAAGCTTGAGCAAACTCGTCAATCTCAATCATTATACTTAACAGGGCCAACCGAAGACGATCGTTGACCAAACGGAGGAGATGCGAAGAATCGCTTTGTCCCACGTGGGCGATTTCCAGTCCCGCCAGGAGCTCCGTCGCGTTTTCGCGCAGCTCCCTTATACGGTGTTGAAGGAAATTTGCCAGAAACTCTGTTACCTGGACGTGAGCCGGGAGAACATCCTCCACAAACTTGACAATATCGTCGTCAACCACGCGAAAAATGTCCAACTTTTGAACGCCCAACCCGCGACGCGGAAAAAGGTGAAGCCAAAGCCGCGGAAGGAGGAGATCATTTTGAAGAAACTGTTTCTGGAGGTTTTGTACCAAAAACTCGAGTCGAAAGAGGCGCAATTAGATAAGGTGAACGCTTTACCACTCTTCCCCGCGGAAGATATATCCAAGAAAAAAAGATTGTTGGTGTAACTTTCTTGGAGGATTAGCATGACAAATATGTCTCGCATGACAGCAAAAACCTGTCATGCGCAGATAGTACGTGAAACGCCCTTGAATGGACCCTACTACGCAGGCTCAGCATGACAGGCGCAATCAATTTGCATGCTGCGCATCACAAATTTAGATTTACACTAGCAGCGTTTTTTTCTTGGATAAGATATCGTCTGGGACAAGCACTTAGTTCCGGACGAACACTTCCAATCCGAGCACGCGCTGGCGTTACCCAAGTTGAACCTGCAGTTCTTGACCATGCACGATTATTTGTTGCGGAACTTTCATTTGTACCGTTTAGAATCCACCTACGCAATCCGGAACGACATCCGGGACGTGATTCCCCGCATGCGGCCGGTCTCCGACCCGGGCATCGCGGGCGGGATCCGGTTTCTGGGCAACGCGCGGATGGGCGTCGCGGTGGATTCCTTTCAAATCGTGGAAACCAAGCCACCACTCGTAGGCGAGAAGGCGCCGGCTAGGGTATAACAGAACTTGATTTACTTATTTGTAGCTGTTTATGTACTTCTTCTACTTCTTCTTGCTTTCTACTAACTTCTCCTGGTTGACGATGAGTACTGACTGCGACGACGAGACTACAACCCATATAGAGGAAATCAAGTTCTTGTCCCGTAGGCTCAAGCACGCTGTTGACATTTTTCATCATCATCCTCCATCCCGGATTTTTACACGACAACAGGTTCGGTGCGAGATCCGTTTTTCCGTTGCCACCATCCGTTCGCAGATGGTGCAGCGCGAGTGGCAGCAGCTCCACGAGCACGACGTCGTTTTTCTCATCGCTTTGGACCCGCCCCCCGTTGCGTTCAAGGGTAACCCGATGGAACTCGATACGCACGAGTTTCCGAAGCAGTTTGGGATCCGGGAGATCCGCGGGATCGAGGTGGACAAGTTGCACGACGGGGAAAACAACATGTTGTCGGATCCGTTCACGAAAAAGGACCCGATCGGGAATGAACGAGTGCTCACCGGGTTTTACGACAGCGCCCAGTATTTGATGGACAACGACCCAAAGCACGACTTGTTCGGCATGGGAAGGAAAGCAACCCGGACCGCAAATCAGGGGGTGGTGTTCAACACGCCGACGGCGGAAGGTGCGGAGCAAGTCCCGGTCGATATCGATGATGAAAAGCCGTTTCACATTCTAATCAGGCGGAACCCGAAGGAGAACAACTTCAAATCGGTGCTGGAAACCATCCGGGCATTGATGAACAGCACGGAATCTGCCGTCGTGCCGAAGTGGCTGCACCGCTTGTTTCTAGGGTACGGTGACCCGTTGGAAACGCAGTACAAAGTGCTCGGCAGCACCCCGGAGATTGACTTTCGCGACACGTTTTTGGACCGTGATCACGTCTTCGAGGCTTTCCCGGAATGCCAAGCGATAGAGATACCCGAGGACTGCTTACCGCCATACAAACTGAAATTCGAAACCGGGCCGAGAAATAACAACGACAATAAAGCAGTAGATATGGAGGTCGACGCGGAAGGAACAACAAATGCGGGTCCTGACAATAATAAAGCGAACCGAAAAAACAAGAAGAAAAAGAATCATCAAGACATGAACAAGAAGGCGAAGAAGATCGACATCGACATTGTGGACAAAAAAATCGTCGGCAGCACCTACATCGTGAAGAACCCAGGACCTTACGAGTACTGCCAGCCGCAATTGAACAAGGTCCGGTTCACGCCGGTACAAGTCGACGCGATCCGGTCCGGGGTTAATGAGGGGCTGACGATGGTCGTCGGACCCCCGGGGACCGGGAAGACCGACACCGCGGTCCAGATTGTAAATTTGCTCTTCCACAACTTCCCGGACCAAAAAATGGTGCTGGTCGCACACAGCAATCAGGCCCTGAACGACCTGTTCGACAAGATCTGCAAGTTGGATATTCCAGAACGGTATTTGGTTCGTCTCGGTCGGGGGATTGAGGAATTGGACAGCGAACGCGATTTCAGCAAGTACGGCCGGATCGACTTTATGTTGAGCCGGCGGATGGAACTACTCGACTTGGTCGGGAAACTTGCGAGATCTCTAGGTTTAGACGCAGACCACACGAGTTACAGTTGTGAGACCGCGAAGTTTTTCTTTCTGCAGCACGTGCAGAGGGCGTGGGAGCTGTTTGTGGAGAAGGTGCAGATTGCGGGAAAGAAGGGCGAGAACTTGTACAAGGTAGTTGACTATTTGGACGAATATAGGCAGAAGTTCCGGGAGGCGCAAAAAAAGAATCCGGAACTGTTTAAGAATGCGGAGGAAGAAAACGACGAGCCAAATGAGGAGCAGCTGGGCGAGCCGAAGAAGAAAAAGCGGAAGAAAAACAAGAAGAATAAGGACGACATGGTCGGAAAGCCGGATTTTTTGATCCCGGACAACGCCCAGAAGAGCGATGAGGAGATCGAGAAGTTGAACAAAGAGTACGCTCAAAAGTTGCTCGAAAAGCACAACAACAGCGTCGTTGCGGCTCTGTTCCCGTTTTCAGACTTTTTCGACGACGTCGGACGGCCGTTGTTCCAGAACAACGACTACGCAAAGGATTTTGACGAGGCCGAGGGCTGTTTCGCGTTTTTCCAAAACCTGTGGAAGGAGATCGGGGAGTGTTTACCGTTCGAGATGCTCCGAACCGGGACGGACCGGGGCAACTACTTGGTCACCACACACGCGCGGATCATCGCCATGACCTGTACGCACGCGGCGTTGACGAGGGCAAACTTGGTGAAGATGAACTTCCAGTACGACAACTTGATTATGGAGGAGTCCGCACAGATTCTGGAAGTGGAGACGTTGATCCCCATGTTGCTGCAGAAGGCGGATGTGGCCGGAGAATCCAGGCTGAAACGCGTCGTGCTGATTGGGGATCACCACCAGCTGCCGCCGGTCGTGAAAAACCGAGCGTTTGAACGATACGGACACTTGGATCAGAGCCTGTTCACCAGGTACAGAAGTCTTGATGTTGTTGCACTTTGTACGAGGAGTACCGCCTAGTACAGTATGCTGATAAAGATCTAGCTCTAGGATCGTTGTAATTGTGAGTCATGCAACGTGAAGACGATACGTAGACAAACCGCGATTTTAGAAAACGCAAGTGATGAGAAAAATATTCGAAAATACAACAACACCCTCAGGTTCATCCGCCTCAACGTCCCCCACGTGATGCTGGACGCCCAGGGTCGTGCGCGACCCAGCATTGCGTCACTATACAACTGGAAATACGACAACATGCGAAATCTGCCCAACGTGCAGAAAAAAATCGACTACCGATTGGCGAACACGGGCTTGGTTTATGACTACCAGTTCATCAACGTACCGGACTACAACGGGACAGGTATGGGGTTTGGGATGTTAAGGATCATTTTCTTGGCATTTTTTTTGATTCATAGAGACCGAAGAAAGTGAATTTAGAAATGCTGTTCAAGTTCAGTATCTCAAGAACTTTTTACTCAAACCGAATATCAAAAACTTCAACTTTCATCAAACTCAGGTGAAACCTCCCCGATGCCGTACTACTTCCAAAACGAGGGTGAAGCGGAGTTTGCAGTAGCTATGTTCATGTTCATGCGACTTCTCGGTTACCCCGCCGGCTCCATCTCCATCCTGACGACCTACAACGGGCAGAAAGCGCTCATACGAGACGTACTATTTTTGTTTTGTTCGCTATTTTCTAGTACTTCACCGTTGGAACAACCCCAAGAACCCGCTGCAATTCTTCGTGGCTCGAAAAATGTGCACCATCAACTCTCATATATCAAATCGAAACCCCACTACAGGTTATCCAGAAGCGTTGCGCTTGGAACCCTCTGTACGGGTGGCCGAAGCAGGTGACGACCGTCGATAAGTACCAGGGTCAGCAGAACGAGTACATTATCCTTTCCCTCGTTCGCACGGAGAAAGTTGGTCACTTGCGCGACGTCCGCCGTCTCATCGTGGCCATGAGTCGTTCCAAGTTGGGACTCTACGTGATCGGCAGGTTTGCGAATTTCAACCAGTGCTACGAGCTCCAACCGGTTCTGAAGTACTTCAAAAAGCGACCCTTTTCCCTGGCTCTGTACAAGGACTACAAGACGGAATTCTGGCCGTGCGAACGGTTTCTGGACACGAGTGACGCGTACGCGGAGAAGAATTCCCGGTTGGTCGCGAGCGGAATTGAGGAGATGTGGAAGATTCTGGGCGAAATGCAGGAACAAAAGGCGAAGGAACTCGGGCTGATCACGAACGACGCGAATCTACCGCACATGCAGGAACCGCAGGACGAGGAGTGAGGAAGGGAGGAAATTGTAAAGCTGTAGCGGATCATTTGTGCGGGAATCATGCTGCTCTACCAAAAGTCACAGTGAATTCCAAGAAACAAAAATAAAAATTCTTAAACAAGTATCACAATTCATTATCTAGATCTACGTTGCTATTTCTCTTCAGTGTGAAGAGAAGCAGTATTGTGTATTGGACTTAAGTAGTTTGTCGACTCTGACGGGTTTAGCGTCAAGTTATGAAAAGCCAAGCGAAAACGAAAGGTCAGGAGGGTGTGCGTGAAATAAAAAACGCCAGCCAGTCTTGCTCTTCTTCATCGTGTTCGTCGGCATGAATGAAAACGAGAAGAATTTGAAATAACGAGTTGCAAAGAGGGACGTGGCGCCTTCGCGTACAGCCGTTGATATATCATTGTGTGAGGGAGGACTTCTGGAAGCTAATCCCGCTACCAGAAAGATTGATCGGCCCCGGTGTCAAATGCTACACGCTCGATTGGTGAGTTGTGAATGAGCAGAGACACTAGTACAACCAGCCGAGCGAGAATGGCAGACGCTTCAAAAAGAAGACGTACTCAGGTAGGTGCTCTCGATGGCCATAACTGAACAAGCAGAAACATCTTCGGCGCCGAGGTCGAGCCGCAAGCCGCGAAGGGGAGCGAACGCAGCCAAAGTCTTGGAAAACCGGGGGCGAAAATTTTCCGAGGTGTCCCGATCTTCGCGCTGACACTCCTCCCATGGCCGGCGCCAGTGCGTCACAAGCGGGCGCAAGAGAGGACGGCGGAAAGAAAAAGATCAGCAACAACGGCGCGGCCTTCGACGGGTACAGATGTCGCGCCGCGTACCGGAAAACGATATCGCTGGCGCAGAGCAATCCAACAAGGAGGCGCGCCGCGCTTGTTGCTAGTCCGTCGCCCCCGCTGCGCCCGTGGCGCTTTTGGGCCGACCTGGCCCGCTGGCCAGCCGCTGCGCAGGCAGGCCCTCCGTCCGTGCCTCGCGGCGCCTGGCGGTGTTCTTTCATGTATCCCATCGCCAGAAGGCCCACCCCGTTCGGGGCCGTGGCGGCTCCAATATGTCCGTGGCCGGCCGGGCAGGCCTTGGCTGTCTGTGTGACTGAGCGGCCCCCGTAGCGCAGCCACGCAGGGGGGCTAGTCCTTCGGCGATGTGTGTGGGCCTGCAGCCGCTGCCTCGCGCCGCTTTGCCCCCGCCCTCGTAAGGCCGGGCGATTGTGCGTTTTCGGAGTGCGCACAAGAGTGCTGCCCTGGCGCATGAGAGCCGGCCCTGTGGCTCCGATCCTCTGCCAGCAAGGGCCGCTGTTCAGTTCCATTCTGGTGCGATTTTTCTTTTTAAATAGAAAACAATAACGGAGTGAAAGCAAATAAAGAAAGCCCGCATACTTGTTGTTTTTTCCAAGAGGTTGCGGATTCATCATTGTTCTTGTTGTGTTGGAGAGTGTTTCATTGAAGCAGGAGGACAAGGACACTAATGTATGAGAAGTAGCGCAGTTTTTCTTTTTGATGATGTCACATGGTCAATTGGATTTTTCCTGGTTGAAGACAATTCGACATGGCTTTCTCGAGGCCTTCCAAGTCCTATTTTGACGCGTTATAATTTGAAGGTCATTATCAGCAGATAATACTGCGAACGAGGGTACAAGCGTTGGAGTTGTACTTTCTGGCGCTGGCAGCACATCGGTTTGTTTGGAATGAAAAGAAGATGAAGCAAGGAGCCCTGTTTTGTTGATTACTTTTCACAGTCGCAGGTCTTGTTCTACGTGTCTCGTCTACGATCTTCTTCGCATCGTCTGATAAAATCGTCAAGAAGAAGAATCAGAATGATCTCAGGGCTTTCAGGGCGGCAGAAGAAATGGATTGTCATTGTGTTTGTGTTTTTTTCGCACAAATTGCTATCAAAAACAAGCTATGGCTTTCGCTCTGGCTTGGGTTGGGAGGGTGGTTGTTCTGTTGACCTGTCGTTTCGTCATCGTCCATGTCGTGTTGTTTCTCACTTGCGTATGAAGGCCGCAACAGCTCCTGATTTCAACCAGAAATAAAAGAGATTGACGAACTGGCATTTTTTGCCGGACCTGCTCTTGATGGTTTTTTGAGTCAAAAAAAGAAAATCAACGCTATTGAAGAAAGAAAATGAGACAGCCGTAGCCCCGAACAACGTTGCAGAAGCCTCCAACATGAAAGACAAGTCGCGGTCCCCGAAAAAAAAGAACTCCGGCGGTGGAGCAGGTGGCAGCACGCGGCCGTGTAGCGAATCACCCACAGCGGGGCTAAAAGGCAAGAATAAAGCTGCACAGAGCAGAAATCAAGCATGCCCGGCACAGGAAGTAGACGCTAGTCTTAGTCCTACTCGACGAGGCGGCTCGACATCCGGATCTCCGCTGCGCAAAGCGAGTGTCTATGACGGCTGTTTCTGGCTCCGCGACGACGAGGACGACCGTGAGGAGGAGGAAGAACCTCTTAAAGCGGTAGAAGCTCTTGCCAACGGAACAATGACAACCACATCTACAGCAGGTGGAGAAGATGCTGCTGCTCACCTTTATTTGGGCAACGTCAACACGAACACGGCTACGTTTTTTGCGAAGGGCCCGAACAAGATGAAAACAAACCACAAGAAACAGCATCATCACCCCCTCCGGTACCACCGCACGCCCCCCTGTTTCGCCGACCACGGGCTCTACTTCACCTTGGGCCCGATCCTGTCCCCCGAGTCCTGTGATTTTCTTTGCAGCCGCGCGTTGAGCTCCCGGTACCACGACTGGGTCGCCTTTCCTGACTCGGTGGACGGAAAGCCGGAGCACCAACACTGCATTTTGGATGTGGGGAAAAGTCTGCAGGACCCGGTTTTGCTCCCCTTCGTGCAGCAACTCTCAGACGAGGTGATCTTGCCGCAGCTGCTCAAATGGAAAAACGAACCAGGAAAGGCCGGTGCTTCTAGTGGTAGTTTTTCGCCAAAAAGAGCAGGAGCTGCCAGAGCAGCGGCCCCTTGTTCAGAAACGACTTCGTCCACTGCTAACACGGAGTTCTTGCCTGCTTCGAACGATGCGGCCCCAAGCTCAACCAAGACGAAAACTCGCTCCCCATTCGAGATGCACTGGGCTTTTCTGAGACGATACTCCGTAGACACGCGACTGGAATTTCCGGTGCACCGCGACAAGTCGAGCTTCACGGTGAACATCCTGCTGTCTGACGATTACACGGGGGCGGAGCTGTACTTACTGCCGGATAACACAGAGGCGGATGCCCTGCCAATCCAGACGTTTCGCAAACGGTTTCCTGCTAGTAAATTAAAGGCGGAATACGCGGTGCGGGCGCATGGAAAAGGGTATGCGGTCTGCCACCAGGGACGGCGGTTGCACGGAGTCTTGCCGATAGAAAGCGGGACGAGGATTACACTGATATTGATGTACATTGACAACCTGTAGGATGAACAAATGACGAAAAAAATGTTCTTGCCCTTCATAGGACTTTTGTATTGAGATCGTTGTCAAGCTTTGGCTTTGCGTTTCGCTCACTGAACAATGAGATTTGGACCGACGGAGGTGATCAACACGTGATAACGAACTTGGAGATAATGGAAAGTAGACTGGGCTTTGAAATAGACAACTCCACACTACAACAGATTTGAAACGAACTGCCGCGCGCACGATGCGTAAATGTAGTTCTTGCAGCACACGTATTGGATCGCGTTGATATCAACACCAGCGTGTGATTTATCTCGAAGACCTTTCTGGCTGCGCTACCGCCAGACTCTGCCTGTTGCGGAATCTTCTTTCGTGAATGTCGGCACCCGAGGCGGCATGCATGTTTCTCGTGTGTCGTTTCGTGTTGAAGTTTCTTTCTCTGTAGAGGTAATACCAAATTTCTCATGATCTTCTCGTGCGTGTCTTTACCTCTTTATCTACTTTTGTAGCAGCGTTATTACGTGTACGTGTTACACAATTTCGTACAGCGCAGGTCGTTTTGGTTTTCGGTGTATTTTCTGCTATAATTCGTTTGGTTTTCATCTTCTTATCTTCCACTTCCTCGTGATCGTCGTAAATTCGTCCACCTTCGTCCTTTTTCGTCCTGCGCAGCTGTTGCTGCCGCGGTAGGATAAATTTCGTACGAAAAGACACTGCCTGTACTTCTTGCAGTCGGCGCACTTCTCACTTGTTACATGCGATTTATTCAATTTCTATTGCAGGATACATAGCGTGAATAAAAGCCTCTACATCTTCTACCCTCTTCTGATTCATGTTGAGAATAGTGTCACTAGTACCTCGAACGCCTTATTCTATCAGGAGGATGAAAGAAGTTTCACATCGACGAGGACCTCGTCGTTATCATTTCAACACCGGGTGATAATCGTTAATGTGAATTAGATTTCTTATTTTCATCTGTTTCTGTTACCAGTGCAAAACCAAAACCGCTTTCTTGCTAAAAGATCGAAGTCGAGATGAAGGGTCTCGCAGACGCTTACAAGACGCAGGTAGGCAACAACGCCTCGAGCACCGCAAACACGTCTTCACCAGCTGCTCCAGGGCCTGCTGGCACGCCGAGCCCTGGTTCCGGCGGACCTTCTCCCGGTGGATTAGCTGGGATGAACATGAAAAAGCTGGGTGGGTTGTCAAAAGCCGCTTCTGGAGGTACTCCTTCATCGTCCGCAGGACCTGCAGGTGGACCCCCGCCGCCAAAGAAACTTGCTTTCGCGATGCCACCCGGAGCAGTAGGTGCTGCAACCGTTTCTGACGACGCCGCGGAGCCAAATACGACGAGTAAAGACGACCCTGCAGCTCAGGATGAGCAACGACCAACCACTGCCAGCTCGGGTTCTGCGGCAGAAAACGCTCACGCAGGCGCGACCAAAGTGCCGGCCATGAGCTTTGCGAAACTAGCGCCCGGGGGGAAGAGCGCGGACTCCAGCAACAGCACCAACTCAGCGAACGCGCCGATGACCAACCCCTTCGGCTTGCTAGGCGCCGCAAAGGCCGCGGGCGGCACCACACCGGCCAGCGGCGACGGCAGCGGCAGCCCGGACGAGAGTGGTGGCAGTGCTGCTCCGCCACCTCCCTCGGGTGCGATGCTGGCGCTGATGGGCAAAGCGCCGCCACCCGGCGGTGCCAAGGCCGCTGCGGCGAGCAACCCGTTTGCTCTCGGAGGTGCGAAGAAATCCAATCCCTTTCTCGCGGGGCTTGGCGGGGGCGGTTCTCCGACCGACGCCGCGGGCTCCCCGCCCGGCGGGGGCGGCGGCACGACAACGTCTGGTGGGGCGACGCCGATGGGCTTCACTTCCGCGATGCTCGCGAAGAAGGCGGCAGCGAGGATCAAGGAAAAATCGAAAAAACTCCGCGAAGAGCGGCTCGCCAAGATCGCGGCGCTGCAGGAGACCCCCGCGGCGACCAACCTGGTGAAGGAACGGCGCGCGATGCGGAACCGCAAAGACTTGACCCCGCTGCAGAAAATCGTGGTGTCGCCCAAGTTTGACGCCTTCGTCACCTTCGCAATTGCGGCGAACTGTTTCTTCATGGCGTTTGAGTACCAGCTGCAGGGGGAGGACAAGGTGGACATGGAAACCGGCATTATCGTCGGCGATTTGCTCTTTTTGTTAATTTTCACCGCGGAGTTGGGCCTACGTTGCGGCGCCTTCGGGTTGAAAAACGTCATCTTCAACCTACAATATTCGCTAGACGTCGCTGTGGTCGGGAGCGGGATTTTGTTCGAATTACTTTTACCTCTGATCACAACCGGCGGGATTTCCACCGGTGGGGAAGACGATTCCGGGGGATTAGCCGATGTGATGCGGATGTTGCGCGTGTTACGGGCCCTGCGTGTGCTCCGATTGCTGACGATTTTTGAGCATTTGTGGGCGGTCGTGCAGTTGTTCTTCTTCAGTATTCCCCCCCTGATCTGGACGGTCAGCTTCATGATGATCATCATCTTCCTGTTCGCCATGTTTTCCATCGTGATCATCGGGCAAAACACCGGGTTGACCTACCGTGGCAATAGTTCTTCGGGAAATATTAATTCTGGAGGAAGTTCTTCCACTTCTCAGCTGGTCACTGCAACAGGTAGTTGTAATCAGAACTCCACGCTGACCGTGCAAGTGGCTGCACCAACTTCACCTAATGGTGGAGATGAAGGAAGTAACTCCAAAAAAGAACAGTTTGACGAGGCGAAGCAGTTCTTCATGACCACGCGGGATGCGATTGTGTACATGTTCCGCATCATGACACTGGACGGGTGGTCAGACATCGTGGTCCCGCTGGCCCAGGACTCCGTTTGGCCCTACATTTACTTTCTGCTGTTCATCTCCATTTCCGGGTTCGGGCTGATGAATTTGGTCACGGTGACCGTGTTGGAAACGGCGCAAAAGCAGACCAAACGCGTGTCGGAATTGCTCGACATCGACGACAAAATGAACGTCATCGGCGATCTGCTGCGATTCCCCAACATCGCCCACTTTGCGGGCATGAACAACGGCGAAAATAACGCTAACGGAGGGGACAACGGTGGTTCAAATGCGAATGCCGTGGGCGGTGGTGCAGCTGCCACCAAGAATCCGCAGGGAACTTCTACCGCGAGCGGAAATGTTAACCAGGAGCAGCCACAGGTGGAATTGAACGTGACCGGGAACACGACGCGCGCCTATTTCATTGAGCACTGGCAGAAGTCGGTGGCGTTTCGCAATCTGTTCGAGACGTTGCAGCTGACCAGCGCGGACGCGGGCGCCTTCTTCGACGCGATGGACCTGGACAGCAGTGGCGAGCTGGACCCGTTTGAGCTGTCCACCACCTACATGGAGCTCACGACGCAGGTGCTGAACTCCACGGCCTCCGTGGCGCTGATCCGGTCCGCGGTGCTCCCCGAGGAAAAAGGTCGGATCCTGCGGTCCACCATGCAGGTGGCGCAGGCGAGCCGGTTTCAGGAGGTGGCGAAGCAGAATTTTCTGGACGAAAAGACGCGGGCCGAGGAGTTGGAGAAAAAGCAGTTGGAGGAGACAAAAAAGCAGGGTCTGGAAGCGAAAATCCGGGAGGAGAAAATGAGCCAGAACCTGGAGAAAATCCTGTTCGAATTCGCGTCCCTACGGGAACAGCTGGATCGCGCGGAGACGAAAATAGCAGATTTGACCGAATACGTCACCACGGAGCTGCAGGCAGTGCGCCAGGCGCAGGTGACGCTCCCGCCGTTGCGGAGAAGAAGTGTGAAGAAGAAGAAGGCTGTATCTGCGGGGCAAGAACAGTCCTCGGCATTAGAATCCGTGCGGGAAGTGGACGATGACGGGGTATGACAGTTCACAACCCCCCCTCCCCCTCATTTGTCATGCAAAATTCCAAATCTTATCTACCTTCTGCCTGTTAGCACTGTTTGCATGACAGATTCCGAAAGCCAAAACAGCACTACAACCACCTAGGAATTTGTCATGCAAAAGCTGCATCTTCGCCAGCGCTTGCGTTGCTGTTCATGCAACACAAATGAGGGGGAGAGGGAGTTGTGCACTCTCATACGGGGGGAACGACTCCCTCATTGCGTCCGCTGTCGGCTTCGGCGAGATGAGCGATAGCACGCTCGGCGGGGGTCCCGGAGATACGATGATGAACACGACCACCAGTACGGTCTCCGGCGGGCCAAGAGTTACGAATGCGGCACACAGCCCGCACGTTTTTTCTCACAGTGGGGAGGTGACGAGGCGGAGCAAACAAAGCTTAGCGGCGCAACAGCAGCAGCTGCAACTTCAGCAGCAGATGCCGCAAGTTGCGGGACTGCGGATCGTGGGCGGAGAGTTGTTTGTACAGGCATCGGTAACTTCTGCGGCAGCGCAGCCGCCACAACAGGCTCTCCTTTACGGAGCAGGTGCACCTCCCGATAGAGGTGCTGGCAATGCTGGCAGCCAGGCGCTGCAAATCGAGGCCGGAGGAGGTAATTCTGCCGTATCGTCCAGACCGACGACGGCGCCGCAGGAAGTCGTGCAGCGAGGACTGTCTTCTCCGCAAACAAGACTACGATCACCGGCACCTGCTCCAGGGGCTGTCACAAATGGTCCCGCAACTGAGCAAGCGGAAGTTGTTTCGCCAGCGTCAATAGCAGGTGTGAAGAATAACTCTACTCCGTCAAACACAGACACGTCCCCAATTTCTACATTATCTACCCCACCGCCTGCTGCAAGCACCCCAGGTGCAGCGAAAGGTTCACCGAGTGCCCTACTAGGTCCTTTCAAAAAGCCCTGAGGCTGAGTTGGTTCCCCATTCACAATTCATTCTGATATTCGTTTTCATGATCATGGTATAATATTATTTGACTTTCATTCAAGCAGAAGCTCGCCAATTTATCCACTGGCTCCTCCGAATAGAGCGCACCTGGACTACCTCGCCTAGGTCGATGGAATGTGAACGCTGCTCATCGTACTTACAGGTCCAACGTAGTAGTTGCTGCGTATGCAGTCGGGGCACTGAAATATCAGACTGATTTTTGGGTTCGGCTGTACCAGATTGAGATTTCAACAACAAGACGCTTTTGGTGCAAAACGTTTTGCGCGTTCGTCAGTACCTGCTTGGGGACCAACACGCGGTCCTCTCTCTGTTCGTTCGGACCACCATCATGGACGAGTATTTTTTTTACATGTGGAAGTGGATGTACGTGGCGCACGGACCACTTCCGTCGAAGCGATATGAAACGATCATTTCTATTTCGGCTCTTCGTGTTTGTGGTCTCTAGTGCTTCAACATCTAGTATTACAGTTATCATGTTCAGTCACAAGAAAGGAACATGCGCAGGCGAACGCATATCCCATTCCTCGTTTCGCTGTTTTATTTGCGAACAGACCCGCACAAGTTAAAGTTTTCTTTGCTGCACCAGATCGTGATCAGAATCTCGTGCGTCAGGATTTGAGAGGCTACATATTTGCATCAAGTCGGTTCCGTGAGAGAGCGCAAGCAAATGGGTATCGCGATCTCCGTGTCGTAGTCTCTATCTCAGAATTGTCCGCTTCGTGACACATGAGTGTGACCCAAAGACATTCGAGACCGCTATCAAGGGGCACATCGCTTTTCACCCGATCGTTTTCGTATTCGTTGACGAGGCAAGGGAATGCATGGCTCGTGTTGTGTTTCGGGTTTCGAATGCCTTTATCGTCAGATAGGTTCAATAAAGTCAGATATGGTGACCTGCACCTGTTGGGCCTTGGGGTGTCGTCGCATTACCTCTCGTTTGGGCGATCGTGAACAAGAGTAGAGCCGCGTGTCTTCGTAACTTTCGCCGGATCAAGTTGTAACGACTCGTCTTGCAAGATAAACAAAGAAATCAGTATCACATGGTATTCATGAAAAAATTATACCTATGATTCCAGAAAGAAAAAAGACTCTGACTCGACGATAAGGATACTAAGCTTTTTGACTTTCCCCACTGATTGCGCGTTAGCTTCGCTAAGCGACAAGATGAGTGGTCGCTTCTCGAGCCAGGGAATCGAGGGCCTCAACTCGCCAGAGGGTGACAACGACAACTCCTGGTCGTTTACACCAGGACCGCGATTACCGCCAGTGGTAACATCATCGTCCGAGGAGCTGAGTTCCGAGCCCGAATCGCATCACGGAGACGGTGCAGGACAGCAAGGAACGACTGGAGGTACTTCGGCAACAAGTGATGTGAAAGAACAGCCGTCTATCGGCGTCGGAGTCGCTGCGTCCTCGGGTTGTGCTTCGAACACGTTTTCCACCGAGAGGCCGGGCTCTTCTAAAGTGGAGGTCGCCAGTTCTACCGCGTTGGCGTTGCCCACCAGCTCTACAACTAGCTCGCACGAAACCGCCTCGACGGGCGTGCAAGGGATTGTACCAACCAGAAGGCGGGTTTCAGATGGGCAGTTGCTAATTTCGTTCTCGTGGAGCAGGACCAGCAAGGTTGAAAAATCGAACACGCAGTTACATCACGGTGGTGCAGGTAGAAACGAGAACCAGAACAACCTGAACGGAGCGCAGCAGTATTGTTGACTTGATCTTGTTACTCTTGTAGTACTTATTGTACTGTAGATCTTCTTGAAAGAATTTTGTTCTTCTCGTCTTGGATGAACACTGGTGGGAGAAATGGCTGTATGACGTTGCACATGAGCGGAACATTATCTACTTGTCTTGCCCCATGATCCAGCACAAGGATCAACAAGTTGAGCGCCGAGATCATCCATAGCACCAGTCTTGCAATATCCGTCAACCACATGACAAACAGGCTCTTCACCGGGGAGGAACAACACACCACGGCGTCACGCGCCCACCTGAGGCAGTCCGCCCCCGGGGTCATGACCGGCGCACCAACTCTGTGCAGTGATTCCACCCTTTCCGCATTTGGTTTCGAACCAAACTCCGACCACGAGAACGACGCACAGCAAATGGTAGTTTAGTTTCATATCTTTATCTTTTTACTTTTGCTAAATGCCACGGAACAACACTCCCTAGTCCTACTAGCCCTTCACGTTTATCTGCTACTTTTATTTTGAATGCCAGTTTTGCTTTTGGGCCCTTTCTGTTTCATCTGCCACGACGCACAGGAGAAATGATTGTTGAAGACGTGTTGAATGACCAATGATACTAAAATCAGGGGGACGACGGGCTGACGTACAACACTCTTCTATTTTCATCCAAGAAGAGCTGTCACGAGCGTAATCGCGACCACGTAATGGAGGTTCCTACTGTGGAGGGCGACTGGGTTAAACGACAAAGAAAGGACACCCGGACGAATCGCATCCGGAAAGACACCCGCACGATTCGTATCCGGAAAGACACCCGGACGACCCGTACCCGGCCCGCCGGCCGCGACAATCGCACCAGTCGAACGGGACGCGTCGACCGAAGAAACTCCATCCACGGTGGGTACGGTCGAGAGTGAAGACTGCAGAGTGGAAACAGACAGAAAAGTAGAACAAGATAGTTAGACTTAGAAGGAGTCAACATGCTAGAACGTCTCGGAAAATATGACTAAGAGCGAAATAAACGCAAAAACTTTCTCTGTCTGAACTGTAGTACATGTTTTTTCTAGAAAAAGTCCAAGAACGGGCGAGATTGGGTACTTGCGTGAGTGCAGCTATGCGACTGCGATGAAGTTTTATTTTAGTTTTCAATTATTTTTTGCCGATTGTCTTCAAAAAGCCGTATAATAATTATGTTGAGAAAAATATTTATAACACCAGCACTTCCCTAATTTACATGTACACATGGGAAAAAGAATCTATCAAGAGCAGCGGCCGGATCGCTTTGTACAGCTACAGTAACAGTTTTACGAACGATTTCAGAGTCGCTTTTTGAGAATCTTTCACCTCATCAAGATCCATTTTATCGTAGAAAACCAAAACTTGAACTTCGTATCTAGCTCTAGTTGCTCTCGATTTTTACTATTTTGTAGTTGTACAAGAAAGTTGGAAGTCCAGTTCCTAAGTAGCGTTAGACGTCGCGTTGAGAAGTAGTTGCGTATCTTTTTCGATGGTTTATCTCTTAGTTCGACAAGGAAAATCCACAGTTCCAAAAAACCAGAAGAAACCGTTGTCAAGTCTATTGAAGTCGTCGCCTCGGAAAATCGAATCGCCCTGCGTGGCAAGAACGCAAAGTAAGGCTGTACAGGCACGCGAAGCGACTCCTATTAGTTGCAGTTGTCTCTGTTCATCGTCATGGCAAGCGCTTCTTGTGGGGCGGGGTGGTAGGCACTAGCGCTACGTGTGTGCTGGCGGGGTGGTAAGAATGGTCGTGGGGCGGCAGGGTAGTAAGCACCTCATGTACGGCGGCCGCGGCATGTTAAGAGCAAATCTCTGGTGGGGCAGGGTGGCAAGCGCCTCATGTAGGGCGGGGTGGTAAGCAACTCATCTGGGGCGGGGTGGTGCTAAGTGCCTCCTGTGCAACGGGATCGCAAGCACCTCTTGTGGGGCGGGGTGGTGAGCGCCTCCTGCAGAGCGGGCGGGTGGTCAGCGCCTCCTGTGGGACGGGGTGGTAAGCACCTCTGGTGGGGCGGGGTGGTAAGCACCTCTGGTGGGGCGGGGTGGTAGTACACAAGTTGGTGGCGGTGGTCGTACACAGGTCACAGCTCGCCCGCCCCCCCACCGCCAGCCCCACCCTCCCACCACCGCCCGCCCGCCCCACCCTCGCACCACCGCCCGCCCCACCCACCCACCGCCCCCCGCCCCACGCCGCTCTTGCCCACACCAACGCCGCCCCGGGCGCGTAGTGTGTGGTGGCGTGCGATGAAAATGATGAAGAACGGCGCTGAGCGTTGGATAGAAACTCCAGTATTTTTCTCGAATCAAGACGCTTTAGACGTAGTGTAGTTTTTGACATTGCTGCGTCGTAGATGGTTCTTTTTATTCGCACTACTGTAACTGGCGAAGCTGCATCCAGATCGCGCTGTTGCAAGCAACCGCCCTTGATATGAGCATGACGAGGGAATGGTGGACGTGAGTGGTGTGAATTGCTGCACCGCATGGAGAAGAGGGAGTAGAATCAATCGCCAGGAAGTAAATATAGTCTTTTCGTTTTTAGGTCCTCATGGTCTGTTCTTGGCGTGGCTAAGGAGCTGATGTCGTTCGTTTCCCCCTCGAACNCCCACCCACCACCGCCCGCCCCACCCTCCCACCACCGCCCGCCCCACCCACCGGCCGCGCGCCCCGTTCAAAATGATGAAGAAGGACGCGGAGTGGTCATGTGTCTGACCGGGTGGTGGGGCCGTGGGCACCCTTGCTAGCTCCGGCACCAATCAGCATGTGGTGGGGCCGCGGGCACTCTTTCTTGCCCGACAACCAATCTGCAGGTGGTAGGGCCGTGGGCACCCCGTGCCTGCCCGTTCCCTTCGGTCTGCCTGGGTGGTGGGGCCGTGGGCACTCTTTCTGGCACCAATCTGCATGTGGTGGGGCCGTGGACACCACGTGGCTGGCGCCCTCGGTCTGAGGTGACATGGTGGTGGGGCCGTGGGCACTCTTTCTGGCTCTGCCACCAATCTGCATGTGGAGGGGCCGTGGGCACCTCGTGGCGCCCTCGGTCTGCCATGGTGGTGGGGCCGTGGGCACCCTTGCTAGCTCCGGCACCAATGAGCACGTGGTGGGGCCGTGGGCACCCGCACTCCTTGGAGCTCTCGGTCTAAAAGGATGGTGGGGCCGTGGGCACTCTTTCTTCCTTGCCCCACCACCAATCTGCAGGTGGTGGGGCCGTGGGCACCCCGTGGCGCGCTCGGTCTGCCTGGGTGGTGGGGCCGTGGGCACTCTTTCTGACTGGCTCTGCCACCAATCTGCATGTGGTGGGGCCGTGGGCACCCCTTGGCGCCCTCGGTCTGACCGGGTGGTGGGGCCGTGGGCACCCTTGCTAGCTCCGGCACCAATCAGCACGTGGTGGGGCCGTGGGCACTCTTTCTTGCCCGACAGCCAATCTGCAGGTGGTAGGGCCGCGCGCACCCCGTGCCTGCCCGTTCCCTTCGGTCTGCCTGGGTGGTGGGGCCGTGGGCACTCTTTCTGGCACCAATCTGCATGTGGTGGGGCCGTGGGCACCCCGTTGCTGGCGCCCTCGGTCTGACATGGTGGTGGGGCCGTGGGAACTCTTTCTGGCTCTGCCACCAATCTGCATGTGGTGGGGCCGTGGGCACCCCGTGGCTGGCGCCCTCGGTCTGACATGGTGGTGGGGCCGTAGGCACTCTTCCACCACTGAGCATCACCACGCACCACCACGCACCCCTGCCTCCGGGCTCCGGCTACTGATAAAAATAAAATTGTGAAATTTCGCGGATCATTTCGCAATGAAATGAAAATAAAATTTCGAATTTTCGCGGATTTGGGAAGCTGGTCGGGGGGTGGTCGTGCACAAGCTGGTGGGGCGGTGGTACACAAGCTGCCTGGGCGGCGGCTCCCAGTTAGGTGGGGCGGTGGTACGCGAGCTGGTGGGGCGGTGGTACACAAGCTGCCTGGGCGGCAGATCCCAGGAAGGTGGGGCGGTGGTACACAAGCTGGTGGGGCGGTGGTACACAAGCTCCGGGTCAGGCTGGTGGGGCGGTGGTGCACGAGCTCAAGCTGGTGGGGAGATGGTACACAAGCTGGTGGGGCGGTGGTGCGAGCTGGTGGGGCGGTGGTACAAGAGCTGGCGGGGCGGTGGTACACGAGCTGGTGGGGCGGTGGTACACGAGCTGCTGGTGGGGCGGTGGTACACAAGCTGGTGGGGCGGTGGTACACGAGCTGGTGGGGCGGGCGGTGGTACACAAGCTGGCGGGGCGGTGGTACAGTGCACATTGTGCACTGTGCCACCGCCTCCATGTACCACAGCACGAAACAAAAGCTTGTGACAAGCTTTTGTTTCGTGCACCACTACCACCACCACTGAGCTGACATCACCACCACCACCACAACCACCACGCACCCCTCCGGGCTCCGGCTAATGATAAAAATAAAATGGTGAATCTTCGCGGATTTCGCAAGGAAATAAAAATAAAATTTTGAACTTTCGCCGATTTGGGAAGCTGGGTGGGTGGTTGTGGACAAGCTGGTGGGGCGGTGGTACAAAAGCTGGCTAGGCGGCGGCTCCCAGGCGGGTGGGGCGGTGGTATGCGAGCTGGTGGGGCGGTGGTGCACGAGCTCAGGCTGGTGGGGCGGTGGTACACGAACTGGTGGGGCGGTGGTACACGAGGCTGGCAGGGGTGGTGGTTGTGGCTTCAGCTGTGATTGTCGCCCGCATCATTCGGCCAGCCACCACCACCCACAGCTGAAGCTACCACCACCCAGCCACCTCATGCTTGAGAGCGAAGCCACCACCACCCAACCATGGCAGCCAGGAAACACGGAGGCGCGCTGCAGTGGGTGGTGGTGGCCGAAGTGGGTGGGCGTGGCATCAGCAGTGGGTGGTGGTGGCTTCAGCAGTGGGTGGCGGTGGCTGTGGCTGTGGCTGGTGATCCACCACCACCCACGAGCAACTGATGAAGCCACCACCACCCAGCCACCTCATGCTTGAGAGCGAAGCCACCACCACTCAACCATGGCAGCCAGGAAACACGGAGGCTCGCTGCAGTGGGTGGTGGTGGCCGAAGTGGGTGGGCGTGGCATCAGCAGTGGGTGGTGGTGGCTTCAGCAGTCGGTGGCGGTGGCTGTGGCTGTGGCTGGTGATCCACCACCACCCACGAGCAACTGATGAAGCTACCACCACCCAGCCACCTCATGCTTGAGAGCGAAGCCACCACCACCCAACCATGGCAGCCAGGAAACACGGTGGCTCGTTGCAGTGGGTGGTGGTGGCCATCAGAAGTGGGTGGGGGTGGCGTCAGCAGTGGGTGGTGGTGGCTTCAGCAGTGGGTGGCGGTGGCTGTGGCTGGTCGCTCGTATCATTCGGCCAGCCACCACCACCCACAAGCAACTGATGAAGCCACCGCCACCCAGCCCCGTCATGCTTGGGAACGAAGCCACCACCACCCAACCACGGCAGGCAGCAGGCAGCAACGACGGTGGCTAAAGTGGTTCTGGTTGGGCGGTGTTTGCTGCAGTTGGTGGTGGCGGCTGAAGTGGGTGGTGGTGGCTGAAGTGGGTGGCGGTGGCTGAAGTGGGCGGTGGTGGTTGAAGTGGGTGGTAGTGGCTGAAGTGGGTGGCGATGGCTGAAGTGGGTGGCGGTGGCTGAAGTGATTGCGGGTCGTCCAGCAAATCACCCATGATGGCCAGCCACCACAACCCACTTACGGCAACCAGCGACCCCGGACCCTTCAGTTGGTGGTGGTGATGGTCGCTGAAGTGGGTGGTGGTGGCTTCAGCAGTGGGTGGTGGTGGCTTCAGCACCGCCACCTGAGCTTTTGCCCACACCCCACCGCCACCCCGATGATCTTGCCCACACCCCACCGCCACTCCGCCCTTTGATGGTTGCCCACACCCCACCGCCACCGCCATTTGCGCACACCCCTCCGCCCCCGCCATTTGCCCACACCCCACCGCCACCGCCATTTGCTTCAGCATCAGTGCGTGGCGGTGGTTGTTGCAGTTGGCCCACACCCCACCGCCACCCGTGGCGGTGGGGTGTGGGCAAATTGCGGTGTCGGTGGGGTGCGGCCAAAGATCAGGTGTGATGTGGCGGTGGGGTGTGGGCAAAGGGCGTTATGATGTGGCGGTGGGGTGTGGGCAAAGTGCGGTGGCGGTGGGGTGTGGGCAAAGTGCGGTGGCGGTGGGGTGTGGGCAAAGTGCGGTGGCGGTGGGGTGCGGGCAAAGTG